TCTTTTAGTTTAACTAGACTCTGCACGCAGGGTGCGGTACAACACGACTGATAAAATGCTCACACATGCTCGCTCACACGTTTTCAACAAAAGCAGTTCATCCAAGCGCTCTTGGACCGCTAATTAATTACGCTGTTGCAACCTTGTCGGCTGCTCGCGTTACCGCGCTGGCTTGTTCTGCACCATGGGAGTTCGATTGTGATAAACCGTGTTTTCAAAATACTTATGTGAGTGTAATGCGCTTGAATTAGCTTTTTGATTGAAAACACATGAGCATGTAATGAGCACCGCAGGGCTTATCGCTCTGTCTGGTGATACCTGGGGATAAACCTCCTCAAATTGGAACGTATCCTTAGTTACTCACTTCGAGAGCCATGTTAGATTTTGAAAATCCAAATAGCTTTCGCAGGAAGTAAATCCTTAGTGGTCTCGGGTCGAATGACAGATATGTTAAAAAGACTTAGAAGTAAGAATAAATTGGCAGCGGTGGGATTCGAACCCACGCCTCATTGAGACTGGTGCCTAAAACCAGCGCCTTAGACCGCTCGGCCACGCTACCTCTTGTGGTACGTTGAATAAATGTCCATGATTTTTAACAACGGTATCTATATTAAAGGCAGAATAGGATATCCCTGAGAGGATATCCTATTATTTTTGACATTTTTTATCCAGGAAGTGGTAGTCATCCATCTCCAGGAGTGAGCGCAGCGAATGAGTACCATTGGCGATATCGAAGAGTGGTTAGAAATTATAGCTCTAGAAAATCATAGGATATCATTTTTATCCTATGGTCGCTATTTTTGTATGGACTCAAAATAATTTGACCTAAAAGTTGTTGTTTTCTAATAGACTAGATGCAAGTAAAAATAATTTTGATTGACGTCTAGAAAAATGATTTCGAAAATTTGAGGAAAATGTGAGTTCTAGTTCGGGGAGATTTCCCATATACCCCATGATATAAAATCACAAAAAGTGAAATATCTTTTCTTTTATCTTGGACAAATAATATTTTTATAACTAGTAGATACATAAGGGTGATGTTAAAATTGAACCGCTAAAACTGATAATATTTAAGTACAGTTGGGGACATAAATAAATGACAGGTGGATTTGCTGAAGTGAGGATTTCCCATGTTAAAAATAAGAGAATTTACAAGAGGCCATACATCAGTGGATGAGATTATACAAAATGTAAAATATACAAATTTTAAGGGATATATATCTAGACAATATTGGAAATTATGGGCTTTCAGACCACCATAATTAGGAAATGGTGATCGAAAATCGACCTGTCATTTATTTTTGTCCCCAACTTTAATAGTGAACTTTCTACTATACCCGCCATCTGATCCGAATGGGGGTCATGAGCGACCAGAAAATTATTCATTGCGGATTTCCAAATAGTGGAAATGGAGAGGTTATGCCTAAGTACACATTTATATCCCTTCGCTAAATTGAGGGAACAAAATATCTATGTTTAAAACTGTAAATATAGTTCCTGAAAGTATTCTGTAGCAGCGCCATCTTGAATGAAAATGTGGTGGTGAAACATTTTAACAATAAATTATACAGGGTGTCTCAAAAAAGAAAACCGGGATTTAATTGCTTATTTCTCACATAAAGGATAATTTTGCAGATACCATCTAAGAGGTTATGCTGTCATCTTTCTTATGATACCAAAGTTGGCTATTTTCCTTCACGGATGACTTAGTTCAAAGGGATTTTAGCGACCATGTCAGAAATGGGTTTGTGCCACTTTTTCTTTCATGAATGACTAACAATGGGGGATTAAAATGACAATGCCAGGAGGGTCTTGTAACCTTTGGGATTATCTCAAGGATAAAGTCTACATATTACCAAGAGGCGTTGATAATCTAAGGGCCGGGATTGTTGCAGCAGTGGTGGATCTTAGGGGACAGAGAGACATCATCAGGGATGCAGTATGTGCGATGAGATGCATGAGAAATGGGGGTCATGTTGAAGGACACTGAGGTTAAAACAACTTTGAATGGTCATTGGGATTGAAAAGGGGGGTTTAATGTGATATGTGTAACTTTAATTGGAATAAATGAGTAAAAGAGAAATGTCCTGATGTCTGTTGTTACTTATCACTATGATATGATATAGTGAATTGACTTGTTGGCTGAAAGTGACACAAACCCATTTGACATGGTCACTTAAACTCCTCATTGCTCAGTCATCTGTGGGGGGAAATAGAACATCCTGGTACCATACGAAAGAGGACATAATGACGCAAAAGACATTACCTGCGAATTGTCCCTAACATTATTCATATTTGAGAAATTAGCAATTTAATCTCGGTTTCCTTTTTTGAGACACCCTGTATATTCCATAATGTTCGATGTGGAACATTGTGACATGTACTAGTTGACCAGATTCAAACGCCAAACTCTAAGAAATTTGAATAGAGTACAGCAGGTCAAAACTTTTGATATCTATGACTAAATCTTTTTCAAATTTTTATCACTGGTAGGGGACATAGTGTTCTTGAACATGGTGGTTGATTTTCTGAAATCTTGGATTGAGAAATATTCGTACGATGGCCCATTGGATTAACATTTTCTGTTCTAAATGTGGACTTGCCACTTAACTACACAGACAAATGCTCTAATCCAATCCAATGGAGAAACATTAGAATCTTCGGAATAATTATGAAATAAATACAGTAGTACCGTGAGTAGTAGAATCACATGGTATTGCTCAGAAAGAGATTTCGGTACCTAACCCAATATAGCACAATGGCTCCACAAGTACCCTTTAAAACTGAAAATGTTTTTTAAAACGATTTTTAATAGATTTCAAACTCAAAACCACCATCACAAAAAGTCAAATGTTTAAAGTAAACCGAATCATTTCGTCATACTTCTTGCAAAATGATATATACACAAGATAAATAAAATAAAAAATAATATCTGTTCATTTTCACTGGTAATTGCACTGATAAATCTTGATTTCAAACAACCATTAACTCGATTTTAAAGGTCAAGGTGCAATTATTGGCAAATATCCCTATGGTCAAAATGAATCATTCGTAGGTGTAACATGAAGAATAAAATGTCATATAATACTTCGGAAAATATTAAAGTGCTCGGACACACATAAGCTGAGATAGGGATCATTTCGTTCAGTAAGGTTGTATTGACTTACATGAGGCTGTGCACCATTGACTTAACATGAGGATATCAGCAGATCCTAATAGAGGCCATTGGTTTCCATTGATTATCACAGAAATACCAAAAATACACTATGACCTGAATCGATTGCAAACTTAATAATTTCACAATACGACACAAATGGTTTATCTCATCAAATGTGCAAATATGAAGTTTGCAATCGATTCAGGTCATACTTAAAATCAAAAGATTATACATTTTTTCATCATTTTTTCCCTACAAAATGGCTATAGAAAAATGCTCCAAAAACAACTTTTACACTTATTAAATATCATACAAGTTTGTAAAACCAAAGATTATACTATAATATTTCATTATGTGGTAACATATTTGGATAAGATGCAGGGATGCGTAGGATGTAAATGGATTTTGACAGACACAAAAATACTTCCTGGTTTGGAATCTATGCCTCTACACTTCATGATTGAATTATGACCCTAATAAGTGGCCTATACATCAATACAGTGCTGAATATAGGTCAACAAGATACTAGTGTGCATATACGGTAAATGTAATAATTGAAGCAGAATACTCATTTTGAAAAATCAGATGAATTATTTTTTTCCCATGGGGAGATCCCAATGGAGGGTGTATAAGGTCCTTTAGATTTTTTATTCTACCTCTTCTACCTTTCACGAGCGCCCTCTGTGGAGTAAACCCGGGGTATATTTGAACTTTGGTACCTTCAAAAGAGGTAGATTTATACAAGTTTAGTGCAAAATTCACCAATATACTTATATCTTTTCAATTAATTATAAATTGTGTGTTACTCTTATATAAAAAAAACATTTTAAAGCTCTTCCTCTTCTACAGGGCGTCAAATAAGTCTGCCCCCCTTAACTTTTATATTTTTTAAGTTATCATACTTTCCGATATATCATTTTAAAGCTTATGGAAAATGCTGATCACTGCCAAAAATTAATAATGAAAGCTTCTTAATAAAAAGTCCTACACTGTTTCTTGTAAGATTGTAGTTGACCTTTGATTACTACGCCAAAACAAGTAAAATTACCAGAGTGAATGAAAAGTTGTGACTATGCCAACATCGGGTGATTTTGATATTTTTCAAAATTTCTATTTCACAGGAGAAACGTCACAACCATAAAACATTGCTCAACTGTATCAAAAAAGCTCTTAGAAGCCTATACTAGAAAGTGCGCATCGCTGTTTGTGAATATATTGGAATCGCATATTCTCGTAGAATTGAGGCCGTCTGAGCTACTGGAGGGACACGTACGGATTATCAGATTAGTGAAATAAGGATATCACTAAAAATGCTTTTAAAATTTGGATTTCAACCAATCACTCTGAAAGGTGTGTGATCAGTAAATTAATGTATTCTTCTTTTCTTCTTCTATATATCTTTTCTTCTTGATCTTCTATCTAATGGCTACGCCTATGTATCCCCATAAGAACTACTCTTGAAAGTGACAAGGGAGGGGACCTGATACAGGGTGTTCACCAAGTAAATTATTTTCCGTACTTCGGTTTTTTGATTTCTATTGAAACTATAATATGTTTGTTCTGAAGATATCAGATACAGTATTATAATATATATACAAGCAGTTTTTCTTTTCAAGTTATAAATTAACTTTTTATCAACAGCTCTCGATCTTATTTCAGATCGTACAATTTTTGCTTTATGTTGTATGTTAATAGTTTGTTCATTAATCAAAAATGAGCAGCATTAATAATCTTTGCTTTTCTCTTGGTAGCATGTATTTACCCTTATCTTACACCAATAGCAAATTCCACAAATACGTGTTGGTATAAAATAGAGCCGTCAAGGAAAGTGTTGAACATATGAATAAGGATCTACCAGCAACAATTGGTCGGTAACACCATCTGAAAAAGCGCAGCCTTGTAGCATGAGAAATCTGTCAAAAACCATCGAGCGCTGATTTGATAGCAGTAAGAATTATGGTTCAGTTTGCCTAGCTTTGACACCCGCAAAATGTGGGATGAAGGAGCGGACTGATAACACTCCAAGGATTAACACACAAACGGTGATTAAAAGGCAGTGTTTATTGCGACGTGGTTCTCGACCTATAATTTTCTTACGCTTCTTCGATGCCATCATTTCAAGTAGCCGTGGCTTCTGAAGAACAAAATAGAAATAAACTTTTCGAATCTCCACTCCAAGAAGCCAATTTTGGAGGATTTACGACATTTAAAGAATGATATTAAAGAGAAAAGTCGCTTCGTTCAGTCTAGGGATATACAAGAGAAACTATTACAACGGCGCCAAAAGTCTGCGACAATTGAAATGGCGGGAATAAAAGGTGTATTTATGACGTGCTTCTTCATTTATTCATTCATTCATGTACTCCTTGCTAGACCACAGGAGAGTAAAAGCTCTGAGTCAGCGTTTGAAAACAGTGAAAATGATCCTGTTAACAGACTCGGTGAAAAACGACCGAAAAGAGCGGCGTGGAATAACTACAAAACAAACATCCATGAACGCTCAAAGATTACTACGAACGAGGTGGATTATGCCGAATATGGAGCTGATTATGACACAGATGAAATATTGGATGAACTGATGACAAATGAAGTTGAACCAGATATCAATATTCAATTTAAGAAATTCACTGGACAAAAAACGTTCCACAGGGATCACAGATTTGATAAAAAACAATTAAATGAAATACGCGAAGCTCCACAATACATGCTTGATCTATACCACGAATACCTCGGGAATAGGAAGTCCCAGCCGACATCAGATATTGTGCGTAGTTTTATGAACGTCAATGGTGGTATGTATGCCTTTAATGCATCAGTGTGCGTTTAGATTCAAAATCAAGTGTAGCCCTTTTTAATGCAATAGTTCATATACACAATCGAATTGTTTCATTTCCCAATCAAACAGTATGTTCTATATAAAATAGTTATGAATCGATCAATATCAATTAATGTTTTATCGTATTAGGCACTATCTAGGCTATTAGCAAACAAAAGCATGGTACCCTTGGTATTTTTGCATCGATTGATGTAAACATTTATGATTTCAGCCAGTTACTCCTATATTAATGGGGCTAATGGAATGATTGTAATACAAATTAATATTTTAACGGGAGGTAATTACAGAGAGAACTTGAGAATATAATTATCATCAATTTCTTGACACCGTATATGTTTCATCAGTATTTTTTACTTCACTGGAGCGCATCCTCCGATCACAGGGCTTCAAAATCCAGAATATATTCTTTCTCTGTACGCATTCTGGATACCTGCTTAGGAGGATGCTGGAGCGTGGATCACTTAGGTAATATAGTACTATGTTATTGTATATGTATAAGGCATTATTATAATATTTATGATTAATACACCATTATAGTATTTAATAAAATACATCAGTGAAAAGACACAGCGACTTTTTATGATGTCACGTTGCTTTAGAAAATGCAATTATCCATGGATAATTTTTTCTAAAAAACAAGTTTTGGTTCGTTGGGTAGTTGCTTCTCAACAGGTGAGAGTTAAAAAGGTGACGGTCTCACTGTTCATCAGTAGCTGAAAGGTCCAATATGGTTGTCCAATATACCTTCAATGAAAGAAGACATAACCAAGAACAGATCGGAACAAAAATGTTCACCAGCCCTTAGCACAGGATTTCATTCTGTGTTTTCATTAACATGGTCGACCAGTCAACATAAAACTCAAGATACAAGGAACTACAGGGTGGGCCAAAAAAATTTGCAACTTTTTTAAAAGGCTAGAAAAGTATCAAAACATAAGGGTATTGCCATAAAAAATTATTTACAGAAACTTAAGGATAGGCATATTTTACCATTTAAATACTAGCTAAACTGGACTTCAATTTTTTTATCAGCTCTTTGAATATCAATGGTCTATTGTTCATGTGTCCGAGATTTACCGTTTTTCCTAGAAAATGTTTCATTTATGTGATCAACAATAACACATTCATTATGTTCACTAAATCTCTTACAATCTTGGATAACTGTTCAACCAATGTCTAGTTCAGTTTATATCAGTATCTAGTCACTTATATATTATGTATATATTGATTATTTATTAAAGATGTTGATTTAAGAGCAAAAAAGGCTCCAAAACTTAATGAAATATGTAGTTTGGATGTTCATTTATGTCTGTGGATTATATTTTATACCACAAACACTTTATAAATACCTGAAATTTGCAATAAAAGTGCCCAAAAATTGTCGTTTCGAAATTCCCCATTTTTCCTGTATCGCGCTAGTCACGTGACCATAACGCGTAGCAGTCAATGTACAGATATATGTTCAATATGGCAAACATCAGCGAGGCTGATTCCCGGGTTCTGGGAAATGACTATATAAATCGGCGAGAGGGTGTAATTTGAATGAAGACAATTTAAGGAGGGGAAATGTGTGCAAGTATGGCAGTAAGAGAGCAGATATGGGGACTTTAAACAAGAACTATGACGGAGAATCAACTAAAAATGTGAGTTCTGGAATGAAGACCCGTTGCCATTGACTAAGATTCCAGCGATCCTATTATCATACTCAGTTTGAATCTAGACGCGGAAAACAGATTATGAAAACAGGTTTTCTGCAAAGTTATCAAATTTAGAAGATATGGATCTTGTTTTTGAGTGGCTTAACAAGCATTTAGATACCAGACTTGGCGCTATCTCTTGTCAAATACATGCACTGGACTTGCAGTAAATTGGCCATTGCAAATTGCAAAATCAGATCGTCAAATTAATCGCTTCGTTTTTAAACCTACGCTTCATATCTTCTTCCAAAACTTTAGGATTCGATAGAGATAAGTTATAACTTGTACAGGAAAAAATGGCAGATCCTACCTTAATTTAGAATCGCTGATTTCTCTGGACAAATTCCGAGAAGAAATTGTTCAACATCGCGATCACCCCAGACAACATGTCGCGTGCGTGTCACTCTGAACTCACGTGATAAAATACGGCATCTTGATTGGTTACTACTCGTGTTGTCATGACGTGAAAAGCAGTAGTAAACACTGAATATGTTAATGAACTGCCATATATGGAACAATTGTCTTTCTGATTGGTTAACTTTACACGCCTCCTAAATGAATATAGTAGTCGTAGTAAATGATTCATTGATAACTCTGAAAGTGGGCGTGACCAGCTTCATTTTGACACCAAATTCAAGATGTTTCAAATCAAAATGGCCTCGCAAGACGAGGTTGAAATATCAGTAATTTGATACTGATATGGTCTACGATAGATCAAAATTGACTGCCCCGCGTCACATGTCACGTGAGCCTATATTTGTTGAAAAATGAAAGAGATAGTGACACTTTTTAATCTTAAGTTTATACCAATATTACAAACACATATCTATTTTTTTCATTATATATTTATTTCTTCATAATACATACATTTGTTTTATACTACATTGATTTATTTTTGCAAAACCTTTGCTATTAGATCTTTAAACAAATTTTATGCATCCAACTTTCACCTTCTCTACAGCGCGCAAGGAGACATGGGCGGAACTGGTCAATGGCGCAATCCAGCGATTCTTGTTGTAGTTCTCTCCACTTCTCCTGCAGAACTTCTTTTAGTTTAACAATAGTTTGTGGGGGATTACCATTAACTGCAATAAGCTGCTCCAGGTGCCCCTAATGGTGATAGTCACAGGAGTTGGCATCTGGGGTATTTGGCAGCCATTCATCAGGACTAATGAATCAAGCCTTATCTCCCCCAGATATTCCAAAGTGACCTTTGCCCGATGGCTGGGAGCGATAGGGAAGGTGAAAGGGGATGCATAGAACATTTGTTAAATAGATAATTAATAAATACAATTTAACATGATACCATAGTGACTAGATACTGATATAAACTAGACATTGAGGTAGACATTGTTTAAATAGTTATTCAAGATTGTAGCAGATTTAGTGAACATTATGAATGTGTTATTGTTCATCACATAAAATCATAGAAAGTCACATTTTCTAGGGAAATGGTAAATCTCGGACACATGAACAATTGACCATTGATATTCAAAGATCTGACAAAAAAAATTGAAGCAAGTTTTAGCTTTAGCATTTAAATGGTAAAATATGCCTATCCTTAAGTTTCTGTAAATAAGTTTTTATGGCAATACCCTTATGTTTTGATACTTTTCTAGCCTTTAAAAAAATTTCCAAAATTTTTTGGCCCACCCTGTATGTTACTGCTGAAAGCGAAAATGATAAAAATGCCCTTTGTCAAGTACATTTCTAATTTCTAGACACTAGTATATTAAAAAAAGGTCCTGAATCATCTGAATAACATTAAATACATTAAATATTAAAGTAATACTTTAAAGCACTTGGAGTATCTACCCTCATACAGTAGTTCTCTTTTCCAACTCAATATCCGACCCGAAACGAATGTTGCTGCTGTTAAGGGGGGGGGGCGGCATTCTTTAAGGACACCCTGTAGAATAGCCACAAGTTTAATTCAGTGTTTGACAATTTGACTTTTTGGAGACCCGGATATTAGAATTAATCGATAAAATATACATTTCTTGTATAACATCTTTTAGCGAAACGCCGAAACTTCAATAAACAAATGACTCGGCATTGTTATCATTGAGAATACACTGTTTGCGTTACAAATTATATCGAAATAAGATATTTTTAATCGTATTGATATACATGTTTACAAAAATTAAAAGCATTATAATTAAATTAATTGAACACCCAAAATAAAAAAGCATTGGCAGCGGTGGGATTCGAACCCACGCCTCCGAAGAGACTGGTGCCTTAAACCAGCGCCTTAGACCGCTCGGCCACGCTACCTATCTGTTAAGCAGTGGCGAATTTATCATTTATATTTAATAGTACTGACATACTGATATAGTGCACTAAACGGAAATACTTTTATCGATTATTACTTCTTCCTTGCCGTCCTTTACATTTCGTCCCATCTCTTTATTTCAATATAGGGGGGTGTTTATTTTTCCAATTTCGAATTAGATCTACCCTTACTTCAAAGACTCTGACGTTAGGCTAATAGATCAATTTGTACGAATAAAATTCCCCGGTAATTTCATAAAATTCCCGGTAGGCCTAATCTCACGAGAGCAAATCAAACACTCATTTACAAAATATATTTTAATGGCCAGACTTCTGGTAGATGGATTTGATAAATATTGTTCTCTCACATTTTTCATTAGGCCTATCATATTCCCGCTTGCCAATCGCCCCTTGCCAATCACTGCAGCCTGGTTTCCCGGACTCGATTCTGAGCCGGTTCTGACTCTGAGCCCGGGTTACAATTTATGTTCCTTGTCACGTACTCATTGAAAAACAATGTTTAAAATTGACACTTGTCGGTGGGATAGGCTATATATTTATGAAATTACAGATGGAACAAACTTTTAAAGACTGCATGTCGCCTTGAAATTCACAAGTGCACTTGTGATCCGCTCGATTACGCTGGTAGCCGTTTCGGTAACAAAATGTCGGAACGTCGAAGCTCATGGGCTTTCAACGTCAAAGGTACGATTTTTCATTTTCCTTATTTCACGCGTTCAGGCGTTGTAGGTAGAATCCCAACGACGTTTTTTTTCCCGTTTGGCAAAAGCCCCCCCCCCCTTTAGTAAAACCGCCCCGGGTAAATCCTGGCTACGGACCTGCATTAGGCTGTTAAAATACTAGGTCATAGTGACATTTCTGGCTCGGCGAATGAGATGTTATGACAGACACGACACTATTACAATTCCGCATGTTTTTTTTATGTTAAAGGCCCAAGGCAAAGTTTGAAAATAATGTTTAACCATATCTTAATCTGATTTTTTTAAAAAGTTGATTTTCCAAAAAGTTATTGGTTCATTAATTGTAAAATATTTCCCAGCAGCAACCGTTTTCTAGATCATCAAATACAACATTATGCACTGCGAAAAACATTGATTTCTACACTCCATCGGATAGATCAAATTATATTTCAACATTCTAATTTAATTGTTATGCATACGTAGGCCTTAGTCTTGCATTATATTTTAAAGCATTTAAAAGTGGTGGCAGCAGGTTACGCGCCGTGATGTCATTCAGGTTGCATAACTTGTTTACAAAATTCATCGATATATCTTTCTCCTCTAAATATATTTTAAATATGCTTAACAGTCACAATAAAACAATATATTTTTAAAATGTCTTTCTCTGAACCACTTTTCTGCGCTTGTGAGTTAATTTCTTTTTTATTTCAACCAATTATCTTGATTTTCAAACACAGAATAGATATATGCAAGCTATCCAATTGGTGTTAATATACTGTATACGTGTGACAACAAAACAAAATCGGCCTCAATTTACGAACAAAAATTCCCTCAAAAACAAAATATCACAGTTAATGATATTGGGTAAGACTACAACACAAGCCAAGGTCATGTGTTTAATTTTTCCTTTAAGTGAAGTCCATGCGAATCTCCATGTGATCTAAAACATATTTGTTTCTTCTATCATTTCAGATCCTTACAAGATCACTGATTCCAGTACCCATGGTAACAAAACACGTGTGCATAGCTTAATCTTCAACATTACTAGTCTGAAACAGGATGAAACAATCCAAGTTGCAGAACTCAGACTTTATAAACTTGTTGAAGTTGACAGAAATCACTATTCTGGCCACAATAGAAAGGTTTCAGTATTCGAGGTCATCTTACCAGAAGACAGTAATGCCTCAGAACGGCAGCATATCCTCATATCTTGTAAGAATATATATGGCCGCCATAGCGGATGGGAGACTTTTACGGTGACCCAAGCCGTCAGTCGCTGGCACCTTAGGAAATCCTCCTTCCAAAGACTTGAAGTACGAATTGAAAGTGTGTTTGATCTTGGTCACACACATGGTGATATAGACATTGACACTCGTCCAAGGCAAAGAAATGAGCCCCTATTAGTCGTATTCTCAAATGAAGGGAATTACGAAAGTGAGAGTAAACGCGAACTCGATGAAATGATGATACATGGGTTATCAAAAAGAAGAACAGGCACTAGTCACTCACACAAATCAAGGACAGGGAATAGTATGAAGTTGGGAAGAAGTGAAACTTATGTACCTCCATATAGATATCCTCCAATACTGAGACATTATAACCTGACTACAAGTGCTTCTTACCAGAGACGCGTAAAAAGGTCGAGAAAAAGGTCAAGAAAGAACACATGCAAAAGAAAACCGTTAGTGGTGAACTTTCAGGATATCAACTGGCACACTTGGGTTATTGCTCCGCGAAGCTATGATGTAGGTGCTCTACCAACTATAGTTAGTACCCTAGATGTGTTGACAAGCTTCTGACGTGTGTAGTTATGCATGTACCTTAGCCTGGCATGTCTGTAACGTATTGGCTTTTAAGGTAAAGTACTTTGAAGCTTTCCGAATGTGTTCATATGTAGAGCAATAAGTATGCATGTCTCTAATTACTAATTAGAAAATACTAGATGATTGATGTACGTGTAACTTAATGATAAAAATCAAACCATGTAACTCAACAAGAGGTATATAGTCTGATATTTTCCATTGGTTGCATTTGCAGTGTAGTGATGCTGCAAACCATATGCTGTCATGATTTGCAAAAATAATTAGTGAGTATTTCGTCAGAGATAACTGAAGTGTGTTAAGTCCAAAATATCATTAGGCACATTTTAGACAGAGGTCACGTTAATTACTTAATCAATTTTAATATTTACATTATGTTTCATTATAATATCACTCTCTTAACCAAACCACATGGCAATCACTTCATTATCCAGACGAGTTAATGACTATGAACATTGAACAATCTACACAGTTGAGAGAGATCCTCGTCTATACAACGAAACATCCATTTATGATGAAAGATAGCCCCACCTTCGGAGAATTATATACGGTAAAAAATATTCAATGCCCGAGAGTTCAAACAGATTGAGTGTTTACGTCAAAATAACTTCCTGTTAACTCTAAAATTGTTTCAATCGACAAGATTTTTTAAATTCCAATAATATCCGAATCGCTGAGAAGTGTAAGATATCACACGTTATCTGAAGTGTTGTGTCCCTTTCAAGGATTAATTTGGATTGTAGACCCTTGAAGATGTTGTACAATTCTCGTTACGTTAGGTTTATGGTTAAGATACTTGGTGAATGTGAAAAAATGTACTAAACATTTGGTCAATTAGCAAAATGATCTTGGAAGAACTTACGATCAAAACAATACTAACAACAACTAAAACAAATGTAGCAAAATGATCTAGGAAGAACTTATGATCAAAACAATGCTAACAATAACTAAAACAAATGTAGCTAAAAATTACTAGTATATACAACCATTAAAAATCAACAATTATAGAACTACTAGTATGTTCAAATTCGACCCTGCAAAGATCAAAAGGAAAAACTGAAAGGAAAAGTACCAGGGATGTGATAATCTGTAATTTATTTTATCTTAAAACCAGTTTTTTAAATTTAGTTTAAGAAATTGTTGCCGAATTTCTCCCTTTTCAAATGCTCCACGTTGAGTTGTTGGCTTATAATTAATGTCAATTTTACATAAATTGCGAATGGAATATCATGAATATTCGGAATACATGGAATAGTGGTTAAAAATATCAAACCAGAAAAAAATAAACAAAAAATTGCAAAAATAAAATATCAAAACAAAATATATATTCGAGACATCAAACAAGGAAAATGAACGCAAATAGCAAAAAATGTTAAATGATGGAAAATAATATGTCAAATCAAATATTGGTACTACATATTAGGTTAGAAAGCTTTAAAACACACCCGGTGATCGTGAATATGGGACGGAGGGGGGGGAGCAGGCAATTTCTGCTAGGAAATTCAACAAATCTGGAAGATTTATTTTTTCAAGAAAAAGTTTACTATTGAATTGCTAAATGGATAGGCACACGGTATGGTAGAATATGTTAGGTTTTCTGGGATTTTTTCTGAAACGATACGCATCTAAGGTATGAGATCTATTAAAAAAGGCGCAAGGCCATCAACAGGCACAAATCAACGTTTTTGCTATAAATCAAGCAACAATGGTCTGGACGACCTGTAATAAATACTTGTAAGTGATGTTATCATAACTAAATTAATGTCATTGCTGAATTTATAAAATAAGTTTCCATATGTGAAATAAAAAATAATCGAAAATAATGAATTTGGGACGGAGGGGGGGAGCAATATGTATATAAGACATGATTAGAGATGTTTCGCGACTTTAAGTCCTTTTACTCCAAATGTCCCCATTTTTCAGTCTCCAGGGGTATATCATCCAGTTTCTTACTAAGTTAATGAGTTCATTTTTCAAATACAAGAATTCGTGTGAAGTTGTTTCACTTTATAGAATTATTACTCCCCCCCTCCGTCCCCTCCCCCCCTCCGTCCCATTTTAATTATTTTCGATTATTTTTTATTTTACGTATTGAAACTTATTTTATAAATTCAGCAATGACATTAATTTAGTTATGATAACATCACTTACAAGTATTTATTACAGGTCGTGTAGTCCATTGTTGCTTGATTTATAGCAAAAACTTTGACTTTTGCACGTTGGTTGCGTTGCGCCTTTTTTAATAGATCTTATATCTTAAAAGAGTATCGGTTGAAAAATAATCCTAGAACACCTAACATATTTTATCATACCGTGCGCTTATTCAATTTGCAATTCAATCGTAAACGCTGTCTTGAAAAAATAATTTTACCAGATTTGTTGAATTTTCTAGCGGAAATTGCCTGCTCCCCCCCTCCGTCCCAATTTCACGATCACCGGGTGTGTAAAAGCAATAAGTCAACAATATCAAATAATAAGAACTCAAAGCTCAAACCCTATAACACTAATATTGTTTAATTTCTAAGTTCGAATTTTTGTTCACTTTTCTCTGTTCACACTGAAATGATATTCCGTATGAACTCTTGTTCATTTTCGTGTTCAAACTTTTCATAAAATATATTCGAGTGTTAAACGGTATTCTGCAGGCGTTCGATTTGTTTTATATTGTTTTACATCTAGACTTTTGATCTTTGATGTTTATTTTTAGTACTCGTATATTGGATTTGTTATTTTAAAGTTATTCGAAGTTTTTTGCAGTTTGATTTGTAATAGCAATAGTTTTGAATTTGGTTCAAATATGGAACTGACAATTATAGTTCAGATTTAGAATTTGAATAAGATTCACTAAATTGAACAAAAACGTTGAAAGTTAGAAAAGTGCAAAATCAAATAAAAAATTAATGTGAAGACATTTAGAACTGTTTGACCATTTAACCATTCCTATGGAATACTACACACCACATAGGGATTTTTAAAGTATAAATTGAACATATTTCTTAAAAATAAATTCCTAAAGTTTAAAAGCAGACACTGTTGATCATCCTTAAGATTTGGCAACTTGCCAACTAATTTTCTGTCTGAAAATAACAGAAACTTGACACATATAGTAGGCGAAATCACCACCCTCTCGACAACTACCTCCAAAGAAAAATACCCTCCTTCATTTTGGCGGCCAAAAAGACTATCACAAAGTCATAGGTCATGAACTAAATATTACCACTTCATTTCTCCACTGTGGCTTGCAACTATATCAAGTTTTGTTGTTTTAGAAAAAGTAGTGTAAACCTCTTCAAAAAGAGACACAGCTTCTTGAAAAAGCGTGCAATCAATACCAAAGGCGGCTTTTAAATAACTCATTTTGTCATATTTGACATTGAATACATGTTGTACTTTAACATATATCGACACAAAGTGAAACCTCCCATTTAACAAGTGTAACCCTAAGATAGAGCTGGAATTTATTGTTACTAAAATTAGTACGTACAGATAAATGCAACTCTGTCACTCCACATTCACGGGTATGACGTATACAATGGAAGAATGCAGACGTTTAGAATGTTTTAAAGTGCAAATTTTAATCTTTCAGACAATATGATAGGCATGTTAGTTGATGTAGTTTGGTGATGTGTAAAGGCGTTTTTAATTTGGTATTTAGTTTATTTTTGTACACTTATCATCTTATCTTCTGTAGACACTTCCATAGAGCTATGTTCAGCAAAGTGTTACCTATTGAAGTACTATCAGGAAGTTAGTGTTTATTCACGGTGAATATCAGTTCATTGATTTATTGGGTGGAAATAAGGTATTTTTCTGTATTCATGGATTTTGAAACCGTTCAATTTTTTCGTTGACCGTATTCATCATATTTTTGTATATATGTTGCAGGCGTTTGAATGTAGTGGACGTTGTTATTTCCCATTAGCTGATCACTTGACTCCTACCAAGCACGCTATCATACAAACACTTCTGCACGCCACCTATCCAAAGAAAACATCACGGACGTGTTGTGTCCCGACGGAGCTGGAGCCCATAAGCATTATATACATTGACGAAGAGGGTGTGGTGACAATTAAATATAAATATGATGATATGGTTGTATCAAAATGTGGTTGCAGGTAAATATATTAGTCATGGGTGTTGTGATTGACTTCACTGAAAATGTGTACTCATACATCAGGTTAACAAACCTTCGATATGAGACGTGTGTGTTTTGTGTGTAAACGTGTTTTTCAAAAACACTACATGTGTACTTGAAGCCTATCAATGTTTGATCGTCTATTTCGTTCCTTTATTACAATATTTGATAAAATTTATTATATCACCAATTAACTGGGCGCTTTATGATAGGTACAAAAATACACTTAAATTATACTAGATATGTGAAGCTACATCGAATTTGTATTGTATTGGTGACACCCAGTGTTGTCATTAACAGCCGGTCCACTGGTCATTTTCTGGTTACTTTTGATACGGACCAGTTGATTTTTTCACTAGGTATAGGAAAATAACATTGCAACTGGTCCGTAATATCATTTTGACCAGCAGGTTTCAGCCCCTTAGTGTCTACACTGGTGACACCCTGCATATGCACCACATATAATGTATTGAGACAGTATTATAATGATTATAATGAAGCACAAGATGTGTATTGAAAAAACAATTGATTATAATTATAAGTACAAAGTGTATTGAGGAAACATTTGACGTGAACTGGGAATATTTGGAATTCCATTCACAATGATATCATAAGTAAATTAATGAATTGCTTAAGGGTGTACTAAATAAATAAAAGTACCATAAAAAGTTTATATTACATTATTCACTATTAATATTTTATTAACTCACGACTGTATGTCTATTTCATATTTGCTAAAACATCTTGATACTCCTATTATTAATTTATTGTATAAAATGGAATGTGCAGTAATACACATACATAGGCTCTATGTAAATATGACATTGACGTTGCATTTACGTACTGCAGTACAAATAACCATATATAAAAAATTCAAGATAAAATAAATATTGCAACTAAATTTTATATTGTAGGCTATTTGTATTTAAAATATGAATATTGATTATTGTTACACAATAATTTCAGATATAAATCTATGTTGCTGTTCAATAAACTAGACACGTGTATTAGAATCATTTTCAGCAATTTATAGCATAGTGGTCTGATGGTTTTTATCAGGTCATGTGACATAAAATATGTAACAGAGTTTGTTTTGTGCGAAAAACGTTAGAAATATCATGTCCTAAATAAAATAATAATAATTTAAACATAGACATGATATATCAAATTGCAACCAAGTGCATGCCTATTTTAACATTCAGTGAAATTGATTACCCTTGTCAATTAACTAATTTCAAGTTTGTAGTGGAGTGAAACCTTATAAATAGTATCACAGGGAATAGCAAGGCGATTTTACATCAACACTATTTTGTTGATGCAACAAGATGCATACAATTGTTTCTAGCAATGAATCATGGAAATTCAAAAACATCCAATTGGAAAAATCATTCTAAGATAAGAGGGTTACATTTTTGTGTCATTTTGTAGTTGCATCGTGTAATTGTATCTGAATTCTCCGAGAACATAATGCGTGATTTATGTAAATGATTGTGTATATATTTTGTATAAATGTTCATTCAGTATTATATGTACAAATTGATTTTGTTCTTACGATTGCAGTGTTTGTGGGGTAAATTTGATAAAATTGCTTCAAAATAGTGAATAAAAAGAAACAACAACAACAACATTTATTCAGTTATCTTTGTTATTTATTGCAACATTGTAGAAGTCGTATGATAATGATATAGCATTACACATCAATATGTAGTTAAATTGCATTAATCATCAATGTCCAGCCAAAACACATCCAAATCACAGTGCACCTCCCTTAGACAAGTCACTGGGCAAAATTGCATCGAATAATTTTTTCAAGACATATTTCATAGTATTACACATTATATTACTGGTTACGTTTATTTAATTATTTTAAATTTAGTTTTAATAAGTTACAAATACGTCTACTATATGTCGAAGCAATACATGTATAGGTTAATAAATATATATCACAATATTCAACCTCAGTTATAGAACAGTCCATTATAATCACAAATTATAAATAAAGTTAAATTATATAATATTTGCCATTTCATCATACATTCTATCCATCTATTTGGGTTCTTCATCAAATACACCTTAATACGTTCTTACACCTTCAACTCGTGTCTACTGTCTATAATACTATCAAGTATATTGAGTGGCGGCCTCTATATTATTATTAAGTGTACACGGATTTAACGGAAAATAAGTTATCTTATAGTACAAATCAAGGAAAAATAAATGTTATTGCACAAGACGTATTGAGTATAAACCTCTACACAACCTGCTAATATCATAAAAATTAACAACGTATTTACAGTATTTACAGAGTCAATTAAGATCTTTCAATATCTAGTCAATTTTCTCTATATTCATCCAAATACACTGAAACAGTGTGTAATTCAATTACAGAACAACTGTTATGTGTAAATGGAACAAGTCTTATTGTCAGTGTTGTACTACTTAGTCACATTTTTCTAGTTAATATATTGTTCACAATCACAACTACGAAAGGGAAGAAGTCTACAGCAGTCACACTACCAGTATGTGAACGTCCATAACAACTTTGCACCTGTTTTGTACAATTCAATGAATGTTATGTTTTAGTTCACATCTGTAATGACACTTTCACATCTGTCTAGTGCAAGTTTACACATGTTTTGTACACGTTCTCAGTTTTCTTTGTCACATTTAGAAGTCAGTTGCTCCTGGTTCAGCTGTTTGAGTGATGTTGATTGAAGCACTTGATTGAACACTATCATCATTTGCTGGTTGGGCACTGCCGTTTGAAACTGCTTTTGCAGAGAATTGGACTGGCTGGGGAGCTGAAATGAACAAAGATAATACTATATTTATCACATGCTTGTTAACTCAATATGCACATATTGTAGCCTATACTTTTGTATCATTTGAGGTTTGAATTTTCGCCCAAGTTTCAATCCATTTTGCTGATCAATTTTTGATTGTTCTCCCATTCATTATGATGATCAGAATATCTACCTGGCGTTGGTGTATCTTGGCTGCCAGTCATGATCTGCAATCTGTGGAAGGATTTACTTGGGATGCTACCTCCAGTGTATCTGACTTCCCTTGGTTGTCCATCCCCTTCTACTCCCCCTTGATCTTCGTACTCCTCGTTCATATTCCTCCCTCGCATTGCTGGGGCTGTGAGAATAGACCTCGGCATTATTGAATTGTTGCATTTAATATTGTACAAATAGATTTACAAGTGTATGTTGTCAGTTTAAGATATCTAGTCTACTTTCTACGTATCAAAATATCATCTTGGATTTGTGATTATTGTTGTGAATGTTATCTAGTGATTTAAACTATATACATTCATTGCACAATTACATACTAAGTAAAATCAATTAATTCTAAAAAGCGTTTGTGAATATTATGTACTTCTGGGATGACTAAAAAATATACTCATCCCAGATTGATATTAAATTATAAGCAAAATAAGAAGTATGTGAGATGCATACTGAATATAATACTACATTCACTCATACCACTATCACACCTTCACCATAAAACAACAATAGCATAATTACAAAAGCGTGCCCATTAAAAAGAATTATTATCTTAAGAACCTACAATAGAAGAAGAAAATGGTAGATTAGCAAGTACATAGTTACATATACAAGCCTACAAATAGGAAATGAATACATATAGGTATAGAGCTGAGCCTAGACTAGATGTTTGCAATTCAAGATATGGTAGACAAGTTAATTCAAAATATAAGATTAACAAGAAGGAATGGAGTTGCATTTATTAAGTAAAGCAAGGAATGTGAAGGTGAGAACATGAGGTAATGAAAGACAATGAATGAAATCCCGCTTGTTGATTTAAGTAGACGCGGAGTGAGAATAAGAGTGAGAATGTGAGGTTGTACCCTTTTAATATGTTGTGCACTATGTGGTCTTCGTGTATTAGTTATCCCAAGGACAGCATTATATTAGAGTGGTAAACTCATGTGTCATGTTCTAGTTGTTAAAAGCGGAAGCACTTATATTACTAGCTGTAAATTTTATGATATGGAACTAGTAACACAGACCTCGACCCCTCAAAGTCAATCTGGACTGAACCAAAACTGGACTCGAGTCAACATTTGTTTCGTTATCTTGACGCTTGACAACTGATATCTGATCCTGTTGCTCACGTTCCTCTCTCAGTCTCTCCTCTTGAGAATATTCTGCTTGGCGCATAGCGTCCAACTTACTCGCTAGTTTAGAGTTCAGATTTATAGCCATTGGGCTCATCTCACTGAATGGCTCTGGCTCAGTGTCAATTTGCCTGTTCACCTTCCTCATGGTTCCTAGCTTTGCACGAGCAATGTCGACCTCTGTTGGTTCGACCAGGTCTTTACCTTTATCATGTATTTCTCTATCTTCTGCAGATGTCAGGCGATTTCTCATTTTGTAAAAGTCAATTTCACTTCCACTTTCAAGTCTGCTATCTACTCTAGCATCGCTCCCAACGCTACCGTATGTATCAGAATCATCACAACTTGACCTTCTTGAACCCAGCCTTTTTCTAGCTTTTGATATCTCAGTTTCGCTTTCCCTACTGTATTGTTTTCCAAGCCGTGATTCTCCAGATGAATTGGGTAATAATTTCAACTCAGGTAAAGCAAATGTTTCTTCACTGTCATTTTCATTATAGTTTTCACCCATGACGTTGTCATCTGTGTCTACATCTCCAGTGTATATGTCATCACCATGATTGATTTTCTCTTTACTCTTCATACCATCTTCTGTAACATGCACAATTCAATCATTTCTGATTCCTTAATCAACATTAACAGTAAGACTATCAGAAAGAAGCTACTGTTTTGTATAAGGGGTAAATAGTGGGTGGTGTGTATGCATATGCATTTCCATGTGAAATTCTTAAATATGGGGAGATAACTCCAAACGACGGTAAAACTTCTGAACCAAGTGTTGGTTTATATAAAAGAACATTCCATTTTACACTCAATATAACAATGTGACAAGAATATCAAATAGGTCCTAGTCAAAATCACTCGGAAATTCAAGGTTGGGTAAAGACCAGAAGTATTCAAAAAGGCCAACGTTGTACCAACACTCCAAACCACAAGGCCTACCTTTTACTTTAAGCAGAGCTTCGTCTGCAGAATTTTGCATTTCATCATTACCAACTCGTTCATTCCCTGACTGGTATGCCTGGGTACTCTGAGCACCATTCGATGCTTCTGAGGTTCCGTTTTGTATTTTTGTATCTTTGGGTTCATACTTGACAGAATGTCTACTGCCGAGTCTGGATCGAGCTCTCTTAAGCTCTGCTGAAGGATCGTTCTCAGGTGATAGTGTAGATCTTATTTTCCTAGCCGCTATAGAAATATTAAAGACTGTTAATATGACATAGCATGCGTTGAGTATAAATAATAATATTGAATAAAATATAATAAGCTGTGATATGTCAGTATGTATGTGTATATTAATTGCAAATTATCGGTTCATTTTAATCTTTTTGTGCTCCAAAATAAATGTATTTCAGATTACACAGTCCAGAATGAAGCAATTTTGCAATCACATTCCAACACATCTGTGAAATACACTTTTAAGCAAAAGGACAAAACAAAACATAATGAAACATGAATAAGGAAATGCATGAAGATGATTAATAGTGATCATGCAAGCAACATTATTCTGATTTTAGGGCAGCACAACATGTTGATAATATATACACATTATGGAAGGGTATGACAAACCAAAGTGACCTATGCATTAAGAATAAATGATATATCTACCTAAATGTAGTATCTCTGATGCACATACAAGTACATTACAATCATGCAATATGAACATGTTCAATCATGTCTTAACTGGTAACATATAAAGAGTAGGAGCTAAATAGTTGGAATTTTGTGAGAGTATAATTTGGATTCAAGAGGTCACATCCAATCTCAGGTGTCAGTCACATAAAAAGCAGACCTGATTTCAGATTAGGTTTTTCATATTCTCCCAAGTAAGATCGCTTTCCTGTGTCACCTTTAACATATGTAAGGTTCTCTTGGCGAGATCTTTCCTCCTCCAACCTCCATTTTTGTAAACTCTCATCGTCCTTGTATTTGCTCACTTTATTGGCAAGTTTTGGATTCAGTTGGCCTACATAGAGAAGTATTACAATATATATTTTAAGGGTAATCATATCAACATGTATTAGTATGACAGCGTAATGAGTAAAGCTAAATTATGCAGTTTGCCTTCAGATTGACCAAACTAGCATTGTATATTCGAAATTTAATGGCTCTGGTTCTGATTTTGATAATACATAATGTAATAGGGAGTTCAAGCTTGCAATGTTTTTCGCAACCTAAATGTGAATGGGAAATATCTGAAGAATGCATTAGTATGGGCATGGTAATACGTATAGGTTGGCGTTTTAATTATATAAGCTAGCTTAAACTCCCTATTGTATGAAGTACGTTGACTTGTAGCTATTTCAAAATGTTGATATTGTTCTTCAAGAACACATTGGAAAAATATTGCATACATGGTGATATTTGAGCATATGATATATTTACGCACCAGAGAGATCAAGTCTATGGGGTTCTGATGGCGGAACATATGAAGATTTCTTTATGTTATCATCTGTCCATTTGGCAGCTTTCGTTTCTTCATCTTCCTCTTCGTCCTCATAAGGGGGAGTTGCAGCCCTGCAATCTGGGAGGCATGAACATGTACCCCAAATTTAAAACCAATGAACTCATATAGATGGCAACTAGACTTGAGTGGCTCTATTTCTTTTTTGTGGCTCTACTTATAATGTTCAAGTGGGTTCTATTTATAACTAATGGTATATTTTGTGAAATGATGTCTCTAGATGAGGACAGATATGCTATGATAATATGATTTTCATCTATTATTTGCGTGTAAAAATCACAATTACAAACCATCACACGTGTGTAGTAGTCTGGCTAGGCATTAGATGTACAGTATCAAACTATTATTTTGTTAGTTTTGAAAGTTGTAGTATTATTTGTTTTATATACTATACATAAGCTGTCAGTGCACCCCAGAACACAATTACTGAAAAAGATGGTGAAAAGTAACAAAAAATAATGCACAAATAAGGGAAGCACTCAAATCAGATTATGACAACAATACATATATAACATGTATAATGCAATAAAAAGAAATATCTCATACATGTACGAGAATATATATCACAATCATTGTAGACAATCCCTATTCACACTGCATGGTTACCTCAAATTCTATCTAATCAAATCTGTAAGAAATATAGTAAAGAACATGCCATCCATCATTCACACAGTCACATCATACAAAGGACTAAAAATAAAAATAAATAAAAATTTAGATCATTAATCGCCCCATTACTTTTTCACGGATGTTAGAGATTACAGTACTGAGTATGTGGACTTAACCTAACATACATTTCGCTGCTATATTTGGAATATTCCTGTATATTTCGCCAAAATGTTTGGAACACTTCAAAATATTCTGACTTTATATCAATATTGTATATTCATGTGACGATTAATGATGACATGATGCATGTACTACTGTAAGGCACACATTGGTTACCTGGCAGGTAGTCATCTTCACTACCCGTCACTTTCTGTAGGAATTTAAAAGCTTTAGAGGGGTTATTTCTCCCCTTGTAGCGGATAGATGTTTCATCATATCTGCCTATTCCCACACCATCATCCTCATCAGTCCTATCTGAAACGACAGTTGGTTTTGCTGTAGTGGGTACGCTTAATGTATTCCCTCCAGTGGCTTGCATAAGCATATGGAACGATTTAGATGGAATATTCCGACCAGTATATCTTATAGAGGTTTGATCGTATTTCCCGACCGGGTAAACCTCTGGTTCATCTGCAATAAAAAACTTTTGTGATAGTTCCAACCGTTCAGCATTCTAACACACACAAAAAGTTAGAATTAGTGAGTCAGCAAAGACAGCGTGGAAAGACAGAAAATGCATAAAGCTGAGCAGATAGATCAGTCAATTCATGATATTATACAAGCTGGATGCATTTTGTGATTTACAGCTGATCATCACACACGTAATCTTAAACCAAAGATACAAAACATGTTTCATATCTTTGAAATGTAAAGCTCCAAAGTACCAAGGTCAAGTTGCTTGTAAGACATTAAGAATAAAAGCTTTGGAGGGTTATTGATGACTTCGCTCGCTAGGAAGACCAGAGGGTTACAAAGGAGGGTTAAAAGATATCTGCACACATTCAAGAATAAGGTTAGGCTGCACTGACAGATACTTTAGACCATTTTTAGGTGATATTGAAATGACCTCATTATTGTAGATTAGATCATGCCTTAATTGCCAACTACACCTAGTAATGCATTTTCTACCACTATGTGTTACCTTCTGTAGGTACAGATTTCTTTCTAGGTTGGGGTGGGGGTATGTCATCAGTGCTTCCAGTCATTCTTTGTAGCATTGCAAAAGCCTTTGAAGGTATATTTGATGCTGTGGCAGTGTTGCCATGGAGACCACTAAACGTCATTTCATCATTTGATTGTCTCATCTGTTCCTGTTCTATTTGTCGTTGTCTCTGCTTCACCTCTACATTGAGAAAGAGAGCAAATCATCAGACTTTAAGCTTTAATAAGAACCTGTTATTATATTATATTAATATGATGCATGATAATTATGTGGAATGACGGCAGGGCTTCGGACGTACACAGGGAGTAGGTGAATTGGTATAATTGATTTGGTGCTTGGATAAATATTTGATTTTAAAATGGAATATACTTACGAGTTGTAGTCAAAGCCATCCAGAAGCAAAGCAAAACACAAACCAAAATATCATTTAAAATCGATTATTGTTAGGAATCAACATACAAGGTGTTAAATACACGTCTGTTTTTCATTTGAAGCAATAATATTCTAACATGTTGCAAGTTTTCGTTAACAAATAAAATCATAAACTTCAAAATAAAATATCCATGCTTACCATAAGGATCTACAAAGTTGCCTCGCTCAGGATAATATTCATGTTCATGGTGTTTACGCTGCTGTTGCTTTAACTCTGCAATGCACACAAACACATAGTCATGCATGGATTTTGAAAATGTGAGTATATGTTTACCTGTCCATACATTTCGTAGCTTCTCCGACTGTCAAACAACTGTGCTGTTTAATTCTTAAAATATCAATATTGATTGTTTAACATGCATATAACCGTTTTTGGTTGGCTTAGTTTGGATTTTCCATCATTGTGCTGGCTTTTGATATACTAGAACTTTAAAGTTTTATAAAAGGATTACCATATGGATCGACAAAATCACTTCTGTCTGGTATGTCATCTTGTTCTGTATTGCGTCTGTTTCGTCTCCTACTTACTTCTGTAATGGACAGACATGCACAGCAATAAGCTCAGCCAAATAAATGTTAATCTATAATAATACATTATTCGTCACAGAGCAAGCAAATCCAGATGAGCGGTTAATGTGTTTCTTTGTTTAAAACTGTAGTTTAGCAACAGCATATTTGCAACCACTGTACATGAAGTTTATATAAGGTATGGACTTCTTGCTATAATATACTTTAATTGTCTAAAATGTTTTTATTAAATATAGTGTATTTAGTATATACAATTATTGCAGCAGATTAGTGAGCGCTATTTATTATTTGATAAATATAATTGACAAATGCACCTTTTGCTTCTTAGAAGAGGAGGTAATCCCCAGAGTTTTAGCGATCACAGAGTAGTACCTTCGTTTGCACAAATTCTCACTGGTTAATTTTTGACTACATGTATAACACGTCGTTGTGATGTTTTAATCGATGTACGTATATTCCTTACATCTTTATTTATCTTGATGTGAAATAACATTACAAGCTACGATATTGGTTAACACGCCAGAAATTAACATAATATTGTTTGAATTAGAAAATTTTGAATCTGTCATTTTTGTTTGTCGATTTGGACCAATCAAGACGGTGGGTCATCTTAATAGAGATTTACATTATAGACGTACGTCATCTTTGAACCCTGGGGTTTCTCCCCCTTGCTTTTAAGAGTTATCACAACAAATATGTAGGTATCTTGATAGTTAATAAGCATTTAAGACACATTTTTAACGTAGATGAATGGACTCACCATAGGGATCTACAAAGTCGCTTCTGTCTGGCACATCATCATTAGAGTATCTGTCTTGTCTCTTTTGTTGTTTAAGTTCTGGAGTAAGTATATGTAATATATATGAATAATCAGGACAATTTCAACATCAATCTGTAACCCATAGGAATAATTACTGATTATATTGGTCTACATAAATTAACCTCCAGCTCAAATAACAAATGTTTACATGAAAAAATACTAAGTCAGTGAGCCATGTACCAACAATACAAATTATACCAGTCAACTTTGATTGTTCGTCTGTTTCTTTATTTGTATGAAGTGGTATTCTGGTATTTATTAGTATTACCTGAGACTAACATAAAATTATGTTCATGGACACACTAACCTAATGGATCCACAAAGTTATCTCTGTTTGGATAATCATCTACGAAATTTCTCTGAGGTTCAGGTGCCTCTCCGCCTTCGTGTATAAATTTATATGTGGCAGACTGGGTGTAATCTGGGTCCTTGGGTTTCTGGATGCTGAAATGAAATTATTTATTCGAGTATGCCAGAACAAACAAATGATAAAATATAGGGATAAATATAAAGCAGATACGAGGCGTTAATACCTATAGACTACTAATCTATAAATACAAGCATGAAAGATAACTAAACTAGATACTGTATGAAACTAGAAGTATAACATATAAAAAAGTTCTAAAAAATGCTTTGAAAATCTAAAAAAATAACCTAGCAGCTATATTGCAACTGGCCATTGGATGTCACCAATGTAAAAATCAAACGTAGCATAATTAACTATATTGCAATAGCCATTTGACGCTACCAAGTCGTCGTGTAACTTACCCCCCAACTGTAACAGCCCCACCAGTTTGTGCCTCAAAAGTTTCAGCTATATTCGCCCCAGAATATGCATCTATGGGGGAATTATATTGAGCAAGGACGGTAGTGCCTTGTTCAGGTCCAGAATGAGTAGACCGAGGCATTTCTGCCGGTGGTTTCGTCCTTCCAGCCAACATCTGTGGTGAATTCATATACTTAGGCATAGCTAACGCTCTATAAAGCAATGCAAACGTACTGCATGTGTATATGCAAGGTTGATATAAACATAAAAGCACTACTTAAAGCACAAAGTGTAAAAGGGTGATGACACAGGTGACACAAATATTTATGCTGCATAATTTATTTTCTTTTAAGTGGATCTGTTTTCAATTCCTATCACATATACACTATCAACAAACTGGGTGACAAAACACTCAAGTAGCTATCTTATTTATTGGCAAATTGATATTAACGAGTGTAATGTGATTTGCAATGACCTAAACAAAAATTTACCATAAATCATATCAGCCATTTTTACAGACCTCCTCAAGCAGTATAATACAGAAGATTATGTTAAGACTAACTGCAATATACTTTTTCTAGAAAGAATTTTGAATATTTATTTCCAGGAACTGGTAAGGTAATAAATGCTCCTAGATGATTGATAGTTGTTCAACCTACATGCATTTCATATACTGACTGTTGAAACCGAAAACTTAACTGTTGAGCTCAAATTATCTAATGGTGTAATCATCATTCGAGAACTGCACAAACAACATGTGATCTCACAAGTTACATCAAAGCTATGTGATTGTGTATTTCCGAGCGATAAAGCAAATAACATCATGCTGCAACTTACTTTTTCTTCTGTATACTTTGTTGTTTCTCAGCTTGCCTTTGTTTTATTTCATCTGTCAATCCAGAAGTGTAACTAAATGGTTTCTTGTCCCCCGGTTTCATCATTTGTGTTGCTATATTATCGGGTATGTAAGAGAATGCTCCTGGGCCCGTCTGACTTGGGCTAGGGTTCTCCTTCTTTGTTGGAGTCACATCAGTCTGTGGTTGAAAGATTTCATTTCATTAAACAGGCAAGAAAATGATTATGTCAGTATCAGAATAGAACTAATAATTTAAAACTATTTTTACTAGTGTTTGTTCATTGGTATTCTAATTTTGGAATAGCAGGATGAGTAACGTTCATTTAAATGGAATTCTACTGATTTTTACTGCAAGATTGAAAACTTCAAGATCAGAATGTTTACAATGACTCATTCCAATGTCTCTTTCTTTACCTATATCTTTAAACTCTAGTCATAACAAATATTTGTAGAGGGAACATCCAATATAAAAAGGAGCATTCAAAAACAGCAAGATAGTAAGGATATACGTGTGTAATCTGACATAGCTAATTCAATAGAGGGTAAAGGAAAATATGCTTAAAGTAATATTCGTTTCAAAGGATATGATGAGAAAGTGTAAAGAACAAAGCGATAGATAGCGTAACCCAGTCAATAAAGTCTAGCTATACAAGATACATACTACATGGACACTACAGATAGAGAGATGGAAGATGGAGAGGAACTAATGCTTTAATACTTTACCTACCTACTCCAGTCTCATGCAAGGACTTTTTACTTAAAAAATAGATTCACTATTCCATTATTATTGCCATTATTGTGTCTACAAATTCCAATAGATGATGCAATTAAAACAAGCTACTCATGGAAGTTAATATTCAAATAATTCCAATAGAAAGCTAAAGTAACTCGTTTTCATCAAGTAAACCAATTTTAACAAGAAAAAATAAATGTTTAATTCTAGGTTCTTCATGCACTGATTGGCCTTGCCCTCTTACCTCCACAGGATCCCAGGTTTTTTGAGTCTTCACTGGAGCCCCGCCAGATGGCGGTGGTGGTGGAGGTGGTGGGGGTGGGGGAGCGGCAGTGGGAGAAGGAGAGACACAGGAGGGAGTGCTGGCAGGTGTAGAGAAGCCAGAGCTACTAAAAGAAGCAGGGTCAGACATCACATTGTTAGACTGGGAAGATACCCCACTTGAGCTAGGAGAGCCAAGACCAGATGGTGTGTAAGCATAGCCCTCACTAGGTTGAGAAGAGGCAGAATTATAAGGTGTGAACTGTCCTTGGGGTGTATTCCCATAAGGACTCCATACCTCTCTTGATCCTTGTTGTGGTGCTGGTTCTTGCTGTTGCTGTTGCGTATCAGTATCCGGGTGATATGATGGGTTTCTCTGAAGCCTTGGTATGGTTGTGTTGCCGTCAGTGTATTGGGGTTGGGGAATCTTGTTCGGGTAGCTCGGACTAGAAGGATTATATGCTGGGCTAGTTGGCTGGTAACTAGGCGTAGGAGTTTGTTAGCTTTGTGTTGGGTTGTAACTTGGTTGAGATGGCTGGTAGGTTGGTGTGGTAGGTTGATAAGTAGGGGTGGTTGGTTGATATTGCTGAGGGGTACCAGTTGGGTAATCGGGGCTGGACATTTGGTTAGTAGGGGTATGAGGTTGATATGCATATGGAGTCGGGGACTGTGACTCATATCCTCCACTAGGAGAAAATGGTTTGGGGCTAGTTGCCTGGTAGGGATTTACAGGTTTGTATGCATGTGCACCTGGTGATGTAGGATAATGTGGTTGTTGTTGCTGTTGTGAACTTGGAGAATACTCATAAGAGTTATGTTGATCACCATGACTCTGGTATGAACTGTTTGGTGAATATGCATAACTTTGCTGTTCATTTTGAGATTGTGAATACGGTGAAGATCCTGTAGATCCATAAGAGTTTGGACTTGTGTATTGCATATTGGAATCCTGTTGGTTATATCCAGGTTCTCCTATATTCAATCTATTCATATCCCGGGTGTAAGAATCGTTCTGGGATTGTGGAGTATAACTTTGTTGTTGTTGAGGACTATAATTGTAAGATTGTGGACTGGCTTGGGGTGACAGTTGACTTGAAGGAGCTTTCCTGGAACAAATACATGTTTTAGTTGGTGCTTATGCTACTAATGCCTCAGTCACATTATATCTATGACAATCGTACAGCGGCCGTAGCTTCCCAAAATCGAGAGAAATATGCAGCATAAAATATAGTGATGAGAGCACTGTATTTTATATATGTATGCTGATGTCGACTTCTCTATCGATTTTGTGAATCCATGGCAGCCGTAGGAAATGACTGAGGGTTTAGTTATGGTTTATAAGCTTATGATTCAAAGAGGTTTGCGTTTTTTCGAATGTTACCCTTCTCACTTTAATGGTCTAGTCTAGAAAACATAGCACCGACTAGCCTACGTGACTGGCAGCGGATGAGATATATTCTCCAGTACATCATTGTAGAACTAACATAAGATTTAACATCTGTTTAAGCATTCCATCACGAGTTTACGCTGGTAACTTCAAGTTGCTTTCAGTAGTGAACTATACAATCAATGGTTTCCATAAACTAGTAAATTCTGGTTCCAGCTACAATATAAATTGCCTCATTCCACTGTTCCAGTCTTAAATAAGATAAAGCAGAACGATGTTTAACCACTGAGAGAATCTGACATTCTGATGTACAAAGAGTTTGGGACTTTAGAGGACATATATGGAAGTGTCCTTACTTTACAGACAGTTGTAGCATGTTCCCAGAATTCTTGATGACTTCCATAGACTGTGCATGTGTAAGGTTTGTGGTCTCGGTGTCACCTATCTTAAATATGACATCTCCCTGGTGTAAACCTGTGGCTGCTATACTTCCAGGGGTTACCTGAAATAAACAAAGTCAGTAATACTTGGTTATAATATGTCAATTTTAATTTGAAACAACTTTTCGTCATAAAGTATGAGAGCAAAAGAAGATACTCATTAATAACAGATTCACCATACAATATCAACCCTGAAAGTAATATCACAAAATAATTCAGAAATCTTATAACAATCCATAAGAAATAATTATGTCAAATACATGAACAATTCCCTAATCCCTACCTTATCAGTTAACGGTTTAAACGGATGGATTGATCATAATGACGATTTCTTGGATGTTATTTCCAGACACCCACCTCATTAGGATTCAAGTTTCCTCCTTGGATAAGGTCATTTTACCAATGCCATTTCCTAATCTATATATATTCTTTAACAGTGGCATTCATAGCACATATAAAGCATACATGTATTGTACATACTTGCAAATATTCCACGTGATTATATCAATCGGATTATTGTGGTATTTATAAGTCATTTTGAGATCATTACTCGTGTTCCTACCAGCTGTATAACTATACCAAAATGAGTTATACCACAGTGATACTTGTTTTGTTTAATCACAAGGTGAAGTGTATTTCTTCGTTTGAAAAACTTACCTTTATTACGTCTGTTGAGTGACCTGGTACAGTGCTTTGTCTCTAATATAATTTACTATTTTAAAACAAATACAATCGTTAGGACTTTAAGCTGTTGACTTGTTTATTTTTGTTAAGGATATCACTTCGAACATTCTATTGATAACTATTGTTTGGCTACATGAGCTATATATTGATAAGTACAATTGATAAGTAAATGTTATGTTAACCTTGATACAAAGCTTGCAGCAAGCCTCTAAAGTTTTCAAACTAATCGACTCTGCAATTAATAATTGTCGATGTATTTTGAAATTTTGCTCAGCAGTTTACATTTATGATATATGTCAATAAAAATCATATGATGTTAAATGGCTAGACACCAATACCAAAACATTTATAATACACTTATATTACTGGGAACAGGAGTCCATGTTATAACACATTCTAAATTAAACTTTAAGAAAAACGTCAAAAGCAATGAAATCAGTTAAAAGCCTCTACTTAAGAAATAGTTATATTCCTATACTTGTACAAAAGTCACTGTATACCTTTTTATATGGTGTATTTTCCCTCTGAAGTATGTATATGGAAAGGTTAGGGTTGTCTGACCGTCCGCTGTCATAAAATACATAGTTCTCACGATAGAGTTTCTCACTACCAGCCATGTTATAAAGAGATCTATATATATATATTTTGGCAACTTATCCCTATATCAATGTTCCTTGACATGCAATAAACATGCTCTACCTCAAAATAATAAAATAGCTCAATGAACTCCTTCAACAACTGTATAATGTAACGATGGTAGTGTTACAGTTAATGAGATGACAAAGCGTTCGATGATTATTTTGTCACCGATATCAAACACTAATATGTGTCAAATATGTTATTGCAACAAATTGCCCATATGCCAAAGGCAAGAGACAACATTTTACATATGAACTCCATTATTAATAGTACTCATGTTATATTCACAATAGTTTCTGCTTGTGTACATTATTACGATGCTTAAGTTAACTTACCGTCAACGTTGTTCTATAACGAGACATGATTTACTTTCTTATTGTTTTTCTTTTAATCAGATTACCGTATCTATATTTTTATTGAAGACTTTCGTGCTCCTTATCATGTTGTACATTATGAGTAGACATAACAACGGTATTTAAATAGCCCATGCGTGGATGGCTTCACACACAACAATCCCAAATGATCAAACGTAAATGTTGTTTTAGATCCAATGTCACCTGGGGCCAGCAACGATAGGAATGCACGATCGGTACCCTAAGCATGTAAAACAAACTTTAATTTTGCATTAAAAACCACTAATATCTGAATTCGATCCAAAACATTATGCATTTTAGTATGAACAACGGTGTCACGGTATCTGTTTTGTTCTCAGCGGTGGACTATTGGATTACTTATTAGACCATCATTAATCCCGACAATATGATGTTTGTGTTGATAAGGTATTCATTGAGAAAGTTGTCATACCAAATGCCAAATAAACTATAGGTGATATATGTGATGAAAAGTTAAAAATACAAAATGAAAAAAAACAGTAAAGAAAGTCAAGGGAGGGAGAAGCTGTAGAGATGGAGCACAAATCATTGCACTTTAAACTTAATTGCCAGTTAATCTGCAAACTGATTATCCAACAAAGCAAATAAGGAAGAATTTATTAAGAGTCGTCCAATGATGAAAAATAAGTATACAATAAGAATACATACGGACTGCCGCAACAAGGTTCAGTTATATTACCTTGAATGATTTGGCATCTTTACAGATTATATTGTTTTATATAGAACTGGCAAACGTTCAGCGTCTAATCCAATGCGAGACAGGCAAGTCCAAAATACTCTTGATGATACATCTGGTACGTCATTTACTATATGTTAAAGTCTATATACAGTATATATTTTTCCAATTGTAATGTGAAATGGGATCCTTCATCTTTTGTCATTTATATTATGATGGTATGTATGATGCTTTTGCAAAGTTTAACGTGAAAATTATCACTACGTGGCCCACCCAACGGACATTTTTAAAGGTGTTGTCTTTATGATTCCTTCAATGTATATACGTTATTACTTCCATAGCACATAATATAGCCCTGAGAACAATACATTATAAACCTGGGGACTATTTGAGCTAAAATATGACGATTTAACCCTCAATAAGATCCATCAAAAGCATTTCAAAGCAAAGGTTTCAAGCTCAGGACCAAAAAAACATTTATAAGCCGTTTTGGAGGTTATGTAGAAGGGCATACAGTATTCCACATTTCCATTCTCCATCTGCAAAAATAATGTTTGTTTTCTGTTTTCAGAAGTGATCACACATTGAAAACATTTTGTCTATTAGAGGGTTACATCTACAACAGGCTGTGAGACCAGAGATTTTGAACCGTGTTGAAGTACATCCCTGGACCGATGAATGAAATTCTGCTGTGATATGCATGGCTGATTACAACGTATATTTGGTTTCCCAGAAATGAACGTATTTGAGGAAAGTTATATAGGGTAGCGGCCTGCGATATGTTTTTACTTTTAAAAGGTCTATCGACTATTTCTTTCTTTCGTGTTAATCTAGTATGCAATTATCATTTTAATCAGAAGAACATCCCGAATAGAATATATGCCAAGACAGCAATAGAAGTATGGGGTACGCAATTTGAAAGAGGGCTAGAATGCCACACATTATGCCCGTGGTTTTCACAAATCCATGCCACCACACACATAAGATTGGCATAGATGAACCAAGATTCTGGTTATGATATAACCCCTCTTTATTTTTGATTTTCTATTTCTAGGTATTAGTATACCAGGATAGACAACTTCACAAACAAACTGTGTATGCGATGATTTCTGATTGCTTAACCTCTTTCCATCAACGGAGGTATGTTAAACCCAGAAGCAACGATGTTCATATATTTGTTCCTGAATTATAATTGGACAGATATGGTCATGTGGTTCAAACGGAATCTGTAATGGCCCTGGTTCATCAACATAGATTCTCAAAACTGACTAACCAGGAGATAAGGTTCCAGTAATACCCACTAATTAGTAGAGAATTAGATTAATGAAACGAAGTTTAACTTTTGGGTCTGAACTGGTAATTTACATCAATAACACAAAACCAGGCAACCAACTAACAACTTTGGCCATGGCTATTCCAACCCTCTGCCTACTACTCGTTACTAGTTTATCTACGTTATTATGACTATCTCAGACACGATATCCTCGTCGTTCCTAAATAAGCATGATTCTACGTAGTTGTTCTTTGTTGTAACTGAAATTCGATGATTTTATAGAAAACTATGGTTGACCACATAGTAAACAAAATTCAGACCACAAATGAAAGGAAAATATGCATTTCCTAGAGGGCATTAGCACAGGCACAAAAGAGTGGGTTAAGAGTTGACTATTGTACTTTATTCACAACACACGGGCGTCCAGGTAAACAAAGAATAAGAACATCATCGTTTTTGTTTCTCATCACGCGTTTATTTGTGGGGGGGGGGATGTATCAGACTGCACTATCATCTGCCTACATATTGATATTCATTTCATATTTCAATTTTAACAAAAGACCACTACTTTTACAGCCAAGATTGTATCCGTATCACAACTGTACTCAGAAAATAGGATGTTACGACTAGCTTCTTGGCTTCAGAGTTGGGATATCATTATCTAAAGAAGGTGGACCAACTGATTAAAAAATATAATTGGTTGATGTGTTCTGTCAGAACTTGTAAATGAAATATGCCATATTGTAACCATGTTAGATCCATTTCTGTTTTCACAATCTTTTCTCTCCAGAGAGCAAAAGTGGCAACATCTGAAACAGAATACGGCCCATATTCCGTACACCATAGTTCAGTTCATCCTAGTTAACATTCAGCAAAAATCAGTTTCATTTGCAGTAATCAGAATTGAAGACAGTGGCACTAAGAAAAAAATGCAAGTAAAGTTCCCAAATGAGTACTTTTAGATTGGAAGTACGACATGGTTTCCAAGTATTGGATGACTGACTTAAAACAGCTGATACTATGATACTCTAAAACGCAGATTCTAGAGATCGTGAATGGGATTCCTCTAGGCTTAGAAACACGCCAAAGATGTTCGAAATATGATCCATTTTGAGTATGACTGAGCGATAGGATAACACAACACCCACTGAGGTCGTGTGTTGTGTGTCAAAGGTCCCAACTAATCATCCGACATAAATAAACCAATAAAACAAGCGTTGCAGGGGATGAAAATATGAAAAATAAAACACTTAGATGGGAGTATGTTACAACTTCTTGGAATGCTAACAGTATTAGCTAATTTTGCTGGCATTTCAATGACGTCATGGCATGGGAACTAGTTCTTCATAAATGTGTTAAATGTAGTAAAAGACAAGGGAAACACTTGTCACTTGGCATATCAATCAGCTTTTCACTGTTGTCTAGAAAAACACCCATGATCTTCACACCAAGGCCTAGTAGTGGTAGCATAAGAGTTACATTGAGGCTTCATATACCTGATAGGCTGCGGTGCATGATAGGAAAAGTAAAGCCGCATGAGTTCTAGCCCACATGTTCATAGCAGGCAAGATTCTCATCTACCTGTTCATTCAAAGCATCAGATAAACTGTCCTTTTAAAACTCTTATGATATTAGGTATTCCAGAACGCATATATACATATTTAAAAGGTTATCGTGTAAGATAAAAACAGCAGAATAAGATTGATATGACAGGACTATCAACAATATTCAAGCCAAAGATCCGAAAGGAAGGGTCCAGATACAACGTCAACGGGAGATTTTTGCAAGGTCGGCCATCTGGTGAAATGTTGAGAAGATTATCCGTGAGATCCGGGAGACTAGAATTGTCTAAAAGAGGTGTATATATTATCCCTATGTAAGTAACATCGATGAAACTTACATAATGCCTAGGCCAAGCCAATGAACTGACCCGATTCGTGTAATGGACACGCGCACAAGAAAAATGTTCATATAATTAGTACAAGTACAATTATCAAAATGTAGAAAAACGCCATCACTGAAGGCCAGTTTACCTTACCGAACAATATATCTATCTCTTCTAAAGTGATGTGTCGAAAATGGGCCAAATTTTACCACGAATTTTGTATTCCTGAAATTCATGGTTAAAAATATTACCAAAGCCAATGTTAACAACTTATATTAAAATATGAGACAGAATTTACAACTGAAATACCGCTATACACTGTTCATTCAAAAGGTCTCGCCTCTGGTGTAAGAACACTGAATATTAAGTTCAAAACCCTAGAATATAAACAGTATTTGGTATGTGTGTACATGATGTATGAATGGATGCGTGAATCATGATTCCATCTTATCATTGCTTGTTGCTTGACTGTCATGGCCCAAAATTGTGAAGAAAAGAAATAATGTTGTACTGGTTCGAAGTCCATGAAAAGTGTGGCACTTTCCTACGATGACAGGTCATTTTTATAAAATAATCACGAAGGTACATCTCTCAATTATGAACTACTCTAGGACATCATTAAAAACGTCAGGACAGGGTGACATGTTGTCTCTGTATTCCAGTGAACATTCTGAAGATTCAGCCAGGGTGACCTTGACATACTCAAGATTCTCTGAAGCCAAAGAAATATCATAAAAATCGACGCCATCATTAGCACATAATCATGTCTGTTGGAACCTTAGTAAGGACTAGGAGTGAGCGTACTATCTTGAACAGAGATGATTATATAATTAGAACACAAAGGACAACTCTTGATCCTACAAAACAAAATATCCCCCAATACAGAAATTAACTTTAACAATAAATTATCTATTTCTAAATACCGAAAATCAGTGACAATGGCCAATAACCACGATGCCAAATCGTCATAGCGATGGGTTTAGGCTACAGGGGCGGATCCAGGAACCAACAAGGGGGGGGGGCAAATTTCAGGTCTGAGAAAAAAACTTCTGCGCTTGCGCTGAAAATGATTTTGGACGCCTAAAACTGAAAAGTGGGCCCAAATTTTGAAAATTTGAGGCCCATTTTCTTCAAAATTTGGCCTGAAATTAAAAAAAGGCCTTAGAAGGCCCATTTATGACCAGAAATGCCCACTTTTTGGGGCCCTGAGGCCTTTTTTGGCCCAAAAATTTTTTGAGCCCAACTAAGGGGGGGCGGATCCGCCACTGGGCTATAGGGAAGCACAGACTGTGAAGCACTACTGATCCCGGCTAACATCAGAACACTGACAACCCTGACATGACTGATCGTGTGTGATGATGCTGACGTGAAGAAATCTATCTAAATCCATCTGGTGGACAGAAATAAGTTACATCATATCATGTAAACCCCTCATGTATAACTACATGTAGCTAGCCAGATTATCTAAACTGCAGAACCGTACCTGTATAATTAGGAAAGACCATAAATAAAGTCAATTTCCTATTAATATCCACCTCGTCGTTCTTATTTTTATATCAAGACATTATTAAGATTGTTCATTTTAGGTTTTTTATTTCTTCCCAGTGTATATATAGTTCAAGAAGCTAGTTATAATTTATCATAATTATATATGATCATGGTATTAATATGATATGCTGACTTATCTACTGAATTTAATGTAAATAATCCACTTACCATCGGGAGTAGGATTACATAACTGAGGTAATACATGTACTTCATGTTGACTTACCAGTTCAATTTAAAGATAATTTATCCGAATGGTACACCAGTAAGATAAGCTTAAAATTTTCCTATGTACAGTGAACATACTGCATGCATGCTTTGAAAACATCAAGACGTATTTGTAAAATCCTCGTCTTTTGTGTACAAATCCTTAATACAACCAAACGTGTTTCAATGTACTTGTTAACGTCCCAATAATATAAACCATGTAAAGACCATAGAGAAAGTCCTACCTTGGCTTCCCCTTGCTTCGATGCCCAATTTCTGTACCAAATCAAATCCCTCAAAATAGGTAACCTTGTTAAGTTATTTAAGGAAAAAACAAAACGTATTATTGTATTTGTTCTAGGGAGAGAATCTATTGGCCAATACCTTGTGATTGGTGAACTGTTGTTAGAAATTCATCCTTATGGAATGCTGTAAGCTTTCTAGATAAAATGGCCTCTTTGACCTTTCTGAAATAGTACAGTAAAGGTGTGCTTACTTACCCGTTGTACTTGCAGCGCTTGGGCATACTCAGCCCCTCCCATAAGCCGGAATCCCCAGGGTACGTCATAGCTAGGGCGCTGTAACCAGATAGTCTCCATTCTATCCTAACGGGGTAACCTAGATCCCGTCTCGTCCTTTAATCTAGGAAATCACGTCCCGGGAATCACGTATACAGGGAAAAGCCAAACTGTCGGGGTTTCACGAGTTAAAACGCAGCAAACGGATCCAGTATCAGAGATCTATTAATAGTGTCTAGCCGCTGATGTTCGCACTGACACCATAGGAATGTAGCTAGCTGCCTAACTTGCTTGCTAGACCATTGCAAATCTCAACCGCAGCTCGTATGAGAATAAAAAGGTAGAAACCGCTAACTGGTTGCGATGGCAACGGGTTATCTTCATCAGAACCATTAATCAAGCGTTCATCTTTAATTCTTCATGCTCCAATGGCGATCCGTAGTTCGATTCTTTGGCCACGTCCTTGTGTGCCTCTATTGCTGGTTCGACTATCTGTGTTATAGAAATGTCATATAATCTAAACGACACGATTAAGTCTTACCGATACGATTGGATTAAAGGAATATTGTATCGAATTGACAAATGCGGGTTGACCGAAGTTAAACAAACTCGGACAACATAGTTTACCCATGGTATTTATTGTATCGTGTTGATAAAACAATATTATTTGAAATGTTATAGTTGGCAAACACTAGTGATATAATCATAAGTTGACCAAAAGTGATACTTTAGGCAATGAATTGCGATAACGACGTAAGTTATTTATAAGTACATTCATGATTCCATCAAAATCCCTTGAAAGACAAATGAGAAACCATCATATGTACATACATCGATCACTGTTTGTTTTTAATTCAGATTCGTGTAGTCTCGGCATGAAAAGTATGGAAAGAATTAACTAGGTAATGAAAAATGGGTGGAATAGACTCTTGAAAACAAAACGTTACTTGGCCTATCTTCATGATCTTAGGCAGAGATCACGCCGTATTTTCTTTGTAGGCAACCGAGGCCGATGGATCCATGGAAATGAAGTGTACGCAAGTTCATTACTATGGATTTGATAATCGCAAAATCTGTCAACGGCTTGAACAATCTTTCAAAAGTGAAATCAATCTTTCAATATGAAACATTAGTTTGTCAACTTCAGTGTTCATCCACCATGTATTCATTAGGGATTTTTTAGACAACATGTGTTGACATGCGTAAAGTGGCGTAACGATTTTGAAGCTCACATTTCGGCGAGCTAAATGTCATATATCGGTAAACCTGTTTTCTTTGCCCGAATCACGTAATACCGTTAATTTTACCATTTCCATGTTACCCATTTTATACTCAAGCTAGCCTACAAGGTTGAGCGTTTTTACCAGCTGGCCAATAAATGCCAGAATTTATGTAGAAAGTAATTATCGGTACTAGTAACCTATTTCTGGAGGTACATGCAAAGTTCGTATGTACGTATGTACGTTGTTTGCAATTCGCCACCTTTTGTTAAGAGCTGACATGAATCCAGCATAGGTGGGCCTACTGCATGTACTGAGATGGAAGATACTGTTTTGATATTAAACTAGCCAAAACAGAATCATTGCTGTCCTGTCCCGTAAACTAAGTGGTTGATGGTAAAAATGGCAAATTTCTAACATACATAGGCCTACACTTTATAGGACACCTACATGTATATATATTATTACATGTTTATGTTAAAAACTGTCTGCTGAAACGATAACAACACACATTTCAAAGATGGCGCAATAGCGAATCTTCCTTATTATTTGAGCTCACGTATTCCAGTGCCCTGGTCTCACCCTGATCTGTCTCTTGATTTCCAAATACAAAAGCATAATAAAATAATGGTCCAGCCAAACCACATTTCACACATTTTTTCAAATAAACGCAAAACGCATTAGTATGTGACACGTTCATCGGCTTGGATTCCAAAAAGAAAGTCATAAAAGACGGTTCACAATATACCATAACGAAACGTCTACGTGTACGTAGATGTATGATTCTGTTTTGAAACTAAAAGCAGATCAAGGTATAGCTTAGTAAGAACTCACTCAGAGTATACAAAACTGAGTAAATAAACACGACAAACTTGGCAGAATCACAAGAACGAAACATCCAGAACCAAGAAGAGATACATTTAAACTGAAACCAGGTAGATTTACAGTTAGCCTCGTTTTGGTGATAAGCAGACGATACTAAGATTTGTGAGCACTACGAGCTAACTTTGCCACCAACCAAATTATGGCGTAAGGACCTTTTAGTGAAAATGTCAGGGGGATTTTCTAAAATCCAGGTACATCTTTATCGGGATGGTTTGTCAACACCCTGGGGATTTCGTGTGAAAGGGGGCAAGGATCTTAACAGCGCTCTTCACGTAGAAAAGGTAAGTTAAGTATTTCAAATTTCAGAACTCTTTCATATAGGCACGATTATGTCTTAGCGAGGGGTAATTAATATCTAGGCAAGTAATAATTAAGGCAACAAGCATGTGCTCCAAATATAGATAGCCCAGATATACATGTACATCAAGACGTACCCATCCTCCACAGGTATAACGACCGGATACAAGTGAAGGTTAAGCTAATAGGAAGAATATTACAGGCCTCTGGATTAACATAACGCGCTAATCCCATCATGCAATCTCGGAACCTAACCCGCAATCATTCTTAGAGTTGTAACATCTGAAATATGACACCTAAATTAGTCGAGGTATTTACCTCGTAAACATAATAAAACAAGCATGTTTACATCTACAAAACTAAGTTCGTGAACTATTAAATACAGTATTTATTTACTCAAATGGTTTTTAAATTGGTTCCAGGAGATTCTGGCATGCAACACTAACACAGAATCACCTTATCAAAATGTATATTGGGTTTCCTCCCCCTCAAACGCAATAATCAGATTCAGAGATCACAAGTTCTGCAAAAACTGTAGTGGTAAATGAGATTTTAAACCATTTATAAATAAATCGTCTAATGGATATGTTGTACGATTTGCAATGGTAGGAATCATTATTGAATTCGTATGACAGGAAAAAATATAACAAAGAATACAAAATAAACTTTAAATTAAGCAGAAGTTAGTATAATTCTGCATTAGTTGTGGAAGATGAACGATACGAATTGGGATTAACATTGAGCTGGTAGTCCTATTGTAATTTACTTTGAATAAAATATTGTTTTTAAAAAGACAGTATTATGTATATTTATTTCCTCCGTCTTATTGGAGTTGTAAAGCAATTGGTACACTTTATAATTAATATTTACATTGTAATTAGACATTGTTAGATCACTATTTATATTTCATCATTTAAATGAGCATATTTATAAAATACATTTATACTGTAAAGTGTTACTGCACATTTTAATGAACATATCAACAGCGTCTCAGCTACGCTGAAATTCATTCTACTGCCCAGAACTCTCTGTAAGAGAATATCATCAAGGTTAAAAAGTATGACACTGGGTAAAACAAATAAAGCTAGTATAATATATATTATATCAAGCAGTATAATGTCAAGCTTTCCATATATTGCATCGTCTACATTGCCTAGTCAAGTTTTAAACACCAAGAGCAACGTAAAACAAGAAGCCGAGTGCTTTGGCATATTTACAAAACAGTTCAACACTTTGTACTCCACAAGTACCAAATCATGTAGGACTTTTAAATTAAATTAAAGAGTACCAAACATTTCAAATAAATTAAAACCGTCAAGAAGTCAATGTGACCCAGAATAAAAATGCAATTCAAATTAATTGATTGTTTTAACTATCAGCAAAGAATAATAAAATAGCTAGCATCAAAATATCTTAATTTACAGTTTTTACATCAGTCTCGGTGCTTCAAGTTGTTCCAGTAAAACGAGTCTTGCTATTACAAATACCCCAAAGAACGGAGGATATAAATTCTAAAAAACTAAAATCTATATTTAATATGCACATATAACATAATTCTGTTCTCACTCTAATTATAAAAATACACTTTTAATTAATTAATGATGTCCAATAAAAAACCTATATAATTAAATCCATGTAATAAAAATAAGCAGACATAATTTCAGGGGGAAAATATGATCTTATCATCATTTTACAAGGTACGCAGCTGCTAATGTCAAGGCAGATATACTTGATACTGTGTTCCCCCTTGAGTAGATAGCTAAAGGTTCAAATAATATAACACTGGATAAATAAATCTTGGAAATGGTGCTCTGATAATTACACAATGGGCAACCCCAGATTAACCAAAAAACAACACCTACAAACAGTATAAACCTACAGGCATGTGAGAAATCTACAAAACACAACTATGAAAACAAAAAAACTGCACATGCCTTATAGCCATATATTGCATAACAATGAAAATCAACTAAAATCATATTTTCAAAATTTATTGAAAAATAATAATTTTGCTCCACATTTCATATACCCAGTTTAATCCAAAGAGATTTCAAGATGAATGACTTAATCAAAATGATGGCTGTATAAATTAATGAAGCCAAACTAGATTAAATTACATGGGATGGAGGTATTTAGATACACGAGGGTAGCAAGACCATGAAGGTAGTAATAAACACAGCCAGATAGACCAAGAACTAGACAGATAAGACAATCAATCGATGTGTGAACAATTTCAAAACTAAACATTACTGTATCACTGGATCATAAGATAAGTATTCACTAACATGCAATTATACTCATCTACTTTGTACCCCCCTGGTCACCTTGACCAACACAACTGGTGAAGTGATTAGGGAGTCCATGGTCGCAATCACAATACTAATACTAGTACTCATCTTACAAACTAAGTCCCTCTCTGTGTAAGAGACAGACATACCTGTTACCCATATAGAAAAAATCCCCAAATCCAAATGATTTCAAGGTAGAGTTGACCCCATAACTCATATTATTGAAAGTATGTTTGCATTAAATAAATGATACTGATGTACCACTACTGAGTATTATTTCATCTTTACATCGCCATAGTAACAAGATATATGTTGAAGATGTTTGAAGTGAAAGATGTATAAAGTCTTGTGATAGACAACTCCATGAGTGGCAAGGTAGGAGTTTAGATGGTACACTGCATACCCTAAAGCATGAAGGCTAGTCATAGTTGTTACACTCAAGATAAGGTATTTCTATAGTTTGATGTAGTCAAATCAATAACAATATAGGTATGAAAATAACCAATGGGCAAAAGGAAATATGACAACATAAAGCAGATAAGGGATAGCTTATGCAACATGGCAATCCTTGTAAAGAACAAACCACAAAAGGACAGATCTGAAAGTGACAAGGCTGGGCCCCTTTTTGAAAATATAAGAAAATGGGGAATTTTAGTTTTATTGAGAAATGCCTCTAATACATCCCCCCTACCCCTACCCCTATCCCTCCCATAAGATCTGTCAGTGATAACTATTATGTTAGATACAAAATTTAAGGTCAATCTTTGCACATATGTTGCAGAAATGTTCAGGTGTTCAGAAAGGTTCACTAAGAATGAGAGGGGTTTAAATTGACATTAGGCATTGACTATAAAGGAAAGGAGTAAAGAAAATACACCCAGCCCTCCTCAAATTTTGCTGGTTTACAGAGAGTATCTCACCACCCACTCTGATTTAAAACATGAACCACACCATCCTAATTCTGTTAAACACTACTTCCACACAGTCTACAAAATGATTGAAGACATTTACAATAAACCTGTCATACTTCCACCTAAAGATAGGGAAAAAGTGAAGTTTTATGCCTGCCATTTTACTAAATGTACCATCAACAAAGCCCTTATGACCTAGATAAGATAAAAGAATCAGTGTTTACTGGCTTCCTACACAGATAGACACACTGTAAGAGGCACTGGGTGAGTCTGCAGAAAAGGTTCATCAGATTTAATTGTATAACACAGCTGAGATTAAAATGTATTGAAAAAAGCAAGTACATACAGTTAATTATTTTCAGGCTGGATTATCAAGATTGAGTCTACTTAAAACATTTTCAAACATTGCTTTTTGTAACAGACCAAGTGTTGATACAATATATGATCCAAACCTGAAGACCTTTTCGCTTGAACAAATATTTGGAGCATTTGGTTACTTCAACCTGCGAGTTATTGAGAAAAAAGGCCTGTGCCATTTTCCCTAGATTTTAGATTTTTTTGCAAAACAGAAATATTATTTTGTTAAGGTTTAAATCATATACTGTTCAAATTCTCTATCATTGTTAAATTATATACAGTAAAACCTGTATATATTGAACTTTTTTTTGAAGTTCAATGTTAGTAGATGTTCAATACAGAGAGAGAGAGAGTAATTTATATAGAAGTCAGTAGTGTATGTGTGAAGAAAGGGTGTCCACTTTCCACTAGAGACAGCTGTTCACGAGAAAGAGATCTTCACTAAGACAGGTTTCTCTGTATCTGCTTTAATTTCCAGATTATTGATTGACATAGATATTATTAAAACTTTTGACAATACAAGTTTTGCTTTTACTGCCCTCCCACACCAAAAACTTATAGATGAAAGTTGTTAAAGCAAAAGCAGTATGCAAACTCAAAACACTGAAAGAATGTAGGGTACAAGAAACATGAGAAATATAAGCAATTTTCAAAAGCTTGAAGAAGCAAGAAAAGCTTGTACATACAGACTACATAGATGATTGATGGGAATACCTGAATGGCTAGATATGTAGAACTAGACTACTGAACACCTGTTCATACAGTTGGCCTGCTTTTACATAAAACACAGCTATCTACCATGATGTTAAAATTGTAATTGATAAAAATGCCTTAGCATTGATCCCTTTAGGAGAGAAACATTGAAATTGATATGGTGGTCACCTGTGTCCAAAGTCAAACGTGCATGATATGACTTTTTGTCTTTATTTAAAGGTAATAAAGATGATTTGCCGTAATGGCGCTGCATTGTGGTCCTTGCCTATGGCATATGGCTTATATTCATACAAAATGTATTATTTTTGAATGTGTCCCAATACCATTTTATACTCAATTTAATACAATCACGGATGGGTCCTGCATCCAATAATTTAATCCTATGTCCATGTATGCATGTACCCTTTCAGCCAGTAATGCAATATGTACCAATGCAACACTTCCATGCAATGCAATTCCTTTACCCTCAAAATATGCCCCGATATACCTAATATGCATAAATCATGCCCTTTACCCTTGCTGGTCCATTCTTTAGTTAGGATGTTATTCATACACCAGCATACCATATTCTGATTTATCAGAGCCATTTTTTATCTAATGCTTGAGATTTGAACTCCAAAGGATAAGGCTGTGGTTCCCACAATGGCATACCATATTAAAGATGAAATCTTTGCTCACAATCCAAGACATAGAGGATATCCACTATGATTTTTGAAGGATTTCATTTTTATCCATGTATGAGTATATTATATCAACCACGAGTAACCACAACCAAAAGGGAGAGATGAACGATATTCATAAGAGGATAAAATGTATCATATTCATCATAAGAATTTAGAAATATTATTAATTCAAATCTCAAATGTTTACTCATCATATCATTAGACATGACTTTAAAAAGTTCAAACCCAAATTACCAAAAATGAACAAAAATAATGTGAACAAAATGTACTGAGTACAGTAAAACCTGTGTATATTGAACATTATATTGTCAGGAAAAAATGTTCAGTGCTGGTCGGTGTTCACTTGAATATTTATCCTATAAATAGGTTTTAATAGGTATACTGATTGTAAGCGTTCATGCATGGAGTGGGTTGGCTCACGGCCAGGCCAGATCAATTGAATTCATTCAGTCAAAACATGATCGAAGAAGGGTATTTACTAGACACAGGTGTTCCCAAGAGAGGGTTGTTCATTAAGATAGGTTTTACTGTATATGTTTTACAGTATACAGTAAAACATATGAATATAAACACCTTTGCAAAATGACAACACGTCCTATCCTGTTTTTATATTCAGGGATTTAAATGTGAATCCATGGCAATGGTCAATGTTAGCACAGAACATACAAATGTGATGAACAATGAACAAAAGATGAACAAATGTGATGAACAATGTACAAAAGATGAACAAATGTGATGAACAATGTACAAAAGATGAACAAATGTGATGAACAATGTACAAACGATGAACAAATGTGATGAACAATGTACAAAAGATGAACAAATGTGATGAACAATGAACAAAAGATGAACAAATGTGATGAACAATGTACAAAAGATGAACAAATGTGATGAACAATGTACAAAAGATGAACAAATGTGATTAACAATGTACAAAAGATGAACAAATGTCATGAACAATGTACAAAAGATGAACAAATGTCATGAACAATGTACAAAAGATGAACAAATGTGATGAACAATGTACAAAATATGAACAAATGTGATGAACAATGAACAAAAGATGAACAAATGTGATGAACAATGTACAAAAGATGAACAAAAGTGATGAGCAATGTACTTGAATAGTAGTTATACAAGTTTTACTGAACTGTGTTTCATTTTGAATAAAACACATAAGCTCCACATGAATTGATTTGGAGTATTAACCTGCTATTGATCTCGAGACAAAGCATTTTACATATTAACAGGTTAACAGAATTGAACATGTAATTCATCACGTTGAACAAGATCAAACAGCAACATAAGCAATCATGTTACAGCGACCACATACCTTACTTGAAATTAGCTTGGATAAATGTCTGCTTTGTTAAAAACGCATGATTTACAGTGAAACACTTTCTATTAACTGATCTATTTTTCTAACCTGTAGAGAGAGACTCCCAAATGTCAGGTTGCTTGCGTTGTGTGTGCCAGGCCACGGGAATAGCTCTCCCTCTCAAGGAACTATAAAGTGCAGAATTTATTTTAGCATTTTGTTTTATGTATTGTAAGTAATTATGAAACTGTTGTTTACAACTGAGAAAGTGCATAGCGAAAATGATATTTATCCAAAGATTTCTGATGTCAAAAATTAGTGTTTAACTGGGTAATTAAAAGCTAGTAAGTAAAGTGATTAATATCTCATTAATAAGTGATTAATATCTCATTGTTTGCTGTTCAGTATTGGTAAGTAAGTAATAATGAGGATGGATCTTCTCCAAAACAAACAAAAAACTGCTAAGCATATTTATACAGGTTCCCTGTTTCATTTTTTCATTTTTTTATTAATCAATTAATAGTATCTTGTATCATAGTATCCTCTACATATCGAGGATGCACAAATGACAACGTTGAGATGAGATTTACTGATCAGAGGCAATAGGAGATTTTTATTGCATACTCCAAATGAGCAGGAATAAACCTTCCTGAAAACAGACAAGAATATAAGAAATGAAAAACAGGGCATTGCAAGAGAATATGCTGTCGTTACACAACAACATATGTTAATTGGTACACAAGGAATTTGAAGTACAAACAAATCAACATACCCATTACCAACTATTATAATCCGAGGCTGTTAATAACACAGAGATAAGTGAACACCTTTGGGGCTGGTTCAAGCTACTGTTCATATTTACTCTTGCTACAGAGAGAGACCATAACATAGGAGTCAATGGGGAAAATGTTTAGGAGGGAAATATTGCTAATTGTGTGTGACTTGAGATTTAGATGTAGCCAGATTTAGAATATCATCATTCATGATGATCTAGGCAGACTTTGGTGAAAGTTTGATATTATTCCCAAAAGATATGTTTTTATATCATATCACAAGATATACCTAATTCTACACCCCTTTGGGAAATTTATTAACGTAACCAAATAACCAAAATAAAACAGGGGTCAGGGTATTAGAGAGGCTCTAAATATACTCAAAATAGTCTCAATAGTACTCAAGATATTATAGCTATTATATTATATTCAGGAAATTCTAGATAGATTCAAGATATTTCCCTTTCATTACAGGTGTCTCTAGGAATCCCTGCAGAGGGGAGGCTACAATCATGGGCTTTCATGCTACAATTGAAGAATTCTTGACCAAGGTGGACAGCCATGATAACAGTTATCTCACCTACATAGAAGCTCTAGATGTACTCAAGATAATCTAGATGTATTCAGGATATTTCCTTTCCTTACAGGTGTCCCAGCAGAGGGGGAGGTTAAGATCGGAGACTTCTTGACCAAGGTGGACAGCCATGATGTCAGAAATCTCACCTACATATAAGCTTTCTAGAGGTACTCAAGATAATCTAGATGTATTCAAGATATTTCCCTTTCATTACAGGTGTCCTTAGGATCCCCGCGTAGGGGGAGGTTAAGATCGGAGACTTCTTGACCAAGGTGGACAGCCATGATGTCAGTAATCTCACCTACATATAAGCTTTCTAGATGTACTCAAGATAATCTAGATATACTCAAGATAGTGTAGCTACACTCAGGAAATTCTAGATATTATTTCCCTTTCATTACAGGTGTCCTTAGGATCCCCGGCAGAGGGGGAGGTTAAGATCGGAGACATCTTGACCAAAGTGGACAGCCATGATAACAGTTATCTCACCTATATATAAGCTCTCTAGATATACTCAAGATAGTATAGATGTACTCAGGAAATTCTAGATATTATTTCCCTTTCATTACAGGTGTCCTTAGGATCCCCGGCAGAGGGGGAGGTTAAGATCGGAGACATCTTGACCAAGGTGGACAGCCATGATGTCAGTAATCTCACCCATGTTGAAGCTCTAGATGTACTCAAGAAGACAGGAGGTAATGTGGTACTTCAGCTCAAGAGGTAAGACAAATTTTAAGACATGTATCATGATACAAAATCATGATATGAAAAATAACTAAAGTTACAATTGATTGTATAAAGTTTGTTTTAATTGATTTTAATATACATGTCTACTAATTGCTATCGAGTAAGATTTGATATTGTTGAACTGAAGTAAAGAACTAGACTAAAGTGAGAAAGAAAGTTTCATCTTGTTGACTTTAGTAATGGAAAAATGTAAAAGTATTGTAAAGATGTCACCCTTGTATACTTTATGTACAGCTAAACAGACATCTTTCCTTTGCATTATCATTGTATTAAAGGTTCAGTTTTTCTGTTTACTTACTTCTTAGTTTGTTGTGCTGCTTGCCTGTTTATGTATGACCATTGACCCCCATTTAATGCATAAATCAGATGTAAATATTTCAGTTTTCGGATACAATATACAGGGTGGGCCAAAAAAAACACCCCCCTAGCCGTTACTCCTGATAAATATTTATTTTCTAACATGTACACCAACAATGATATATCATTTTAAGGATAATTTAATTTGCAACAAAATGATATATAATAGAACAATTTTCAACAACCCTGGCTAGAGATATAACCATTTATGTGACATGGGGGTCAAAAAACACGATCGATTCATCGATTTTGCGAACAATAGCCTATTTCTACCAAAATTTACTGTTCAGTTAAAAATTGCAACATTGTCATGAGTCTTTCATAATTGGCTATTATATATTGTTTTCATTCAGGTTTTGAACCATTCATGCTCAATAAACATGTGTATGCTTATAAAACAAATTAATTTCTTCTTAAATCTGTCCAAATATGGCTCAATAGACCCACCACTCGGACCAATCCTCTGATTGGATTATTCGCTAAAGAACCGAAATCCATTGGTGTAATTGATGGATCTCTGTGGAAGTACCATCAAACTCCTAATTATTCATTCTTTCAGTTTGTCTACATCCCTGATAGGCTAGTGATCTTCATAGACCAACTGTTCTAAATGCCCCAAGTACTATACATGTACATGTAATCAACAGGATAGACTCTATATATCAGTAAGCAAGAATAGGGACATTTGCAATAAAAGGCTACTCAAATCGAGATGACATTTTTCTGAAAGGGTAGTGGTGTCCACACGGTGTTTCCCAAAAAGAAAAGACCATACAGGCCCTGTTTTTGTTGAACCAAGAGCAAAAATATACTCTGAATGTTAATGACATGAGGTGTTAAAAAGGACTCCCCAAGGATATATAAAAACATGTGAAATAATTTAATTTCTGATAGGAAAGTGCTTCATCACACAGGTTCAATGCTACCCTGGAGTTTTTGGAGATTCGAAATGAAACCATCTCTAGCCCGGACAAATGGCTTACTGGCAGTCCAGATGCCAATAATGTTGATTACCACACCTGGGGGTATCTAGAACAGTTGGTATTTAAAGATACCCAGCCTATCAGGGATGTAGAGGAACTAAAAGAAAGAATAACTAGCAGTTGAATGGTACTTCCGCATACATCCATCAATTATACCATCAACCAATGGCTTCCGCGTCTTAAGCGAATAATCTGATCAGAGGATGGGTCCAGGGGGTGGGTCTATTGGGCCATATTTGAACAGACTGAAGAAGAAATTAATTTGTTTTATAAGCATACACATGTTTATTGAGCATGCATGATTCAAAAACTGAATGAAAACAATATATAATATCCAATTATGAAAGACTCATGACAATGTTGCAATTTTTAACTGACCAGTAAAATTTGGTAGAAATAGGCTTTTGTTCGCAAAATTGATGAAAATTGAAAAGGTGTTTTTTGACCCCCATGTCACATAATTGGTTATATTTCTATATGGGGTTGTTGAAAATAGTGCTATTATATATCATTTTGTTGCAAATTAAATTATCTTTAAAATGATATATCATTGTTGGTGTACATGTTAAAAAATAAATATTTATCAGGAGTAATGGCTAGGGGGGTGTTTTTTTGGCCCACCCTGTATATCCACCTTATCAACACATTATTTTGTATTTATATATTGATTATAGTGTTACCATAGCCAGGGAAAATAAATAAAACATTTTTAAAACAGTCCATTGTGTGTCAATCAAAATCCACCCATTCTGCTCTTTTGGAAAATAAAAAGCACATCATGCATTCTTTGTGCATCTCATTTGTTTTTATCAATATTTGAATTTTTTAATTAATTTTCGCATTTTAATATTCAGATATCTCAAGTCATCCTCTGACATGCCTGATGGATTGATTAAAATAAAATTAACACTGTTCAACCTTAGTTGATTTATTATTGGCATTTTAAACTGTGATAGGTATAAATTATCAGCCTCATTCTGTTGATCTCAATTTATATTTTAACAAATATTATTTATTTCTCTTGACCTGACTCTATCTCCACATATGTTTCTCACGTTTTAATGTATCTCTATTTCTCTTCCTTTCTTCTATATAACTTGTGATGTGTTTTTAATGTAACATGTCTCTGAACAAAAGCCAAACAAATCCATTCACCTAGTTATGCCACCCTGGCCTGGCTCATTATTCATATTTGAAGAAAGTGCGGGCTCAGTATGCATTCATGCTTCAATTATACAGTTCACTTGTTGCTCCTATTCCAAATAAGACAGACAAAATTTCCTGAATTTCTTGAATTATCTCCTCTATTACAATTCAAGCTTTATTAACAGTAACCGTTAATACTGGACTAAACTGAAATATTTTATCACAGATAACATCATATATTTTGGTTTTGTTCATTTAGGACTGGCATTAAACCAAGGTAATAGATTTGTCATTTTCTTTTTTTCATATTTTATCTAAATAATTTCATGACATTATAGGTTTTACATAATGGTAGAATCATAAAATGACGTCTACTGTTTAGTTATATTTGATAAAAGCTAAAATAGTCTACAATTTCACAATTGTAACGACAAGAACAAGAACCCATGGGTGGTGAGAAGTTCTCTATCCATCTATTATTTTTATAGATGGAGAAGTTCCCACTATCCATGAAGAACCATATTTCAGTAAATTGTATCTAACATTTCAGAAAGGACAAGGGTTCTGATATTGGTTCCATGATCCCATTGGTGCCAAAAGGATGGCAAATTTCAAGCAACACCTATTTGTAGGAAACTTTAAATTGACATTTTCTTCTAGAATTTCTGCTTCATTGGACCCAGCTCGATCCCTATGTTACAAACATACTTAGAGGATGATTAATTTCATGATGCTTATGAACTGTAGTTTATTCCTATATTAGTCATTCAAATCGGAGATAATTTAATCTATAGAGTCTAATGTGTTTATCACAACTAAATGAGGGGCTTAGCCAAGCAAGTATTGAGAGTACATATACTATTGAGGCCGGTGGGACATTAGACTCAACATTACTTTACAGAACATATTTATTCAGACATTTTTTCAATTGACATTATGAGAATGGAGTCTAAGAGAAATATAATGCAAAAAGCTTAAATATGTCTCACATATTAAGATTTGTCTCTTCTAGATTCTGTCTATGCCCGTGCGACATTATATTATGTGCTGTGATCATTTTAGACTAACATAATCAAAATAATACATTTTTTGATTAAAATTTGTATTATCTAAACATCATACAATTTTGACTCCTCAAAATCACAATGTTCATAATTATAATTCATGTTTACTCACTTCCTTATGTTTATTTGATTTATTTTATTGATGAAGTTTAATCACATATTTGATTTACTCGTAATAAGGCAATTGGTGTTTGAATTGAAATAAGGCTAAATTTTTGTTATATTTTCCCTCATAATACACATGCAGACCCATGAGCCTTATAATGAGCAAATCCGAGAAAATCCAAGAATTTTTTCTTTATGTTTTGCATTGCAGTACTGACCATGTTTCATGGTTGCAATAATTGTTTTATGTTTATGTTTATACAGATGCTTTTACTAATTCATGTTAAAGCATTAATACAGCTGTATCACAAAGTTATTCTCAAACAAGGTCCAATGCTTACATTTACCTCTACCCCATCTATAACAGTCACTTTAGGAAACCATGAGTCCATACTGCTGAGGCCATGGTTAGAATCTTGAAATACAAGCTACTCACTTTTAGCATCTGATACTGAAAAAGATGGCACACCAATCAATGCTTAAATATTAAAATAAAGAATAAAACTTGAGAAAAGCAGACAGCTGTGAATTACAGGCAGTAAATCATATAGTTTATATTTTATTAAAGTATTTCATTTATGAATAAAGACTAATATAAAACTGATAACATAAGTACTAATGCTTATTTACTTAATGCAAATAGAACTTTAAAGCATTCATAACTTAGTCATTCTGACCAATAAGTCATTCCAATGACATCAGAATGAATAAATTAAATATTATTTACTTTGTCTTTATTTTACTTTAAAGCATATACATTTTAATAATCAATTAATTCATATGTATTATCAATATGTTATTTAATCCTATATAAATTCAATAGATCAAAAAGTATCAATAACATTGTGCAATAATATTTGAATATTGCAATTAAATGAATCAGGGTCTATTTAATCAATGAATTATTAATGGGCAGAACCTCATGCAAGAATCCGATGTAACCGTCTGTTTTCTACAGTTCTTGAAATACACAAGCACTTGTGTACACATGTATATATAACTCACCCTGATAAGGAATTGGGATCATGGGGAGGGGGAGTCCATCAAGGCTTGCCTGAAATCTTATCTGCTTCTTCGTACCTGTTGAATAAATGGAAAATAAAATAATTTTTAGATTATCAATACATGTATATTATGTGTAACTAATATTATCGAAAAGTCATAATACATTTAAACAGAACCAAATGTTTGAATGCAAATTATTGAAATAATCCAATCGATTATAATAACCATTTATGAAACAAGTAGAAGATAAAAAGTTGGTGTTGGAACAGAATTCTCAGTTCCCCCTTATAGGAGGTCTAGTAGTCTGCCATGCTTTAAGTTATCTATTGAGATCAACTTTCCCCATACATCCATACTTGGAAGTTACGCACTAAATATAGCACAGTGAGCACACTAACAGATACCAGTAGCATTCATAACTTCGTTTCAGCAGTGGTTACCTAGCAACCAAAAACATCATCAAAATGAATAAAATTTGGAATGTTTATAGAGGTTGATCTCCATAAAACTTATATTAATTATTATTTGATTTATAACTTGCATTTGTTTATTATGGTTTTGCACCTTTCCTTAATTCTCTGCCAGCTTGTTTATGCAATATTTTATTTTTTATTTCCTGAGCTCTCATTTTCAAAAAACTCAAATGAGTAAATAAAATTAACATTATTTCCAATTTGCCAAAAAAATATAAATAACAAATAAGGTATAGTGTTATAATTTAATAATCTAATATTGAATAATTATTAAATAAGTGTAATTGTTCATAAGATAACTATTTTCTTTGCTATTTAATTGTAATGTACATGTATACATATTTATGACATTATTCTAAAAATGTACATTTTGCAGCAAAATTATTTTTATTCTACACATACTATTTGTCTAGTCTGCATGATATGCTAGTATTACTATACAGTACATGTATTTAGAACTCTAGTTAGGTGAGAGTTAAAAAGCAGATGCAACAACTTGAAGAGAAGAGATAACTAAACTAGCTGTATATATGCGCTATTTCTAGAATGTACATGTATCCCTACTCTGAGATTTCCTGACACCTCTTAAAATTTTACGATCCATCTCTCGAAAGTTTGATTATAAACTCAAAAATAAATTGACATCATGAGCATTTGCATTAATGATCATACCAAATCACCGAAAATTTTCCTCACATGAGGTAAACATATAAAATAATCAAAATCAATGAGGTATGAAATCTCAAGGTAGGGCTACCTTACTCCATGCCGGCACTGTTCAACCTCCAAGCTCCTGATACCTTCATTTCTACATGGTGTGTAGAGCTTGATCTCAGCTATCAGGTGCAGGAGAGTAAAACTGTTGAACTAGCTCTGCAACATTCTCCATCTCTTGTCTCCCTCACTGCCGCCATTTCCCCCTTGAATAAGTGGCTTGGTTGGTTTTCAGGGCCCAGACTTATCGGCCCCCGGGAAGGTCCAAGACTCCGCCTCCATCACCTTCCTCTCAGGTAAGTGAATTTATAATATAATTTTCAGGTATTTTTGCAAACAATTATTAGAGGTAAAATAAAAAAGGTAAGTTTGAAAATATTTACATTTTGTTTTACATCTGTATTTTATATTGGTTTTGAATTCTGAGTACAAACATACTAATATAAAGGTACGACAACAAAGTTATGATTATGTTTTAATAAAAACTGAGGCCATGTGTATACTTAGAAACATGAATATGGAGCAAAGTAATGTAAGACATGAGGACAAATATTATATATTGATGGGATGCTAAAATAAGACAATCACTGATAATATTGGATTAACCATGTTGAAAGGATACACTGACAAAATAGGGAAGAAAGAAAAAGAGAAGGGAGTCCATTCGATTAAAATGAGGACATTTTGATCAAATGAGGGACAAACATAAATGAGTGAGGTCCTTAAACTCATACTCTATTGGAACACAATTGAAAAAAATCAACTGAAATTAGTATATAGTGCGCTACTGGGAAAAAGAAAGTATAACACGTGAAACAATGGTAACAATAGATGACCTAAGGAACGGATAAAAATGTAGAAAGGACATAAGTCAAAATTATATTTATCCCATATCATTTACAGATGACAGAAAACAGAACATCTGAATTAACATAAATATTCAAAAACAGGATGGATCAACTTTACAAAGGAAGGGTCAGTATACCCTCAGTAGTGATGAAAAAACCCTATTACCCCATAACCCTAGCCTGAATTGAACCAGAACTACTAGTAGGTACAGCATATCAGGTAATCACCTTGCCAGGTGTGGACAATATATCTCAATTCTTCACAGATGGATCAGCTGATATGGACCAGAGGATACTGAATACTCACAATATAGACCAGTTTATGTTGGTCTTTTCCTACACTACACACTCATCCATTTCTTCATCATTTATTGCATCTTTGTATTCATCAATTACAATGTACATTTCTTCATCATTTATGGCATCTTTGTATTCATCAATTACAATGTACATTTCTTCATCATTTATGGCATCTTTGTATTCATCAATTACAATGTACATTTCTTCATCATTTATGGCATATTAGTATTCATCAATTACAATGTTTATTAGGTTATCATTTATTTTAAGAAGTTTAGGGATTTAGACCTTAATTTTGATGTGATAACTAACATTACATACTACATGCACATATCTACATTTCAATCATGTTATATGATATGATCTCATTATATCATTGATTATCTAAATCTGACCTAATGTCAGATCTGTTCCAACATTAGAGAGGAATAAAACAGGTCAATTATTAGAGGGTAATATGTTTTATAGATTGTGTTGATTTGCTATAGAACAAAATATAGTAAAACACATGTGCGATTGACCAATACCATGCATTTCCTCAAGTCAAGAAAAAGTTCCTCTAATTTTTGAAACATTTGGGCCATACAACGAAATATGGATCCTATATGAAACGACGGCACGGTTCAGACATATAATTCATTTGAACTGCCATGGCTTGCTCAGTTGATCAGAAGATTGACAGGCTTTGGAGTATATAATATCTACTCTAATGAATGAAGTTAAAGATTTGAAAGAATCAAACTATACTCAATCAAATGTGCAGAAGAGAGCACCATTATAAGTTGCTGGGCTCAAAACTCAGTGAAAAACAAGTTAAACAGATAGACATCCCTACTGTTATAATCTAGAATGTATACCCTTCAAACAAGCATCATTATCATTGACCTTACCTATAAGTATGCCCTCCCCTCCCCTGCAGGATTATATCTATATATACCAGAAAACAAAACAATCAACACAATCCTGTACATTAGAGGTGTGTTGAACTGGATCTACAGCTGTATATTCCTTTAAATAAATGATGTGCCTTTTAACCAGACCCACAGGATTCACTGCTATGTCAGTAAATTAGACATTCAGCCTCAATGTTATGGGTGCTTCTAACTTATGGTCTGAGAATGTATGTTCTTAGCTAAAGAATACATAAGGTCATTTAACTTAATTTCAATATGCTATAATCATGATTACCTACAGTAGGTGCCAGTAGATAGTTACCAGTTTCACCAACAGGTGACTTACTTGGGTTGGATAATATATATTTGAAAAGAAAATAGATTCGATGGACCAATTTTCATCTCACCTTTTTAGTATGATAATTTGTGTTCTGTAATTCTAAGAATTAAATGTTTAGTAAAATAAAAGAGTTTTCACGATTTATGCCCCCAGGGAAATTACCAAACTTCTTTATTAAAAAATGAATTTTCAAAATTGTTTGTATATTTTGGATAATAATGTGGTTGACTGAATTTGAATAGTTTAATGAATGAATTACCTTAAATGAATAACTCTTAATGAATTATCTTTAATGATTTATCTTTGATGAATTACCTTTGATGAATTACCTTTAATGAACCACCTTTAATGAATAACCTTTACCAATGACATTATAAAATGTCATATGTAAGGTATGTTTATATAGAATATTTTCTTGGAGATTACTTTTTTGGAGTTACTTTTTACTTGAATTCTGTTGCATTACTCTAATACAGCTCTTCATATCCAAATCCCCCATTCTGCATGATCTAGTGATCCACACATGCCAGAATGTTGCCCTGAATAGCTGGATTTACGTCACTCTCTCGTTAGGACCTGTTATGGCAGATATACCATTGATAAGGCACTACTATAATAGCTTTAAGCCCACTTCTGTGGTTATGAAGCTAGAGATTTATATATAAGGGGTTCAATCATTCAGTCGACTCCACAGCTCCCATTCTCACTAAAGAGCACATTTTATAGATAGTTTAATAACTGTTACAATTGTTTTCCAGAAAGATATGTGATGGGGTGAATAATATATATGCAACAGCCAGATAAACTATAGCATTTTCCAAGCTATAGATAGCTTGCTGCATATGCAGTTTCTATATAAATGCTTTTCTGATTTTTGCAGCCCTCAACATAGATCAGAATGGGATTTATTGGATCAATACATGATCATCCCCAAAATCAATGCCCCAAGAAATCTAACCTTAATGAAGTAAGTCATCCCTATAATCAATGCACAATAAACTTTTATGAAGTAAGTCATCCCTAAAATCAATGCAGAAGAAATCTTAATTCTAATAAAGTAAGTCATTCCTAAAATCAATGCAGAAGAAATCTTAATTTTAATAATGTAAGTCATCCCTAAAATCAATGCCCAAGAAATCTTAATTTTAATGAAGTAAGTCATCCCTAAAATCAACACATAAGAAATCTTAACTTTAATGAAGTAAGTCATCCCCAAAATCAATGCACAATAAACATTAATGAAGTAAGTCATCCCTAAAATCAACGCATAAGAAATCTTAACTTTAATGAAGTAAGTCATCCCCAAAATCAATGCCCAAGAAATCTTGATTCTAATGAAGTAAGTCATCCCTAAAATCAATGCACAATAAACTTTAATGAAGTGAGTCATCCCTAAATGCAATGCCCAGGAAATCTTAATTCTAATGAATTAAGTTATCCCTGAAATCAATGCCCAAGAAATCTTAATTTTAATGAAATAAGTCATCCCTAAAATCAATGCCCAAGAAATCTTAATTTTAATGAAGTAAGTCATCCCTAAAATCAATGCCCAAGAAATCTTAATTCTAATGAAGTAAGTCATCCCTAAAATCAATGCCCAAGAAATCTTAATTCTAATGAAGTAAGTCATCGCTAAAATCAATGCACAAGAAATCTTAATTTTAATGAGGTTTAGTCATCCCTAAAATCAATGCCCAAGAAATCTCGATTTTAATGAAGTTAGCCTATCTAACACATCAACAGGTATCAGAAATAATCAATGAATTATTAAAGTGAACAAGATGAAACAATGACATTTTGATGTCAAGGGAAAGGTAAAAATATGTATGTATAGATATACAAGATAAGTACTTGAAGCACCTCATCTCATAATAATTAACCTGTTAACTTAGAATCAGACATCTTGAAATTGATGAATTACAATCATATGCAGGATGAATTATCAATGTGATTGTTTTGAGCAATTTATTTAAAAATAAATCAATCAAACTACAATATGTAAAAATATTCATAAAAAATTAGTTCAAGTAATGTTTTTCATGTGTACAGAAACAATATTGCAATTACATACACTGTACAGTATATATGTATGATTGTATGTAGTAAATGTGAGTTTGGGTATGCAAGGTATGATCACATTTGATTGATGTATAAAACCAGACTTGCAAACTGTCTGGCAGATAAATGTTCAACATGTTTACCTGTTTCACACAAGGATACCTCTATCCGTACTTAGCTACCTGGTGGTTATAAAGATACAGTGACTTGAAAGCACTATAAGCAACATTTCAAAAGCAAAAGCATTCAAAAGCTTAATATGAGGCAGTCAAGGGAAATATTTTGAATAAGGATTTTTAGAGTTTTAATTCTCTTTTAGAATATTACCCTACATACAATGAGAAACAACAAGTAATCTATATTAATGGTATCTTTGAGAAACCCCTTGGAGTAAATGAACAAAATGACATGACATCAAGATGTAAAACCAGCTAAGTGTTTGGTAAAATGAGATTTAAACTGATAATAATGAAAACACATGAAACCTATTTTATCCAGAGTAGAAGTATAACATGTAATCTTTTAATGTTTCAGTCATAGAGCAAGCCACCAAAGTTCAAGGCAAGAAAGATATACTGTGATGATTTATACAAGAGACCTCATGAGTATATGTATAACCTGTAACATTGATTTTCACTCTTAGGGTCATATATTACTGTAAAGTATTCTGTAGAACCTTGGGCTATGAACCTTGACCAATTCTTGTCCAAGATATACTTATCTTGGAATATCATAACTCTCAACATAGTTCACATACTCCAAAAGTATTCCCATCATCTGAAGATGCCTCTTGCTTTGATGCTTTGAGTGGGCAAGTACATGGTTCACTATCTTTGGTTTCACCTGGTTCTTACACAATTCGTTTACATCATCCTCATATATAACTTCTCCTACGTATGCCATAACAGCTTAGACTAATTATTCTCGATTGACTTTAATGTGAACGTTCATATTTAGACTATGGGGCATCTCTTGGGCATCATTATCTATCAAAGCATTGAACTAAATATAATTTTAATAATAAAAAGTAGAATCAAAGGAGTGACAATACAGAAGGAATTTGAAATAAACAGGATCAACTCATTGCACAAACAATTCCAATGAAATCAAATTGAGATGCCATTTTGCCTAGTTCTTTTTGGTCCAGTCAATATAAAACTGGAAAAGTACAAAAATACAAAGGGATTCCAAACTGGAATAAATATCTAAAAGATCAGCCTCATGTCAAAACACTGAAATGACCTTAAAAGATAAAAACAGTCCAAAACATGATTTCTTACAGAGTCCCTATTGAGCTAGTCATGCTATCTTTTTATAGCAGATCTTTCCATTCACTTTGTAGATATAGAGGTACTTGGATAATCTCAAAATACACATTGCTTGCATTTGGTAAAAATACACTAAAGGGAAAAGGTCAATATATCAATGAATACCCAAAGGTGTAAATAATCATATTTTGGGAGGCCATACAGTTGTGATATACATAGCAATTTAAATAGGTATTCAGAAACTATTAAATAAAAAATAATTTACTGATATTTATATACGTTTAGGGGTAGGGGGGGGGGGGGGGGGTAGGAGTAGAGCTGGAGTCAATTTATAAGTAATTACTTTGAAACAACATTTACATTGACCTTATTCAAAGTTTTTGACTAGCAGTTGGTCTTGACTAGCAGTTAGGCAGTTGGTCCAAAGATATACAACTTCTTTCCACTATGATGTCAGAATCATTTATGTTCTTGCCCTTATTTGATCAGGTTAATATGGGTTGGACAGAAATGTCATTACCACCCTGTTCTGTTAATGTATGTTTAAAAAAGTGTTACTCAAAACAATTGGTTAAGAACAACAAGAGAAAATCACTTATTGCCTGCTGCTTATGCAATCCCTGACCAGCATATATACATACAATATATAGCACCCATAGTCAGGGTATTTGAGCGAACCCGCAAAATGCTTTCAAAATCATGGAGTTTTTCACCTTTTGGGCCAAAGTTGTCTAAAATGTGAATCCCCTGGATTATTTTAAAAATTGAAGCACCCCATGGAAAAAGCTGACTATGGGCCTGATACTTACACTGGAAATATCTTAAGGTATTAAAGTTATCTAGGTTACATACTCTTGACTTTCTGGCTTGTAGTCTGTTGCATTAGAAAACATCTGTTCAAAGATAAGATATCACACATTACAGTTTTCACTATCATACTCCTGAATTGTTTATTGTTTTAATTTTAAAACTGAAAATAATATGAGCTAATTTCTGATCAGGCATTGCCAGTAAGTTTTAAATAATGCCATTGCACATTTACTTGAACCTTGTGACTTTTTCTACTGACCAAAATGTGCCCACTAATATAACTGTCATATTTTTTGGCTGTAATTTCTCACAGCACTTTCAACACAATATATTTTAAAATATTATAGCCTGAATCATACAAGGGTCGATCCAGATATTCTGATAAAAATGCTCTCATTTTTTTATTTTTGGGAGTTACAGGTATAACATCAAACTTGCACAAAATGAGGATAATTTAATTGCTCATAAAATATGTAAGTTTAGTCAACATACGGGCACTAATGCGTTGCTAGGGTAAAAATTGGTAACCATGGAAACGGGACCTGGGACAAGTAGCTTTTCTGTCTCTTCATATTTTGTCTTTACATACTTTTATATCCATTATGACCCATTTTTTTGACCCAAATATTCTTCAATTAGCATTTTAGCAGGTGCACCTACAATCAATAAGTGTTTTGTGACATCACAACAGACAATTGTCCATTGTGAGCAAATAGAAGCTGGCTCCAAATTCAAATCACTTGAGCAAGTTTGCAGGTATTGAGAATCCATCTGAGAAAAGCCGTGAATAAACATCGTCCTGACTGACTTCATCCTCCACCACGATAATGCCCCATCTCATCGAAGTGAATGTGTGCAAACTGCTATCAGAGAGAGCATGGGTATGGAGCTGCTCGGTCATCCCCCATATTCCCCTGATTTATATATAGCGCCATTGGATTTTGCGATTTTTGGGAAACTGAAGAGTGACCTCAAAAGCAGGCCTTTTCATGATGTCAATGAGATGAAACAGGCAGTTATGCGTTCCCTGCACACCAACTTCCCTGACTGCAATGATGTATATATACTCGAACCCTCGAAAAAATATGACCTGAACTCACAAGAACCGGATGAAATGTTTATAAATGCTTTATTTCAAATGAAGTCTTATTTAACATTTTTGGCTTCCAGACCCGGCTTTCCAGTAAATGTAATCTTACAAATTGAAGCTGCATGATTTCTGAGATCATTAAAACTTCTGTGATGTGTGTGTAACTTCACGTTAGTGAGATCTAGATTAGAGATAAAAATAACCTGAAAGTCATGATAACCAAATGTTTTATCATCAAATGTTATGACTTGAGATCTAATTGGTGCACAAAGTGCTACAGGTGATGATACAATGATCTTGATATACACACACACCTTTCAGTAACAGAACAATTAAATAATTGTGATGTCACACCATGATGACATCATAAAATCAATGCCACTTGCCCTGATACAGTAGGTGATAATAGGGTTTGTCATAGATGTTTTTGAGGGATGTCATGGCCCAGGCAACAACCTTGTTCACCTTACAATTCCAGAAGGAGTGTTGGAACCAATTATTTTGTGTAATATTTTACATATCTGCGGAATGAGCCTCACAGGAAATCGATCCAAAGTAATTGTAAGTGAGTTTATAGGCCCATCTAGGATCTTCATTGCCTCCAGTTTTCTTTAAAGTTCAAAGTTGAATGATTAAAACCATTTAAACTAAAGGTTATCTCTGTAACATCTGATTCTAGTGGAAATCAGCAGTGTAAGAGTTTGTTCTTGGCTGACATACCAACAACCTAATATTTCAACATATTCTATAATTAAACCTGTAAAAGGCAAGTGGGAATATTGAAAGAAGCTGCATAGTGTACAGAGATACCAAAATCCATCAGAGATAACTCTGTTTAAAAAGTGAACCAGAGTAGGAAAGTTGACCACTGTACAAAAATTTGGTCTACATTAGGTTTGGACCTGATATCTGAAGAATAAAAGTTTATGGCTCTGAAGGCGAAATATAGGTCAACAGTCAACACCTAATCTAAACCTAATGGGGGTAACTCAATGAGGTGTTCTAACACTACATCCCCTCTCTGGAGTCCATAGTTTTTGATAGTATACATATGACCATAAACCCATCAAGACCAAATATACAATAAATGACAGGTACATAGTAGTTAGCTTTAAAGCGATAAGAATGCAACCTTAAGAGTGGGATGTACAGAAAACTAGTTCTCAATAGCTGAGGGACACATTCCTTCTCATGCGTTTGCACTTGGATACATGTGCCATAATTAGGATTTCTTTAAGAGATAGCACAAAAACTTTAAAATCAGAGTATGCATGTAATGGATAGTTGGATATGGATACCCAATAGAATAAGACACAAAGGTTCAAGATATGCACAAAACAAAAATAGGCATTGCTTAAGCATTTGAATTCTCTGAATGAAAATCTCAAATGAATACTGATAATATTTAACTGAATCAACACATGTGCATGAGAAAATGATTAAATAATCAAAGACAAAATATTAAAAGACAGGAAAGGAATACTGGATTCATACTGCGGTTTTATATTCAGTCCTCCAGCATCAGATTAGCCTAGCACCCAAAAATAGTTTCTGTATGTATACATTAGAGCATATCAGATCTCTGGAAAAGGTGTTAGTTAATTGAGCTTAAACAAAGTGGTCAGATTATGGTAACAAAGCTTCCTGACTTTCACCATCTGCTGCTGTGAATTTGTATTGAATCTTAGAATTCATCTGGATAAAAATGTTGTCATTGATGATTCATCAAAAGACATATTTTATCCTTGGATAAATTATAGGATTGTACAAATTCATGGCCAGTTGGTCAATGCACATGATGAGTGAAATTGCCAAGAGCAACATCAAAATCAACAAAACGATCTCTATCATAAAGCTCTTTTGGATTCAGTATTGGGAAGATGGATTGATATATCATTGTTCTGTTGGCAATGACAATCATGGACATTGCACTTTTCCAACACCATACCGTGATATAAAATTGTACATGCAAATCTATTCTAAATTAATGTACCCATAACAGTTTACAATGTGCAACTGGTTTCATATTATTTATTTGGATTTTTACATGCCTATATTTTCTAATATTGCCCCTTGTAGTTTCTGATGCTAACAAAAATTCTCTCTACTTTCAGGGCTACCGAACCAATCCACTTGTTCTCCCCTCAGGCAAATCTTTCGCTCAGAGTAGCAAGCCAGGCATGTTTGGCCAGGATTACTCCCAGTATAGTCAGGGTGCCCCGCCCCGCCAGACCCAAGATGATCAGATGGTCCACAGGCTGTCTGCCAGTCTAGGTCAGGCGGCGGCACAACAACATCCCGGCAGTGAGGCGCCAGACATAACTTGGCAGCCGCGAGGTAATGAGTATGAAGATTATCAACAAGATGAAGATTATCAACAAGAGCCAGTTTGGGCCATCAAGCAAAAGTTTAACAAACCAACCACTATAACGACACGTTAGTAAAACAAAGAGTTTCATTGTCAGTTTCATGTATAGCTTATTGTATGGGGCTTCTGTTCTCTCTCTCTTAACCTTTCTGTTGTAAAAATATATACATGGCTTTGGAAGCGTAGAAATCAGTGTTATCCAACAGGGTGACCATACCTGCAGTCTGATTTATCAACAATGGAGGTTGGAATAAGAAGTTATTTTGATCTTCAGTAAAGCAGTGCTTATACCTTCGCAAAATTAGTGCATGACTAAATATATGCAATTGCTGAACCATCAATCATTTCCATGACCTTGACCTTTGATGTGACTAATGAATGCGACATTGTCTTTGATCAACATTATGTGACAAGGGTGAAGTTATATTTTGTTACATAAAAACAGGTGTTCCTGCATGACTATCTCACGAAGTCATGATAAAGTACCATTGACTTATAAATTGATTGATGAACATATCGTGAGGAGTGGATCATTAAAATATATCTTTCAAAGACAGATTGAATTGTAGCGTCTAAATTAACTCTAGTTCTAACTAGTTCTTACATCCATTGTTGATGTAGTTAACTGCAGTTATGGTCATATATATACAAGTAATTGAAACAGTTTTAAAGGTAGTGTAGTATATAGATAATATATAAAAGGTGAAATTGGCTCCCATCCAATGCTTCACTGAGTCATGTTGCCGTATCTTGCCATCTTTATCTTTGTACTTTAGATACTTATCTTCCATTTTGTGAGCATATTATAAAAATCAGTAAATAATTGATTGATTGGGATTCATTAGGAGCCCCTTACTTTCCTCTGCCATCTTTCTGAAAAATTCTAAAAGGGATGCATTGTTAGATTTGTTCTTTTTCATTCTGGAATTAATATATGTAAATATACATGTGATGTAGGATTATACCTCCTAAGTTCAAAACACCTCTATGTACACATTTTTGTATCAATCAGCAGTTTTTATATATTCAAACTCTGAATCGACATTAAATGAATTTCTTAAAATGCACCTAAAATACAAATTGTCATATAATCAACATCACACCTTTTAAGAGTCTGAAATTGACAGTAGGTATCTTGATAAATAAACATGAATTGACCATACCTCCTAAAAAATATATCAGGGTGCAAAAATTGTCCCTTCTAACTGACAGCTTGAAAGAAAACCTCATAAAATGGAGGGCTTATTCCCTCAAAGTAGAACATATATTTACTAAGCTATTTTCATTAAAAATAATATACATTGAATACCTAGCCATGCATGTCCCATTATCAATGGTCATTGTGATGATACAAAAAATTTGATTTTCAAATTTTTTAATTCCCTGGAAATTCCCTGGATATTTCTATACAGTAACCTGTCGAAGTGGAACACTTATGGTACTTCAAAAAGGTGTTCCATTTGAGAGGTGTTCAACTTAGAGAGGTTCAATCAACTTTAAGTCAGTTGGTCTTGGGGAAACTCCCTGGATATCTATATACATGTACACACTTTAATACTGTCTCACAAAACAAGCATCACATAGAAATTCAAATTTCTTCTGGATGAAGGTTAAGAGAGAGGTTAGTTTATAAACCCACATTTTGCTCCTATATTTCATTCACCCATTAGTGCCTTGCAAATATGTAAGAACAAATAGTTACATGTTCTGCATGTTTTAGCAGATAGTACAATACAAACACATAGAATTTGCTCACCCAAATACACGCTAGATGGCTGGATCACTTATTATTTAAATTTATTAAGTTATGGTTGGTTGATGTTTTCTCCATTTAGGCTTAGGCTCTTTTTGGTTTTAGTTTATTCAAATGTTTCCAGAGATTCAAATGATTCATGGAAATAATTTAATTTATATGATGATTTTTTTTATATGTAACGAAAGTTAAATTTGAAATAGTAAATTGAATCCTGGAAATAACATTCACTTTCAATGCATGATTTAAAATATTTAATTGTACCATTTCATGGTATTGATTACAATATGTTAAAAAATTGTTATATTAAATAGCATATTTTGAACTCTTCTTATCTTTCTCTATTCTTTCCTATAATTTCTTATTCCACAAATATGCTTTGTAAACCTTTTCTTCACCAACTATTATTATAATGTTAAAATACCTAATAATATTTTTCACTTAACGCTGTAAGCTCACTCTTCTAACACCAAAACTCTTTGTACTAGTTCTTCATATCTTCATTTCATTTTCTGTGTATCCAACATTCTATCCTGGTGTGCATCTTGCTTTTTGAGAAGGCAAAATCTAATGTTTCAAAGCGATTATCAAACTTATGACTGTTCAATAATCAAAATTCACTGATGCACCGCACTGCAGATATGAGCTGCATACACAGATTTATGAAATTCTAAGTTTGATATATCAATGAACAATTAGATTAATTGTCTCTTATGCTTTTAGATGATAGTCCAGTAGTTCTTTATTATTAAATGTCACACTCACTAAATGTTTATTAAATTTTTTCTTCCCACAGCTACAGATTTAGGGCTGGATTACCGAGATTACGGTCGTACACGTAAGACTTTTGCACACTTTTAGTAATCAGTTCAAATCTTTTCGGTCTTTTTTCTAAAGTAGCTAGCAGTTTGAGCTCTTACTCAAGATATGTGCTTTGTGATTTGTTCACACTTGAAAAAGTTGTATGTCAGTTGATACTATGTGCCAAGAAAGTATATGAACTGGTGATTATTAGTGTTTTGAGGACTGTTCCATAAATTGTAAAACTGAATAATTTTGAACAGCCCTCAAATTCTAAGTGCAATTTTAAGGTTGCTACATTGCTATTTAAACCTTCCACTTTTAGTTGTTCCCAAAAGTTTGAATCAAAACTTTATGTATAAGATCACTGATACTAATTCACTAGTATTTAGTCTCATTAATAATATCAATTAATATGTAATTAATTCTAATTAAAATCACCCAATGTTAAGTTTGTTTTTACCTACACATATGTAACTTTATTAAAAAAATAAATTTCAAATTTCTCCCCAGTCTTATTTTTCAATTTCATTCCTTGACTAACTTTAATTTACAAAGTATGGACCATGAAAATAACCATACCATTTTATTAGTTTTTGGTTCTCAGACACCCAAATTATATCATCTTTGTCAAAGCTAATAAGATTGCTGGTAAAAATGGAAAAGGGCAAACTTGCCAAACTACAGTATATGAGCGCAGAGAGATTTCACTCAGATTTCATTTAACTTGTAAATTTTAACTTTTAACATACAGTAATACAGGGTGTCCCGAAAGTATGCCCCCCCCCTAGGCAGACATACACCGATGTTCCCATAGTATGTGTCATATATCATTTTAAAGCTTATCCAAAGTTCCATTGATTTGCCAAGTATCATGGTTCAACTTACAAATGGGAAAAAAGTTACAGGCATTTCAAAACTTAAAAATGATATCTGACACATACTATGGGGACATTGGTGTATGTCTGCCTAGGGGGCCCCCATACTTTCGGGACACCCTGTAGTTCATCAACATTTAATATTTTTGTGGTCACTGTTGCAAATGCTGTATGTGTCCTTTACTTGTATATGTTTTACATATTTTTATTTTCTTTCTTTTGTTATATAGCATAATAAACCAAATGACTTTAATGGGATTCATTTGTTATGGCATATTACTAGTACCTTACATATGATGTGAAAATATGCATACAAGCTTATCAAATTTCAAAAAATATTTCTTTTCCTGCTTGTTTTGATTGTTGTTTTTATTAAAAGTTAATGTTGATTATTTCTTCCCCTTGTTTTTCTAACTTTGTTTGAAACAATCAGGTGTGTGGCTTTACAATGGGTTTTGTTGTGTAAGGCAGAGCAGGGAAGATAATGCTCATGTTTCATTCCAGCTGTAGGCAGGTCACAATCCCAGCGTGGGCCAAGAGGATTTAACCAGCAAGCTCCTAAAAAGTTTTCAGCAGCCTCTCACAAGGCCCCAGCTTGCCAGCCAATGAATGCCTATCAACCACCTAAGTTCGACCCAACCCCTAGTTATCAATCCCCTCCCCCAACTCAGCAGCAACCAAGCTTCCAGCCAGCTGCTCCCCAACAAAACTACCAGGCAGCCCCGCAACAACAAAGCTACCAGGCAGCCCCACAACAACAAAGCTACCAGGCAGCCCCACAACAACAAAGCTACCAGCCAGCCCCTCAACAGCAAAGCTACCAGCCAGCCCCTCAACAACAAAGCTACCAGCCGTCCCAACAACAAGATCCTCTTATCAAGCACACAGTATGGAAACCCCCACCCAAAAATCCAGTTTTGAAGACCCCCGAATTTGGCTGGACTCCATCATGGCGTACTGGTGGTAAATCTGCTCCTCAGCAACCCCAGCGTGCACCTGCCCAAGGAGAGGTAGAAGAACCTCAGACTCCAGCCTGGAGTGGCACATTAAGGAATACCACAAACATGCGGGCGTATGATCAATCTGCTCCTCAGCAACCAGCTCCTCAATACTCTCCTCAAGGTCCTGCCAGCCCTAAACAGGTTTCGTTCCAGCAGGACCAGCCAGATGCCTATGTGCCTGTCCATCAGCCAAGAGTACAGGATACTGCTCGTCCAGGACAGGCTGGTCCAGGGGGTGATGGTGCTAGGGTGGTACATCTGCAATACAACACACCTATAGGCCTTTACTCCAAAGACAATGTCAAAGAGACACTCACAGGACAGACTAGAGGCAAGCCAGGACAAGGAACTATGCAGTAAGTATCTTCTTAAACATTAGACCAGAGAAGAACAATTAGATTCATTATCTTATTGGCCAAAAATTCCCCAGGAGTGACTTTCGCTGGCCTTAAGCCCATACATGTACAGTTTAAATGCCTGTTTTGTGGAAATCATTTTCAGAAGGACCCAGTGCTTTTTATTTTCTAAAGTCAGATAAAGTCAAATAAAAGAGGAATTAGTATATCCATCTTCAATTCTAACATGATATCTGCTTCAGGGTGACCAGTGCTCCAGGTTTTGCACCAAAGAAAGGGCAGCCATTTTCTCCTGCCACCTCTGCAACTTACGCCTTATTACAAGAACAAGAGGGCCATGCCCAGAAGCCCATGGGGTATGGGCTGCCAGAGAACCAGCAGCAGCACTCCCCTGCCCAACAGCAACACTCCCCTGCAGGGTATCAGCCTCAATCTCAGAGCATGAGGAACCTAGAACATAACATGCAGAATGTAGGTCTGCAAGGAGATTACGGAGCTTCAGACTTTTAGATCCTGAAACCTCACTCTGCCTGGGGACAATCACACATTGCTTTTAGAACTTTTCGGAATGGATTTTAACAATGTTAAGACGGGATGGATATGAGACAATCTGAGTCCTCCTTGAGAATGTAACATTTGTGACATGATTGTTTTATGGATACAATGGGTGTATCAGCACCAGCGCAGCGTTTTCGCACTTCCACAATGCACAGGGTTGGATTTGCCAAAGCACTGCTATAGAAACATCATGGTTGCTACAGAAACATCTTCAATACCATCATGGCTGCTAAAGTACAGACTGAAGTGGTTGCTATGGCAACATGTTGCCCATGATCGTTGTTATAGAAACTTTTTTTATTTCCAACGAAATGTAATAAAAAAACATTTTTGTAACAGTAATGATTAAAACGAGTGCAATATGTCATGTGATGCAATATGTTATCATCATGGTTGCTATGGAAATATGTTTCCATAATGGTTGCTATAGCAATGATGGGTAGCCATATAGCTGCTACGAAGTTTTTCTTATTTAAGAAAGTAGTATGTAAGGGTGTTACCTAGTCACTTGTTACTCTTATTTACACTATGCAATTTTTTGTATATATCTCATTTCTACATAATAATATATTTACCTTTAAATTATTAAATCTGAAAGAAAATATTTAAAGTATTGATGTTACTCATAAACATAGCTCAAGAATGTGATAAAATATGTTATACACAGTTAAGCAGCATTAATAGCAAAAGCTGACTGCCAAAGTGGAGTTTCAAAAAGATGTATGGATTTTTTTTTATTAAAGAAGAGTATATACTTCTAGTGTGATATTTTAAAAAGATAGGATTGGAATGTCATTATATTCAACGAACTAGGACTGTTTTTGAGATGCGGCCGACAAAGTGCAATACTAGTGAAGTATGACATCATAGACTAGAGTATTATGAGTAAATATATATAGAGTTGTGTTGTTGCTATGTCAGCTAGTGTATAACTAAGATATCACGTCACTGCCATGTTGTATATAGGAGATTTGAGAATATTGCGACTGTATTGTTGCGTTGTGTTTTATGCTATGGCTCATGGAGTTAACTGTCTACAACTGATAGAATAAAGTGGTGCTTTGTTAATTATCATATTTTGAATTATTGTTTTGTTTTTGTAACTATAGTAACTAAATTAAATAAAGCAAATATGTATGACAAAAGAAAACTGTTTACGTCAGATAACTAGTTAAAACTCAAATAATAGTTTATAATAAAAAATATGAAACTGATTAAAAAGATGGCACATGGAAAACTATTCATACCTAACTAATGACAATACAAACATTACCCTTCTAAAACTGAATGTAAATTACTTGAAACCTTCAAAAGTGTAAACATTATAACATTTTTTCTAACATTGTGTTACACTCCATTAAATCCTTGCATTATAACTGTCATTTCCAGTTCACCGACTATGTCAAGATGACTATAACAACTAATATACATAAAGCTGGAGCAATTCCCACTGATATGCTACATAGGAATAAACGTATCAACAAGATAATAATGCTAGACATGAATATGAAATCAATAGGGAGTCAATTGTTTCTGTCTAATCTCATGTTTAAGTTAAATCACAATTATTCTAATAGTTATCTATCCTTCTATTATTCCATCGAATAAAGTTTGGAGGATATAGAGAATGGGTCTGTCCGTTTGTCCATCCAGGCAATAACTCAAAAAATTTTGTTTATATTTTACATGTATTCTGCTGGAAACCCAATTTTCAAAATGGCCACCAGTTTCAAAATGGCCAACATTTTTGTGTCAGTATTTTAGGTACAACATATAAAACTGTAACAGACATATGTCTTAAATGCAAAATATCACATAGGAAATTGATTAAACAATTTGATAATCTAATCTAACTTCCTTAAAAATGGTTGTTGCACGATTAATTTGACAATTTTTTTGCATGAAAAGTACTGGAGTAATTTTGTTCATATTTGATATGTGAATACTCATCACTATGGTTCACTGTCTTATGATAATTTGGCTAGTAAGTGATCATTTTGAAAAAGTTTCGCGAATTTTATGTCTGTTATTTTCAATTTGTTTCCTATAACTCGAAAAGCAGCGATTTTGTTGAGACTTTATATATGACTACTTCGTGTAGCATATTACACTTTCTTATGACAATTTGGCTTGTAAGTGGCCATTTTAAAGAAAAAGTGAACATTTTACGTGTGTTATTTTAAGTTTTTGCGATAACTGGAAAAATAATTATTTGTTGAAATAATTTTAAATTGAATACTTTGATACATATTAGTATAATACTTTCCAATGACATTTTGCTCATAAGCAGCAATCTTAAAAATTGGTGGCCATTCTTGTGTGTGTTATTTTAGTTTATTTTCTATAACTGAAAAAGTAGTGGAATGATTTTGTTGAACTTTTACATGGGAATACTTAAAAGAATATTACACTGTCTAATGACAATTTGGCTAATTGGCAGCCATTTCCAAAAATGGCAGCAATGGCTGATCGGCATTTGCTACACCTTGGTGTTGCTGTTATCTAGTTATTACAGTGACTATTTATTGATCAATGTCTGGATCATACATACAGAATGTAGTTTACTTTTTTATTGAGATGTACAGTTATTGTAGTACTATTGGTATGTTCTCATTTGAACAATGGGAATAAACTCGACAAAAAATGATATAAATATTTGATGAACTCGCATTGTAAAAACATAGAAACTTTTTGCTCTGACAATAACAGTTAAATGATGGACTCATTTTAATTATTCTATGCTAAAATAATCAATATTTTATCAATAGGTTCAAACACAGACAGTCGGTACCCTTACTAGAAACATACACCCTCTAGATTGGAAATCTTCAACCAACTTATTTTTGGTATGAAATAATCATGTTTCCTGTCCCAAATTGAATAATCATTGAAAGATTATTCCAAATTTAGAGGGTCATATATTCTGTGTTGCATTGTAGTATCATGTTGCTTTTTAATTAAATTGCAAAAACAATATGTTTGTTTGTATCAAACTTATCCTCAACATGACATATGAACAGAGTAGGATTAGTCTAAAAGGTAGTTAAAAGCCTTAAAAGAAGTAAAGAGTAGAAAGTCAGACATTACTTCTTGGTATTCATTGTCTTCAAGAATATTGAAAGTATTGAGAATGACAATTAAATGAACAAAACACAAAAACTGCCAATAAAATTTAAAAATAAAATGAAACATTCAGGTATGATAATTGAATTGTTTCAGGGGATTGACAGCTTTACCAATGAATCATGCTCCCTGCAAAATACATCATGGCAACTATTCAATACAGAATGTTGTCTCTAACAACAATGTCCATTACATTTTACACATATTAGAACATCATAATATGATGTCACATAAGAAGTCATTCACATAGTATTTACTTTCTTTATATTAAAGTGGCACAGTCTGTAAGTCTTACATATCATTTATACAAGGCAATTAAGACCAATATTAACTTTGAATCTTATCTCCATCACCCATTGAGCATACGTCTGTACGTGACAAAATAATTCAGGATGTCAAATCATAATTTACCAATAGAAATTGGAAGGTACAATAACATACCAAGACATTCACGAATATGTAAACATTGTAACAAATTAGGTGATGAATATCATTTTATACTAGAATGTTTATTATTTAAAGATCAAAGGGAGAAATATTTAAAACCATACTTCCAAAACAGGCCAAATATGTATAAATTAACTGAACTATTTACGAACAAAAGGTATAATATTCAACTAAGTAAATTTTTACAAAGTATTTTCAAAGGATTAAACTATACGAGGGTTGTCCCAGAAGTAATGCACTATATGCTCTAACTTTATCAATAATTAATATTTTTCCATGACATTTTCAGTAAATGTTCCTTAGAGACATTTTGATTATTCTACAAATCTTCATGCTGACTGATAAAACTATATTAATGTTATAATAAAATCAAGTTGGTGAGTTTGGGTAGGGTGGGGCAGGTTATACAGTCACGTCAAAAGAAATAAAAAATTGAAAATATGAAATTATGAAATTATTAATCAACAAATACCATTTTGTGTAGCTATAAGAAGTATGCTCAAAAATACATTTTAAGATACTAAACTACTATGAGCACATTCTAGATTTAATGGATGTATATTGCACAGTGTCCCATTTCACATTTTCTCAAAATATTGCCCTTTTAGCATGTTATGTACTTTTGATGCCTCTCAAGTCAAACACTCTTGGCAATTTCTTCCACTGTGACTTGTGGAGTTATTGCCTCCCATGTTTGGAGTTGTCATCCAGGGTCCAGTCATCTCTTTTAAATCTCTTCTGCCACCTCATAATTGTAGTTCCATCTGGTATATACTCCTTTTATACTTTCTTCATGGTAGCATACGTTTTGCGTGCTTGTGAGTCTAAGTGAAGTATGAAATTAGGCCACCAAACGCAAGGCCTTCTGTTATCAGGTAAGAATTGCAGCCATTTTTGCAATTTCTTGACTGTGACTGTATTTGAATTTGTGACTACTGAACTGTGGTATTATGACATCACAGTGCTAAATGTCATTATTTGTACTTAATTAACATCATGCTGAATAAATTTAACAATTTCCCAAACATTTTGATCATTTAAAAGAAAGAAATATTAATAGAATAACACTTTGGATCTTTTCATAATTAGAAAAATTGGTACCTGCCCCGCCCACCCCTACCCCCATGTTGCTATAGCAACCATATTAAGACTTAATATCAATGTTCGATGCTGAAACTTCAGGATAACATAGATAAAACTTCAATTGTTATATACACAAAATTTCAGCTGAATTGAAAAATATCAAAGAAAGTTAGAGCATATAGTGCATTATTTTTGGGACAACCCTCGTATAACTGTCATTAGATATTGTATCAATTTTGTATTACATGTATATTGTATATGTATTTATACTACTCACAGGTGTGGGTAGAAATAAAATCTAAACTGAAACTTAACAAAATGAACGCTTTCAGAGAAGAGAAGATTTGACTGAAGTGTAATTAATTATGACCAATTTAGGCTACTGAAAATGTTTTTGTTAAAGCAGTTTACTATAGTACAGCACATAAGACATGAGTCAATCTTTTTGAACTTCAGATGTCGTGACGATATGAGTGAGAGATTTTGAAAAACTGTGGCAAAAAGTTGCTTTCTATCTCTAATTATCTATCTCGATTATCAATAAATGTATTCAATAAAGGGGTAATATACAAAATGAAATTAATAATGAAATCATTTTGCCTTAACACATGTACAGTTCACACACAGATAGAGAACTGTACTGCAAATATTATTAATAATACAATGCAATAATAAGCCGCAATTGCAATCAATCTATGTAAGTGAGCATATAAAAACTCATGAAACAAATTTATGGATGCTGCACATCATCTATATATTGCATTACGGAACAGATACTGACATTAGAGACTGATTTAGTACACTTTCACAACAAGGTTATTGTAAACAAATTGTTACTTAATTCAAAAAACATCGTTTGAAATGACTCAGTAAATAAAATTAACAATCTAATTATTCATTCATTTATTCAAGTAAAAAAAATGCAGCAATTTAAATCAACTATTTCCATGACGTAATGGCTATAAAGCTCGGCAGGAAAATGCGTATCAAGTGGAGTGATGTCGGATTAGGATTCTTGGTTGTGTACATTAGTGGTATCATCCTCATGTATGTGCTTTACCGTACATCTCAACAACATGTAGAAAATGTCTCCCACTGGCGCAGCAAGAATGCTAAAATGGATCTTAATCCAGTGGAGAACACTGAAGATTCTGAAGAACAATTTATCGACCAATCCGATTACAAGGCAGGGTTGAATAACTTTGAATTTATAAAGCTGGATCATCGAACTTATTTTCTAACAGGATATTTGGACACTCGACAAGATGTTCATTATGTTCGTGTATTAACAATTTTAAAAACAACCCAGCATATTCATCAACCAGATGACCGCCATCCCATATATTGTTACATTAATATGGCCAATGGGAAAGTTATTCGCATGAATTCAACTGTTTATGAATTTAGTGAAAATCACTCAAATATATTTGGTGGATTTTTTCTATCATGTAAAATACCTAAGTGGTCTTATAATCTCATTGCTAAAGCAACTGAGGTACACATGTCCAAAAGTAAAGACTTTGAGAAAGATTTGGCTGTTGCAGTGCCATTAGAACATTTTCACGATGGGCCCGCACGGCATGAATTTGGAGTTTGTGTGCCACCTATTTTCAATATATGGGATAAAATCACCAGACAGAAACTCGTTGAATTTTTAGAGATGACAACAATTCTAGGAGCTGACCATTTCTACATGTACATCTTTAGGGGCGAAGAAACCGATAGGATCATTAACGAGGACTTACAATGTGTTTTAGAGTCATATGAAGAAGCTGAAAAGTTGACACTGTATGACTGGAATGTCCCTGTGAGTAAGGAAGATATCCACTACTATGGTCAGCTCCTCTCGATTCAGCATTGTCTATATAGCAATATGTTTAAGAGTAAATATTTGGCATTTAATGATCTTGATGAATTCATTGTGCCAAAAACTGAACTCACATGGAATAAAATGGTATCCTCAATAGCCATAGAAGACAATAAGCCCCCAGCTGGGTATGTATTCAAATCTGCAATATTTCCACCATCTATAAGTAGGCCAAAGGGCATAAAACCTTTAATTACAATGTCCAGTATTGGCCGAACTAAAATCAACCCATTTAGGACAAAATGTATTGTGAAGCCAGAGAGGGTATATGAGATGGGAATCCACCATGTGGCCAAGGTCCAAGAGGAGTGTATGATAGTAAATGTACCTGAGGAAACATGTTTGGTACACCACTTCAGAAACTGCCAACAAGATGAGCATGAAGATTGTTCAACCATACAGCCAGATGACTCTATGTCTATACACAAAACAAAATTAGAACCCAAATATGCAATTGCGTATCTAAAAGCAGTAAAATATTGTAATGCTGTATATAATGACGATGGCAAGGATACAGTAGAATAAATGAAACACTTGTACATGTACTTATATATATATATTCATGTCATATATTTCATTATTTCAATTTTCTGTTCATATCAACTGAATTTTATTACATAGACATAGCTGTATACAGAAATATAACTATAAGTTATATTTGATTGTATCAATTTTATCACACAGATAAAATGTGGAAATCGACGGGAAACATAATAAAAATATGATGAAAGAATACAAATGTATTGTATGATATACATGTACACATGTTTACTTTTTAATTTTACCAATTGTATTAGCATTACAATAATAATGTATGAGAAACACATAGAAAACAAAGCAATTCACATAAACAAAAATTAACAAAAGGATTGACATATCATATCAATAATTTACGAGTATGTGGGAAATTAAAGCAGCTGAATAATCAAGATTTAATATCAAATGTAAATTTGTAATTTCATATTCAAATTGCCAGCTAGAAATCGTATATGTTGTTCGTGTTATCTGTCTTAATTGCATTACATGTGAATTTCATTTCCAATTACATGTTACAATTTATGTTTCAATATTTGAGGGGTTCAATATTTCAGTATTGTAAGCCTAGTGAATTTCATGTGACTAAATTTTGCAATTATGAAAATTATATGAAGACATTTCCATGGGTTATATACATTTTTGTTCATGTCACACTTAATTGTAGGCTGTAAACCTATTGTTTACAGTTTGAAAAACTGTGTGCAACAGCATTTTAATATTGCCTAACAAATCTGAATTTATAAGTGGGTAAGGTAGCTTGATCCATTTATTTGAATGTTATTTGTTTTTGTGAATACTTAATAACATGTATGTGCATCAAGTACTAAGCTATTTATTATTATTAGTGAATGTTGAATTCTACATATTCAATTTTTAATTTTGCCAAAATGTCATAAACACAATATTTTCTAGATTTACAGTACCGTATACAATTATAAAATGTATAAAAACCTATACATGCATACACTGTATGGATATACATTTTATCATTTCAATATGACAAGATAATATACAATTTCAGTAAAGTCTTTCTTCGACTCCTTGTTACAGATAAGCCTTTTGCAGATCAAAGTATAAGGCATTTGTAATCACTAATAATACATATATGGTATAGCATGCATGTATACTAAAATATAGCATACCTGTTGCATTGACTCTTATTCCATTGTTTCAATTGGAGAGAGCTCTCCATCCACTATCCCAAATTAAAATACATGTACTTTGGTTGTAATATGCGAAGAATTACAAAGAACGATTCTCGGTTTGGAGAACGAAGTTCATCAATCTAAATGACCATTATCCCTGCTTCGGACAAATTTGATTTTTTTAGATAATATAGATTTGAATGTCTTCTTTTGAATAGTCATAATTTAATTTGGGTAATATTTCTAGATTTTTCGCAAAAAGATATTAGCGCAGTACACTGATGAACTTCTTTCCCCAAATCGAGACTTGTATTTTATTGAATCGGTCTGATTGAGCGTTACCCCTGCTTCAGACCAATTTGTTATTTTTACATCTTGTAGATTTAAATGTCCTCTTTTGAATATTCATAGTTTAATTTGGGTAATATTTCTATATTTTTCATGAAAAAAATTATTAGCCCAGGAGACTGTTCTCCAAACCGAGAATCGTCCTTTGCTGATTTCAATCACTATTTTCACTAATAGTATTTTCCGTATTTGAAAGTCTAATATTGCATCAAGTCCATTGCATCCATTGATTCCACATTCAGAAGGTCAGTTAGTATATAAACATGTAACTTATACTACAAGAGTTAGTATCTTATCTATCATCACCTGCGCAGGTCTGCCATTGTTACACTGGCTGTTGGGTCGAGAGTTACATGACAACAATCCTGTAAGAAAGTAAAATTGTAACTAGTGTACAGGGTGTCAAAAAACAACGGCACCCCCCTCTACAGCAAAAAGTACTTAATATTACATGGTGTGTCATATGTCATTTTAAAGACAATTTAATTCTGGAGTTACCTGAGAAATGTCAGCTTTATATCATGTAATTTTACAGATTTACAGCTGAATCTTAGTAGTTGGTATGACTGCCAGTTGCTGCTCAAACAGCAGCTTATCTGGACGGATATGATTTCAATGAAAATTCAGATAAAGGTGTAGCATTGCATAATCCTCTAAGCACTTTCCTCAAATTATTCAGAAATACATCCTCACTGTAACTTTTTTCAAGAGGCTCTTCGTCCATCAGTTCCTATACCCTGTTTTTCAGAACTGAACCCACATGTTCAGTGCAGTTGAAATCTGAGCTAATTCTTTCATATTCCACTTTCTGAAGATTTGACCTTTAACCAGTAACAGAGCAGCAAATAAAGTACCAAAGTAGCAAACTTAAAAACAATGTAGCTTTTTTAATATAAAGTTTTTATAAATGAAATTTGAGGAGTAACTCCAGAATTAAATTATCTTTCAAATGATGTATGACACAATATGGAACATTCAGGACTTTTTGCTGGAGAGGGGGGTGCCGTTGTTTTTTGACACCCTGTATAGCATAGATCCATTTCTCAAATACGTATATACAGGGTGTTGCATAATGACTGTCCCCCATCCACTGTGAATCCTAGATCACATGGCCCCATAATCTATATATCAAAATAAAGCTTATTCTATTGTGGACATACGTGTCAAATATTGGCATGACTGGTCTTCAGGAACTTTTTTATGTTTGGTAGTCTCTATCATAGTCGCTATGAACAAGCTTTCATATGGTATATATAATATATAGGGGGTATGCTATTTAGGATTGGTTGTTGATGGGGGATGGTCATTATGAAACACTCTGTAGACTATGGAACTTATAATTAATTAATTATGTACAATGTATATGACACAATAAACAGAACAGAAATGTAACATATATATTAAAAAAATGTGACATGAGTTTGAAAGTAGAGAACATGCAATACACAAAATGTTCTGGAGTCTTTTACATATTAGACAAAGTCCTTATCTATTATATTCTATAAGCAGACATACATGATTGACACACATTTAAAACGAATTGAAGTGGATGAAAAGTGTCTCAGCAAGACTGGTGTCAAACGTTAGGTCGGTGATTACTCCAATGTGAGCTAAAAAATAAGTTGACCACGTGCAGACAATAATTCCATTTCATGCCAGTCATAGTTATCATATTAGATATTTTATTACTCTAAAGTGACAGGATAAACATCATTTCAAAAACAGAAATTCTTTGCCTGCGTGGATACTAAAACATTTTTCCCCATCCATTCAAAATAAGTTGCAGTTTTAGATCAAATATTGCTGTGGACTGTTAATCAGGGGGTCATTAACAGAATTTCGCAAAGTTACGAATTCATAATTCATAACCTTTAGGAAATTCGTAAATATTTAAAAAGTTACGAATGACTTACGAATTCTTAAAGTTACGAATTGGCCATTAACAGAACACTTTCGGAAGTCATTCATAAGTTTTATCGTTCGTAAACGAATTTCAAATTGTGACGTCATCTTATATCATTATTCAGTACAAATAGAAATATGATGTCATTTGATATCATTGTGCGCTGTGATTAAACCTGTCTCCGCGATTTCAAAGATTCCCAGCTCAGGAACATATTTGCTTATCATGTAAGAATAGGTGGATATTTTAGCTTGAAACTTAGCATGCATATAAAGAACAATCTCCTTTTGCAAACCTGTATACCTTACATAAGAACTGGATGAGAAATATGCCATTTGCAAAGTTATGAAAGGGTCTGAGGTGCTATGAAAGTTACGAACGAAAGCATACGTGACGTCATTTTTTCGTAACTTTGTGAATTGTTCATAACTTTATGAAAGTTCTGTTAATGCACATTTACTAAATTCGTAAAATTAACAATTGACTTGCGAATTCGTAACTTTGCGAAAATTTCGTTAATGACCCCCAGGTTAGAAGATCTCGCTAGATCTACTTTAGTTTACAAATTATAAACAAGAACACAAATGTGTACAAAATGTCCCCACCAAGTGGTGATCCCGTGAAATGGTTATCCTGAAAATGAGTAGACAAGACTTTACCAACACAATTTGAGGACGGAAAATCCAAAGTGGCCACCTTAAAATTTACCCAGAATGCCAAAAATTTAGTCAGTTCTAGATTTTCATACTAAGAACCACCCCTGAAAATTTGAAATTGATCCGTCACACAGTTAACCAGAAAACATGTAAACAAGACTTTACAGACAAGATTTCAGGATGGAAAATCCAAAATGGCTGCCTTGACATTTACCCAGAATGTCAAAAAACTAATCTGTTTGTAGATTTTCATACTAAGAATCATCCCTGAAAATATGAAATTGATCTACCAAACGGTTCACCTGAAAACGGGTAGACAAGACTTTACAGACAAGATTTTAGGACAGAAAATCCAAAATGGCTGCCTTAACATTTACGCAGAATGCAAAAAAAGTAATCAGATGTAGATTTTCATACAAAGAGTCATCCCTGAAAATTTGAAATTGATCTATCAAACCGTTCTCCTAAAAACGTGTAGACAAGACTTTACAGGCAAGATTTTAAGACGGAAAATCCAAAATGGCTGCCTTGACATTTACCCAGAATGCAAAAAAACTAATCAGTTCTAGATTTTCATACTAAGAATCATTCCTGAAAATTTGAAATTGATCTACGAAACGGTTCACCTGAAAACGAGTAGACAAGACTTTACAGACAAGATTTTAGGACGGAAAATCCAAAATGGCTGCCTTGACATTTACCCAGAATGCCAAAAAACTAATGAGATCTAGATTTTTATACTAAGAATCATCCCTGAAAATTTGAAATTGATCCACCAAACGGTTCACCTGAAAACGCGCAGACAAGACTTCACAGACAAGATTTTAGGACCGAAAAATCCAAAATGGCCGACAATAAAAAAGTCCTTATGAGTTTTTGCTGATTTCTTTTTACAAAATTATCACATATAACTACTGTTAACAATAAAGTAGGCTTTTACAGCAAAGTACATCTGAAATTATTTATAAAGCTACTAAATAGTTAAAGTATGAAAACTCAAAAACACCATTCAATATGATACAAAGTATTATCGCGCGCTAACTTTTCTTAAGACATTCAAAATGGCTGACATGACTGAGCTAGCAGGTCCAAAACCTATTCAGATCTAGAATGAAGTGAGTTGAACAAGATGTTAAAGTTTTAAAAGCAACTGTGAAGCAGTTTTTCTTAAAGTTTGCAGACAAGGATTTTAGCATTTGACTTCAAAATGGCCGACAGGAAGTAGGTATCGAGTTAATTTTTTTTCATCCACATCTGTATGCACTCATAAGTTATCCCTGAAAATTTGAAGGTGATATCTGTAGCGGTTTTGGAGAAAACTGCCGGACGTACGGACAGACGGACAGACAGACGGACAGACAGACGGACGGACGCGCCTAGGCCGACAATATGGCCCCACACTATGTGGTGGGGACATAATAAAAAGTAAGACTTACCTCAAACAAGGGAGGTTCTTTAGGATGTGGGTGGAACTTTGTCTGTGTACAATTAGCTACAAACTGGAGGCCGTACTCTGGGGTCAGCATAAATATACCTGTCCTGAAAGTTTACATTCATTCAATAATATTAATAATATATGGTATGTTTTTATATATTTTAAATACAGTAAAACCTGTCTAAGTGGATCAACTCTGGTACCTCTGAAAAGTGTTCTACTTAGGTGTTCCACTTATAGAGGTTCACTTATCATTAAGTCAGTTGTTCTTGGGACTCTGAAAAGTGTTCCACTAATACATAGAGGTGTTCCACTTCTGGAAGTGTTCCACTTTACAGGTTTCACTTTCTCTTCTTATAAAAAGCATAATGCTAAATGATTAGATTGTTTTTGAAGCATCATGCTGAACCAGGATTTTTGCTCAAATCATAGCCCAAAAAGTTTACGACATCTTCCATTTCCAAAATAGTTTTTTCCTCCAAAATTTAGGTAAAAGTCACTCCTCTGATAAGCATAACTTAACCCGATAAATAAAACTTAAAAATATTATTCAAACAATTGATGTGGAAAAAATCATTCTTTCAAATAAACTAATAAATATATACATACTCATTATATTTAGGTGCACAGACTATTGCAATTGCCTCTGGCATCATGAGCTGGTAAGAGCAATGGGTGTGCAGGTCTACACTGGACAGAAAGGCAGTCTGGGTGGGGTGGGTCTGAAAACAAGCAATGCCATGTACAAATCTGTTTACGATTTTAAACTGTCCACCTTTTCCATACAAAATGAAAGCAAATGGTCAGTGTGTAGTACAATGTTCAACTGAGGGGTGATCTGCAGGATCTCTATTTAGAATTCAATAGTGATAGATCACAAATGAATCAGTATTTTTCTAGTATCAAATATTCAATTTGCAGGAAACAGTTTTTCACTTCAAGTTTCTTCAAAATCAAAGGCAATTCAATTCCAAAGAACACTTCATTGGTGAATATTGTGTCTAAAGATAAAATTAACTCCAATCCCCAAATAAATAAAATTATTAACTTACATGTATCCAACCCAGTGTTATCAGATCATACTTGTCCTGGTAATCAAACAGTTCCTCCTCATTAGCAGTAGTACAGGAATCAGGGGTACCAGACTGCTTGGGGATCAGCACATGACTAATTTTGAACACATTACTGGCCTACAAGCATGAAATATTCAATAGAACAATACAATAGTAGAGGAATCAGGGGTACCAGACTGCTTGGGGATGAGCACATGACTTACACATTACCCAGGCCTACAAGCAAGATAAGATATTCAATAGAGCAATATAGTAGTACAGGAATTAGGGGTACCAGACTGCTTGAAAGCATATGACTAGTTTTGAACACATTACTGGACTGAAGTAAGACTGTAATGTGCTATATATTGATTTATTGGTTTGGGGGTATGTAATCTTTTTTCAAATTATCTTTACATACAATGTAGTTATCCAAAAACTTTGCAGATTGTGAATCAAACAAAACATGAAAACATATAGACATTAATATTTACCAATTTTCCCGCAAGGATGCCACAAGTTTCTATATTTCTGTCTGTGTTTGACCTTGCAATGTTGAGGAACTTCACCATGAGTTCCTGGGGTACAATAACACTCCTCAGTCCATGTTTGTTACTGGTGCTGGCACCTACACTGGTGAAGTGGTCAAGGTTGGGCTTGGCACTTCTATCATACTCTGGGATAACAGACCTGGAATGGGCAATTATGTGGTAGTGATTAATTACAAGGATTAAGACTATATCTGTAGTCTCTATTAAAATGACATTGCTATTATTCCAAAAGAAAAGTTTTTTAAAGCTAACAATAAAAATTGTAGAAATTAAGATAAATAAACTAGAAATCTCAGAAATGTTCAGACTAATAACAAGCTCTCAGAAACAATTAATGTTCCATATACCTGTATATATTAAACATGTTCTTATACCTTGTCAACAGTACACTTACAGTTTAGTGACACACTATACAATCTTTAAATTCACAACTTGTCACTGGTGACTCATTCATCCAATGAGAAATGGATGAGTGGCTATTCTGTCCAAAATGCGACTTACCCAGCTCCGGCAGTTATAGCACCAGTATCACTTGCAGGGGGAGCACTAGGACTCACGGGCTTCAAATCTCGACTAGGTATGTCAGGAAGTACCTTTTTATAAATATCTGATCTCTTGCTCTCCCCTGAGTAGACTTCTCCATAAGCAGGGGGAGGTGGAAGACTAGAATTGTCTATATCTGGGGGCGGCCCTAAAGGTGGTGCTGTAGGTGATATCGGAATGTTTACTGCGGCATCAGCTATAGTCACACCACCTATTACACCAGTTATATTTTTTATTTTATCTTTGTCTTGTTCAAGTTGTCTTTGACGTTCTAGTTCCTGTTCTTGTAAGATTTTGTATTGACGTTCTTGCTCATTACGGATTCTCTGCTCCTCATTTGCTCTTTGCTCCTCCTGGGCTATCCTCTCCTGCTCCTGTTGTTTTGCTAACTCCTCCTCTACACGTCTCTGGAATGATGTCACAGAATGTAGATAAACGTAATGTACATGTGTTAGTTAAATGAGTGGTTCTTACAAGATAATATTCATTTTTTCAATGGGTGCAGGTCATGCAAAACCTCTACTTGAAAGATGGGGAGATGACCTTACAGAGCTAGGATAGTTGAAAATACCTGTTCTATCTGGCGTAGTTCTTCCTCTTTGCTGTACCTTTCTTTCAGTTGTTTCTTTACTTGCTCTGCTAGTGGAAACAGTTGGACCATTTTCTAAAATAAGAATTAAAAATTGCTGGGCTGTTTTCATCAAAAGTAAAAATACTGCCCTGGTGTACAAAACATTCTATTAAAGTCCCATTCATAAAACAAAATATGACTATCCATATATGTGTTAGCATATGTTCTTTATACTTTCACACACTCACACAGAGAAACCTGTTAAACCATTATAAGAATCAGCCTGTGTTTCTTTACCAAAGATTTCATCTTTTACAAGGCATGTGTCTTTTCACTTCTGAGCATTATAGTTTACACCTGTGACAAAAGTAAAATAGCTGGCCTAGTAGTGTGTTGAATGGTTGGGATGTTTTATTTTACATACCTTTTTATTTCTTTCCCTTTCTTCTGGTGATGTGCTTTTATATTCAGGATGCTTTGGTAACTTTTCCACAAACAATCTGAAATTATTAACAATAAAGTTTGATATTTGACTGTGACTGGGGAAGAAAATAATCATAATGTAAAAATGATTAAATGTGAAAAAGTTCATTCTTTATTATCATAATCTTGTTTTTAAAAATATGAAAATGAGGATGTTAATTGTCAGTGTTGCTTTAATAAAATGAACTATTTCATTCAAAATTTTCTTAAAACCCCCTCTCCTACCCCGGGTCCTCTACGCCCAGCATCCATAAACAACCCATCCTAAAAGGAGGTGAAGTAGATCAACTTACGCAATATATTTTGAGTAGAGAACAAATGCGCTCTCTAGATCTCCTTCACTATGATACTGAGTAGCCATTCTTAACATTTCCACACCTGACCGGAAATATCTACGAGGGGGGATAGCTTTATCCACTTCAACTTTACAGCCATACTCACAAAGAGCCCTCACTCTTGCTGCAGGATCATGAATGTCGGAGAAGAGGCTTGGCATGTTGTAATCTAGGAAAGTAAAATATGAATCCCAATTACTGCATGAATTGTAAATATCCAAATACATGCCAGTAATCTGGCTTAGAACCACAATACTCGCTAATTTCAAGAATTGTCAATTTTCTTCAATGTACGGTACAGTGAGATAATACTAAATACAGGACTATACTTAGTCAATCTAGTCTAAGGTTTTTGAGTCATTTGTATCGATAAGCATCTATTTATGACTTCATAGTCCAGTAGTCCATCTTGAGTATGACTATGAATCACGGACACCACATTCATGACATCATTCATTATTGCTGAGTAATCAATTTGAGATAATACACAGTCAATCAATTTGTGAGGTAGTTCAGTTTGACATTGTGAATGTTTCAACTTTTCACTTATATAATTAGACTCTAGTCAAACTGAGCAATGTTATACAGAGAAAAGGTCCAATTCAAAGTCACTTCCATGTTTTAAATCAGTCAAACTTGATTCAGAAAAATCTGAAAAATTTACCCAAAGTTGGACTGGAATTTATGTCATAATAATGTATTATTTTCTATATCTAAACATTACGGAATATACATGGAAATAAGTAGGTGCACAATTACCTCTAATATGTACGCCTGTGGAAACTAAAGTGCAAAATCACACAGAAATAGACATGTTTGAGATTTGCGAATTCTTCATTTTATATAAATGTTGGCTAGGCCTATATCTGAATCGAAAATACAAAATTGACAAAATTTGACACATTCACATGTGAAAAATATATGAAAAATATGAGATAGATAAATTCAATATCACAGTAGCTCTCAGAAATTGTTTAAAAGCCTACAAGAGGGATTAAAATTGCTAAATATAATGATTCCGTTTCATCATTGTTGTTAATATAGTGATGTCCAAGACAATTTTTTCCAGCCGATTCCAGAATCGATTCTTTGATTTCAACATCGATATCTATGCAAAAATGTTGATCTGAACAGCTGTCTTTGAGTTCAGACATTGCTTCTCATTACAAAATATATATCAGTGGCACAAACATAAAAATATCTATACGCATATGACGTTATTTCAACCAAAATAATTCATATTCTTAGTTTCAAATTCTGCCGCTAGGGGAGTAACCGGAAGTGAACGAATTTGTTGGCTAGTCACCAGGCAACAGACTGAAAAGTTGATGAATGGAGGAGAACTGAGGTATGTTTTTCAGTTTTATGTGTACTTCATATCGATGTCAACACCGAATTTTCTTCTCTGTGTTACTAATTTATCGAGTGATAAAGAAACGATTACCTATGATCTTTAGTGATTGTGATTGGCAACACATCAGCTATAATGAATGGTGACTAATTTGGAATGATTGACTGACTGATTTTTTCAGTTTGAGTTTCCTCTGAAGCTAGGCCTAGACTAAGCTTACTTACTCTAGAACTGCACAAACACTTTCCTTGGATAATGCATTCTGTGATCTGGTTCCCATGATAAGATGATCAGTTTATAAGTGCTGTCTTGGGTTTTGTTTGTGTTTTGTCCTAAGGCTAGAGAGTTGGATGGGCTATGATTGTGTTGTTGTTATTCACTTCCTAATTGTCATTGTGAAAATATTAAGTCATATGTATTCAATGTTATAATTACTCCATTACATCCCCTCGTAAGTCATAAACTCCTACATGCCAGTGTAGATGATGTAGGTAGATCTAGTAATGTCAATCTTACAGGGTAAGCCCTATTGATGATTGGCAGATGTAGGATAGACTTGATAACAGTCCAGTTTTGCTATCACTAAATGTCAAAAATAAGAAAAAGGCAAAACACCCCCACATTCATGGGGGTACTGTATCATTGCAATGCTACAATGATATTTTATATTAGCCTCTCGACTATTTTTTTTATGTCAACACCAGATAATGAGTCCTGGACTCCTGAGGTCCAACAATTTAATAGACTTTATAATGTTGATGATTGGAATTAATTTGAAACCAATTAATATTTATTGAATCATAAGAATTCATTTGGGAAAATATCCAGGAGTTCCAACTACAAAATCTAAAATAGTCAGTTCTCTTCCTTCCTCTAGAAATGGTTAAGATAACATTAACCAAACCCGTCTGGCCCAGTTATCTACTCCTGACATCGTAGATCTACGACAATTCAGAATCGGGAGTAGATTACTGGGCCAGACGGGTTTGGTTAAGATAACATTAGATATCATTACATGCATTTCAGATAAATACACTATAACTTGAGGACTTTGAAGCACAATTAAAATGACAGGGGCAGCTTCTGCAATAGAGGCTGTGGAAGATCAAATCCGCACCACTGCACAAACAAAAAGAATCCGAGCATCTGGCTTCTTCCTTGATCATGACAGACTACGTTCAGGATGTGTCACAGGTAGGAAACTATAAATATTTAAAATAACATCTATGAACTATGAAATTAGATCCCTATAAATCATACCAGAAGTGAATGCTCTTATTAGACTTGATTGAGGGCTGTCGTGAGGCTTTTAAACTTAGGTAATCCACCATTGTGTATCTAGCTCCAGCCTCTAGCTTTTGATTGTAATTGACTTAGGCTACTGCAAACTGTTACACTTACAAAGAATGTTTTTACCACAATCTTAATATTTCCTGATGAGAGTGCTGAGAGCACATTCAGAATTAAGAAAATGTTTTCATTTCAGTATTTACATTTCAAAAATTTTATCGGTCTTTGGTATTTTTATGTTCTTCAGTAGATATTTTGTCGCCTACAGGGTGTTCCAAAAGTAACAGGACTGGTGCTGGCATTTTGTCAATTTTGCACCGAGTGTCTTCAAATTTTCACAAATTGTACTTTGAAGTATTGCAACTAAAATTGTACAGTTTCAGAAAAAATGATGAAATGCGGGTAGAGTTGTGGTTACTATAGTAACATGACATCACAATACCCGGGGCAACTTTTTCCTGAAAATGTGATATCTAACATTTTGGATTACTGAAAAAAGTATCTAATTCACCTATTATAATACAACATTTCTTGTTTATTTTCTTAGTTGCTTTGTTGTAAAGGTGTTGCTATACAACTCAGATTCAAGTATAATTTCACAATAATAATAATATTTATTCAATTTCCTGGAATATCACTATGAATTACAGTCTGAACAATTCACGGTTGAGTTTTTGAAAAGACCCAATTTGAAGTCAGTTATCCACCTTGATAACGCGCCTGCCCGCAGGTCACCATTAAAGACCATGCAGCTATAGAAGAGCTAGGTCTTGAGTTCTAAAACCATGCACCATACTCTTCTGATAATGCAACATCCAATTTTTACTTACATGGGGAATGGAATGCTAATCAGTGCTGTAAGATCTTTAAAGATGAGAATGACCTTCTCCAAGTTGTTCAATCGACCATGCGTGACATGTCCTCAAATGGGTTCACTCATGTGTTTGAGTCATGGATACAGAGTGCTACTCTTCTACTGACAAAAGAGGAGCCTATTTTTCAAAGTAGGGGATACATAGGAATATCAAATTATGTAAAACAAATGTCATTCCCACCAGTTGTTGCATTTCAACTTTGATATGGGATGTACAAAATGCTTAATGTCTCTTTCTGTCTTAATGTAACTTTCTGCGTGGAATGTTGCCCCGGGTATTGTGATGTCATGTTACCATAGCAACCATAACTCTACCCGAGTTTCATATTTTTTGTCAAAACTTTGCAGTTTTAGTAACGATATATGGAAGTACATTATGTAAAATGTTGAAGACGATTGGTGCATATTTAACAAAATGCCAGCACCAGTCCTGTTACTTTTGGAACACCCTGTAGTGTTTGCCCTCAGTAACACATAATAAGCATGCATTTCTTCCTGTACAGAAACACAGTTTTTCCGGGTGCTCTGGCAAAACCTTGAGGTGAAGCTTACCAATGAACAAGAGGCACTCCTGGCACAGAAATACAAATTGAAGCGTAATGGCACGGAGTATATGAACTATAAAGCTTTCTGTGATGTCATAGAGCGACCTTTTGATGCAGGAGACATGTCTATGAATCCTGTCACACAAAAAGTTGAACCCCAAGAATTGTGAGTATATACACTTTTATACTATATCAATAAAAAGCTTTGTTAATTAATCAAATAAAGTAAAACCTATGTAGAGTGAACATTCTTTGCTGAAAACATTCACTTGTTACAGACAGGATTCAATTCAATGTCATCTTGCACTTTTACACATATAACGACCCCGGGATATAGATAGTCTATATTTTAACAAGGCTATATGTCAATTAAGGGCTATTATTTTTGATTTAGCCTGATCTGTTTTCTAATTAATGGGATCAGAAAAAGTCTTAAGTTGGGTTATAGCAATATGATACAATCCCAAATGATTCCTCTATCATATATCAATACAAAATAAATATTTGATATTATATATTTGCAAAACCTCTGAAAACATATTTATTCAGCTTTCAATCAAAATAATACAGTAACTATAGTCTCTAAAATTGAACATGCCCTGTACAATAATTATGTTTAACAATTGTTTTTATTAGCCTTGGTACAATGCGATCTATTCGCCCTTTGAGTCCAGCATCTGAGAAGCGTATTGAGAACCTTCTTGAGAGGATGCAGCAGTTTTACAAATATCACGGCATCAATCTTAGGACAAGTTACAGGGATTTCGACAGACATCATATAGGAGTTGTCACTGAAAGTCAGGTAATAAAGAATATTCTAGAATGTAGTATTAATGGGATGATTGAACTTTGAGATTTTCTTAAATGTCTTTGAATGATTTTTTTTGTACATGTGATATGCAGAGTCAAATAATGATTGATTAAAACAAAAATTGCTTTCAAGCAGTTCATTGATCTATATAAAATGCATTAGGCCTATGTAAGCGATAACTTTATTCCTGACATCAAATAATTATAACATTGTGTATTTTCAGTTCTACAGAAATTTCCCTGGGCCCGATGATGTGGATGAGAAAGAGGTTCATTTGCTGGTGCGTAAATACCAAGATCCTGACCGCCCTGGCTTGCTCAATTATCTTAACCTCCACCATGACCTCGTAGCGATTGGTCAGAGAATGGATGCCCCAGATACATCACTCCCACAGACATCAAACATCAGTGATTTTATCACCGCAACACCTGGAGCAGATGCAACATTCCAAGCAATCTTTGATCGCATAATGGTTGCTGTCTACAAACATGGAGTTCGTACAATTGAGTTTTTCAAAGATCATGATAAGTTGAAGAGTGGAGTTATCACTGAGAATCAGTTTGTATGTGGTTTGACATTGGCTATTGGAAAGGAGGCTCAGTTGACGAGGAATGAGATCCAGCGTGTGGCGGAGTTCTACAAGAATCCAGATACACGTATCAGATATAAGGAGTTCTGTGATGCTATGGAGAATGGTAAGTACATTAAGTTTGAGCATTTGTCGACAGTGCCATTGCATTCTGGCTGTTAACAAGCATGCACACTGAACAACAGAACCATATTCCCAACAATAAGTAGTACATTTGGCTGATGTTTCATTTAATATTATTACAGTAATCATTTTATGTCACTTCCAGAAATGAAAAGATTTTGATGTAACATTTATTTTGCAGCCTTCAATGTCCCAGACTTAGAAAAGAAGCCATTGCAGGAAGTGAGCAGGCCACCAAGGGGTGCACTCTCTAGGACACTTGCCCCATTGACTGAGGCAGAAGAGGCAAGGCTGAACCAAGTCCTACAGACCCTGAGTGATCAAGTCAGGAAGAGGCGCCTCATGATGTACCAGTACTTCAAAGATTATGATAGGGTAAGCTATAGAAAAGCAGGCCCGTAGCCAGGGGGGTTCGCAGGGTTCGGGCGAACCCCCCCCCCCCCTCACCCCTGGCCAAAACACCTTCAAAACCATGCAGTTTTTCACCATTTTGAGCACTTCTCAAGGGATTTTAGCCATATTTGGGCCAAAATTGTCAAATGTGAACCCCCCTGGAAATTTTTGAAAACTGAATCCCCCCTTGGCAGATCCTGGCTACGGGCCTGAAAAGCCTCACAATATATACACAACATATAATTAAAAATTGTAACTTATAAACCAAAGCTATTTTATATTTGATTGGTATACTGAACTTTATAGTATTTGGAGGGTTTGTAGTGTAAAAAAATACAGGTCAGTATTTTACTTTACAGAGTTCTGAAGTTCATGATAAACTCAATAATAAGTTATTATTTCAAAGGTGGTCAGGCAGGCATTGATGTATACTAGCATAATGTACATGACCTTAGCCAACCCTTCAACACTGTTATAAATTCTGTTGTTTTCAGGGTAAGAATTACACTAGGATTGTGACAAAGCCTCAGTTTGCACGTATCCTCCACTTCCTCAGCCTGAATGTGTCTGCTGAGGACATGAAACTGTTGTGTCGCAAGTTTGAAGATCCATACTCCTCAGATGTCAACTATCCTGCATTTGTACAGTCAGTGGATCAAGGTATGAAATATATACAGTAAAACTTGTCTAATTCGACCGCCCCTGGGACTGCACAAAGGTGTTCAGATTAGCAGGTGTTCATATTTTAAGGTTTCTAAAGTATCTGAATCAAGTGGAGATGATTAAAGAAAAGGTGTTTACATAGAAAGGTGTTTGGAAAAAGAGTGTTTAGATATGTTTCACTGTGCCATTTCTGCATAAGAAATCATTTCAGTCATTTAAACACTTGTCCTTCACCTTCATTCTTCATACTTTGATTTTCAAATAAATTGATTTGAAAAACCAAGTCTCCAAAAATATGACGTTCTAATAAATTTCAATGTGTCTTTCAGAATATGTTGGTTTCACTATGCACCCTCCCGAGAAAGAGTCAATCCTGACCCCACAGGACCGGGCCCCCAAGCCTGAAGAAAAGATTGATTACAGTGATATTAGCTTTGATGACCTCATGGCTCGTATCAGAGACCATGTCTCGAAGAATAGACTCAGGGTAGGGTTGTTAAAGTCAATCACCATAATGGATGTGCATTGTAGTTAGTGTATTGTACATTTTTTGTATGCTTTTTGATGATGGTACCCCCTCCTATTTGTGCTCTAAGTTAGAGATACAATGGAAGATACAGGGGTTTGATGCAAAAATACAATTTAGAGTTTTTTATTGAATCATTAACAATAGATGTATTAACCACAATGTCACTTTACTTCAATAGGTAAATGAGTATTTCCAAGACTACGACCCTCTGAGGAATGGCTCTATTAGCAAGCAGCAGTTCAGGAGGGGACTTGGACTCCTGGGACTCAGTAAACTGGGACAACATGACCTGGACTCTAAACAGTTCCAAGCCCTACAGGACTATTATCAGAACCCAGTGAAAGCCGACCAAGTGCTCTGGACAAAATTCCTTTGGGATATTGAGAGCGGTAGGTTCATTATTTTAAATCAAAGCTGGATAATTAAGATTTAGGGAAAATTCTTTTCATAATAGACAGTGTGTAGCCAATGGCTTTGTATCGAAGTACTTTGACAAATGGTGAAATGAACACCTTTAGTACATGGTTTCCCTGTATGCTTGCTTACCCTAGAAACCATGAACTTTAAATAGCACTTACTTTCTCAAAAGCCCTCATGTGAAAAGTGATTCTTATTGTGGTCTGATTGCAGTATTCACACAGCCTAACCTTGAAAAAGACCCCTGTCTACAGGTCCCTCCACAAGAGATCTTCCGGGTTCCTAAACCTGGCACTATAAAGTGGGAGAATGCCTCAGATGATCACAAAGATCTGTTTGAATCCGTCATGGAGCGTCTCCGCCAAAGAGCCAATCAAAGACGAGTTCTTGCTAAACCTGTATTCCAAGATTTTGATAAGCATAACAATGGTCATGTGACCCGGGTACAGTTCCGTCAATGTTTAACGATGTTGGAGTTACATGCGACTGAAGGTGAGATGGCAGCACTTGAGGCGAAATTCTGTAACGACACTGGGTTTAATTATATTGGCTTTCTCGAGGAATTACAGCCGAGTGTCACACCAGAGTTTATGTACAGTAAACGTCTCAGTGAGTTGAGGTTGGCCAATCAGAAGAAGAAGGGATCTCTACCAGAACTTAATGCTGCTGGGGATCTGGAAGCAATTCTGTCTAAAATTAAAACTAAGGTATGCTGTAATTTTGATAGCTGTACAGTTGTAAAGTCACATGAACATTGTACTCCTTAGAAACACAGAAAGGTCATTTTCTCCATCGTGAGAGTACACAATAATTTTTTATATTTAGGCCTTTTAAGATGTTGATTTTAAATAGTAGTTCAATAGGTCACATTACAACATTTAACATAAAAGACTTCATTTCAGAGATTCACAGAATTTGTTTAAATACCTTTGTTGATTTTCTTGTTAGCATGCACAAAAAGTTTCATTAATAGAAATTACATATTGAAATGCTTTAAATGTTGGTTGATCATCTCCAGGTGTGTAAGGAGAGGATACGAGTGCTGGAATTCATGAAAGATTACGACAAACTAAGGATGGGACGCATGCTGAAGGCATCATTCCGTCGTGCCTTGGATCTCTGTCGATTTGAGCTCAAGGAATCAGAAATCGCAATTCTCGAGGACAGATACCAGTCCCAAGGAGATTCGGATTATGTTGAATACCTGCGGTTCTCAGATGAAATCGAGTCAATCTTCACCACCAAGAATCTGGAAAAGGCTCCTTTACTAACAGTGGAGCAGTTTAAACCCCCTGTGGAATGGGAACAGAATAACCTTGACCCTGATGCTGAGGAGCTCATCAGTAGTTGCATGAGGAGAATTGGAGAGAAGGTAGGTTCAGTGAATTTGAGACTTTTATTCATTCTAATAGTAGAAACAGGCATTTCTTTTGCAGATAACTATAATTCCTATGCACTCTCCTGTCATCTTTCTCAACTAAATTGCTTATTGAGACAGTAAATGAGCAATTATAATCTTTGCCTTTACGTGATACCTGATTATATTCATGCTTGCTTTCAGGTGAGAAAGCACAGAATGCAGCTATTCCCATTGTTTGAGGATTATGACAGAGTACACAATGGAACCGTATCCAGATCACAGTTCCGTCGTGTCCTCAGTGAACTAGAACTTGGATCTCTTGTCAACGAACAGGAATTTGGACTTTTATACAAGAAATTTGATGTTAAAGTTGGAGGAAAGGATGATGTCAATTATATCGCATTTTGCGATTTAATCTATGAACTTGCCCACTTTGAATGGCGTAAACCATAGTGAGATTAAAATTGAAGAGAAGGCAATAGATTGTATTATAAATATATAGTCGTATTGGAGAAAAATATATATAAAAATTCTAACATTCAGAAAATGAGTAATGAAAAACTTTCTGCCTTGACATTCCATTGAAGAGGACATGAATTTTTTTACAATAATTTTATAATTAAAAAGTCAGCTCCAAATTTAGTGCTAGAATTGATATATGTAACAATCCACTTTAACATCTTCTTTAAATGTTCAATCTAATGCTACCACCCCAAGAAATACCTTCTGCTGTTCAGTCTAACATACCGCCCCAAGAAATGTCCAATTTGAAGTGACCTCTAAATTAATTTACTTAAAACATGTTTCTTTGGGCTGTAATTTAAAGTCTGTAATCATTTGACAACTTCTGCGATACTTTTTGAAATTATGAGTTCTTTATGTTTTCTTCCGGCAAAACTGCTGTCAGGCTGTAATTTAGCCAAAATCCACAATGTTTATTTCAAAAAGAGATATAAGTATTGCAAGGATATTTTAGCATTAAATCATTTTTTCTGCTTTTGCAGTATGTGATATATTCTATTCCATTGATTACAATTTATGTGATAAAGCATTCCGTCCAATGAAAATAAGGTATATTATTTGAATACCTTTGTATATATGTATATATTGTTAATAAAATTATAAATATTTACAAATACAACATGTATTATTTGATGTATATTTTTGAAGTTCTGTTTAATTTTTGTGTAATTTTGTGAAAGTCCACTTTTCTTTTTTTATTAAAATCAATGTAACATATTTACAGGTTGTAGTTAAAACACAACAAAATATATTGTTTTTGTGTAAATTCTAATATTCATTTATTTTTCAATTTGGTTGCAAATATCTGCTCGATAATCACCGAGGCACAAGAATCAATTTACTACCCATGCTTTATACAGAATCATAATATTTTTGGACTATAGCCAAAAAACTGATGTCTCTCAAAAAATATAATTCAAACTACAGTATTGACATTTAATGTCAAACATTTTGCCTTATGATTACTAGTAATCCCACAATTTTTGGTCATTTCTTTTTTCAGAATTTGTGCCATAGACTTTGAGAGGCAGTGGGTCAAACCTTAATTCATTTAATACTTTTTGGCAGACATCACTATTAGTAGAGCATAGGGTCAAAAGAATGTCGCTATTTTAGCAAATGTTCTAATGTACCATTGGAAAGCTTAGAGGGTCAGGGTCATGTATATCATATGAGCCTGGCCATAGGAAAACCGGTCTTATCACAAAAATTAAAATTGTGCTAGAGCCAAAAATGTGCCCACGATTAAGAGGAAAATGTGCTTAATTCAGATCCGACTCTAAATTGTTATGACATAAGCCATGGCTCATTTGAAAGGTTTCTTTGTGCTTCTTAAGATAAACAAAAAATCAGAATATTGAAAAAATCTGTGATAAGACCCCTTTTTCTTTGGCCTGGCTCATATATCTATGATATAGAGATCATTGTGATGTGTTGAATTAGGTTATGAAATTTTTAATGCTAATCTGCAAAAGTTAACTCTATTTTAACCTTTATCTTGGACTGTTTGATGTGTTATTCACCACAATTGAGTCTCTGTAAGTATTAGTAATACACTCATAATTTGCCGAGTCTTTGAATTCAGTTTGTCCAAAATCATAACATTATGGACCTCGATAGGGAACATATATTGGTATTTAATATTATTGGGCCACAATTTAACAATTTCATTTTCAAATTCCATACTAAGCATTTTAAATTATTGCTCTACGTGTGGCACTTATTAGAATAGCTTTTGACCTAGAATTCATTCCAACATTCCAAAGACAAAGTATCACAATATGAGACACAAATATCCCTGTGGCATAACTGGCATACTGTGCAAACATATGAATCAGTACATACAAAGACACCTTACACAGACTGACATAGTAACAAAGCAAAACATAATAGATAGTTCATTGAGAAACACTTACATATTTTGCAATGACATAAAGCCACATGATTTTTGTGACCTGGCATTTGAGAAAACAATACATTCACAAGTTACGAATTCTACTTGATCTGACCAGCAGGTTAATTCAAGAAGTTATTTCAAACTATACTTAATACAGTAAAACATGTACAAAGTGAACAGTTTTGAGCCTACAAAAGGTATCGGTGTAAGTAGGCATTTAAATAAATCAAAGAATTATGTTGCAAGAGATGATGTTCCACCAGTTCCACCAGGAATACTACAGGTTAAATTGTATGAAACAAAATTCTTGCTAAAGAACTTATGGGAGTTGAGGAAACTCTCATTGTTCTGTTTAAAGTACAATGGCCTAAGGTATGCATAAGGAAATTTATGAAAACTTAAGTAGATCATGAGACATAAAATTTATTTTAAGAGGATGAAAATTATTCAACAATGACTATCTCAAAGTTTTCTTGTTCCCATAATCATTGGACACATTCAATGGACACAATCAATTATTGGATGCATCATTCAGTTGCACAATCAATGAGCACAATCAATCATTGAGCACAATCAATGTAAGCTACCAGGCTTCAATGAATTACAATATTTGGCACAATCATTATTTGTTAATATTAACATTTTTTGTTCACACAAATGAACTTCTAATTTTGAATCACATATTGAAACACAAAAACATGTCACTTCACAAATGTATGTTTTGTATCAAACAAAAAAGAAGAGAAATCATAACGATCATTATATCAAAAAAATACATATACATAAAAGATCAGCATAACACCTCAAATACTAGATATGGCTTCTTAATGTACAATTCATTGGTAATGCATTACATGCTAACAAATAACAATGCAAAATACACAGATAGCATCAAGAATAATTCAAGTTTACTAAATCTTAACAATGAATCCAAATGGTTGTTATTTATTATAATAAAATAATCTTTAATCAATTTGGTGTATTCATCTATTTCATCAGCATAATTTGTGCAAAACTATATAGAGCACATTTCATTTTACTTTATGATCACCCTGTACTCATTACAGTGTCCACTTTAACATAAATTCTAGCACTAAATAAATCATTTTATGAAACATATTTTAATGAAGCCACCAGGCTTAGGCTAGAATTCAGAATATAATGAAACATTCCCTGTAGATTCTAAACCATAGCAAACCACATGGCTATTTCAAACAATAAACAAGCAATTTAACCCAGTGTCTAGACTACAGATAATGATAAGTGAAGCATTTTACATGTAAGCTTTTAAAGACAAAATATAGTAAGGTAACCCCTAACTTCCTGGGCAGCCCCACTGATTAATGCAATCTTCCCGTATACTATTAATCATGACCCAGAATTTACACAAGTAATGATATATTTTCTTGGATGATTCTCCAAGCCATGACTGAAAATATATATACAGATTTGTAACCTAAGGCCTTTATGCGATGTCATTCACATAGTGTATATAAACATTTTCAGAGGTATGAATCAAATTATGCTATCTTGTGTCCACAATTATACAATATACTGTACACAATTATACAATATATTGTACACAATTATACAATAAATTGTACACAATTATCCAATATATTGTACACAATCATATAAGAATAAATTGTTAACAATATATTGTAGACAATATTGTAGACAATTATCCAACATATTGTACACAATGATCGAAAATGTTTTGAACACATCTATATGATGTACTGTACATAATAATTCTACATGAGTTGGCATTATTTATTGTACACCATGGCTGGCTTTTGTGCAGCATTAAATGATTGAGCTAGGGGTGAGGAGGCCACTTGACGTTTCCCCGCCCGGGGGAGAGTATTCCTACCACCCGAAGAGTTTTCCCCTGGTGTAGGGGGATTTTGGGAAGTACTATCATGCACAGGATATGGAACCTCGTCTTCCAATAAGTCCTCCTCACGGAAACTTAAATTAGCGAACCCCTGAACTGGAACTTCCTCTTTAGGGCTTTTCTTTGATTTATGCTTTTTCCGTTTCAGAGAACCATACTGGGTATCAGGGGTAATGTGTTCATCAGAAACTGTCAAGTGAGTTTTCATGTTAGGGTCTAATTTGGCTGGAGTGATTGCATCTAGTTGATGTAAGGAGGCAGCTTTTTGGCTATCAACTAACTGACTGGGTTTACTGGGGGTACTGGACTGATACTGCATATCCTGGAATGGCACTGCTCCAAATATATCATGCGCTGATTTACTAACTGGCATTTTACTCCCTTTAGAGGCCCCCGGAGGAACTGAGAAGGTATTGGTTGATTGACTCAAGCGGTCTTTTAGATGCTGCTGTTTTTGCAGTTCGTAAGCCAACTGGTTGGAATCCATTGAGGCAAAATGTCCTGAACCGAATAAATCGACATCTGGCGTCATGGGAGAAGCATCTTTAGCCGCCGATTGTAGATATACAACATCAGGACTCTGTGAGAGTGCCCTTGATTCTATATGGGACAAGAGAGGTAGTGTATTAGGCACTGATACGCTTCTATTCACACCTCCTGGTTCTTCTTCAGTTGGAGTCTCTGTGGGGGACACCCCAAATAAATTGGCACGTGCTGACCCTGTTACAGCCGCTGGATTACTCAGTCCCTGATTGGGAGCCTCATGGCTTGCGGAACCAGGGCGCATTCTGAATGGAGCATTTGCAAATGGATTTGTATCTTTTTTAAAGCTCTGCTTGGACGATTTTTTCTTTTTTGATGAGCTCTTAGGAAATGGAGCGGATTTAAAGGGATCTTGATCTAAACTTGGTGTAGTTGTTTTTGAAGAGTGGGGAGATAAAGCAGGACTGAGGCCACTCTCGTGGGTGCTGCTGAATCCACTCATTGCACTTGACCCCCCACTTTCAAGCCTCTCTTCCTTCACCCCCATATTGCTCTCTCCCCCTAGGTCTACATCTGACAACTCATCATCCTCTAGGAGAGACCTGGCCCCATGTTCATGTCCTACTATCCTGTCTTGTTGTTCCAAGTCGGGTTTACGTTGCTGCTTCCCTTCTACGCTCCTCTCTAATGAGCCATCATCATAATCATCACTACTCCGTGTCTTTTTACTCCCATATTCATTATCTAAAGCCTGGTAGTTATAATCAACCTGCTGCTTTCTTCTGAGCCGTACATCTTCAACTTCAGGAGCCTCTGAGCTGGATTCAATTAAAGCTTTGCGACCAGTTGTGGGGGTCTCTTTTGTTGTTGGTGGTGGAGCAGCAGCCTTGTCTTGGTCATCATCTGTATCAACCAGATGGTGGTAGCGGGATTTGTCACTGCCACCAGTGATGTGCTTCAGGAAGGGTGTGTTGGCAAGGATATCATGGGACTTGCTGTCTCGCTTATGTTTAACAACATCTTCAGAACCTGGAAAGGAATATAGTACAACACTAAGATCCTAGACAGCTAATAGAATACAACAATTTACAAAATGTATCAATTTATACATTTTCAATGCATGCAATACTGTGCTGTATGAAAGATTTTGATGTATGCAAGACTATGATGTATACAAAATTTCAATGTGTGTAAGACTATGATGTATGCAAGACTTCAATGCATGTACAACTTTGGACAATACAGGAGTTCAAGGCATGAAAGACTATGATGTATGCACAATAGAGAAATTCAACACATGCAAGAATTGTAAAGTATGCAAAACTTCAATACATGCAAGACTATATGATATATTCAATACATACATTCTGTGATATATGCAAAACTTAAATCTATGCAAAACTTCATGAAAAGGATTGGTATCAATATGGAGAACTGAATTCAACAATGTTTTTCTCTTAAACAAAGCATTGAAAACATTCGGTAAAAAAACACGGTATTTTATGTAATGTTGACTGATTGACAACAATTTAATGCGAAAATTATTTAGAAATATTTTATATAACTGTTTTTGTTAACATTTTTTGTTTTTGTGCAATTGTTTTTGCTCCTTTCTACCAATTCTTGAGAATGAAATAAAATGTCTTTCCGAACCTTGTTGGAACAAAATAGCATATACAACATGTTTTTAGACCTCACAATATTATAGTTATACAAAGGGTTTTTTGGTTGATTTTAAAAAAGTATTCAAAAAATGAAAACAAAATCCCCCCAAAATAGATAAAATCAAGATAAACGTTTTATTTCATTAACAAGATACTTTTTTAAAAATCAACCAAAATTTCCTTTGTACAATTACAATATTGAGAGACCTAAACATGTTGTGTTTATGTCCTTTTGTTCCAATGAGGTTCGGAAATATGTTTCATTTCACTCTGGAAACATGATACCAAGAACAAAACAAGTGTTTGATGTGTTTTCTAAAACAATATAGATTTGTTCATTTCAATTGCAAAGATATGTCTTCAGTGACAGTGATATTGTGTGTGGTTATCATGCTTCATGTTTTGCAACAAGCAGTGTGTAGTGTGCTGAAGTCAGTTGGCGAGCTGGGAAATTTTTGATCAATTTTTTACATTGCATGGATTGCTGGGAGCTTTTAGCGCTGAGAAAAAAAGTTGCTGATGTCCCAATTTTCGGACCCAAACTCATTGGAACCTATACGGCATATGTCCAGTAGACCACCTGATGTCCGGACAGGTGGCGTGCAGTAATCTTAAGGTAGCCATACAAACATCTTCCAACAAAAGCCTGGTCATTGTCAGATAGCACTTCATTAGTGAGGCTACCTACAGTATCCTTCAGATGTTCCATTTAATCCAGCAAATTGCTTATGGGGGGGGGCATAAGGTATCTGCATTAAATGTGACCATACTTAATAGCCAAATCCCAGATTTTGAAAAAATCCCCAGTGTCCAGCATGCCAGTAACCTGGCCTTCCTGGTCAGTGGCTAGCACAAATGTGAGTGAGGAATTAGTAATGATTATATAAAATGACTTCTCTTTCACTTCCTCAGATTTTTCATGAAATTTTTCATCACAAACAAAAACTTAAACTTGGATGACACAGCTGTTGAACTTTTGATAACCACAATCATGGTGTTATCCAATGGGTAATGGTGTGCTTGCTGAAATCCATGGCTAGTTTATATCTGCATTCAAGAAAAATGTTTTTTTATAAATTGATTTTGCTTATTCATTTGACCAGAAATTAAAAGGTTTTATCAGAGCAAAGGCAAAAAGTCATAAATTCTCAAAATCTTTTTTTCAAAATACAATGGGAGGTGAAAGATGATTTTCAAAGTTACTTTGATGCTTTGAACCTCTTTATTCCATGGAGCAATCGGAAAACTCAATGTACATGTATAAAACTTGTAGACCATTCAATTTCCTTCATAAAACTATTTTTTCTTTATCGATTGACTGAATATTTGAAATCTCACTCAGCAAATCCACCATTTTGTATTGGAATAACGTGAAGACAAGAATTTTCAAAAGAAATCAAGTGTCATTAAAGTACTGTACATTTAGTGAGGAAGGAAAAATTTAAGAAAATTCTGAGGACCTGAAAATGAGGTCAATTTAGATAATCATTAATAAAATCCACCAAATTGTTACTGCTTTTTGAATGAGAAAAAGGTGAGTGTACATGTACAATAAGAATACTTTACATGTAATATGTTGTTGCAAGACACAAAGATCTAATTAAAACTTTATCAATGGGTATGATGAGAAAGGGTATCTGGGACATGTTTCTGAATTTTCAAATGCACATGGTGAAAAACAATTTGGTTTCATGAATAGTCTAAAATGTTAATGAGAAATGGACCTCTGGGTACTCAATATTTATGTATCGGACAAGCAGCAGCACTTTCAGTAAACAAAATCTGCATCTTGGTAGGGATTTTAGGATATCAAATCCAGTTTAACAGGGGTCCATTTTTGGAACGATTGTAACTTATAATTTGGTCGCAAGTCATTGGTGATCAAAATGTAGACAATGGTGTTCTAGGAAATGTAAGGGCATTTTAGGAGATTACTCCCTGATATTTTACACATTTGCACATCAATTTCATATCAGCCTACCATATCTCATGACCATAAGGCGGAGAGTCACAATGTTACAGCACTTTGAACAACATGCTCAAGGTGTGCCCATCATAGCGCTGTAGGCAAACCTGCAAAAGCTGTCAATGATCCAACTCCATTTCTCAGCAGGTATGGCCTGAATGACACAGATGATCTCCCTTTTGAGGTCTGCAATTGTTCTGAGGTCATTCTTTTGGAAAACTGGTGCAGGTTTGCCTACAGCGCCGCCTCTGGAGCATGTTGTTTAAAGTGCTGTAACAGTGTGACTATCAGTCTGATTGTCATGAAATATAGGGGGCTAGTAGTAAATTGAATGATGTACAAATGTGTTGCATATAAAGGAGTAGTTCCCTAAAATGACAAAGATATGAGGAAAATAGCGGCAAGGTTGCCGTTTTTGACCTCCCTGTGCAATACTTATTTTGATGGATATTTTGTCTATGTTGCACTTTTCCTTCTTAGTTAATACCTTGAAGAAATACTTTCCACTGGATTAATGTCAAAAGGTTTTATGTTTGCCACTTCAAATCATTCATATGTATAAAATGGGGTCAAGGTCAAGCACACAAGGTTAAGGATCAAGTTAAATGTCACTGCAAATAAAACAATCTACATCTCAGAGAACACATGATTAGGACATCAAACTAAATCTGATATCATTTTCATTTCAAACTTATTAAACATGCAATAAAGCATTAAAGCCAGTTTGTAGAAAAACAAACACATATGAAGCGTACTAGATAGAAGATAAAGCAAATTTCAATAAAAATGAAAAGTAAGCTGAAAATGACAAATCAAACTATAATAGAACATATAGTGTTAGATATGAAGTATATATTACTACTAACACACATAAAGAATTGATGACATCAGTAGTTGTAAATATAAGCATGCAGGATAACTGACCCTTAACCTCAAGCGACTTTGACCTTCAATGTGACCCTTGACCTATAGGGACCTTTGACATAGATTCATGCAGTTTACTCAATGACAATGAAACACATATTTAAGAACCATTATTTTAGATTTTAGTAACAAATAAAATGAAGTACTTTGGTAATAGTACCTTTATTTGCTTAATATTTTAACAGCAATAACAATGGCAATGTTCCACAGAATATGTATAAATAAAATCAATACATCGAGCTAGCTACGCCTAGCAACTATATTCATATATTTTGTCATTACCTCAATTATACATTTAATTGTGATGTCATCAACTCTTTACAGTGTAATTAATAACAATACTTCAGTGTCAGATAAAAAATTGATTACATTTTTCTTAAAGAGTTGTCGTGTTTACTTGCTCAAAAAATTGATAAGGGGTGGTTTGAAAAGGCATTTTATAATTTGTAACATTTCTTTTTTTTTTATATACACAAGCAAGCAGAGATTAGATGCCAAATTAGTCTCATGTTCAATGAGTGAATTGTTATCATCAAAATATAAAACTTGGGAAACTTGTGCACTTCTCTATTTTTGGAAATAAAACCTAGTTCTAAAATCACAATTTTTCAAACATCATACAAATATCAAACTTCCACACTGCAATTCTCCATTCATTGTGCCCCATTCTATGGGCAGTTTGCTCATGGAACCATCAGTTCAAAGAGAGGCCTTGAATCACAGATACATGTTGACATCACCCATGTTCAGGCTCCAAAAAATTGCAATGATGAAACAAGGAATTCCCACTTCTCATAAAAGGACCCTTAACCAACTCACCACCCCTAACCATAACTCTATGATCAAGCAAACCTGACACCCCATTCACAATACAAACAGTTATAAAGGTAAAAATTCTCAGTTACATTAAATGAATTTCATTCATTAATCAATATGTCTGTGAAAAACCTTATGTGTATAAAACAACACAGCTAGAATACTCCAAATGGAGATATCACTGACAATCGGCCATCATATATAAACTAAAAGTTATCCACACTAATCATTTAAATATTTTGGTAAGACTGATTTTATATATTGCTTCTGATTTCACAATGCTTTAGCCTCACACTCCAAGAACAATTCCAAAGTAAGCCTTAGTTCTTGGTAGAGTTAATTTAATATCATATCTGCCAACCTATTGTGAATAAATATGTGAGCTTTTCTTAAGATGGAGAATATATATTTTAAAAGAACAGAACAAAAATCTGAGAAAAGCCAAGTAGATTTTAAACTTCAATTTTTACAAAATTGGGAAAATGAGGTATCATGAAAATCCTGAGGAATTATTTTCAAGAAGAGATTGAAAAGAACAACTCAATATGCAGAGTGTAATCACCCAAGAGATGCTATTATTTCCTGATTTAAATTTAGGGTTGGCAGGTATGTTAAAGTGAGATAATTCAATTACAAAGATATAGAATGAAAGCGAGCTAGTACATATTGCTTTAAGAATTACTGATATTATAAAGTCATTAAATTATTGCACGCTACAAATAGTCATTATTTTGCATATGAGGTTTGTTTTGTTTAAAGTTTGTCATCTAAATCGACTTCATTATAGCTATTAGAATTGCAGTTCAAAGATGAAATAAGGCCAGTAATGGATTTTATTTATATTTTAATGCATAGGAATAAACAACATTCCCTTTATGATATGAAATGTGAAAATGGTTAAATTGTCAGACAGCTCTACTTCTGAATTATCAACCAATCAGCTCTCAGATATGTTTTAGTGAAAAATGTACTTGAGTCATCAAGCTCTATTTAAGACAATAAAATAGTTCAAGCTCAGTTTCTAGTTGCATTTTTAAAATCTTTCTCATTCATCATTTCAGGTTTAACAATATATTTCTTTGCAAACTTCAGATCATAAAAAAGCAGGATTGAATCCTACATTATATAATACTTCTTAATTTCATACAATATGTTCTTATTGAAAATTACTATTGTCATTCAATTTCATCGAGAATGCAATTTAAAACTGCATTCCAAATATTTTCATGATAATTATTACAAAATTTAATTTTCTCATGTTTAATTCTATACTTGGTGTATTTTATAACCAATTACCAACTGGTATGTATGCATGCGAAATGTAAATTTTTTACAAAATTTGATTTTCAAATACTGAATGCTGCAGTTGGTGTATTTTTACTGACTAAATATTACGCTAACTATAAATCATGGGACGATTTGTCCATCACAACCAGTGTGTTAGTCCAATACCACCTATCATTCCTGTCACCCTCAAATAACCACCGATTTACACCTCATTTTTGCTATTTGGACTTGATCTCAAATGAGAGTATATATCTGAAATGAATTCTGAATTGTGAAGTCTCCATTTATATGAAATATCGAAGAGGGAGTCTCACAAGGAATTTTTGGTGTGTTATCAGTTCCATGCTATGAACAAGTTTGAATCATGCGTTATGGCCACTGTTCACCCCAAAGAAGGCAATGTAGGATATAGCAACTAATGCATTTCAATTGATGTAATTCGTCATGCAAATGTGGAATAAATCAGTGGTTATCATATCTATAAATTGCAAGCACTACAGAGCCGTCTGCCTCATGTGTAACTGCTGAAAGTAATAGCAGGTTGATCGAGTAGATTACCTCCACTGGTTGATTGCTTAATAGAACCTCCATCTGCTTTAGAACCACTTCCTGTTTCATCAGATTTTGCTGGTTCTACAATGCATACATATATTTACATTACAAACATTTGGAAGGGAAGTCTAACCTTAAGACATAATACAGTCCATACTGTCCGTATTTAAGTACCAAATCCCCTCATCCCAGTTTACAATTTAAACAGTCTAGCCTAATGCAACTCAAAGAAAGTTTGTGGTTACATAGTTACAAATCTACAAAAACCTCAAAACCTTGTGGCAAAACACTCAACAAAGATGAAACAAATGCACCATATTTTCTTATTCTAACTTACTACTAAATGGTGCAGCATCAAACGGGTCTGCAGACAGATCAGTGTTGGACATAACCAGGTCTTCTCGACTCTTCACTCCTGATATACCTGCAAAACATACAATAAACATTAAAAGATGCCATCCTCCAAATGCAGGGTTCCAGACATCATCCACTACATTCCTCCCTTCTTCCAAGTCTGGAAGAATGAGGTACCAGTTCTTGAGGCATGTGTTGGAAGGATGAAGGATACAAATACAATATTCCCAAAAAACTTAAATTTCCCATTGCACCATTTACTTATTCAACCAAACATGTTACTATTAGCAAGTATAGATTGCAGGCCTGTAGCGACCCCTCCCTGGCCAAAAATTTCAGAATCATGCAGATTTCACCATTCTTAGCACCTTTCAAGTGATTTAAGGCCAACGTTGTCAATAGTGAACCACCTGGAATTTTTTGAAAAGTGAACCCCCTTGTTTGGCAAAAGCTGGATAAAGGCCTGGATTGGTGAACTAGAATGATGAGAAGTATTTTGGAATAAAACAAAAAACCTTTAATTCTAAATATTTATTTTGAATCTACAAATATCCAACCTATGAGACTAGGTTATAGAATATTTATTGGGGTATTTTACTTACTACTATTGGATCCACGCTTCAGCCTATCAAACTCCGCACCAAATATGATATCCTCTGACATAGAGCCAAAGTTATCATCACCAAATGGGTTCCACACAGTAACATCTGCTGAACTTGGACGTTCTAGAATTCTACAAAAGAAACTAACATATTACAACTTTCTGAACAAGATTAAGGTTTATCTAAATGTAAAATAATTCTTATATAAAGAGATTACTGAAAAACTTTAAATTATTCATTTCATTTCTGCATGAATACTAAATGTATTTAAAAAGCATAACAGAAACAATAATTATTTTTTGGCCTGATCATATCATTGACATGGATAATCAAAAAAAGCAAAATGTTGTACTTTGGAGTCTCTAATGAAAGCAATCTTTTTGAATGTCAAATTCAAGAAATTAAATGACGTAAAACTAAACCCAAATCAAACAGAATCATAATGACCTCTGATCAAACGAATATAAGATGCACGTGGTAACTAAAATGGGTGAACTGTTGAACTAGATGATGATTAGCGTTTGCAAATACTAACACTATCATTCACTCTATCATTCCAAAACAATAGCTCGTTCAACAAATAATGATCATTCTTTAGTTGTTTAAACTCATGCAGCATGTAGGGGAAATTCTGATCAAGACATTTAAAGAAAGACTGACACTGTACTCTGCATACTTTGATCACTGATATAAACAAGACATAGAAGCAAGAAGTTGTCTCATACAGATCATATACAATGCAACTAGGGGTATGGAAGGGTTGTTACTACAAGAAGCAACAATTATTCCATCTGAAACAACAGACTTTGTTATGATTTATAATTCATAATTCAAACTATAATTTTTCAATGCAAAAAGCCTTTGACTAAATTTTTAACATAATTTTCTGCTCCAGTTGTTTTCGTTCAACACAAATGAGGAAGTCCAAAGCAGTCATTTTGTTGATGCCCCTATTATATTCCTGAGGAACCCAAACCCTCGCTCATTTCATTTTTTGAAAGCCTTTCACTTTCCTGAGAAGACACACATATTTTTCCCAGAGATATATATATTGCACGCCGATCCTATATTTGGATATCATGAACAACTACCTGTGAAGGACCTTAAAGCATTTTATATACTAAGCTTACTTTGGGAAAGCAAAAGCAATTATTTCAAAGGCCTGAACCAAGCAGGAGCTTACCTAGTAGGGGAATGAGTTGGGGTGGTGGACGCTGACTTGCACTTTTGTTTCAACTGGTTTTCAAGTGGAGTGAGTAATCCAGCACCATTTCCAGAATATTTCCTAAATACAATACAGTACAGTTCAACTCCATGCTTTTAGCCTCCGAACTCTATGAGGTCAAGGTCATTTCTATCATTAAATAATTTGTGACAATTTGAATTGTATGAGATATGGAAATTAATATGTTTTTTAATTTTGGGTGATACAATGTTCTTCTCAATAACAATATGTCCTTTTATTTACCTACTATGTTCATAAATATCTTGTCTTGTGATGATATATTCACTGAGAAAAATAAAAAATAAATGATTCTATATAACTACTGAATTTCACAGAACAATAACAGGTGTCTGAGGCTGTTTAATAAATGCTATTTTCCCATGGCTACAAGGATATAGATTGAATATAGTGTGAAGATATATGTGATACATGTATGTGGATCAAGATATCATATTCTACCATGGGATAAATGGGCAATCCTATGGATTTCAAAAAATATTAATTATATCCGCTCATAGATATCAACATCTAGACTCATTCGCTTCTCTTTTTCCATGTTCATGGTTCAGTTTGTATATAAGAGTATCTATTAAACAACTCTACTAAATAGACAACAGATATGACGTGTAGAGATCTTTACAACAGTGTAAAGCATGGTACATCAGAACTGGAAAAGATTGCACACCAAAAGCACTTTGCAATGTGTGACATATGAACAATGTATGGCTGATGAATGGAAATGAAAAATATGCAAATATTCCTATCCCATTTGAGCTAAAACATAAACCTTGAGACTTTCTTTACAACTAAAGCCCATTTTTTAATGTTTACCATGTCTCCTTAATTATATTATACATATACAAAAAGGCATTAATGTGCAAAATGTCACCACCTGCCATTTGTTACTGACACCTGATGCCAAACAGCAACTGAGAACACTAACCGAACACCATCCACAAAAATGTTAGAGACCATAACAATATGTTACCACTTGTGGTGGCGACATAAAAATGAATTTTAAACATAAAAGCTAGGCAAATTCAATATTCCACATGTGACGTACCTGAAAGCACTGGGTCTATTTGAATCTGTGACAAGAGCTGCTGTGTCGCTGACATTTCTTCTGTGACCTTTACTGACCTTTGGCGATGAACTTGGCGAAGTGTCCTCATCAATTAAGGCTTCTTTGTCTGCCTGCTAATGACAGGAATAACAGAGTTCAGTTAAACTTAAATTAATTAACTTTTTGATTAATCAACATTTTGAAAACATCTGCGAAAATGAGAAGTCAAGAAATCTAGCATGTAACATCCATAAGAATTCAAGTATTTGAATTTGATATACATCTAAATCTTAACTAACCTGTCGAACTTTAGGCTTGGATTTGGGAGGCAAGGGTTGTTTAAAGGTTCCCTCATCTGATGATGACTGAGATGAACTTTGGCCGTATAATTGGGGATTCTTGGATGACTGGTTATAAGACTGTGGATTTTGGTCAAAAGGTTGTGGCGTTTTCTTATCATAAGACTGAAAGTTTTTATCATACGGCTGTACACTTTGTCCATATGATTGCGAATTGTTCTGCACAACTGGATTTGACTTGACGATATTCCTTTCTGCTAGGTTATTAAACTCATCTTCTTCATTAAAATCATCACTAAAATTATTCCCAGGTATAAAATTTGTTCCCCCTGCAAAGTTCCCAGCACTGTTAGCAGCAGCAGCATCTGTGAATACCTGCTGTTGACTAGGAGCTATATTGGCAATGTCTGAATTTGGTTGTTGTTGGCTAAAGCTTTGTTGTGTGTTAATACCTAGTAGATCAGCCACAGGCTGTGGTTGGGAATCAATGTTCAGTAAGTCATTCACTACGGCTGGTTGCTGGGATTGGCTAGGAGGAATTGGGGCACATGTGTCTTTGACCTGTTGCTGCTGCAGCTGTGATTGAACATACTGCTGTTGCTGTACATTATTCTGTGTGCTGTTCATCACCTGCTGTTGTGCATACTGCTGGGGTTGCTGGTTGAATACTGCATTTAGTTGGTTAAGGTTTGTGACAGGCTGATTGTACGCCTGTGGAATGAAAGTCTGTTGTTGCTGTTGCTGTTGGTACATTTGTTGCTGGTAGAGTTGTTGCTGTTGTTGCATATATTGTTGTTTCAAGGCTTGCATCTGATTAGGAGCCATGTATGACTGCTGAGGAGGAGCAGCCTGTTGTTGTTGCTGTACCTGTTGCTGTGCTTGTTGTTGCTGCGCCTGTTGCTGCTGCATTTGTTGTTGCTGCGCCTGTTGCTGCGCCTGTTGCTGCTGCATTTGTTGTTGCTGTGCCTGCTGTTGCTGCTGCATCTGTTGCTGCTGTGCTTGTTTCTGTGCTTGCTGTTGCATTTGCTGATTTTGCACTGCTTGCTGCTGCTGAACAGGTTGCTGTCTTTGAACCTGTTGGGTCACCACCTGCTTTGGTAGCTCTGTAACACGATTGAAAATGGGTTAAAGGATATAAAAATAAAAACACACTTCAAGTTAATCAGACAATATATTAAATGAAAGGAATCATTACAGAATAATCAACAAAATATGAGCAAAATGTCAATAAAAATATTTTCTTTCTTCAAGCAGTGTCCATAATTAGCAGTTGCCCAAATGTGAATGATTAGCCATAACACTTTTTACTCTTGACAACAGACTCGACAAAAAATGGTTGTCTATCCGATTGCTAATATGGTGAATTGTGACAATCATGCTTTCAAACGCATTTGCCTCCATGATGCACATATTACTGTGAGCCATGATGTTTACCTGCAACAGGTGTGGTAACAGTGGCCCCAGGCCTAGCCCTAGGGTTCACTGTAGTTGCTATGGGGAGACCTGTGGGAGCAACTGTAGGAGTTAGGTTGCCTTTGGGCCGCTGCCGGGGAGCAACAGTTGTACGTGGGTCATCTGATCTTTTTCCACTGGATGTGTTCCTGGAACACAAGGCTGTGTTGTTATTTTGAAAAACAGCTATAAATTCTAGGTGCATACTCCTAAAATAGTGATGATCGGGGGACCAATTGCTGCCTTCTTCAACTGCCAAACTTCTTTGGCTAAAAATTCTGAACATTATGTATCAATGGAGTAGGGATTATGCTTCAATCACACTATGATATTGCTTTGTTGATAACTTGTTGCAATATTGTGTTGATACAGTCCCTAAAGTGAAGTGACTAGTCTGCATTTAATGTCTGCCCTCTGGATATAAGCTTATTTGGCTATTTGCGCTGACTGGCCAACCTATCTGTCCTGTTTACTCTTTATTTTTGCTGTCTATCCCTTTTACGTGTACAGTATATGTGCTTTATTTTCTATGTGCTGTTTCATCATTACATACACTTTAATCTGTGATGAGAAATGTTGGGCAAGTCACAGCTGCCATTTGACTTTAGAGCCTATCATTTGACTTGAACTGACCTGTTATTTGACTTGAATTATCAGTCAACTGAATTAACATTCAACAACATATTGAATGGAATGCCCAGTGTAATTTGACTAAAAGTACATTGTCATTTGACTCAACTAACCTGTCATTTGACTTGAACTAACCTGTCATCTGACTTGAACTAACCTGTCGTCTGACTTGAACTAACCAGTCGTTTGACTTGAACTAACCTGTCATTTGACTTGAACTAACCTGTCATTTGATGTAGTTTGTTGATCACAACTTGCTTGAAGTTGATTAATATCTGGAATGGCAACTTTCTGAAAGTAAAATTGTTCTGAATATTAGATCTAATGTATCAGACAGGAATTCTCAATAGTATAACTCAATATTTTACATCACAAACGAAGCATGATCAGTTCATTATTTGTTTTCTTAGTGAGTACAATTACTTCTATACTTCAACACCATAATAAGGCAAGTTCACAAATCAGTGAATTTTGTTTACGAGAATTTGTTCAGCTTACATTTAAATTCTGTACAGGGCACTTCTTGTTTGCAATTTGGAATGCCAAAGCAGAGACTTGGAAGATGTCAGGCCTTTTGTCATAGTCCACTTCAAGACAATACCCTGTAATAACAAAATAGCAATGTAACAGAATTCAACATCGAAACTGTCTTGTGTCAGAGATGTTAAGTTATCTTATCTTATATATAATGATGAATCTTGGATTTGACTATTTTTACATTGAATGCAATGTCCACTGTAAACCTCCTGAAACTATGACGAGCATCTTCCTAAGCAGGTATCCAGAACCCGTACCTCCTTCTCCCTGCTATAACCAATTTGGAAGCGCCCGATTAAACTGAATCACGTGATCTAATTATGCGCAATGACTTATACATGATTTCTGTCGCAGTGTTGCGACAGCCAATCAGATTGCGAGTTCTTAATCGGGGAAATGCTAACTGCTTATCGCAGGGGGTAAAAAGAAAGATTATATTCTGGATTTTGAAGCCCTGTGATCGGAGGATAATGACAAGGGACTTACTTATTAGTTTCTGTAAGTTAGGGTAACTCCTATTCTCAGGTATGGTATATTTCCCACTCTGTATTGCTAAGGTGCTCTCTCCAAATGGCAGAGAAAAATAACACAGTTTGAACAACATACATCCCAGGGCCTGAAAAAAGAGACACCTTTACACGTTTATGATGAATCTTAAATGCAATGAACAATTTCGCCAAAAGATGGCAGCATTTGTGCAGAACTCATTTGACGTGCTGTGGTGAATAAAATGTCTTAGCTCAAAAACAGTTTCTCCTGAATGCTAAACTTAAGAAGATCATCTTTTGCATGTAATAAACTCAGCCTGCACAATTAACAATGAATGGTATTTCAGCCACATGTACATAATATATAAATCATACATACCCATATATCAGCCTTAGTAGTAATGGTCTTCCCACTGTAGAGGTCTACCATTTCAGGGGCTCTGTAGGAGACTGTTGTATACCTGGATTAATAAACAAGTAATGTTAGTTCCATAGACTTCAAGAAAAACTCTGTATACATTTACTATGTGTACGTTATATGTTTATAAGTGTTAAAAACAAAACAAAATAAAATGTTGAGATTTACAAAGATGAAAGAAAGAAGAAAGTTCGTAAATCTCAATATTTCATATACTATGTGAATAGAACTATTTGAAAAAGATAAATTGTGTATAGAAATACAGAAATACAAAATACAGAAATACAAGATAAAAGTTGATTTGTATTTTTTTAATTTGGTTAACTTTAAGCTACTTGAAATATCATAGGTCAATCAAACTACACCTTTTCACATTAAATTTTCTGTTTTTGGCTCAAGGGGTTTTGTATATGAGTTTTGTCGACAAGAGATTATCATTTGACATTTAATATACAGTAATGATGAGGCAGACCTTTGAAGGAGCAAATTACACTTAGGCTGAAACAGTCTTGCAATATATTCCTAATAACTAAAGAAATATGAGATTATGATGATCTGCATAGACAGATAAAGTAGCTCTTACTTTAGTATTTCATCCTCTACTTGTTTGACGCCATATTTGTCTGGATTTAATTGCTTGGCTGTGGCACTGCCAAAGTCACAGAGGACATAGTTACCACTGTCCTCATATAAGATATTCTCAACCTATAAATGAAGCAATCGATAATATGACTGTTAGATTTTTTCTTATTCATTATAATGGATGTATGGTTACATAAATTTAGTAGTTGTCAATGTATCTTTAGTGCACTTATTCAAGTACTCGAATAGTGGTGGGAAAAAATTGAAGGGGGAGGGGGGGGAGCTTTTGAAAATGAAATCAATGCCACATCCTGGTAACCTGGTATAGAAAAATCATTCGTGTAAAGATGTCTGAGCATCATCTAAATTCTAAAATCTGTGAACACTGAGCAGTTGGTCTATTCCTGATGGTTCAGAGAGTAGCTCAAATTAAAAAATGTTTCTGTTATATTTTAAGCGGAGACCATACCTTGAGATCCCTGTGTATAATAGGTGTCTGACAGTGATGTAGCCGTGACACTGCCTCACACATATCACAGAAGATCTGCAATACTTGCTTTTCAGTGAATCCATTACTGAGCCTGTCATTCATCTGCTGAATCACGGTACCTAAAATAAATACATTAATATGTTTTAATTGAGTTGATGTTTTCTGTATTATAATTTATACAGGAGTCCCAAGAGCTATTGACTTTGAATACCTTTTAGATGGAACCTAGAGGTACCTAAGACAGGGCTCTCACCAGGAAATATTGAGGGTGTGGTGCAAACATCTTCAGCATTACCGTTCAATTGTGATAAATCATATTTGTTTTATATATGTTTTATTTTATCTTTTTTTATATGCTATTATTGTAAGTTTAGACTGTGGAAACAATCATGATTTGCCAGTAGGGTGTGTTGAGAGCTAAATAGAGTGTGGTGCTGCGCCACAGTCTAAAAGCTTGGCGAGAGCCCTGTAAGGTGTGTTCCACTAATGTACGTTTTATGTAATGATATCTTAATTGAGTTGATATTTTCTTTATTATAATTAATTTCAGAGTGCCAAGAACTATTGACTTTCAACACCTTTTAAATGGAACACTTTTGAGAGGTACCTCAGGTGTTCCACTTATTACTACTATCACAGGTTTTACTGTAATTCATAAAGCATTATGATAAACCATGACATCTCAAATCTTCTCAGCCCTGAGATGTTTCAGGTGAAACAGAAAGATGCTATGAGTATCAGAATGAAAGGACAGCGCCTATGCCAAAGTGTTATTGACCCTGAAGTAGATTGATTGATTGGGGTAGATGTTTTACATTGTTCACTTCCTGGACATACATGCCTTCACATTATGTTTGAATGGCCTCAAAAAAGGACTCCAAAAACTCTGAAATGCCTGTAAGTACCTTGACAGACCCCAACCCCTTTGTAACAATTAGCTACTACATACCTCTACAATACTGCATCAATAAGAGTACTTCATAAACACCATTGTTCTGCTTTGTAATACTGTGATCAACATACTTGATGATGTTCTTGTGGCCAGATAATGAGCTCTGAAAGTAAAGACAGATTTGTCATGAACCTCTATAATGATATTGACTATTCATGGTTACCCATTCTGATTTATCAAAGTCACTCTTTATCAAAGGCTTGTCTATTTCAAGGGATAACATAGTATTGGCTGTGGATCCCACAATGTGGTTACCCAAAATGAATCATCTTGGGCCATTAGAAGATATTTATCAGACTTTTTTGACTTATTTGACTTTTCCCATGATTGAGCTGCAATATATATGTATAAGTGATGTGAAATATATTGGTTGTCAAATATGAGTTACATAATACACCCTTATCTTAGTGGTCATCATGACTATGTTGGGTTAATCCTTTATCAATGGACAAGTTATTTAGATATCATTTCTAGAGCATTTAGCCTTGATAAATCAATAATCTCCATGAGTAGGATAAATATTAGAAGCGATGAAATACCACTGGGAAATACAGACTGGACATATACACAGGAAATATATAACGCATAATTATGAACCTCTGTTACTTTTCTGAAAGTAGCTTCAAATAAATGGTCTCCAAAAATGTAGAGTGATACCAAGAAATGAAATGCTCATGATTCCAGGCATTCTGTATCGATTAACTGATAAACTGGTAAAGATGGGTTAAGGTAACACTGGTAAAATCTCATAAATAAACATGGGACTTAAAAAAGAAGGTGTTTGGGAAGCCCGATAATTTCAAAACAATCCTAGAATGCCTGTAAATTAAACCTGGTGATTTGAAAAGATAATGCCCGCACATACAGCTTAACGATTTAACACTAATGATCTAATTAGACATGTGAATCTGATATGAAGATAATGCACACAAGTCTGTTAAGATTTGTTGCATTAATAATGATATTATGGTCTTTAGTACTTATGATTTAAATCATGTCATCTCATTCCATCTCAGTTTTCAGATGTAATGATAAAATACAGCAAAATTGTTATCTTTCACCCAATCTAATCTTAATTTGGAAGTATTGAATCTAATGGAAGTGATATCTTCTACAAGCTTACCTAATGAAAGTGGATAACCATCAATTTCATGACAGTTCATATTTCTCAGATGAAAATGATAAAAGAAACCTCATAAAATCAGAGCATCTCGCTCATTACGAAACAATATGTTGAGAATCAGAATTAATATAATATAGGACACCCATAGAAGTCAAAATGTCTATATTACACAAATACCTGTTGATCGAATCAACTATGTCTTTTCATTCTGAATAGAACCTTACTTCAGAATGTATGTTCAATGATTCAACAATGATTCTAATAAGCAAGGTACATGTGTCTACATGTGTTTTATAAATAGATGGTTAATGTTGATTGAGTCGAGGTATAGCCAATATCACTGATTGCAAACTATGTCATTTATTCAATCAATGCTATTTGTAATTTATTGATTCATAACAACCTGATATTAACGAACTTAACCCAGGCTAGATACTTGAATAACACATAGTGATTGTTTGTGAACACATATGTCGTGAAGTAATCTGTAATAATGCTTTGGAAATTGAATATCCTCCTTAATGATGAATTAAGAGTCATGTTATAGCTGACAGAATAATCATGTAAATTAATACAAGTAATGATTCTCATTTTCCTGAAAAAGCCAAGAAAAACAAGCAGAATTGAGTAATGAGCATCGATAGCAAGTTGCTACTACAGTCTCAGCTGTCGTGGCTGGCCCTTTTGACTTGTGAGCGGAGGGTCCTGGGTTCGATTCCCATAAGGGGCATTCAATTTAGCATACCAATCTTCATGTCTAGTATCTGGTTCATTACACTTCAGCTTCCTGACTGAGGAGCGTGCCTTCAGGTCGTTACATGAGTATGACCATGATTGTTAAGATTTTGATATATAACAGAATCCAATACATTACTACCTTATCATTAACGCATAATATCAACACCTGCCATTTGTTACAAATGCCAACCGCCAAACAACGTCCATAAAAAGGTTGGAGACCATACCTACCACTTCTGGTGGTGACATAAAAACCAAACATTATCTTATTTTGGTAAAATATGCAGTGTCAAAACTGTGTGACCAGAAATGACCAACCAAAAACCTTGACTTGAAAAATCATACCAAGAATGATGACTCAGAAATTGTAAAAATTTTAAACTGGCTTGACTGTCCTCGTAAACTATGACACTACAGTCAACCAGATACTTACAGCTATTTGTATCTCTCTTTTGCAGACCCCCAGGGACTGATCATTGTTCACATACATACGCTTCAGTGCATAGCGGTGCCCTGATGTAGATTTCACCAGGAATACAATAGCGAAGCCACCTGAAATAACAAAACATATGATACTTATCAGATACAGTATATATTCTATGGAGATTAAGGATGTTCCCTGGTCAGATAGGAAAATATTCAATAGTATTTAACTTTTTCTCAAAAATGGTTTTCTGGGATTCTCACGGGCAACAAAGAATATTAAAACTTTAAAAACCATATGTTAGTGTGCTTTTTTCTGAGCAAGAGGCCTCTAAAGTGTCAATATTTGACAAAAGTGGGCGTGGCACTTTCTCATTGAAACCCATGTTAAAAATCAGGTTTTCACCCCAACACACTTTTGAATATTTAACTTTTTCTTAAACTCACAGAAACACTTAGTTATGCTATGTACTTCACATTTTGAAAAGAAAAATTAGGGGTTGGTGTTCATCGTTTTCAACTTCGTCCAGGGAACATCCTTAAGCCACCCTCCTTCTCTAACTTTTCAAGATAGTTTGTAACTAAGCCAACTCATCTTCGTATTTCAGTGTCTTTCCAAAGAAAGGTGAGGAGTGCTTATGTACCAAAATCCCAACAAGCATTTGTCACCTTGATGTACATTTCGGGTTCAGTAATCAATATATAAGGAATGAATTCTATGAGTCTTATGAAAACGACTGACACAAGCCTGCCATGAAGTATTGACCAAAGCTCGATCACTTTTAATAGATCTATAAAACCAGGTTCATCATCTGTATTCAAAGAACAGTTTTAGAGTTCATTTCTTGACCTCAGAAGTCCCATGTTATTTATTTTTCTGGATTGTTTTTATAACAAGTGACCTCAGCATCATATGATACTTTAAACTAGTTAAAAATGAATCAACTATAAACAGAAATCTAGAAATGTTGATGTTTCAGATTTCAAATAATGATGTTTCAGATTTCAAATAATATACGCTTTCAATTCTATAACGGATATAAAATGTGTCTATATAGTGCCATGATAACTTACCATTAATTAATTAAATGCACATGCATCTTCATAACTTGTTCAGAACATGGAAGAGGTGACTTACTTTTGTATCAAGTCTCTGACCATTTCTTGCTTTATATTCCCCTTAATATTAGAAAGATAGGGGGAGGGGAGGGGGCAACATAGAAACTTTATAATAGACTGGAAATTACATTTAACCCAAACTAAAGATAACAATGCAGGTTGTCATGGTTACATGTGAATGAGTGATGATCTAAGAGAAATTGACAAGGAGGTGCAATAAACATTTAAGCTTTGCCTGAGGAATGATAAATTAGAAAATCTCTCCTTGAACAAATTAAGATGACTAGCCAACAATAAAATAAGCTGGGTGATTAGTATATTTGTCAATTATTTATAGAACATGTGGGAATATTGTCTTGAATCATTAACTCAAGTTCATTTCCCACTTCATACAGTTGACAAACAAAACTTACATTGAATATACCTATATATAACCTATACATAATATTTACTATCTTAATCTTCAATTGGAACATAAACAGTATAAATATTTTCTTTTCATTGCATATCATGGTGTTTCTTTAACAATAAGATAATGCAGTATTATACTAGTGTCTTCCTTTCAGTTTTGAAATATACTGATCATTCGCTATAATTGATTTTATAATATTAGTCGTTCCAGGTTGTCAATCATACTATTCTGATTTCATGATATCACATTGACTTTCCCACGAATCATTCCCCAAGGGAGATATTCTTATATTAGTTATTGAAATCCTGAGCTAAGGTCTACACACTGAAAAAGTCATGAGACTTAGGGACATAAAACTTTTATCTGATAATTCTCATTGAAATTAGGTAAAGCATACATTTTCTCCTGCACAACTCATACAAAATTGTGTCTATTTATTTTAACCTTTAGAAAGGGAGTGACTAAGTGAGCTATTTAGAAATAAGATGATGGAACATCATCCTGTCATTATTTGTGTATAGTACAAATTAGAAATACAGGGTGACACAAAAAATGTCACCAACTCATTTTAGAATAACTTTCTCAATAATTAAGGAATCTTCCTGATTTTAGTAATTATTGAGAAAGTTATTCCAAAATAAGTGAGTGGCATTTTTGTGTCACCCTGTATATAACAGAAAGTAGATGAAGATAAATGCAATTAGAAGGAAATTAGATATCATCATTTCAAGGGCTTTGAGTAAAATTAGAAATGGGATTGGATTCATACTGTGATAATTAAGATTGATACTAAACATAATTAAACTTGATGAGACTTGGTCCCAGCAAATTGATCCCAGCATAAAAAAAGACTTCCCGCATCATAGGATTGATTCGGTTATCAATTTTAGGTTTTTCATTTATTAAACTGATCTGCCTATTGCATGTATGTATGTATATAATAATTGCCCTTTATATAAAGGAGATACATGATTGTATACATATTATGTGAACGTAAAATTGGAAAAAATCACTATTTACATTTACAAACACTCAATGTTTTTTGACTGACGACGACACCTAGCTACCGTGTACATGCACACCACTGCCCAAGATAGGCCCAGTACCTAATTTTAACCCAAGTGGAAAAAATCACAATATTTAACAAACACTCATTGTTTTTGACTGATATTATTTGGGTTGAAACAGACAGTAAATTTTAATACCAAATATTCAGCAAGCCAATTCCCATTCAGCACATGTGGGAATAAAATGGGAGTAAACAAGATATTGCAAAAAATCAACATGAATCCATTACAAAAAACGAGTCTACTTTAGTAAGTGCCTCAACCACTCATTAGAGTATTGTGTGAATTTGGGTTTTCCAAATTTTTGCAGAATTTGTGATTTTTTGACACATTATTCTGCATGAGATTTTTCAGTTAAAACCATCTCATCTCATATCTGTCACTCACCTTGACATTTAAAGACATCCGCTTTCATCAGAAATTAGTGTTCTTAGGGATTTCAAAGAGTAAATAAGAAATTTATCTAAAATTCTCAAACTTCCGCCTTAGCACTTAGATATTAGGACTTACATGTATATGTCAAAAATTTCACTTTTCTCGACTCTGCGCAGAATTTGCAGAATTTTTCTCATATAGAAAACTAGGATGTGTGCTCAACACTGACTTCATATACTATTATGAATAAATTATTTGTTGTGCAAGTCACCAAGAAAACTGGATTTGACATGATTATGAAAAATTTTGAAATCTTTATTTCTTAAAAATGAATGGAGAAAATTGCATTAACTTCCAAAATGTTTATTAATGCTGTAATTTACAAAGAGCTCTATGTTGGACCATATTGCTGCGATAAATAACTTCATTTCTCCCTATTCAGCATTATACTAGGTAACATATGTTTCCCTGTCAAAAACTAGAAGTCATAATGATGTTCAGTGTTAGTTTAGGTTTAGCAAGTCGTGATCATAGACACTGAAGTTGACACAATTATTAGAGAACCTCATTGCTTCAATGACAAACTGGAAGTCCAGAGATACCGCACTTCCAGTGTAATAATAATATTTAGAATAAATAGCGCTCACGGTGTGCAGATTGTTTGGTCACTTATATTTGAATATCAATATTTACATATTTTTCACTCAAACATTAGCTGAAGTCTATTTTCTACCGAGTTCTTGACATATATGGGATGATCTTACAAAACTACGAGTCTTACGTGTATCTATTGAAACTGAGAGAAAGCTAACAAAATTGATATCAGGAATCTACATCCAGTATTATGAATCATAGATCTGAGATCATCGATGGTGTGACTTGGATCCTCTTTCATAAACGATATAACAAACGTAAAGGCTAGAGTACCGACAATTGTCGGTACTCTAGACTCTGATGTGGTGGCACGCTAGAGGACCGACAAATAAATTGTCGGTACGGGAGATATGCTGTGTTTACACGCTAGAGGACCGACAAATATTGATTTTCGAATTTTCTGGCGCATGCGCAATGCGCGGGGGGATATTTCAGATATCATACGGATATTTTGGGAACAAGTGCAAAACCCTGGGAGGGCATTAGCCCCGGTTACCCGGGGATTACCAAACCCAGTCAAAAAATGGTAGCCCGGGAACAGGGAATGGTAGTAAACGTTGAAAACCCAATAAAAAAACATGAACAAGTAAGACGTTAGAGAGCTATTAATGCAGAGTAAACTGCTATATATATTCTAAACAGACAGGATATTTCTCCTGAGCCGATCAGGCGTAGAAAGGGGCGTTTGCTACCCATTAGATAGAAGAAAATAGCTAGAATGTTTTTTATTTAGAGCTTATCGTATGGTATGAGGTTCCATGTCCATCCGCCAAATGGTATATAGTCCATTAAAAACCTGTGGTATCGTTCTAAATAACCCATAGTTGGCTTCTAGGGTACCTAGTATGCCACTATTTGGTATCAAAATAAAGAGGAGTTCAACTTTCATTTGAATTACGAGAATAGCGATGTAGGTCAAAATAGTTCCGAACGTGAGCATGTTTACTACGCGTTTACCCGTCATATGAGAATTGAAGAAGTGGTAGCAAACGCGAGTTACAATAAACGGACGCTGATATCTCAAAAAGTAACCTGACTCCCTATAATTTGATGTAGGTCAATCGAACCCCTATATGGACAGGTGCATTTTGATATATAACACTATGGGGGGTAAGCGTTTCATAGTTGGTCACGAACGCCATATGTGCAAAGTATTGTTATGAATTTTCGAATTTGGTGTTGGATTACTGTACTCATACCTTATAGCACAATTTTTGATTGAAGTTGCATTTGGCTCCCTTAGTTAATGGCCACGATTCCATCTCGCATGAGAGAGCTACCAAACGCAAAGTAAACAGTGATATATTCCAAATGAGATATTTCTCCTGTGCCATGGCGTAGTAAGGGTAGAGGTCGACGGGGGCAAAAGCATCCCCTCCCCTAATTGTATATATCGACCCATTAAATAGAACAAGAAAAGAGCTTTAAAATGTTTTTTAATTGAAGCTTGTAGGACAATTTTGATGGAAGTTGAATCAATTTTTGTCGAAATAAATTATGGCTCACTACAAGTTAATGCCTGTACGATTCCATACTGCAAAAGAAGCACTATTGCCCCCCCCCCTCAAAAGAAAAAAGTAGGTCCTGCCGGGATACGAACTCGGGACCGAGCGTGTTAGAGTCGTGCTCGCTAACCACTAGACTACCATTGTTAGGTTATGTTCAAAATGTAAAGTAGTGGATTTATTTATGAAATTGTCGGTACCCCAGCAAATACCCCTGGACAGTCTCCAGTACCGACAATTGTCGGTCCTGGAGCCACTCCGTATAACAAAAGGTATCAACAGGTATCGAATCAAGACTCACCTTCTGCAATTGTATCTTCCACGGTAACAGTGTGTCTTCCCACATTGAACATCTTGCCTGTGTGGCTGTTCTGCTGACTAGAATCTATCTTAGAGAATAATTTCTTCATCTTTACACTTCCTGTATGTCAATCAAATAAGATGATCCACCTCTTTTTTCTTACTGATTTCAGTTTCAAGTTTGAAGATAAATTTCTTCCAATCTTTGAGAGACTTGAGTCATGTACATTTATTAATTTATTGAAGAATCATTCTGATATAAAGACTATACAGCTTACATAGCTGTATATAAGATATCAATCGAGATTTTCATAAATTTTTGACTAAATTCATTTTGATTTCCGAGAGATCCAAAATGGCGAATTCCACTTCTCGCGGAAGGTCACATGACCATGAGTAATGGTACTCTTTTTAGAAAGTACATTTGATCCCATTTTACGGACTGTCATAGCAAAACATTCTCAGCCATTTGAACTGTTATATTAGTTTGCATGTGTTTAATACTTTTTGTGAGGTGAAAGAGGGTAATTTATTGAAATAGTATTTTCAAAACAGCTGTAAAGTTCAAGGTCACGAGAATGTACGAGACCTGCCAGAATATAAACATTGACAGGTGGTGAGTTTCCTTCATTTATTTACTGAATGGAGTCTTGTTTACACGATTTAAACTTTATTAGAAAGTTGCAAACAATATATGACCCACATATCTATCAAATGACACCATTACATTATGCATCATGCTGAACAGTGATACACTGACACAAGATGAAGATTTGAATTTCATTGATTTACACTGCTGAGAATGAGAATGAGATTCTGATTGTTGAAAAGGAGTTTGACTCAGTCATTTTGGATCACAGGTGTACATTTACAACACTTTCTTACTTTCATTCTGATCTTGGCTACTGTACTTATTCATTATGTTGTTCGCAGACTGCTGTATATCAAGCTGCTTTGCCATAGATGTCTTAGATACTGCTGGAATGAAAGACAATGAAAAGCTCCCATAAAAAGCTCATATACAGTGGGGGACAAAAATAAAACTCAACGTTCACAAGTTGTCACAATGAGCTAATTTTCAAGTTTCGTGTCTCAAACTCTCCCAAGCGGTAGAAAAATAATTCCCGTTCACTAAAGTAGCACAATAAATGAATCCAAAAGCTTCATACCTGCAAATAATGGATAAATCCCTACCAAATCGAATGAGTGTTTTCATGAATCGCCATGTTTGTTATCCAAGGACGGTTGACTCCCAGAATGCAACATTAGTTAACGTATTTACTCATGACAGGTTTCAAAATGGCGGAACTGCATTTTGAAAGCTGGCACGTGTCATGTTGCATTCTGGGAGCCAATCCTCCGTTCCGTCGCAATCGGGCGACAAAATCACCTCAACATTTGAAGAGTCGGCATAACATGTGAATATCCACTTCAACTTTTGAAGTTCTTATTTGTCATTAGGGACACAAATTCCACTATATTTGGACTTACTCAGACGGAGAAAATAGAGCACTGAATACACTGAGGTAAGAATTTATTACATGTGCGACAGCATGTAATTTTCATAGCTTTTGCAATTCTTTATGATCCCCACTGTACTGTAATTAAGAAATATAGACCGAAGAGCAGGGGTAATATTGTCGAATACACCCTGCAGGGCTAGGCACAAACGTTTTCTGTACCCCAAACGACCGAAGGGAGTGACAGGTTCGAAAACTTGTGTCCCTAGCCCTAAGGGGTGTATTCGACAATATTACACCTGCTCTGAGGTCTATATTACGATTCGAACATGAAAACTCACCAAAATGTTTCGAATATTCATTATGGTCCGCCATTGCTACGGCACGCCGTTATGACGTCACACATTACACGTATTACCAGGGGTTTTGTTCGCGAATATACCCCGGGTGAAATGTTGTCTTTGTTTACAGTTTATAGAAGGCGTGAATACAGTCATGTTCGAATAAGATATACTAACTTGTATTTCAGGTTAAGCTAAAGTCTGTTAAATATACTTCATAGTAACCAGTTGAACCTAAAAAATAAGATATTCAAAGACCATTGCCCAATGATATTTGGAAAAACATATTCATACTGCACATGAAGACATTTGTATATATTTCAGATTATTTAGTTTTTAGTGCAATATACACTACGCTCTTATAATTTGAGGTATATCAGCCATGTTAATTTTTCATAATTTTTTTCAGAATTAACACGGTGGAAAGGCATCAAAATATAAGAGGCTTCAGACCTTATATTTTTTAGGTTCAACTGGTGACTATAAAGTAAATTTAACAGATACATGTATTAGCCCATCCTCCAAAGCAGGTGTCCAGAATCCATACCTCCTTCTTCCCCCCTGCTATAAGCAGTTAGCATTTCCCCAACTTGGTTATAGCAGGGGGTAAAAAGAAAAAAGATATTCTGGATTCCGATGCCCTGTGATCAGAGGATGGTATTAGCCAGATGCCAGTGCTGTTGGTATGTGTTCCGAAGTCTGCCATTTGTAACTTGTATGAGATTTTGACTTATTACTCCATCATCCACTCATTCATTCCAGATTGAAAATATGGAGAGTGATACAAACGAAACCTCTAACTCTGAAAATGTCCCTGATAACTGCCACTGGTAAGTCAAATTAATCAACTAACTAAACTAACTAAACTAACTAAATAATCAGTATAAGATTATCCTACACTGTTTATAATAACACCCTATACAGATTGTGCTATATGAAAACAAGCGACAAGATATCATGTGCACATGGTGCAGACTTTAACTGTCATTATTGAATGTCTAAAAGAATTATTGATTTGCTTGTAATTGTACAGGCAGCTAAGAGTAAAGATTAACAATAATATCTAGAAGCTTTGGCAAAAATATCTAGTAAAATTCAAAATAGCCACTTTTATTACCAAAAAGTCATGTTTTCAACTCTTTTGGTAATATCTCCGAAAGAAGAACAGTCAACTAGCTTGAAATTGTACAACTACCTTAAGTAAACAATTATGCCTGCAATTTTCAACAAAATGTGTCACAATGGCCATCATTTTTACTATTGCTTTTTATTATTTCATGAATTGGAAGATATTGCACTGAATTGCTTCATTATGCAGGCAGCTAAACATAGAAGTTAACAATAATGTCTAGAATGTGAGCCCAGAACCCATGGTATTTTATTTACAATTTTAAATAGAAAGAAAACATTATGTTACTCAATACTTGCAATGCTTTGTTTTCAGTGGCAAAGCGAGAGAGATTGGCAAAATAGAGCTACAATGTGGTATATGCTTGAGGTGGTTCCATTTGGAGTGCTTGGAGAATATTTCAGGGTAAGTTTTTTAATTCTGATATATCTCTCTATAGCTGTAGACTTAAATTCTCTATTTTCCATCAGGTCAAACTGGAAAATGTCTCACAAATTTTGATTTGTGAAAATGGGAATTTTGCACCCACTTCAGAAAAAATCCTATGGAGATCACTGTATCCATATATATATTTTATAGGAAACTGGTGCCATTTATGACAACTTATGTACTCTGTTGTAAAGTTTGCAGTCCCAATGGCCTTGAGACTTTTACCAAGAAACAAGCAAGTAAGAACACACATGTTGTTAAAGCACTCACCCCACTGTCTCAAGAAGTTGAAGATTCAAACTTTTTTGCCTGTAAAATGAGATATCTGTATTGTAACACATACTTGTCGACTATATTGAGAAGCTCACTGTATCTGGAATGCATGCATTTTGAATTATTAGTTAAAATGATGTATGTATTAATTATATTTTACAAATTGATTTATTAAGCTCTTCGACATTTAAAAAGTTACTTGACTTTTTTGCAAAAAAACTTCCAAAAAGTAACAGTCCCATGAATTCACATTGTCGTTCTTACAATAGAAAACTGGGCTTGCTTTTCAACATTTCAAGCGAAAATTCTCTATGGAGCTTTTATTTTTCTGACGTAATTTCTTCTAAGAAATCGGTCACGTGACACGGTTCAGTTCATCTTATTTCGGAAGGAGTGTCATCTATTTAGAATATTTATTTTCATCTTGTCCAGTCCTATATACAACCTGCCCTTATCTTTTTCGCTTGTAAAACTGTGTAGTAATGTTGAAATTATGGAATAGATTCTCTGAGAGTGGCGACATGTCTTCATCTCTACCATCTTGCGTTTGACACCCCTCCTTTTGGGCGAGTCTAAGTAAACCGCACATCCCGGTGATTAGAAAAGAGATTTTTTTTTTTAAATCGAGCGGCAACAAAGATACTTCTGGTCAAACTGAGTTTATGATGAAACTTATGAAAGAATCAATAAAAGGTAAGTGGTATACATTAGGTGGATGCCACAAATTAAACGTGGCACCAATTTGAAACTTCAGAATGCTTTCTGTGATTCAAAATCAAAGCCGAGTAACTTTTTAAATGTCGAAGAGTTTAATGAACATTGACTCTAATTTGGTGTTTTCGGTACAGTCATCTACCACATGGATAAAGCACCATACAGTAAAACCTGTCTATATGAAACACCTTTGGTACCTCTAAAAGGTGTTCTACTTGTGAGGTGCTCTATTAACAGAGGTTCATTTAACATTGAGTCAATTGGTCTTGGATCTCTGAAAAGCGTTCTACTAACAGAGGTGTTCCATATCTAGATGTGGTCCACTTAACAGGTTTCACTGTATAGTGTTATGTTTTGTCTCTAAGATTTTAGTCAGATGTGCAACACAGCTGTAGCATTGTGTAATGTTATGTTTTGGCTCTAAGGTTTCAGTCAGATGTGCAACACAGCTGTAGCAATGTGTAATGTTATGTTTTGTCTCTAAGGTTTCAGTCAGATGTTCCACACAGCTGTAGCAATGTGTAATGTTATGTTTTGTCTCTAAGGTTTCAGTCAGATGTGCCACACAGTTGTAGCAGTGTGTAATGTTATGTTTTGTCTCTAAGGTTTCAGTCAGATGTGCAACACAGCTGTAGCAATGTGTAATGTTATGTTTTGTCTCTAAGGTTTCAGTCAGATGTGCCACACAGCTGTAGCAATGTGTAATGTTATGTATTGTCTCTAAGGTTTCAGTCAGATGTGCCACACAGTTGTAGCAATGTGTAATGTTATGTTTTGTCTAAGGTTTCAGTCAGATGTGCTACACAGCTGTAGCAATGTGTAATGTTATGTTTTGTTTTTAAGGTTTCAGTCAGATGTGCCACACAGCTGTAGCAATGTGTAATGTTATGTTTTGTCTCTAAGGTTTCAGTCAGATGTGCCACACAGTTGTAGCAATGTGTAATGTTATGTTTTGTCTCTAAGGTTTCAGTCAGATGTGCCACACAGTTGTAGCAATGTGTAATGTTATGTTTTGTCTAAGGTTTCAGTCAGATGTGCCACACAGCTGTAGCTAACTTGGCTCATGAGAGACCCACAGAGAAACAATTCTCTAAAGATAAAGTAAGCTAAACATTTCCTATTCTTGGATAAATAAAATACATTTGATATCAGGATTTCAATATATAACATTATAATTATAAGATTTGGATAATTATCTAAGTATGAGGAACACCTAAATTTGTTTTCGCTAATATTTGAGCAAGAATATCTTAATACAAATGATTATACAAATATACAAGCAAGGAAACTTAATGAAAGAAATATCATGGGAGTTTGAATTTTTATTTAACAATATTCAACAATACATATTGAATTTGATGATGGTTCCTTATTATGTCACCACCAAAAGTGGTGACATATTTATGTCACCACCAAAAGTGGTGACATATTGTTATGGTCTCCGTTTTTTGCGACGGCGGTTGGTGGTTGGCGGTTGGTGGTTGGCGGTTGGTGGTTGGCGGTTGGTGGTTGGAGGTTGGCGTCCGGCGTCCGGCGTCTGTAACAATTTCTTACAACTTCCTATAACTTAACAAATACTGTTTAGACTGACTTCAATTTTTTTCTAAATCATCTACATGTTCTCAGAAGTTCAATCTGACTTTAGATTTGACATTTGACCTTCAATGACCTTCTCAAGGTCAAAAAGGTCTTTTTTCAACTTGCTTCACATTGACTAAATTTTTTTTCAAAATCATCTACATGTTCTCAGAAATTCAAATCTGACTTTAGATTTGACATTTGACCTTCAAATCTGACTTAAGATTTGACATTTGACCTTCAATGACCTTCTCAAGGTCAAAAAAGGTCAAAAAGGTCTGTTTTCAACTTGCTTCAAATTGACTAAAAATTTTTTTCAAAATCATCTACGTGTTCTCAGAAATTCAAATCTGACTTAAGATTTGACATTTGACCTTCAATGACCTTCTCAAGGTCAAAAAAGGTCAAAAAGGTCTGTTTTCAACTTGCTTCAAATTGACTAAAAAAATTTTTCAAAATCATCTATGTGTTCTCAGAAATTCAAATCTGACTTTAGATTTGACTTAAGATTTGACATTTGACCTTCAATGACCTTCTCAAAGTCTAAAATGGTCAAAAAGGTCTTTTTTCAACTTGCTTCAAATTGACTAAATTTTTTTTTCAAAATCATCTACATGTTCTCAGAAATTCAAATCTGACTTTAGATTTGACATTTGACCTTCAATGACCTTCTCAAAGTCAAAAAAGGTCAAAAAGGTCTTTTTTCAACTTGCTTCAAATTGACTAAATTTTTTTTTCAAAATCATCTACATGTTCTCAGAAATTCAAATCTGACTTTAGATTTGACATTTGACCTTCAATGACCTTCTCAATGTCAAAAAGGGTCAAAAAGGTATTTTTTCATCTTGCTTAAAATTGACTAAATTTTTTTTTCAAAATCATCTACATGTTCTCAGAAATTCAAATATGACTTTAGATTTGACATTTAACCTTCAATGACCTTCTCAAGGTCAAAAAAGGTCAAAAAGGTCTTTTTCAACTTGCTTCAAATTGACTAATTTTTTTTTCAAAATCATCTACATGTTCTCAGAAATTCAAATCTGACTTTAGGTTTGACATTTGACCTTTAATGACCTTCTCAATGCCTTCTCAAATTGACCAAATTGTTTTAGGTGGTGACATTTTGTCATGTTAATGCCTTGTTTTCCAGGATGTTATCCCTTACATAGACAAATATTGGGAGCATTTGACAACCATGCCTCGCAGAACAAAGCTTACCTGGCACTCAACTATTGCCAAGATTATGGTATGTAAACTGAATCGTTGCCAAGATTATGGTATGTAAACTGAATCATTGCCAAGATTATGGTATGTAAACTGATCCATTTTCAAGATTATGGTATGTCAACTGAATCAGTGACAAGATTATGGTATGTAAACTGAATCATTGCCAAGATTATGGTATGTAAACTGATCCATTTTCAAGATTATGGTATGTCAACTGAATCAGTGACAAGATTATGGTATGTAAACTGAACTATTGCCAAGCTCATGATATGTAACATCAACCATTTCCAAGGTCATGTCATGTACACTAAACCATTTTTGAGATCATGGTATGTGAACCCAGCCATTCCTGAGTTAATGGTATGTAATCTTAACATAACAAAATTCATGGTATGTAAATGCAACCATTGCCAAGGAGATGACACATGAGCTCAACGCATGAACTCAACCATCCCCTGAATTTTGCATCAGCTCACCCACTTTTAAGATCTTAATATCTAAAATCAGTCAATGCCATGATAACGTTTTCTCACATTTTGATTATGTTTGTTTTCCATTTCAGTCAAAAGATGTAGATATATTCAAATGTGAAGAGAGGGAAAATGGAGAAATGTATTTTTCTCTGATATGTGAGGTATGCGTAACATCCCCTCAGTATATTCAAATTTATGCCCTCAAGTTAATGATATGATTTAAATTTTTAATTAAAATTAAAAAAAATTAATAATTAGATTAAATTATTTATGATATAAAATATTGACTTGACACCCAAAAATACATATCTACATTTTGATGCTATATGATGATTTCCTTTGGTTGGATTATTTCATCAATTGTAAGAGTACTTTATTTGCCATTGGGTTCTATAATATGTGTTCTGTATTTTGTCCTGTAGGATTTATCAAAGATAGCCCCCAACTATGAAGTTCTCCGTACAGGTACAGCTAGTATCAAAGCACAGGAGGGTAAGCAAGCAGCATCTCTTAGTGACAGTAAGTATTCAACAAAGAGTTAATTTGAAGTCTGTTTACTGTTCTATAACTTATAGAGGATGTATGACAATTTAGAATAAGAAAAACTTATATGTTTGAGATCTGTCGTGATTGTTCAAATAGTACTTTGTATTTATACATATAGTCTCATACAGGTGTGGGATTGGTGTAGAACATGCTCCAGGCCAGGTGTATGTTAGTATTACTGTCTCAGTTGGGCAACATATTAAATTTTTCATTCTAAAAATACATTTACCACGTGCAAGTGATTATATATATAGATTTTGTTCATTGTGAGTATACATAAATAGTTCAGTGTTCAAAATTATTTTGTGATAAAAAATGATCAAACCAGTCCAAGTACATAAAAATGTATTACCCTTGAACAAAATGAAAAATTATATCTAAATAAATGAATACATGTTTTTATCTTGCCAGGCAAGGGGAGGGGTACCAAGAGAAAGCAGGTTGGGGATACAACATCAGCACCCTCTACCCGGTCAAAGAAAGGGTAAGTTCGTGTTTATTGAATACACTAGCTACTTCAATTCAAGAGTATTAAACCTCTATAAAATTACTATTTTTCCCTGTATTTTATTCACCCTTTTGTCCAAGGGTATTTTTATTAATTCTTTTCAGTAGCACTGAACTTTGATGGTGAGGTACATCGTTAGACTTTATTTTCTACTTCTACCACAGCATCTGAATTAACAATGAGTTATTTTACAAATTATATCATTTCTAAGCTAACCTTCAGTGTGTACTCTACATATCTTCACTTGCTCATTCAGCCTCGGAAAATCTGTGTAGAAAACCTTTCGTACCTCAAAATAGTGTGTCTCTTTGAAGGCATTCGACTATCAGAGGTCGGTTTCATATTAAATAAGTGTGTAACAGGACTTGGAGTACTCAGTCGATGACTAAGTTCTGAGAAAATTGCTCTTAAACTAAGAGTTTTGTGACCTATAGGAGGAGTTATATACACTTTCGAATTAAAATGTCAAATTTCATTGACTCTTCTTAACTTTCTATAGAAGTGTTATATAACTGCATTTCATATTTCATTCCATCTCTAGGGATGCAGCCATCCATGTTGCTCCAACAAGCTACCCAACTGAACATCCCTACAACAAAGATGGCTACCGCTATATCCTAGCTGAGCCTGACCACCATGCCCCTAACAGACAAGCTTTTGATGAGAGTGTGGAAGCTGCTGGTAAACCTATCCCTGGGTACTTGTATAGGATCTACCTTGAGCAGTCAGTAATGTTGGCAGTACATGATAGAGGTAGGTGATGTATTGTGAGGGTGCATTAATGAAAGGGTGTAGTGTTGAGTGTAATGTTGGGAGGGATAGTGTTGAGAGAGTGTAGTGTTGTACTTGTATAGGATCTACCTTGAGCAGTCAGTTATGTTAGCAGTACATGATAGAGGTAGGTGACGTATTGTAAGGGTGTATTGTTGAAAGGGTGTAGTGTTGAGTGTAATGTTGGGAGGGGTAGTGTTGAGAGAGTGTAGTGTTGTACTTGTATAGGATCTACCTTGAGCAGTCAGTAATGTTGGCAGTACATGATAGAGGTAGGTGACGTATTGTAAGGGTGTATTGTTGAGAAGGTGTAGTGTTGAGTGTAATGTTGGGAGGGGTAGTGTTGAGAGAGTGTAGTGTTGTACTTGTATAGGATCTACCTTGAGCAGTCAGTAATGTTAGCAGTACATGATAGAGGTAGGTGACATATTGTGAAGGTGCATAGTTGAAAGGGTGTAGTGTTGAGTGTAATGTTGGAAGGGGTAGTGTTGAAAGGGTGTAGTGTTGAGTGTAATGTTGGAAGGGGTAGTGTTGAAAGGGTGTAGTGTTGAGTGTAATGTTGGGAGGGGTAGTGTTGAAAGGGTGTAGTGTTGAGTGTAATGTTGGGAGGGGTAGTGTTGAAAGAGTGTAGTGTTGAAAGCGTGTAATGTTGAGAGGGTGTAGTATTTTAATGGTATTGTTGTAAGGGTAAAGTTGAATATTAGTAGTATGTTATACAGATGTTCTCTAAGGAAGGTAAAGTGTTTTAAAAGGTGATATGTAGAGAGGATGAAGTGTTGAATGGGTGTAGTCTTGCAAAAGTGTATTGAATGCAGTTCTAACTATTTTTTGCAGCTCTCTCAATATGTCCATCTTTTCATTTGTGTAATATTTTTGCAGCTCCCCAACTGAAGATCTCAGATGACAGGCTATCAGTAGTTGGAGAGAAAGGTTACAGCATGGTGCGGGCAACACATGGTGGGTATATAGTTTTTATTTCATCAGAAGTTGTGACAGGTTGTTTTCAGTCTCCAACTTTTTGTGGATGACAGTCGGTGGTTGGTGTTTGGCGGTTGGTGTCTGTAACAAGTAGCAGGTGGTGATAATCATGTTAATGCCTTATTATGTTTCTACCAAGAATGGATAACATGTTTTTTTAACAGATAGTTGGTTGGCAATAAATGGCATCTGTAACAAAGTGTTACACTATTGTTACATTTTTAGGTTGTAGCAAATAGTGATCAATAGTCATATTCAATAGGACAATAGAATTGTAACCATACATGTGTATTTATTGTACATCAACAGTAATATAATTTGTTTTTAATATGAATCAGTCCTATAATACTGACACCAGAGAAAGTTGCAATTTTTCATCAATTTGCACCATTTGCTATTTTGTAATATCATGGGCTTTCAACTAATTGAACACCCATGGTAATATGTGCACCTACTACTGGAAGATGTGCCATGTTGTTACATGTGCATCCTTGCAACTTTCCCTGATCTCAGACAGTCATTTGAGAATTATATTATATGTATGGTTATCCTGTCTCAAATTTAACAATTAATGACTCTGACTTGAGAATTTGAGAGTGGGATACTTAGTGAAAAAGCATTGGTTATAACCTACAACATCCATTACATTATAGTTTAGTTTTTGGGATATAAACCACTACACATATATAGTAACATACATTTTTTATAGGTTATTGTTATTTTTTTCAATATTATTCAACATAATTATTTACATAGATTGTGAGGGGCCGAGGCTATATAGCATTATTGGCCCCCCTCTACATAATGTAACATACATACATGACATAATGTACATGTATCATATACACACTGACACAGTATTCAATAAGAATGTATGGAACACTCATGCTAGAATATAAAAGACTTAGCAGAACAAATGTTGTGCTCAGGAATATAAAAAGTCTCATTAAACCTAACAGTGCTAGGCTTCCTCGTTTATGTCATCTTCTTGAACAGGTTCTTTTAACTCTAAATGATGTTTGCCCAGCTCAAGTTTTAGATCTCTCCAGAATTTGGCTTGTTTCTTCTCATTGTTGCTCCATCTGAGACAATTATTATGCTTTATAATCATCTTCACTTTGTCAGGCATCTCATCCTTAGGAATGTGTTCCATTAATAGAACTATGATCATGTCCCTGTAGTCATCTAGGAGTTTGGCTAGAGCCATGTCAACTTCAAACTGATTCATGGCATCTTTTACCCAGGCACGACTCACCACAAATATGATCTTTCGGCTATTGTGAATGGCAATTCCCAATGAAGTGAATAATGAACCACCAGGTATAATCCTGTCATCGTAAATCAGTTTGAATTTAATGTCGGGACCATTCTCAAGCTGATTACACAAGTCTTGCTCCACCCATAGTAGTTTCTCAACGTGGTAGCTCACAAAAGCATCATGCTCGATGTTGTTTGCATGTACAAGGGCATAGTCCTCGTGTTTCCTTGCTTTGTGGACCATTCTTTTGTACTTGATGTCTCGCCAGAATGTTTTCAATAGCAAAAGTGTTAATAAAGTCACAAATAATATTGAACCACCACTTATTGTAGAAACCTTAATGACAATCATTGCGTTGCATTCTAACCATGTTGTAGTAAAATTGTGCACATAGTCATTCCGCCAGGCTCTAATAGCAGGTGATGTACATTTGTCTGATGTGAACTTCAATCTTCTCCTCTTTTTATTTAACATGCTAGTAATCCAGTCTCGCACACCTTTCATTTCACAATTACATTCAAAACTGTTGTGTTTAATGGTCAGTTGTGTATTGGGTTTGTACTGACTATCCAATTTTCCAATCATCTCAATATTGCTGGGATGGATAAATACTATTGCATTATTTGACAGGTCCACTGATTGTAAGTTATGTAAATCTTTAAAGAGATCTTTTTGAATTACTCTGAGTAGATTGCTATGTGCATGCAAGACCATTAGACTGTACAATCCTTCAAACATGCATTGTGGTAAGTGTGAGAAATAGTTACTGTTTAATGCTATATATGTTAGATTCATTCTGTTCTGGAACAGGCTGCATAATTGAGAGTCAGAAAACTTGAAAAGATAGTTGCCTGAGAGATCTAACTGTGTCAACTTTTGGGAGGAATCTAATATATTCATCAATAATCTTCTGTATCTATCAAAATTATTGTCAGCATAGGTCATTCTTAAATTTTGAAGATTTTTCAAATTTGAAGCATATAAGTTGAATAAATCAAGACCTTTCATGTAAATCTTAAGATCCATTAGTGCTTCAATATTATCCAGATGCACAGACTGAATAACTGGGTTTTTTGATGATATTATGCCCCCTATTTCTAAAGCTCTTAAACTGTTGAAGTTTTCAAAGGTGTATCTTTCTAAGTACATGAAATTCCAGAGTGTAATGTCAGACAGATGGTACTTTACTGGATCAAATGCATTGGAAGCCACTGTTTCAAAAGTGTTTCCAGCCATGTCAATAGTCCTCAGACTTGAATAGCGTAACGGTTCAAAAAAGCTACTCTCCAGTACCTTCAAGAAGACTCCACATGTTTTCATCTTTATAGCAGTAATTGTTTTGTTCTGAAAATCTCGGAAAATTGTTTTGATGCCGTCTGTTCCTAATCTTGGATTTTGGGAAAGTGTTAATATGCGCCATTTTTTGCCGAATCTGAAAATTCCTTGCTCAATTACACTGAGATTGTTCAACTGTAAATTCAGATGTATTCCATGATGATGTTCGAAGACTCTAAATGCATTCCTTTCAATGTATCCAATGCTGCAGTTATGCAATGTCAAGTCATGAAGCCTCTCAAAGCCTTTAAAGGAATCATTGGCTAATATGTCAAATTTAAAATTTTGAAATTCTAATTTTGAGCAAAGAAATTTTGGGAGGTAATGGAGCATTTCTTCCAATCGAACCTGTTGATCTCTGGATTTGGCAACACAAATACATTGTACCAGTTTGGGGCTGCATTTGCATGGTATATGCCCAACTGGCATTTTGGGAATTCCTTTGTTCCATGCTGCAACAGTACTTGCATTGCCTCGTTGACCCGATGCTTCACTTAACTGGATGCACAGCAAGATTTGGACCACAGACGATAAAGTCAATATAGAAATTCTATATCTCTGCAAAACATTGTTCAAAAAGTTAATTTTTTTCATAATGATATTGATCTTTTAGGTTTAGCAGAATCATAACTGTTATAAAGCTCTCAAAAGATAATGTACTAATAATGTATTTAATCTATGAAGGTAAGATAATTTGTCCCTTTACCTCCCATATGTAATGAAATGTGTATACAAGAACTTTTGATAAGCTTTGAAACTTTTTACTCAAGTACACTTTTGAATGTTTTGGTTCTCAATGTTAATATGATGCATTCTTTGATTATTTTTTTAGTTATTTCGTATATAGGGGTTATGCACTGGGAGGTTTTGGATACAGGGAATATCCCGAGGGATATACAATATATCTTCCCGAGGGACCGAAGGGACCGAGGGAAGATGTATTGTATATCCCAAGGGATATTCCATGTATCCAAACCGACCGTGCATAACTGGTGTATCTCATACTTGAGTGGGTTTAGGGTAGATATAACCTTTTCCACCTTTTTCAAATGACAAGATATTTATATTTAACATTTTCGTAATATTCTTTTTGTTCAATACAATGAAATTGTAACATTTAAACTTAAAAAAATTAAATTTTAAAATTAAAAATTAAAACTTTTGATAATTTAACTTTTTTAAACTTTTGAAAAATTCCCGGGAGCGGGATGGATATATTATATCTGCCCGCATTTGGCCCGGAGCGGGACATATACAATATATCCTGCCCGCTCCTCAGATACGATATATATTCCCGGGTGATATCTACCGCAAACCCACTCAAGTATGAGATACTCACGTTTATTCATTTCATATATTTACCTTATGCATTATTCTTTATTTCACTTTTTCAGTCATTTAATATGTGTGATGTGTAAATGAGTTATATACAATGAAGATGCACTCAAACACTCTGTATATTTTAAATACACGTTCATCTATTTCAAGCCCAGAACATAAAGTTCAATATTAACTGATAAGATGAATAAAATATATTATGTTGTCTGATAAAGAAGAGGTTACTTTTGAACCTGTAAGTGCAATGATGTCATTTTGATAATCTAGCAGTTTCGTTTTGTATATATTTTGAACTTTTTCACTCGAAAATACTGTTATACGTATATTTTGGTTCTCAATATTTATCAGATGTATTCTTTATTTATATTTTCATAGCTTCTTCAATCATATTCATTAAGTATATTTACCTTATCCATTATTTCTTTAATTCACTTTTTAGTAGTAATTTAATTTGTCTATGTGGAAATGCCTGTACAGCCAAATACAATATGGTGCACTTAAATACAATGAGCAGCCTGTATATTTTTAATCCACATCTATTTCAGGCCCAGAACATAAAGTTCAATATTTACCAATAAGATCAATAAAAAATACAGTAGTCTGATAATGTGGTAAGAGTAGATAACTTTTGAACCTGTTAGTGCAATGATGTCAGTTTAAATGGGCAACAAGGTCTGAAGAAAGAAAATTCAATTTTTTTTACTTTTTCTGAGCTATCAGGGCAACATTTGGCTTAACACATTCTTTGATAACCTATTTTCTTAAAAGGTATGGATAAACTATCAATTTCAGCATTTAAAAAGTGTAAGTTCAGTTCAAAGCTTCTATAAAAGGAGTCCCACTTATAGATTTTTAAGATTCACCACGCTCCAAGAGGAATATCAGCTGAGATAATGTTCATTCAAGGGATTTCTTTGGAGAGAATAAAAATATTTATTCGTCTAGATGAAATATCAAATATATTTTGACACTAGTCCACGATTGTTGAATGGCCCCTCTGCACTAATTGTTGCACCTTTAATAATATAGCAGGTAATCTGTATACACATTGTACCTTCTGTAAAGAAAAGGTGCATGTTACTTTCTTAATCATCAAACTAAGTTCAGGAGGATAGAGAGGATGGCTCTGTCCATCATTTCCTCTGCCTGTTTCTTCGTTTATACATCAGTCTGATGGAATTTGCTATAGCTTGGCGTTGCTGTTTTTTTTATTATTCCTTTGAATGTAACCACCCATGTACCGAACACGGAATGTGTTTGCTACACATTTACAATGTATGGGCATGGTCACATCAAACAACACTCTGAGTGTATGATGATTGCATAACAGCTTTGTTCATCCATGTATGTCTCTTATATTTTCCAGGTGTGACTCATGGTAGTTATTACTTTGAGGTGACTATTAAAGACATGGCCCCAGAGACTGCAGTAAGGTTAGGCTGGGCACAAGCCTTAGGTGAGTTCTTTTTCCATTCAGATTCAGATATTTATTACTATTTTGAAAAACATACATTACATTCAATACAACATCTCAAGAGCATATATGTTGGAAATCATATATCTTATTCTTATCTTTTATGAAAACTGAATTTTTTTTCCAAATCTTGGCTTGACATGAATGGGAACTATCAATATTACTGTATAGAAGTCAGATCGTCTGGCTTACTAGATATGGCCAACCTTCAGCTATTAATATGACCTAGTTACATCCAAAGTTGATGGAACAAAGTCAAATGTAAGACGGAAAGTTATTTGAAAGTTATATATATTTCAAAGGCTTAGGGTGTATGCTATAATATTTTCAACTAGAGATTGTGCAGTATTATAATCAATATAATCTATATCTGCAGATTTCACAGATTCTGTTATTTTAATTTAATTTAAATTACAGGCCCATGCTTTATCTAATAGCCTCTTGTGTTATTTCAGGAAACTTACAAGCACCATGTGGGTATGACAAATTCTCCTATTCTTGGCGCTCTAAGAAAGGCACACGGTTTCATGAGAGCAGGGGTAAACATTACTGTGAGGGTGGATTTGGCCAGGGAGATACACTTGGCTTCTTTATCCATCTTCCCATACACAAACCTCTTCCAGAGATGCTGCCCAACACTTATAAAGATATGGTGAGTTGGCATATGCAAAATAAATACAGAGGCTTGTATTAAATACAGCTGTAAATGAAGCTGTCTTAAAGTGTGCGCCAAAGTTTAAAACTGCGCAGGCGCACCGCTCTCGCTAAACTATATAAAGAGATTACCGGGTACACGATTCAGAGGTAAGCCAGGAAGGCGAACGGTCTTCGTCTCGTGATGATTTCCCATATAATCGTAACCAGGGAAGTTTCACCATTGAAATTAAAAATTACTATTAGATATACTTATAGATGTTATTTATGAAGCTATTCAGTGTTTGCATCAATCAAATGGCTCATTTTGAACATATAAAAAGTATTTGTGTTTTGTTTCCCAGGGAATTGTATTGTATGTATGTAGTACACACATAAATAGTGTACATTATACAGTACTTGAATAGCCTGGTTTACATAATATTGAAGGGCATGCTGATTACATGCACACGAGTACATGAATGAAGGCCTAATATTGATATACGTAGCTTGCATACCTAAATAAAAAGTAAACTCTTCTAATCCCCTAATGTAAACACGGCGGTATACGTAGCCCGATTTATCGGGGACTTTAAGGGGGAAATCACACTATTGCAAAGGATATGAAATACATGCATTATGTGTGGAGTTTTAGTGCAATAATGTCAAACAATGGATATAGCCACACATGCCAGCAACTGCCTCATCAAATAATTGCAAAAATCCGTTTTGTCATATTTTTCAATGAAGTCCAAATATGGTCATATACCTCTTTGCCTCACTTTGCCTCATCTGTTAATTATTTGGCCCCACCTAATTTTAGATCCTGGCTATACCTCTGAGATGTGTTCTAAAATTCCCCTTATTTTCACTATTTTCGCTGAAGAGGCTAGACCGTGAAATTAAAGGCACAGTGAATATTTGATTTAACATTGAATTCAATTCGATATTTTCTCAAACAGTGGAATTTAATGCCAATGAAACATTTCAGATTGACAAAATAGGGAATTTTTTTGTCAGCGAAAATTTTACAGTATATGGTATATATATATGGTAGTATTGAATACTTGATTAATGATAGAATAAAGTGCCATTTCCTCATAAATTTTTTAATGTACACTCCAGCAATTATTTTCTGAAATGTCGCCAAATATTTATCTTTCTTTCTGATCCATTCTGAAGATCAACATCATAAATTCTCCTTCTCAAATCAAATTAATGTGACCTTGAAATATAACCCAAACCATCATATTTTATTTAATCTAAATTTATTCTCAAAACAACTAGAGTGGTACACATGCATGTAAATGTATAAATAGATACTAAAATTATATACAACAACTATATACACTGTGCAGTGACTTTGATTTGAATATGATACAAAGCTCTTTATTGAATAAATAAAAAATGCATTTATTGAATTGAATAATTGAAAACAGTGAAATACGGATCATTGACCGCATTCAGTTTTCGCGGTTTTAAATTCACTTACATGTAAAAGGGTAAGCTCAGCAACCATGGTTCATGTTTAAGAGAATGGTGATATAAGAAAATTCAAAATCTGTGTCTGTGTAACAAATATTGCAACTTATCGAGCTCATGTCATATTGGTGGCATTGTATTGTGCAAGATACTGGGCTTGGTCTGTCTTTATATCACCACTGTGAAAGTGAGGGAGGGGGAGGCACAAATCTGTATTGAGTGTGCTGGCTTCTATATACAACACATATGCATTAAGGTCTTAAGGATATGTTAGGGAGTCTTTGACTTCACATCTGCATAGAGGGTCTGAGGTGAGGTCTCTGGCTGCTCCTGTCTCTAGGGGGAGGGGGTGGCGGCTGCTTAGATCCTTGAGACTGAAATCAATCCACATAATTGGTTACTTTTTGTAAATTATACTTAACATTCAAATTATAGCTTTGGAATGTCTGAGGATTAGATAAGTCACTATTTTCACTAATAAGTCACTAATTTCTATAATTGAAAAAAAATTCACTTTAACTTCATATATTTTTCCATCCAATTTTAATCATGTCATTCAAGACAAACAAACATGTATTGCATTGTTGTTTGAAAAACAATTAGTACCATATGTGAAGCTACCTGGTTTATTATTTAGACGTGAAATGTGTTTTCAACCAGATGTTACATCTCTATAAACATTGACTTGTCATTATTTATGTGAAGCTATTTCTTAAAACCGTGCTGATATTTAGAATATGATGATATAAAACCTGGCTCTAGGGTTTCATATTTTAAACCAGCCAGCCAGGCATATTGTTGTTTTCATTTTATACTTTCTAGAGAATAGACTACATGCGAGTAGAAAGAATGTAATGAAATGTACATCTAGAAATATGGTTTCGAAAATTGTCTATCAACTTTGAAAATTTAATTTTTTTTGAAAATGTGACTTCTTGTTCGGGTTGATTCCTAATAGACCCCATGTTAGAAAATCACAAAAAGTGAATTATCTTTTCTTGTATTGGACAGATAACATTTTCTTTTACTGGACATATTTTAATTTGCATAACTATTAGATACATAAGGGTTATATGAAAATTGAACCACGCAAATAGATGTAATTTAAGTTAAAGGGAACTTTCTACTATACCCGCCATGCTATCTGACCCGAACGAGCCACCTGGTGGTGAATCTGGTAACTACCTACTCGCATCTGCGTTATTATGGAAAATATTGATGAGTTCGGGACATGATCGTTTCTCTTTGAATATCTGATAGGATAAGTTATTGGATTGGTTGATATCACATAGAAATGGAAATGGTACATTTTTATATTTCTTTTACATACATATATGTAGCCTTGCCCCAAGTCGGTATTTTTTACTTTATCTGATCTTGAATTATTACCGCCTTGTGTAATCCGATACATCTCCACTGTTATTATGATAAATTATGCACCAACTATTACGCGTGCCCTATAGCATTAGCCAATAGCGGTAGTCATACACAAAAATCAATAAATAAATCCACATGTTCGCCCAAGGGCGTTACAATACCCGGGAATTTATCGGTTCGTGCAGTACTTGTTTGTGATAGCGCCCTCTGTAGGTCACTGTGCTTATAGCCTACAGTAATACGGGGTAGGATATCGGGAATTCGGTCAGTTTCTATCCGTCGATTTCGCTATGAATTGAAGCAAGTGTGACCACTTTATCCACTTAAACAATTTGATAATTGATTAAATATTTAAACAAAATCGATAAACACGTTATACACTTCCTATCTCCTTAGAAATTAGCATGTATTTATGGATTGTGTTTTCGAACAAGGCTCGACCCAAACCAATAGGGAAATCCTTATGCTAATTAGTATGACGTCATATTTTCCTGGGGAATCCTAGATTTCAAAGCCTCAGTCTGTTATTGTGTCAAATGTAAACGCTCTTTTGCAGACAGAAAATTGACAGATTAGCTTTTAACTTTCAGCTTTGATGTTTAAATATTCTGTATTTCTACCGGACTTCTTGCTGAATATCATATAATGTTATAACTTGATTTGGATCTACATTGCCTGATTGCTCATTCTGAAATTTTGATTGTGATTCATGATTGATTGGCAAGAAAAATAATTCCTATTGTTTTCCAGCGAAGTCAAAATGTTACAGCATGAGTTATAATGTCGAGTTTGCATCATGTTAAATTCTGCTAGTGATTAGAAGTCCATGCACAAGCATACACATAAGAGACAAACACACACAGGCTCCAGGCCGTGGATGGAAATATAAAACTATTTAAGGCACAAACTGGTATTAATAGACCGATATGTAGTGTCTGCCATGTATTGAAGGTAAACCAATCTGCATTATTAATGTTTCTTCTATCAATACATGGATTGTGCAATGGAAAAGCAATGGCACAATCAAAAATGTGCATATCAATCGTGAATATCTCTCGGTTCAAAGCTTATTTCCAACAGAATCGTGTCAAAATATGTGTCTGAGTAACAGTTATACATTATAAGATCGCAAACTCTCACCAATTATCAGCCGAATGGCTCATTTTCAACGAAATGTCCTTAAGACATCAGCCCTGGGTCGCGCCTAAGACCAAAAACTATTTCAAATAGCCCTCCCCTAATTATATTGGATAATCACATTTATGCGTGCGCGCGCAGCTCATCCACTGAACGAAACGCCACTTCCCGCTGAAATCACTGGGTATTGATCTTTCCCTTGGTTCGCCATGCGGTTGTGAAGTTATATGCGGCATGCTTGCAGTCTGCAAATCCAGGCATCTCCCTTACAAATAAAACGCATTCACCAGAACCATAATAACTTTTCATTATCCTTTTCACAGCATAACTATAAGTGTTTATATGTGAACTGATCAGTCATCAACTTTCTGATATTAAATCGGTTCACTACATTCAAATTACTTTCAATTATATTTAGCAAATAAAACGTTTATCGATTTTGCGAGGGTCATTTTCAGTTTTGCTAGCTGATGAAAGTAAAGCGAGGTAGGACTTCCCACAATGCCACTATCAAAGGTTCCAATACTAAATTGCTGATTGGAGCAAAATCAACAACTGTATTACCTCGTGTGTTTGTAACCTAAATTTAGACATTGAAAGATCGTGTGCTATTGGTCAAAATCACCGACATAAACAAACTGTCGGTAAAGCACGTGGCTTTCTCTTTGGTACAAGGCGGTCATAATAGAAATCAAGATAAGTAAAAGAGACCGACTTGGGGCAAGGCTAACATATATGCTATTGTACAATTTCAAAGGTTTCTTCAGTACATGTTTATTTTCGAAAGGGACAACTGGTGTTATGTTAATGCCACCATCCATTGGTGTCCAGAAATAATACCTTTTCATGACCAAATATTTCATTAACTCGATAATGCACTTTTCCATTTTAATTCTAAATACAGATTTCTCAAAGAAAATTCATACTCACTGGCTTGTTTTTGTCTTGGAGTTTTCCCAGCATTCCTGATACTTTCCCATGTAATGCTGAAAGGTAAATGTGTTTATCTTATATCTGGTTGTTCATGGTGTAACCACATATCTGAAATCTGATTGGTTACAGCTTAAACTATTCTATGACAGAGCATCATGTGAAAATTCAAATTGTTGCAAAGGTCAGTATTTCCCACTTCTTGATTTTTGCCTTTTGTTTCCTTAATCTTAATCAGGTGATAACTCTCAATCCATTCAGTTTCAAACTTAAAATTCTTTTCTAATTTTCATCTCTATTTGTATTCATAATTTCATTTATTTTCAATTGCAGAGTAAGTAATTAATAAACATTAGACTTGGGTTTTATACTCCTAAATGAGTTGAATGGGTAATTCTTATTTCTGATAATCTGTTCATCAAGCAACTATCTACTACATATGCATTGGGGTTTATACTCACATTGCAGAATATCTGTATCTTTTGCTTGGTTTTCATCCCCTTTACCCTGTCCCTCTACTGTGTGTTCACTTGGGGGTGGTGGGGGCATCTCATCATTCCCTGCACGCTGACGATGCACAAAGTGGTTGTCATAGCTGCAAATATATATATACAGGGTGTCAAATAAATATGTTCTCCTCCTTAATTTCAAAGGTATGAACTTTTGTGCATAAAAGTGCATCTAGTTGAGCTAGTCATCAGATCTGATACTTCTTGTGGAGGTGATCCATGAAGCCTCGTTTTAATGTCCTAAAGAACAATTCAGATATCATGCAGACTGCATTTTAGTTACATTTCTTTAAGTATTAAGTGAGAGGTAATTACACTGCTGTAATTTTCACTGACCTGTCTCTCCTGTTCTGGTTATAGTGGGCAGACTGTTCAGCTGCTCCTGTGTGGGAGGGGGAAGGTTCAGGTACATAGATACAGGAGTGGGCACTATCCCATCTTCTGATTGGCCCAGGTCTCACCTGACTAGGAGACACCTGATGTAGGGAGGGAGTGCTGCGTTGTTGACATTTATTCATGTTGCCATGGAGACACTGGCAGTTATTCCTCTCAGTTGAGCTACTGCTACCACCTATTGAGTTTTGGCTGTGTTTTGGGCAGTTGTTTACATTGCTTGGGTCCTGACCTCGTTTTGGAGGGCTGTCTTTGTAGAGGTGGTTGTAGTTATCCCCTTCACAATTATTGTATTTCAGTATCACTGTATCTTGGCAGCATATTATGTTTTTATGGTAACATATGTCATTGTTTATGCTGCTATGGTGACACCTGTCTGTGTGTCCACCTCCACAAATGTGACCATTTCTGCCATGGCTGTCACGGTTGCAAATCACTTCTGTTTTACTGCATGAACAGCTTTTGTTGCTGCGATCATCTCTTTTATTTCCATGGCAACTTGCATCACTTCTACATTCATCATGCTTATTACTATGCTCGCTATCACTGTATTGATGATTGTATCCACTAGCTTTACTATTGCCCATATTATTTTTATTCCCTCCATATTGTTCTTTAGTCTTTCTACTCTTGTTGCTATGCTTGTCACCATATTGGCTGTTGCTATGATGATCATCTCCATAGTAACTATCACTATGATGACCATTGAAATATTCATCTCTGTGTGAATTTGATTTTGCCAGCATCAGTTGATCACCATCTGCTGTATCGTATGAATCTCTTTGCTTTGCAGTATGTTTGCTATTGTTCTGCTCTGGGGAAGGGTGACGAAGACCTTCATATTCAGACTCCTCAGGTCTCTGGTTGAAGGGACTCCACTGTTCCTTGTGCCCATCTTGCCAGAATGAGCGGTCATCATTGCCATACTGGAAAACACATCATTGCAATACATATATCTTACTTTCAGTGTGCCAAGTGCAGTCATCTGTATTGAATATTCAGATGTCTTACCGTGATTTCCTTCAGTCTTGCTCGTCTCTTGCTTGATCTATGGGCCCTTGTCTTTTTTGGACCTGGGACACGACGAAACTTAGAAAGTAAAAAATACATATTGTTTATAACGCATCATGGTGATATTAATCTGATTAAATCTAATTATTGTGAGAAAGCATAAAACGAGGACAAAGCATGACTTACATGACCTATAAATTTATTTCAAGAGAATGTTATATAAGCCTTATGAAGGTGACCAAGGATAGTGACTCGAATGATGCAAAAGTTAAGCACTTACAGACTTTAGCATATCTTCTCGTTTAACCTCTGCAAACTCTTGTTCATCATCAGACTCCATAGTCATGATTCCTTCATCATCATTTACACTGGACTGGTACTGCTCTCTAAAACCAACATGTGGTGACTCATACATGAGGTTGTGACTGTTGACTCATGCATGTGGCGACTCATATTTTTGGTGGACTCATGTATTCTGTACTTTGTGTCATTCATATGATTAAATGAGACCTAGCTTTGCAAGCACATCGCTACTGCTTGTCATTTTTCTTATTTTCATTTAGCTGACACCTTCAAACTGGTGCCACCCACAAAAAAACATGACTAATTGTTTGTTTGAAATCATGCATAACTGTATTGTCATTAGCATTATTATAAAGTATATGCAGATGTAAAGTTGATAACCTACAACACGTGTCTTCCTTCTTCATCAGGGTGGTCTAATTCTGCTTTGGGGATCCGAAACATTCCAAGGTTACTTAGGTTTGTTGGTACCTCTCCTTCTTCACTGATCATTTCTACAACTTCTTGCTCCTCATGTTCACTTCCACGCTTCTTCTTGGGGCGACCCTGTCAATCAAAATGAATGTCATTATGAGATATGAAACTTCAAGCAAAATTTTACCAGCTTGATTTCTTTATAATATTCAGTGTAACTAACAATATGTTCTTTTTAAGGATTTACAGAATTTGAACTTCTCACATGATCAAAATTGATTTCCAGAAATGTTTCTGACAGTTTACACATAAAATATGTCAATCTTCAATGATTTGTCAGTTATTCACAGTAAAATCTATGTTGTTGATAAAAACTTACAAAACCAATGAGTATTCCTTGGCTCTCAAACTCCTCATAAGCCTTACTAGTTGGTCTTTTTTTCTTTGGTTTTGAGTCTTGCTCCAACTTAGGTGATGCCGACTCGACTATTTCAGCTTTCTTCTTCTCAAATGCCTTGATTTTGTCTCTTATGTTGAGTTTGTTATCTTTTGACTTGCCTTGACTAGAATATATATCCAAGAAACTTTTGAAAGCACAAGAAGCAAAATTTGTTGACAAGTGATTTATTTATTTATTAGTAATTAAATCAATGAAATATGTTTAATTAATAACCTGCTATATTGGCTCCTTTGCTGTTGACTAATGCTGTGTGTGTACCATTCAAATTTATGAAACTTATTTTTTTTCTTATATGATGAGAAAGATGTACATTAAAAATATTACTTTTAAGATTACGAACATGTAGCATTCCCTTACCTTTTTGATAACTTTTTGCCAGATTTTTTACTGTCACTACTTTGTTTGCTTCTTGTTGATCTCGAATCATCTACTGAAGTCTCCTGTGATTCAGTAGACTGTCTCTGATGATTCTCCCCTATCAGTGTATTCTCCATATCCTCTGATTCGTCAGACCTAGCTGTACTGGTGCTCTGTCCACCACTCTCAACATTAATGTTCTCATATGAGTTGGTCTGACTACCTGTGTTGCTTGTCTGGTGATGTAATCCACCTGGCCGTGCTTTACGACGTTTACAGCAACAATGCACAAGGCCTACAGACATACATAAGATGAATAATGCTCCTATTGTGCCGCATATTGCAAGAACTAAGTCTAGAAGTTTGAATTGTACTTTAACTCTGTTTAGGTCATCTAGTTTCTCGAAAAGTGGAGATGGGGAAACGTCTATCTGCATTTCTGATATCTCACTATCTTTAACCCCAGCAGAGGCATTGATCGTTTTTACTGTTCTATTATATGTGTTGTTGATAGAAAATGCGATATTCAGATGTGGTACAAAGCTTTTAAAACTTGAATCTGGTTCACTTTGGTGATATATATGGACATCCTGAATGCCTTCATTTGAGTACTCAGCCAAATTTTCTTCATTAAGAGCCTCTTCGATGTACTCATATCTTGTATCATTTGCAATGTTATGCACCTCATTGTCATCATTTTCATAGAGAGGAATGAGATCAAGATTGTCTTCGATTATTTCATTTCCATCATTTAAATATTTCATCCATTTGTGGTGCAATGACTTTGGTTGAGGTTTTAATTGCCGCAAGTCATCATCTTTAAAGTTCTCTGACTGGTATTGTACTTCTTGATTAGGGCCATCAAGGAGATCACCACCTTCAGATATTGTATTTTCAAATGTATCATCCACTGCTGGATAATCATTTAAATGTCTAGATTTATGATTTTCCAATTCTTGATCTGATCCTAGTCTTTGTTCTGAATCAGTTTTCTTATCACGGTTCAAACCGTTTTGTTTTTGGTATGGTATCACAATATTTTGTAAACGATTTTGTATTTTATTTGTTGTGACTGAATCTCTACTATTGTCAATTTCCCCAATATTGTTATTAAATGCAATTCTGTCTTTAGTCTCTATCTGGTCTGGTAGTTTAAATGCCCTACATGTGTTATATAAAATAAGATGTATGGCCAAAATCCACAATGTTCCTCTTTGTTTTCCTAACGCCATGTTTGGTAATGTCTGTCTAGAAGTCCATCCCTTTAAACTTGATTGATATGTCTGCCCACATCTTCAAATGAGACCCTCCATTATCATCCATCCAGCTTTGAATTATCATCTGTTTTATTTAATAGCTTAGTGATATCATGGGAAAATTATTTTTCATTTGTCAAAAAAAAGTAATTATGTTGAAATGACTATGAAGATTTATATTTGTAAGGCCCTTTGAGTAAAAATATGTGTTTAACTTGAAGCAGAATTAATAATAATTAAATACTTTTGAATCAATCAAAGTACTTTTCATAATACTCAGAAAAAGTTTGATTTTCTTACTAACTCTTGTGAAACACTAAATGTAAAAACAACATTCAACATTGATATGATTGTTATATATTCAAACTGCACTGTATTCAATGTATTTAATATTACCAATGAGAAGAGTGGAATATTATGAAACACATAATTTAATTTCAATCACCTAATTATATTTGATTATTCTAGTGACATTATATTACATTAGAGTGACTGCCTCCACCCAAAGTCAAGCTGTTGCTATATATCACATTCTCTTTAATAGCAGCAAGCTGATACTCTACATCTTCATATTGATGTGCTATATTGCCCTTGTGTTTAATATATTAAGGTATAAGTCATGCCTGTTTGTTGAATGGTTAAGAGTCAATTAATGAATCATGGTTGTGAAAATCAAAGATTTGAAACATAGGTACATGTGCATGTGTTACTCATGTTTGTAAGTAAAATGTAAATTAAGAAAATTAGTAAGGTTAATTTGAAGAACTAAATCTCATATCAAGCTGTTGGAAATCCTTGATCAGAGAACGTAGAATTAAAATGTGTTTTCCTAATATATAATTCATTATTAGGCTGGGCGGCATTTAACCGATCTGTATTATTTGTTCACTTTCTTTTAGCATTAAAATATTTCATTTTTAGTTTTATATGATATAGTATTTCTTAATTAAAACAACACAGGACAACAACCATAATAAACCATGTATTCATCATCAACTATTACTTGTGCGATCCTTATTTGAATGAATTAAGACCAGGTACATTTTAGTCAATAAAGCAACCCACAACCATTTTACTCTCTATTACTATATAAGTTTATTTTTTATAGTAGTGATGGTAATCTATATTAGGCATTATAACATATGCATGCTGTTAATTCATCTACTCGCTCCTTCAATTAATTGACATGTCTTCAAGGATGCAAATACAGTGTTTAATATAGAACTCAAGGAATCATCTTAATGCTTTAGTATTGATAAGATTGACAGCAAATGTTATGTCAAGGTGTAGCACAAAACATTTAAAACTTGTTAATTCTTCATAAAAGGAATTTTTAAATCAATTCAGGATATATGACGATATCCTGAATTCTAGCTTACATATGCCGGTCTGTTCATGGGGAATCACTAACAATAGAACCATATTGCTTAGGAAGAATGAGAAAAGATTCTCTGTAGTGAAGGAAAATAGCTAAAATTATAGGGGAATTTTAGAATTTTGATTTGCAATGTCAGGGAAGTACAAATTCCAAATTGATTTTTCATTCATAAAAAATGCATCGATCAGGTATTTTTTAATTTGAATCAAGGAAAAGTCAAAATTATATTTTAAAATGGTGTCGACCCTGCCCTGATTGTAGCTGCTCACAGGTGGGTTAATACTAGACATTGTACCCTGTACACCTGTAGTATAATTGAATCTAATAAGCAATCAATAGCTGATCAATTAAAGTCATCAGGTGTCAGTATTCCTCACCACAAATTGATTTATTGAATGATTTTATCAAATTATAAAAATATTGAGTAATTAAAAACAGGGAAATTATAAAATATGTCTTCACTATTATATCATAGAGATTATTATATCAAGTATGGTTCTATTAAACAAAAGCTTTGTCATTCTTATTTAACATTATTAGAATGAGTGTCCACCTTTTAAAAATGGTTGAAATGTGCATAAATCACATTTACTATGAATATATATATTGATTGTAAAAAACATGATGCACAAAGGAGAGTCCTCTTTGAAAAAATGAAAGAAATATTTGGACCCAATTTTCTAATCAATGAAACAAATTTTAAAATGCTATTGTCTTCGTAAAATATTACTGTTCAAAGGCATATTGGCAAATATATTTACAAGTCTTTTCAAAATTTAGAATAAACTGCAATAATTGTGCTACACTGCTAATACATTTTTTATCATCTTTTATGCATCAAGTTTTATAAAGAGCCTGTAAACTCATGCAAATGATTTTACATTACATGTACATAGTGAAATTATAAATGTAGTCTAGCATTTAGTTAAAAGTGTAGTATTGTCTTGAGTCAAGACAGTTTAGTTTGTACATAGACTAATGTGTCATGTTTTGATACAATTGTCAATAAAAGAAATATATATATATATGATAAATGAAATAAAAAAATAACATGAGATATGTTCTTCAGGTGGGGATACAGACTTCCCCTTTGAGGAAAGGAACACATAAAATATTACTTATTATTGCAGTTTGTTTTCAATATTTTAAATACTGAAATATTTTTCCAGCCATTGGTGAAATTCAAGAGCCATCTTTACTATGAGGAGAAGGATTATGTGTCTGAGACAGAGAAGAATCTCAAACCTCTCCCTGGCAGCAAGGTATGTGATACTATGATTACTTTGAAACGATATTGTTTTAAACATCCATCCACTGTTTCTGTTTACGAGAATGACTTGTCACATGATTGTTGGCTTTGAAGTTTCTGAATAGATAAGCCTTCTAACCTAGAAGTTTGTTTTTGGTACATTCATAACTTACGATTCCAAGAAAACCATTGTCTACCTTTTGACAAACAACGATCTGCGACCAAATCCAAAAACAGACCCCTGAATTTGTTGCACTAACCTATAGAGGTAAATCCTTACATTTGAAAGAAAACTGAACAGAGAGTGACCTACTACAAATTGACCAATCAGGTTATAGCGTGGAAAAAATCTTAAATTGTTACGCTCGAGCACTAATCAGTAAATAAATTTGGCTGTTGAGATTTAAAATACAAACCCTAGCATTAATTACATGTACATTTTTTCCAGATTATATTTTACAAAAATGGCAAGAATCAAGGTGCAGCCTGGACTGATATCCACATGGGAACATACTACCCTGCCATCTCACTATACAAAAATGCAAATGTAAGTCAAACAATGAAAAGTAATAGAAGTAGAAGCTTGATATGGTATGCGGAGAATATTCTAGGTTTGAATATTTTTATTTTGAAAATCTACTTATCAGAAAAAGAGATATAGATAGAGTATCTTCTATGTCTGCCATGCTATCTGACCCAAATTAGCCACCTGGTGGTGAAACTAGTAACTACCTACTGGCATCTGTTATGAGTATAATGTACACTCTTTCACTTGGCACATTGTTGGTTTTGGCCTTTCTTGTGCACCTATTCTCTTTAACCAGATGTTGCAGTGTCGATCAACTTTATCCACTTATTAAAGTTTCATCATAATTTAAACATCTGTTAATTAAACAAAAACTCAAATCTGATATTCTATCCAATTTCTTTATTGAAATAATTAATGCCTTCGATTAATACATCAAAGTATTGTATTATAAGACAAACCAATGACCAACATACATCTATATAAACCAATGTTATAATAGCACTAGTTTAATAGATTAGAAGACATTATTTAGGAATAGTAGATGGTTTCCCATGTAGAAAGCTAAATGCAAATATAAAGAGTATGTTCAGAATGTTTTGCAAGCTGATTTGTGACAGTATAAATACAGGCAGGTGATTAGAGGAAATGTTTCACCGTAGAGAAAATGTTACATCATAGAAGGAATGTTGCATCACAGAGGGAATGTTACATCATAGAGGGAATGGTTCAGCCCATTGCAGCAGCTTTTCTGTCTTAGTCTTGCTTTTTCATTCTCGTTTTCATTCTCTTTATTTGTTCCCTAAGTTTCGCTATCAGTTTTTGATTCTGACCCTTCGTGTTGCATCTTTTACGATTGCCTTTTCCTTGTTTGCCAGCAGGCTCATCAGTTACCTAGAAACGTACAGTCATATCCATCATTAGTGTCCCATGCAAATACAGTGAAATCTGTGTACATTGAACACCTTAAGAACCACAAAAATGTGTTCACTGTTGGTATGTGTTCATTACAGAGATGGTCATTAAAAGAGAAGTCAGTTGAGTATGTGGGGAGGAATGGTGTCCATTAGAGACAGGTGTTCACTTGAGAAAGGTGTTCACTGACACAGGTTTTACTGTATAAATTGAAGTGCACCGTTGCATTCGTCACATATGTATTGTGGTTATATTGTGTCATGGTCTACCCTTTAGAGTTCAGTTCAATATTTTTATGTTGTGCCAATACATTATTGATTTTAGATAGAATATTAAAATATTAAAACCTTCTCATGTGAGCCCAGTACCCATGGTTCTATTTTTATAACATAGAATTATTACAGTTTATCCACCATGATAAACCATGACATCTCATTTCTTCTTAGCCCTGAGATATTTCATGTGAAACAGAAAGATGCTATGAGTATCAGAATGCAGTTTATCTTAAAGTAATGTTTCAATGTCCATAAACCCCCTAAACATCCCCACTATCACAGGCCTTTGTTACCCTGACGATGACCTCATCAATGACCTTTGTTTCCCTGATGATGACCTCATTAATGACCTTTGTTTCCCTGACGATGACCTCACCTTTGGTTGCTCTTCCTCTACATCCGTTTCAGTTGGGGCAGGTTCAATTGTTTCTGTTGGGGCAGGTTCAATTGGCATGCCCCATTGTGGATTTGCTTTCACACTTACCATCTAAAATAAACCCATTCATCCACAAATTGCATTTTCACATAGCATGAACATGTCTTCCACTTTTATCTAAAGGGTTATTATATCAAAATGTTGGTTTTCACAAATCTGCTCAGTATAATTAAAAATTGCAGAAAAATTGCAGTTATAGGTATACTTTTTTTGCATCCAATCATTTAATTGTTGAACCAAGTTGAATCTTGACAAAAGGATCATTTTTGTTTCATTAATAACATCACTGATGCCACAAACAGTACAGCAGTACATTGTTTTTATTACTCTAAAATGTGATAATAAGTGAATCTTTTCAATTCCTTCTAAAGAAAATTGGAAGATATAGAATGTTGATGTGTAGCCAGAGATATTAACATAATTCTCTAAATAACTAAATAGGTTTATAAATCATCAAAATATCATTTCAGTTATGTGGAAAGTCATGTCTGATACTTCAATCATACTCTTATACCAGTTTTAGTAGTGTTCATATATATATATATATATTTGCTACTTTTAAACTGCATGAAATAAGAACATTCCAAATTTTTGGGCTGTATAATAGAGACTGTTGAATGATATAATAAATAAATACAAATCACTTACCAACAGTGTAAAGAAAAGCGCACAGATTATCGCTGTCCTCATCTTAAGTGGTTTAGGAAAAAGAACAACAAATCCAGATATCTTTCAATAAAGATTTAATGGGGATAGTATCAAGAGTCAGCATGTTCTTTATTCTTCAATCAATTATGAAGATGTACTAATAGGGTTTGTCTTGATGTAGGCACTTGAGAATATCCCTCGCTTTGAATATTACATTGTTGCTGTAATAAAGTGAAATAAAAGATGATCTCTGCCACATTCTGTTGACTTAGCTGATGCCTGATCATCTGCAATCACCTGTGCCTCATATTATTTACATTGAATTATGTTTAGATTGTATAGAATGACCAAATATTCAATGGTAAAACAGACTTTTTTATTTATTTAATCTTTTGTTGTATGATTTTCATTTCTTTAATTACGTACACTGTACTAGTTACTTTTCAAAGAAATTGAATATTGACATGTTCGGCACACCAATCATGCCCACTTAAACCCTGCTATAGGAGCCAGAACAATTTTTTTAATTTCCCTCTTTCTTATAAGCCTGTTGTGCTGTTTTCTGAAATCTTCAGTGGTTCTTTTTTTATACATTGCATATTGTATACATATAGATTATTTACTGGGAGGGATTGAATATGGGTTTTATTCCGAGGGACAATATGATATTGACCGAAGGGTAATATGATATCGACCAAGGGAACCCAGCGACCGAGTGTCAATATCATATTGCCCAAGGTCAATATCATATTTTCCGAGGAATAAAACCCATATTCAATGCCGACCAGAAATAACCTATTTATTCCATAACACATCCCTGTAAAATGTTACATTTGGATAATGCAAACATTATATAAAAAATGCACATTGTTTGAAGTTAAATTTCAAATAATTGTCTTCATAAACCTAATTGTCCAATATGATTTTTTCCTGGGGACAATACGATTTTTTCATGTAATACACTCCAACACGATTTGTTTCTCGGGGACAATACAATTTTTTCATGTAACACGATTCAATACGATTTTTATTCCTTCATATTTCCCTGGGAAAACAGTAGTATTATGGAATGAAAAAGAAGTTATTCACCAGGAGGATTTGATATGGGAATATCATAAGGGTATCAATATTTCCTGAGGGAATGCAGTGACAGAGGGAAGTATTGATATCATCCAAGGGATAGTCCTCAAATCACCCCGACAGGTGAATAATATCCATATACAATGGTCAACAGCAATATGTACCTAAAATCATCTGTTAAATGAGACAAAAAAGATTTTTTTGAAAAAATTGAATTTTTTGGAAATTATTTTTTGAAAAAATAAAATTTTATACAGGTGGTATGAGGGTCATGGAAGTATAATGTCTTGAAAATAAGACTTGACCCTCGAATCTTCAGAGCTACTTATCTAAAAACTTGATGATTATGTAAATGTTATGTGTACTTGTGGTATATGAATGTACATATTTTCATAATGTATATTCTATGTTTTAGGTTGTATGTAACTTTGGACCAACATTCAAGTATCCTCCTGATGACATAGACTATAGGCCTGTAAGTAAAAATCAACTTAATTGTTGTTTAGTCTTGCAAAAAACAACTTTCCACCATTTTCAAATTGTTACTTCTTGTGATACTATTTTTTACACATTGTATTCGAAGGTTAGGGGTTTACACATCACATTCCAAGGCAACTTGTTTATGTTTCAGATGCAAGAGTTGGTTACTGAGGCTGTTGTTGAACAAATGATGGCAGATATGATGTACCACTTGGACCATGAGGGGAAGCAACCAGACTTTCTATGAACTCACCTACATCTAATACAGTTGAACCCATACAACAAGGGCTTACATATTGTAATACAAGGACTGATGCCAGACATCATGTACCACCATGGAAACAGCCAGAGTTCCAATCAAATATAGTCGAACCCATAGACGAGTAGTGTAGTAGTTCACCTATTTTAGCACAAGGCTCTGAATTGATGACTAGTATTTCATAAAATTTCAAATTACAAAGCTTTTATAAAGAACTAGCTCTGAGGCTTGTCCCTGTTTATCCTGGCACAAAACAAAGATTTCATCAAAGAGATCATTGCATCTACACTTGCCAAAGCATAACTAATAAAATACTTCATTAGGTGTCCAACAATAAATTGGATGAATTCTGTGTATTCGAAGTAGTGAGACACTCAATGTGAGCTTTTGGAGATGATCATCAACTATTTGATAATTCCAATGTAAACCATGCATGTACTGTATGCACATATCTCAATTTAAATGATAAATGAAATATATTCGATGCTACTCTTTTATAGAATATAACTATTAAGTTATGTTATTCATGGGCTTTATGCGAGATCAGAGATAAAACTGGGAGAGGGAGCTTAAAAGTTCAGTATTCCAATTTAGAGTTTTCTATTATAGATATAAGTTACAAAGAGAGTAAAAAAATAACAAGGCATTAACATGTAAAATGTCAACACCTGCCATTTGTTACAGACACACCAACCACCATTTGTTACAGACATCAAACCCCAAACACCATATACAAAAAAGTTGGAGACTATAACAATATGTCACCACTTGTAGTGGTGACATAAAAACCAGATCATATATGTATTAGGGTACACTCACTTGGCCCTCAAAGACCAGCATAAAGAATATACAAAAATTATATCAAATTCACCCACACTGACATCAGTGTTATTGATAGCTGAGTAGCACAGTAGAATTTGTGTCAAATAAGATCTGAAAGATGTGATAAAAATTGGATTTGCTGGCATGTTTCTGCAATACTGTCCATTGCCATTTTTAAATGAGCGGCCATTTTGAAAATCGGCTTCCAAGCAGAACTTCTACCCCCATGAGGTATAAGTGTACAAAATTGGCCAAAGGTATTTGAGTTACTGCTCGGACGGATGGATGGAGGCGTTCCCTATATCCCTCCGAACTTCGTTCGATGGGATAACAATTGATTTACTGGTCTATAATCAAGTTTGTATGACTGCTTTTCATAAACGCAAATATATGGAGTTGTTTTCCTGGTTTATTAATCATATTAGAATCAAAGACCTCAAATCTTTATTCTGAGCATTGCCAAAGACCTCAATCACTATGCAATTTTTGCCTTTTAACAATTAACAGAATAATATTTTCGGTCATATATTGCACCATAAATCATAGAATCTCGGTCTTTACATATATCAGAGGTGAAACTGGGATCAAACATTATGTGAGGCAAATGTAAATGGAAGAGGTAAATAGAGAGGAGGTGTACTTCTATCCTTGAATATCTTTTCCATATGTAAGTTGAAAAATCATCTGAATAACTAAACAGGAATATCAAGAAGTAAGGTAAGATTGAAGATATTGCCATTTGATGGTCTCCGTTTTTTTGTGGCGATCAGCAGGTGGCGGTTGGTGGTTGGTGATCAGTGGGTGGCGGTTGGCGTCTGTAACAAATTCTTAAAACTTCCAATAACTTAACAAATACTGTTTGTGATTTGTCTTTGACCTATGACTGCTGACCTATACCGGCGATTACTAGAGTGCTGCTAAATCGATAAAAGGCTGGCGCTGGCTAGAATTGTCTATGGTTCTAGCCAGGATAAAGATACCAGTTCTTCAACTCGACAATGGGAAGAACTGCTCTACCTTAGTGACTAATATGTCATGATATGACATCTAAAGAGTCAATAAAAGATACGATATATACATGTATATAGACTGATTTCAGTTTTTTCAAAATCATCTACAAGTTTTCAGAAGTTCAAATCTGACTTTATATTTAAGATTTGACCTTCAATAACTTTAGATTTGAGATTTGACCTTCATTGACCTTCTCAAGGTCAAAAAGGTTGTTTTTCAACTTGCTTCAAATTGACCTATTCTTTTTCAAAATCATCTAGAAGTTGTCAAAAGTGCAACCATGACTATAGATTTGACCTTCAATGAGATTCTCAAGGTCAAAAAAGATTTGACCTTCAATGACCTTCTCAAGGTCAAAAAAGATATTTTTTAACTTGCTTCAAATTGACAATTTTTCAAAATAATCTACAAGTTCTCAGAAGTTCAATTCTGACATTAGATTGAGATTTCACCTTCAATGACATTCTCAGGGTCAAAAAAGGTATTTTTGCAACTTGCTTAAAATTGACCAATTTTTTTCAAAATCATCTACAAATTCTCAAAAATTCAAAGATTGAACTAATAATATTGTGAGCAACTAGGTGGTGACATTTTGTCATGTTAATGCCTAATTATGTTATGTCACCACCAGAAGTAGTAACATATTGTTACAGTCTCCAACTTTTTTGTGTATTTGTTGGTGTATGGTGGTTGGCATCTGTAACAAATGGCAGATTGTGACATTTTGCAGGGTAATGCCTTCTTGTCCTTTGGTACAGATGTGATACCCTGGGTTGTGTTCAACTCATCCTCTGGGCATCATTGAATTCGCCCTCAGAAATGTATACAGAAACCCAACTCCACATCATTCAGTATATGTATTATACTTCCAAAAATGATTAGTATATCATAAAATTGTTTTAAACCTCGACTCTTCCTGCAATAGACTAGAGACTATACAATCCCTTAAATGTACAAAAAACTGTTTTTTAATTCATGATTCATGTATTTAATACATGCTCTGACATTTGACATGATTAATACATGTAATATTTATCGGATATAAATTGTAGTGTATAAATACGTTACATATAATGGTGCAAATACATTGCTGTTTAATTAGAACAAGCTTTTTACATAAATGCACTTTCTGAGCTCATATTTTGATCCCGGATCAATATTCATTTAATACATGGATATCTGTACAATGCAATAATTGACATATGAATGACATCTTACAAACAAAAATCTCTAAATTATTCATTGACAAAGTAAAGGTTGGTTTGACCCATAGTTGAGGCAAAATGAATTAATTCACAATAAATTGTCAATTACAAATTAGTATTTTTATACTGGAATTAAGATATCATTATAATTTATACAAAAAGGAAGAGGCCAAACTGCCATATTTTTCCCATCTAAACCTTCGCATAAACCTGATATAATGCAGAGGTATGGGTCTGTATTTGCATAATTAAAGTACATGCTTTTTAGGGACACCACTTAAAACTGTTTTCCTGCCTGGAAAGTTGAAAACTGTGCTTCAACTCTGGGGTAAAACCCTCTTAAAGTGACACCATAAAATTAACTATTTTTAAGCAAAATGAGCAATTAACTTACTTTGTGCTTTTTGATTCTGTTATATGAACTGCCACAAAGCCATTTTTCTCTGAATACCATTAATGAAGATTTCAGTAAAGCTTTTGACATTGTTGAAGACCAGAAATTATTTCTATGATTTTGATTTTTTAGTTTGCCATCTAATATTGACACCTTTAAATCTAATTAACAAATTTTTACTAATGAGCTACTAATGAGGTAAAGTAACAACAATATACAACATTTAGTGACTCAACAGCACATGTAATTTTCAGTGTGTATCATAAAGCATTGTCTTGTGTGTGGGATCTCCAGTAATACCAAGGAAAGATACCCACTGACTCATATGGTACAACAACCATTATCAAAATGTCTCCACACTCAACCACATACTCAATATGGGTCAGTTTCATACTACAGAAACCTCACCAGGCATATATATATTGCACATTTCACATCGACCACAAATAAATGAATAATTGGAAATTCAGATCTGCTCTTTCTTTCATAAATACAACAATTCTCTTCCCCATAGAGTAAAACCTGTAGAACTGAACTGTTATCATATTCAGTTGCTATACTACCATTATATATCATTGCTCCATCAATCTGTCCACCTGTTGAACACAACTATTTAGCTTCTGATATTTTTGTATAAAGCAACAACCATGTGTATAGTAAATTATAGTCTGTTTAAACAGGGATACCTGGCTTGATGTGATTCGACTATCAGTCATCTTATCACTAGAACCATGTCAGTGAAGTCAGATTTTTTTAGGGATCACTGGTCGGCATCTTGGTCCATCTGAGAAAGCATGGACATCCTTTGGAGTTACAACCTCCTTCCATATTTTCATTTTATGGCACTTTCCTGTATAATGACCCGTCTTCATTAATACAGGCATTATCCAAATAGGTCCACATCTCCTACACTGGCTTGTGTATCAGTTATTGCAGGTTTTACTGTATGTGTATAAACTGGTGTGCCTTGTGCATGTATGCAGCATTGTTGATTGTTATATGTCAGGGTCTATATAGAGACCCCTTAGTTCACCTATTACTGCCTCCAACATGGGGTTCCCTCCTTGCTCTGAGATCTGAACCAGCAACCTGACAAGAAAAATATTTTAATGTTACACATAGAATCAATCTCTTTGAAATAGATTAGATGAATAGTTGTAGTGTTCTGGTCAGGCTACAAAATCTGACTAAGGTCACTTGATTTTTGTTTATTGAATATTTTCATTTTGTATTCATTCAAACACCATCTAATCAATTTCAAGAATATGATAACATACACAAGCACTTGTATCAGCAGCGTATGAGCTAAGCAAAGTTTCATTTTATAGAAATTGCAGTAACTTTATTTCTTTTGAACATCATTAATTCTAAACTTTATAAGAATATTCACAAACCATTAGTGAACATTCTGAGATTAATTTCAATGGCAAATGATTTCAGTTCATAACATTTGTCATCTAAGGTGACAGTGGCATCTCTCAGACTTGGCAAATCTCAACTTCTCTTCCAAGATATATTTTACACATCTACTATAATGTCATGAAAATTATTTCTATCACCCAAATCCTAAGTAAATATATGATGAGATAACCTACTTTTGTTCAAGTTCCACAAGGACTTGTTGAGTGTACTTAAAGCTGCCCAGATTTTTCATGTGCTCAACACAATATTTTTTAACATCATTATCAGTGGGCCTTTGACGTAGAATACTCATAACAGTGTTATCCTCTGGGAACTGCTGGACTGCATGGACTATTGGGAATGAAAATTTGCCTTCAGTTAGGTCTTCACAGTAACTTTTGTTTGCCTCATACTGCAAATGAAAACAAGGCATTAGCATGCAAAATGTCACCACCTGCCATTTGTAACAGACACCAACCATTGAATGCTGACTGCCAAACACCAACCGCCAAACACAATAACAATAAGGAGACCACAACATGATGTGACATAATAAATGATGAACTCAAGACAGTTTCTCAATATCAATGGCAGTCTCTTATTATGTCTTTGCAGAAACTTTTGTTTTCCTCAAACACATGTTACCATAATATCAGGCCATACAGGGTGTCCCGAAAGTATGGGGCCCCCCCTGGGCAGACATATTCCAGTGTCCTCATAGTATGTGTCATATATCATTTTAAAGCTTATCCAAAGTTACATTGATTTGCCAAGTATCATGGTTTAACTCTCGAATAGGAAAAAGTTATAGTCATTTTAAAAGTTAGTGTTTTGTCAAAATAAAGTTCAATTTTACCCCACATTACTAGTCAATGTGTCCCCCCTTGGCCATGTTAACAGCAGCAATTATTTTCAGATATGACCTTAAAAGCCCTTAAAATAGGGGTGTGGAATTTTATAACCCTATTAAAACCTGTTAAGGGACTTTAGAAGAGTTTCCTTAGAGTTTCTACCCTCACCTTTCTCTTTTTCCAACTCAATATCCATCCGACCCAAAAAGAATTGCTAGTGTTAAGATGGCCCGGGAGGACACATTGACGAGTGATTTGGTGTAAAATTGAACTTAATTTTGACCAAACACTAAATTTTGAAATGCCTGTAACTTTTTCCCATTTGGGAGTTAAACCATGATACTTGGCAAATCAATGTAACTTTGGATAAGCTTTAAAATGATATATGACACATACTATGAGGACACTGGAATATGTCTGCCTAGGGGGGGGGCCCATACTTTCGGGACACCCTGTAGCCAAGAGGGTGTTCACTTTTCAAAAAATTTCAGGGGGGTTCACATTTGACAATTTGGGCCCAAAATCACTTGAAAACTGCAATGGAAAAAAACTAGATGATTTTGAAAAAAAATTGGCCAGAGTTCGAGCCCAGAGCCTGTATTATATGTCTTAAATTATCAATGTGTCAAGATGATTATATTAGTATTTAATTATGAAGGCATTTCAATATGTCTGACTGAATATCTCTTTAATATTGAAGTGACATCTTTGAAAGTACATTACATTAAAATGACATACAGTATATGATTATACAAATTATACAACAATTTAAAAGTTAATGTTAAATTTATTTATTTCCAGTAGGTAACATACCTCCTTTGAGTATAGGTTGGCAAAGTCATCTCTTATTTGGAAATAAAGACCTAGACTGTCCAATAAAGGTTTTAGGTTGCTGCAAATAAAGATATCATCAGTATATGGAGATGCATATCTCCCAGGGCATATCTCTAGAGAAACATTTATATCATTAATATACATGCAGGGGTTTCATATGCAGCAGGCAACAGGCAATTTTCACCAGTTGTTTTCACAAAATCGACTGTTGTTTTTAGGGACTTTTCTATGTTAAAATGCTATCCATTAATTTTACCTGTTGTTTTCATTTATTTATGTAAAAAAAAATTTAGCCTGTTGTGAGAATTTCTAGTGAAACCCCTATACATGTATAAGATAAATATTCACCCATAGCTAGACATTCTATATTTCTCTTTGGCCAATCAGAATTAATCTTGTGGTTCTTAATAACACTTAATTGCAAAACATGAGAAGGAATACGTTCCATACCTTTTATTCTGACTAAAGAGCTGCATCAATCTAACTGCCAGGCCGAATAAACCACCAGTTTCTAAAATACAAATTAATGAATACAGGATTTTGCATTTCTGTCTAATTAAATTATAGCTCCAAAGATTCATTCATTGTATATCTATTTCAACTGAGTATGTTAAACAACTGAATGTCAAGCTATGAAGCCTCGGATTAGATACTGCATGTAATAGATTATTTTAAGATAATTATACTAGTAAAACATGTCTAATCAGACCGCCAATAAGAAAAGCAAAAAGGTTGGCAGGACAACAGGTGTTCCCATTTGAAGGTTCTTCAATATGGTAATCTATCATCTATTTGAGTTGGCCCAAAGTATGGACCCTCTCTATATGGAGCACCTGTCAATAAGGAACAGTCTGAAGAGCGTTCCTTGCTCGCAGGTTTTACAGTAATTGTAGCTTAAAAAATATGAAAAGAAATGTTCAGATTGAGAGGTATTCAGATTAAAGAGGTGTCTGCATATGCATGTTTTATAATCATAGATTATTTTAAGATAACACTTACTTTGTAAACCATTCTCTTGTATTCTTCTTCTGTGGGACATGTATAGGCATCCCTCCAGTATATATGATTATTTTAAGATTACACTTACTTTGTAAAACCATTCTCTTGTACTCTTCTTCTGTGGGGCATGTATAGGCATCCCTCCAGTATATATGATTATTTTAAGATTACACTTACTTTGTAAAACCATTCTCTTGTACTCTTCTTCTGTGGGGCATGTGTAGGCATCCCTCCAGTATATATGATTATTTTAAGATTACACTTACTTTGTAAAACCATTTTCTTGTACTCTTCTTCTGTGGGGCATGTGTAGGCATCCCTCCAGTATATATGATTATTTTAAGATTACACTTACTTTGTAAAACCATTCTCTTGTACTCTTCTTCTGTGGGGCATATGTAGGCATCCCTCCAGTATATATGATTATTTTAAGATTACACTTACTTTGTAAAACCATTCTCTTGTACTCTTCTTCTGTGGGGCATGTGTAAGCATCCCTCTAGTATATATGATTATTTTAAGATTACACTTACTTTGTAAAACCATTCTCTTGTACTCTTCTTCTGTGGGGCATGTGTAAGCATCCCTCCAGTATATATCCATACCCTGACCCCGATGTAGCTCTAATAATTGCTCTGAAAAAATTGTTTATTTTTTGATTGCAAAGTCTATGATAAAGTCTTTGTTTCTAGGATTAGAAAATGTAACCCCCCCCCATAAAGTACTAATAAAAATGTTAGAAATAACATGTGATGCATAAATGGAATCTTTGTAAATTTATATCTTGCACCTGTCAGGTATAGCTTTACCATATTACACCTATTAGAATTATAGAACTCTCTTGTGATTTCCTGAATATATTGAATTTAGAAAAAATGCAAAATGCTAAAACGGGTCTCACCTGTAAATACTTTGGTAGCATCTTGATGACCAAGTTGCTGTACTTTGTCTAAAGCTATGAAGTATACATAGTTAGCTGTGTTTATGGTATGAGGAATGCCATATATATGATGGGCCACTGAAATATAGCACAATTCAATGGTTAAAACCTCAACATTCAATATTATGAAGTATACATAGTTGGCTGTGTTTATGGTATGAGGAATGCCATATATATGGTGGGCCACTGAAATATAGCACAATTCAATGGTTAAAACCTAAACATTCAATATTATGAAGTATACATAGTTGGCTGTGTTTATGTTATGAGGAATGCCATAATATGGTGGGCCACTGAAATATAGCACAATTCAATGGTTAAAACCTCAACATTCAATATTATGAAGTATACATAGTTAGCTGTGTTTATGGTATGAGGAATGCCATATATGGTGGGCCACTGAAATATAGCACAATTCAATGGTTTAAACCTCAACATTCAATATTATGAAGTATACATAGTTAGCTGTGTAAATAATATGAGGAATGCCATATATATGTTGGGGCATTGAAACTTGGCACAATTCAATTGTCAAAACCTAAACATAAGATATTATGAAAATGTGCTGATATGCAGTTTGGCATTTTGCTATGATAAACTCAGAATAACAAATATTCGATTAGCAGTAATCATTCACTCATTTAACATATCATGTTGTAAATTATAATTAATTATAATATATAGATGCATTTAAATTGTAACTCTCTAACAAGAGGAAAAAATATATACAATACAAAGTAAGGCCTGAAAATTCTCGAAATTGGACATCGGATAACTCTGCTTTTCTCTCTCCATATTTCACTTATTGATAAAAACTGTCACGATATTGCATTATTGAGCTACTATTAATCATTGGAAAATTACTTTCTTGTATTATTATAGACACTCCATAATATACTTGTTGGAATACATGTATAATATTTATCTGTGTATTGTCTGTGCATGTATGTATACTTTGTATATCAGTGATCGGGATATGAACATTGTGTTTTTTTCAATATAAAAGACAAAAAAATAACTGATGAAAGAATGATCAATGACTTGTCTATATTTCTATCCAAATATAGGAAAATTGGAGTATTAAAACCTCAGATGTAATAATTCTAAAGTGAAGTACAACCCGTATACTTAATTTATAATATTATGCAATTACTTGTAATTTATTATGTTCATATAAGGGTTTTTCAGTGCAAGCCAAGGATTTGTCTGGAACCATTGTGTTCCATTAATAACAATATAACTTAACAAGGATTTAGACGACGAAAGACCATTTTATTAAGTACATGTACTGTACAGAAAGTGAATTTGCTCTGAGACTTAATTCAACCTAATTCATGTGTAAATACACAGTATATCATAAGCTCAGAACACATTTCATTCCTAAGTAGATTCACCTTTATGTTTTATCATCAAAGCCTGGAAAACTGCAAGTCATGGCAACAATACTCTAAAAAACATAATACCTTACTTTCTTTTTGGAACCCTGGGGGATATAATCAATATTCTACTGTTAAAATAATATAGGCAGCTTGCCTATACATCACCATGACTTGCAGTTTTTTGTGTATATAAGTGCAGCCTTGCAGTAGACACACCATTCAAAGCTGACAAGCACACACCTTCTACTGCACACCTTATATTAAAACACAATCTGTCTCTACTTGCTACATCAACATGCCTACCTACAAGTTGACATACTTCAATGGCCGTGGATTCGGGGAAATAACCAGAATGATATTTAAACAGGCTGGAGTTGAATTTGAAGATGTCAGGCTAGAGCGAGATGAGTGGACAAAAATGAAAGAAAAGGGAGGTATGTGTGTATATGTGCTTCTACAAATTTGAATTCAATAAACATTAATTGTATTCCTTTGCAATGTAATATTCGAATATGATTATTATCTATTGCAAAGATTGTTTCTAGTGTGCACACTTGTAACACTTAGCAAATATCAATGCATCATTTGCCAATAATATTATACCAAATGTCAGCCATATCCAATACTGATTTAAATGACTTCAAGTTATGTTTTATTGTATTATTTCTGTATGAAAAAATTAAATAAAATTACTTTGAAATTGAGTTGAACGATTATGGAAATCCATATAAAAATCATATAATATTATATCACAATTTAAAATGTTCTAATTATCTAACTTAAAATCAATTATACGTATGTTTACAATATGAAAGTAAATCTTTTATATTACAGAAGTAAATTGATTGTAATACTTAATCATAATTATATTACATGAATAAATATTAAAAAAAAAAAAAAAATGAATTATACATATATACAAAAGAATGTCATTTTAATGTTGTTTTATGTGTGATTGTAAAATACAGAGTTCATGATATTTTGTTAAGAAAATCATGTTGAAATGACAACTTCAAAATTTTCTTTTTAATTCTCCCTGAGAGAGCAGAATTTCTTTATATTACAAATGAATATCATGTAGTTTTAACATTTCCATGTTAGGCAATGAAGTTAAATCTTGTTAATAGTGTAATATCAATATCAATATGCAATAGGTACACACATACTATAAAATACTAGAATTACATCGCTAAACTTGTTTCAATTAATTGACTACAAAATGAAACCACAGCATGATTAGAAATTCCCACATCAAAAAGCAATTTCTCAAGTGCTATTCTGACCTTTGATAAATATTGAACAAAATATTTCTTTGATCGAAATTCATCTGCAATAGCAACCAATCCTATATTTAGAACATACTATGACAAGATATATTTATAGATATGTTGGATATATACCCAGTTGAAATTTATTTCTCAAATCACAACCAAAGAAAAACAAACTGATAACAATATTGCACCCAAGGGTCTGATAAAAAAATTGTAGAGGGTGTCAAATAAATATGATCTCCCTCTAACTTTAACATTCTCATGATGTTGCATAACATTTTTGTCTGCAAGATATCTGAATTGTTCTTTGGCACACAAAACTAGGCTCAATGGAGCAGCTCCACAAGAAGTTTCAGATGACTAGCTCAACTCGATGCACTTTTATGCACAAAAGTTGATACTTTGGAAATTAAGGGGAGAGAACATATTTATTTGACACCCTGTATATGTATTTGTAGTAACACCAGTCTACAGAAGATTATTCTTGCATTTTTTCAGGCACTCCATTTGGTCAACTCCCCATATTGGAGGTAGATGGCAAAGTACTCAGTCAGAGCTTGGCTATAGCAAGATTTGCTGCCAGAGAAACAGGTAAGGCTAAAATTGGCATTTTATAGATCAAATATGATGTCAGGTCAAAATGTGTAATGAGCTTGGTCAAAACTGGCATTTAAAAATCAAAATTGGCATCTTTACGGCAAAACTGGAAAAAATGTCTAGCAATATGCCCTACTCCCTTGATTAATTAGAGCCTGTGTGAAAAATTAGAGCCTATTCCTATTTAACGATCGAAGATGACTTGCATGTTTAGTTGTATGATATCTTGATCATGGAGTATTTACTCTCACTTAAGAGGTATGGTTCACGTGAGAAAATCTCTATTAAGTGGCATTGTTATGTTTGTCTCCTGCCTGCTTTTTGGGTCAACTAAATATAAAGATCTCTTACAATGTCAATATTTTAAGTAAAGAGGACAGGCCTCGTTTTTTATATATGGGTCAAAATGAGATGAGGTGCAAGGCTTTCCATCTTCGACTACTTGTATCACCTTTAGACAATTCGTATGATGTTGATTTTAAAAGAGGAAAGGTATACTACTTTAATAGACTTTATAACATACCTATGATGATGTATAGTGTAAACTGTTCACAAGACAGCCGGCCAATATAACTTTTGAAAAGCCCGCACCCTGACTTGTAAATTCGTAAGATGCAAACATGGGAATAAATCATCATTTCCGAACCATTGCTAGTCAATTAGATAAGAAAATGGTACTCTCTGACCAGACTAGATCATCATAGGTATGTTATAAATCGTTTATGTCACTATAGTTGCACATATGCCCTCGGTTCTCAGTGATCAATGTCCCTCCCAAACTCGGGCCATATATAACTGAAACCCTCGGGCATATATGCAATGATAGTGACATAGCCTCTAAGTAATGTTGATGTTAAAATGTGACAGCTCTTACATGTAAAAACGTCAAGGTTATGGTTTCATACCAAAAACACTTGAGTCTAGATATACCTATTTATATGGGGATAGGTTCATTTATAAATTCTAGGGTACCCCTTTTATAAAAAGAATAATGCAGTGTCAAGCACATTTACTGGTTTCAGGTCTGCAAGGAAAGACAAGCTTTGATCAAGCAATTGCTGAATCTGCAGTTGAAGCTGTATCTGAAGTATTTAGAGCGCAAATAACAGCCCATTTTGAAAAAGATGAAGCTAAAAAGGTATGATTACTATCCATATACATGTAATAGGAATCGTCATTCGCAAAAAGTTATAGAACTGTCTAATGCCATAAAACTGATATCAACTCTAATCAATCAGATGATAGCACATAAAAATGTTCGGGGCCCTCTCTCTTGATTTCAAGGGCCACCCTTGTGTACTAGAGCTGACAAATAGAACCACTATATATGTTTTCATATTCATGTCATTATGCCACTAGTCTCAAATAAATATCGTATTTCCTTTCATAACTGCCAGAGAATGACTTCAACCTTAATTTTTCAGGCAGTACTTCAGGAAAAGTTTAATACAGAAACGAGACCTGCATTTCATAGTAATATGAGCAAGCTCATTGCTGGTGATTGGATTGTAGGCAATAGTGTAAGTACATAATTACATACTATAGTATATACTGAGCATAATATGAGAATACTCATCACTCTGTTGTGTGTAGAGGGGCTCAATCAATTTCAGACCACTGTGTTTTCATTTGGATATCATTTGGTCTCCAGGCTAGCCTGGAAGGTAACTCCTGAATCATTTGCCTATAGTTGACCTAATTCTCTTACCCTGCATGCAGAGTCTAGTTATAAACTACCCTCTGCCTAATATAGACTATATTACAGTTTAACAGCTCTGCCCCAACGACAAGTGCCTGGGTCATAAATCATTTCAAACCTACCACGCTGACCTTTTCTCAACCAATCAGCGAACTGGAAGGAACGCATGCTAAATGCGTGCTCATTAACTATGCGATGATGTCAGAGAAAATGACCATACTGTATAGAAAGTTTGTTTTCGACGACGAATTCTCATTGGCTTGGTGAGACCAGAGATTTATTGTAAATTGAAAGGTTGCAGATGAAGCTCTCTTTTAAGAAGTGAAGTTGAACAAATGCAAAGGGTATAATTCTCTGTGTTTGTTCTGCCATCGTCATCCTCAAACATCTTTCTATGGGGATATTTGAAGGAGTGTTTTAATACTCATTCCAAGCAAAAAGACCTAGAACAACTTAAGGGCAACATCCAAAGAGAAATCCAAATCCAAAACAATTATCAAATGTGATGAACAATTTAGCAGTAAGGATATAGGCTGTCATCAAAATATGAGGTTACATTGAATATGTAGTGTAAAAGGTAAAGGGTTAAAGCATCAAAAAGGCAAGACTGAAATAAAAATGGTGTATTGGGGAGAAAACTTTCATGTTTTCACTACATGACCATGCAAAAAATGTCTGAAAATATTGATTGGTTTATCTGTGCTGTAGATATACTTTTGGGTACATTTTTGAGACACCCTGTATATAATGAAATTGTTATTCAATATTTGTATTGATTTTATTGCATCAATATCCATTTATAGAGGCAACAAGGACTGCTGAGAGAAAATTCGAAATTTTTTCTTTTTTCTGAGCTATCAGGTCAATATTTGGCTTAACATCTTCTTTGAGATACATATTTTCTAAAAATGTATGTATAAACTATCAATTTCAGCATTAAGAAGTGTAAATTTAGTTCAAAGCTTCTATCGAGGGAGTCCCACTTATAGATTTTTAAGATCTACCATGTTTCAAGAGGAATATCAGCTGAAATAATGTTTCTCCAGGGGGTTTCTTTGTAGATAATGAAAATACATGTTAGTCTTGATGAAATATCCAAACTTAAATATATTTTGACACTGGTCGATGATCGTTGAATGACCCCCTGCACTAATTGTTGCACCTTTAACTATATATTTATGCTTCTTTCAGGTAACATGGGCAGACCTACTTCTGTTAAATTACTTCGATGCTCTGCCAGAGGAGATTAAAAATGAAATAAGGAAATCATATCCAAAATTTGCAAAGGTTGTGGACAATGTAGCTGCTCTACCTAATATTGCCAAGTGGGTTAAAGAACGCCCAGTAACAGAATTTTAAAGATCCAGAAATATCACAATCTGAAAACAGGCAGCTAGGCTACACAATTAATAGACAATGACATTGATATTGATATCAATTACTGTCTGAATAATGGCTAGAGAATCTCATAGATGTTTCATTACAGCCTATAATTTCTAATTGTCATCTATGCTCTGTTTATGTTATACTTGTAAGAGTACTCATATGACGGTAACAAATATTTATGTATCTATTTAGAAATAAAAATATATTTACGCATTTAAGTAAAATGTTTAGTTGCAAACCAGTCACAATCCTGAGCCAACCTTTTTGTTAAATTGCTAAATAAAATTCACATCAACATTATGTTAAACAAGACATTAAGATAAAAAATGACACCACCTGTCAATTATTACAGAGGCCAATCGCCAAACAAAGTTACAGATGCTGAATGTTGTTACTGACCCCATACTGAACACCATTCACAAAAAAAGTTGAAGACTATATGTAACCACTTCTATTGGTAAAATAAAAACCTTCTGAAATTGATTTATAAGGAGGTTTAAAACAATCCATTTGGAAAAAAAGTAATAAATCAAGGTTGAACTGACTTTAGTGTTTCTGGCCAGACAAAAACACCATCTACCTGTCTATCTGCTGTATATAGAAACTGATATATCACACTGGTTTTAAAATAAGCAGAATAAGATTTAATTGCATGAAACAACTTTATGATATAAAGTGATCTTTCACAAAATCTGATCAAAAAAACAAAATTGTCTATCAAGCTTAGCTGCAACCTACTTATGAGCAAATTTTGAATTTGCAAGTATATTCATATACAACAAGAAAATGCCACCACCTAGTTCGTCACAATATTGTGAGTTCAAATCTTAAATCAGATTTAAGAAATTGTTACAGACAATGTATGCCAGACACCAATCGCCAAAGTTGGAGACATCATATGACATCATATGGACATGTAATCTATGGAAGTTATCTATCATGAACCAGTGAACACTTTATTAACTTGAGATATGTATAGCAAATACCATGTGAAAAATAAATTGCCATCATATGTGTGAAAAATGCAGTGCTAATGATTTCCAGTTGGCTGCCATCTTTATTTCACACAGGAAGTGATCGCGAAAATACAATCAGAATATATTTACCTCACCTGGGCTTATCAGATTGCTAGGGATTTAACAATCATTGGATATTATACAAATATCTAATTCTATTGAGGTGAATACCTGTGCATCTTTCACAAGTGGTATTCCACAAAGTGAAAATGAAAGTGTCACAGGTATTCACCGAAAATAGAATTAAATTTTTGTTTTATTATTCAGTGTTATATTCCTCACTCACATTAATGGAGTAACAGACTATTAATGTCTAATTAATCATAATCATAACAATGTACTACCAGGTATTATAGAATTAAAAAATTACACTGGACTAAGTCGGACCGGTGAATATCATCTGATATTCACAGGAAGTCACGTGATATTGAACAAATATTTCACTCTATTGAGGTAAATACCTGTACATCTTTCACAAGTGATATTCCACGAAGCCCGAAGGGGAAGTGGAATATCACCTTGTGAAAGTGCTACAGGTATTCACCGAAAATAGAGTGAAATATTTGTTTTATTATATCACTGTCTAGCTAAACATCCCTAATATTATTAAGTCATAGGTTAACATTGAAATATATTGAATCTACTCGGTTCGTCTGCCATTTTGACTTACACTGAACTAAATTATTTACACTGAACGAAAACAAATTCGATGAAAATTCCCGGGAGCGTCGGATATTGAACAAATATTTCACTCTATTGAGGTGAATACCTGTACATCTTTCACTAGTGATATTCCACGAAGCCCAAAGGGCAAGTGGAATATCACCTCGTGAAAGTGCTACAGGTATTCACCGAAAATAGAGTGAAATATTTGTTTTATTATATCACTGTCTAGCTAAACATCCCTAATATTATTAAGTCATAGGTTAACATTGAAATACATTGAATCTACTCGGTTCGTCTGCCATTTTGACTTACACTGAACTAAATTATTTACACTGAACGAAAACAAATTCTTTGAAAATTCCCGGGATCGTGGGATATCGCTAGATATCTCACGGTTGTCTTATCTGATTAGCATTGCCATTGAATATCGCCAGATAGCCCACGACATGTGACCCGGTTTTGACCAATCATACTGTCGCTAGCTAGATAGTGATATAATAACGCTAGTGGAATATCACCTCGTGAAAGTGCTACAGGTATTCACCGAAAATAGAGTGAAATATTTGTTTTATTATATCACTGTCTAGCTAAACATCCCTAATATTATTAAGTCATAGGTTAACATTGAAATACATTGAATCTACTCGGTTCGTCTGCCATTTTGACTTACACTGAACTAAATTATTTACACTGAACGAAAACAAATTCTATGAAAATTCCCGGGAGCGTCGGATATTGAACAAATATTTCACTCTATTGAGGTGAATACCTGTACATCTTTCACTAGTGATATTCCATGAAGCCCAAAGGGCAAGTGGAATATCACCTCGTGAAAGTGCTACAGGTATTCACCGAAAATAGAGTGAAATATTTGTTTTATTATATCACTGTCTAGCTAAACATCCCTAATATTATTAAGTCATAGGTTAACATTGAAATACATTGAATCTACTCGGTTCGTCTGCCATTTTGACTTACACTGAACTAAATTATTAATACTGAACGAAAACAAATTCTTTGAAAATTCCCGGGATCATGGGATATCGCTAGATATCTCACGGTTGTCTTATCTGATTAGCATTGCCATTGAATATCGCCAGATAGCCCACGACATGTGACCCGGTTTTGACCAATCATACTGTCGCTAGCTAGATAGTGATATAATAACGCTAGTTATTATATCACTATCTAGCTAGCGACAGTATGATTGGTCAAAACCGGGTCACATGTCGTGGGATATCTGGCGATATTCAATGGCAATGCTAATCAGATAAGACAACCGTGAGATATCTAGCGATATCCCACGCTCCCGGGAATTTTCAAAGAATTTGTTTTCGTTCAGTGTAAATGATTTAGTTCAGTGTAAGTCAAAATGGCATACGAACCGAGTAGAAATATATGTATTTCAATGTTAACCTATGACTTAATAATATTAGGGATGTTTAGCTAGACAGTGATATAATAAAACAAATATTTCACTCTATTTTCGGTGAATACCTGTAGCACTTTCACAAGGTGATATTCCACTTGCCCTTCGGGCTTCGTGGAATATCACTTGTGAAAGATGTACAGGTATTCACCTCAATAGAGTGAAATATTTGTTCAATATCTCACAGTTGTCTTATCTGATTAGCATTGCCATTGAATATCCCCAGATATCCCACGACATGTGACCCGGTTTTGACCAATCATACTGTCGCTAGCTAGATAGTGATATAATAATGCTTGTTATTCTTTAGTCACATGTAGGACATGGACCAATCAGAGAGTGAGAAATATGACAGTGATATAATAAATCAAAATATCTTACCTGGAATACCCCTTCTAAGAACTGAATTGTCTTCAATATCATCAATCCTGAAAATAATACCAGTGATTGTATAAGAATGTATATCTGTGTGACATTGTTCTCTAATGTGCCGAAATTATATCCATAATTACAATAATTGATTTACGATTACGAATTCATTATTTTACGAAGTGTCTGTTAATGATCCCCAGGCCAGTAGCCAGGAGGCTTTTGGGGATTCAAAGATCATTTCAAAATCATGCATTTTCCCAATTTTTGGCACTTTTCAAGTGATTTTGCACCAAAATTGTTAAATTTTAAATACACCATGGAAATTTTTTTGGCGATCGCACCCCCCTGACTCAAAACTGGCTATGCCCCTGCACCCGCTGGGGAAAAGCTGGCTACAAGGCTGCTAGCATTGTGTAAAATCCATGTGACTTAAACAGACTAGCATCATATAAAAGAGAGATTTCGCAACTCACTTATAGCATCTTTATTAGTCCTGTATAGCTTATAACTTATGAAGCATTTGATTACGTCATCATTTATTGCGCATATGTCATCCATAGGTAAGAATATCACATTTATGGATGTAAAGAGCTGCACAATAAAGGATAACGTAACCAAACGCTTCCTAGGTTTTACATTATACAAGTATAGGAATAATAAATATGCTATAAGCGAGTTGTGAAATCTCTCTAATATCTGTATAACTTAGTAGACTAGCATCGTGAATTATCTTTATTACTTCGATTAGCATATTATTTTTGTAACTTACAATAGACTAGCATTATGTAACATCTGTGTTACTTCAGCAATGGCAAGAAGTTTATCATCGGGAATTTTTAACCAATAGTTGAATGCCTGAAAAATAAAATTGCATTCAATTATTCTTAAACAGTTCTTCCAATATTTTTTGGCTTGTTTTCCAAAATTCTCATCAGTAGGTAATATGTACAAATCAGATTTCCATCATCCTCTGGACACAGGCCTCGAGAACTCGTACCTCATTCTCCTGGAAGAAGAAAGGAACATAGTGGATGTTCGGAGCCCTGCATTTGGAGGATGGATTTCCATGTGAGAATATAAATTTTTATTTTCTGAAATGTATAGTTATGTATGGTAAAATAATGAACATTTTGAAGGGTCTCACACAGTGATCACCTTCACCAATTTAAGATATCAATGTTCTTACCTTTGAAAGCTTTGTGCGTATCTGTTTACCAGGAATCTGGGATATGTAATGGAATGGCTCTAGTAATACCTAAAAAATACATATACAATATATGTATATATAGTCAAGGAATATGAAATCATTAGTGACAATGCAACATCTCGAAAAAGCATTCCATAATTGCTGAGACTTTTTAAATGTCTTTGTGACACAAATTCAATTTAGATGGATGAGCATCGCATGCATCAATACTTTCTACTAAGAAGTTAATCAACTAAAACAGCAACTTCCCGGAGTAGCATATACCAAAGAACAGATTTACCAACTCACTCATTTTGCAAAAATTCATGATAGAAATATCAAGGCAGTAGCATTATCTACCTCTTGCAAAATATACACCAAACTTTAAAGGGGCAACAAGGACTGTAGAGAGAAAATTCGAAATTTTTTATTTTTCTGAGCTATCAGGTCAATATTTGGCTTAACATCTTCTTAGACATACCTATTTTCTTAAAATGTAATTGGATAAACACTCAATTCCAGCATTAAGAAGTGTAAATTCAGTTCAAAGCTTCTATAAAGGGAGTCCCACTTATAGATTTTTAAGATTCACCACGTTTCAAGAGGAATATCAGCTGAAATAATGTTCATCCAGGGGGGTTCTTTGTAGATAATAAAAATATATGTTAGTCTTGATGAAATATCCAAACTGAAATATATTTTGACACTTGTCGATGATCGTTGAATGGCCCCCCTGTGCTAATTGTTGCACCTTTAAAGGAATATTCCTTGCCAGACCCTTTCTCTCTTGATATGGTAGCTATAATCATATATATAGTTTCCATATTTAGCAAAACATGGGAAAATGTTTTAATATGGTCAATATTGATCATTTAAAAATCTAGTGCTTATTTCCAGTGAGCTGCCATCTTTTAAGATTTCTTGCAGGAAGTGATGTAATCAACTCTCAACTTCTATAACCTTGCCCATAACAGTATAGGAAAGAAGCACAAAATCACTTCTAGACAAGTGATCATTACTTTCTGTGCAAAAATATTTTCAGGGCTTGTCAACTTAGAATAAAAGAAGAGATTTTCAGAAGGATTAAATAAGATACAAAGTTGAAAAAGAATATTTAGCTGGTTTTGTAATTCTTAATAGCTCCTCACCTAATGCTATATGCAAAGTTGAGAGTCGATAACATCACTTCCTGTGTGAAATTTTAAAAGATGGCAGCTTACTGGAATTGAGCATCACATTTCTAAGTGATCAAATTTGACCATATGAGGAGAGAGATGGTTTGGCAAGGAATATTCCTTTAAGATAGCAGTTCCTCAAATTGAAAATGGGGAGAAAATATAATAGTAACTATATCAAAAATTTGGATAATGTCAGTCTGTTGATTTTGTAAGATAGTATCTAATTGTGAATTAAAAATGTTTTAGGGTTATTTGTGATATTTGTGAATTTCAACTTAGGGTACAATGAAATTCATCTATAAGACTAGTCTAAGTGTACACGTACCTTTTCTTTATCTGTGCCAACATCGAGATTGTTTTTGTGTTTATTAATGTCAGAGTTGAACCCATTTTGTGCCATCTTCCACTTGGAAAACTGAAATAAAATGATTCAATTGGCATTCCATTTAGTAAGACAATGAGTGACATGAAGAAAACATGGATATTTTCCACATCACATATTCTGCCATCTTGCAACTACACACACTGAAAATTAAAGAAAATTTGCTTCCTACCTCATTGAAATTCATCACTGCTGAAATTCATCAAATGAAATGTATACTAAGATACTTGTTCTTTGGGTTGATGTATATATGAGTGATGTCATGATCTAACCACCTGCATTACAAGATAATTTAAGCTATAAGCTGTAGAGTAATCCCAATTGTACATAATATAATAGCATGCATGTTTGTCTAGACTAGCATTATTTGTATCATGATTCCACATAGCAACAAGGCATTAACATGCAAAATGTCACCACCATTTGTTACAGATGCCAACCGCCGACCACCGATCGACTCACAAAAAATGGAGACCATAACAAAATGTCACCACTTTTTGTTAAAAACCTCAATGTCCAGTGAAACCTGTATATCCAAACACCTGGCTAATCCGAACATTTGCCAATCTGAACACTTTTTTCTGGTACCATAATTTCCTCCCATTGACTCCCATGTTAATAAAAACCTTGAAATATGAACACCTCCTTATTCGAACGGTGAACACAACACTCATCTTTGAAAAATTAACCTGTCTAATCTGAACAGTTTTCACAATACATGTATATGGTGTTCCATAAGTAATGATAATTTTACTCTAACATTTTTTCTTAAATGAGGAAACAATATGGAATTCACACAAATTGAAGATCTATATGTAAGCTTCATTTTGCTAATATTACTTGACACAAAAATATTTCATGTATGGTTGCCGTAGCAACCTGTATGTGCGTTCTGCGGAGCAACTTTGTTTTCCATACATTTTTGAAAAATATTTTGTGTTGATATGTTTCCCTGCTGTTCCCATTACTACAGTAGTATTGCTATTTCATTCACACAGCAATGAAACATATTAAGGTGCAGTGGTACTTAACAGGAAATGACAAAACAGGAAGTGACAAAAAATGTTACATTTTTTGACATTTTTTGAACAAAGATAACAGAGTTCTGTTTTAACCTCCAGTCAATTCAAATAGTTCCACATATCATTTACATGACCAGGATCACAATGTCCATGGTCAGAATGACCCTAAACATGAAGAAATAACTTTTTCAGTCCATAATTACATGTCTTGTTTACCACCTTCGTTTGTTCAAATTTTCACCAGTTAGTTTCTGAATACAACACATCGTTGTGATGTTTAAATCAATGTTAGCGTATTCCTTACTCATTTCTGTATCTTGATGTAAAATAACAAGGTTAAGGTATGGTTATTTTTTTCATTTCCTGTTTGGGGTAAATTTCTGATAACTACCCCCGAGACCTTAACTGACCAGATATTAAGGTCTCATGATACTTAACAGGAAATGACAAAACAGGAAGTGATAAAACCATATGCTTGATTTCAAACATTTTTGAACCAAAATATGAGAGTTCCGTTTTGACCTCCAGTCACTTTAACTAGTTCCACATATCATTAACATGACCAGGATCACAACAGCCATGATCGGAATGACCCTAAACATGATGAAATAACTTTTTCAGCCCTCTGAAAAGGTCACTGAAAAATAGTTAAAAGTAGGAGCATAGGAAAGGTCACGGAACAGAATCTTTTGAATTTTTCAGAAAATGTGCTCAACATATTGCTCTAAATAATACAAACTTTGAAATTTTTGAAAATTGTCTGAAACAAAAATGGCGGTCATAAAAAGGAAAATAGATCGCAATTCCATTTTTTCTTTTTCAACTAATGATATCATATTTTCAAAGATTGTATCATTTAGAGCAATATATTAGTCACATTTTCTGAAAAATTCAAAAGATTCTGTTCAGTGACTTGCAAAATGGACGACCTAAATTTCAAAGAATTCGGCTAAGATCAATATTGATATGTTGTTGCCTTCATTGAATCATTCTCATGTTTGGCTGAGTTCCACAATGCAACTTAGTCCGATAGATGACATAGAACATACTGGTAACTAGATATGTGGTTACATCACATCATTTCGTTATTTAACCATATGAACCGCTTCCCAGAATAAAAATAAAACTTTACCAGAAATAATAATTAGTAAATTACTTTTAAATGTATATTTAAAGAAATACGTGTTAAATATAAATAAGCTGTACAATATTAATTCATAAACAAACCTTGTGCAGCTGAAAGACTGGTGAACTGCCTAGAATAATGCAGAAAATCACTATAAATAGTAGTAAAAACTCAATGAATCATTTTTATTTTTGGTATAAGAACATCTAATAGATCTGATATATTTCCATAATTCGCTACAGCGAAATAATCGGGGACGGATCATTCATTTCTAGAACTCCCAATACCAGGATTGGAGCCTGGACGTTCACAAGCCAATATTTTAAAATCTCTAAAACTGTTTTCCTCTTTTTACTTTTTAGAAGCCAAACGAATGATAAAAGTAACATGATAAGTTATGGCTATGTTTGCACTTGTCACGCGGGACTTCGTCAGCGTCTAAAACACTGACCTGTAGTGTCCCCCCATGGGTGGGCCCCAAAAAAGATTTGAGCCCAAAAATTAAATAGGGCCTCAATTAGTGGGCCTTTTTGGGCATTACTTGGACTTTCCTAGCCATGATTTTCAAAATGTGGGCCCAATTTTGGGATTTAAAGGGGCAATAAGGACTGTAGAGATAAAATTCGAATTTTTTTATTTTTTCTGAGCTATCAGGTCAATATTTGGCTTAATACCCTCTTTGACATACCTATTTTCATAAAATGTATGTATAAACTATCAATTTCAGCATTAAGAAGTGTAAATTCAATTCAAAGCTTCTATAAAGGGAGTCCCACTTATAGATTTTTGAGATCCACCATGTTTCAAGAGGAATATCAGCTGAAATAATGTTCATCCAGAGGGTTTCTTTGTAGATAATGAAAATATATGTTAGTCTTGATGAAATATCCAAACCTAAATATATTTTGACACTTGTCGATGATCATTGAATGGCCCCCCTGCACTATTTGTAGCACCTTTAATTGAAGGGCCGGCACAACATTTTTCTGATTTGAAATCTCCCCCTCCCACTCTTGTTGGATTCTGGATCTGGCACTCCCCACTCTTGTTAGATCCTGGATCTGGCAAAATGACACCATCCTTCTTTAAAGTCTTAGATGCAAATTATTTATAAATACTACAGTATATAGGCCTTGCTGCAAGGATAGGAAAATGGACGCTGAACTCGGCCTAATATACATGTATGAATATTCAATTTGTACTTAATTTCTTATAATTTTTAAGTTCAGGTAAACATTTGATCATATGCCAAGGGAAAAGAATTGTATTGAGCTTTCTGTTTCCCCTGGGTCTACGAAAAAGACTGAGTGACCTACCGATCACCGACGGACAGGTCGTCGGTGTTTTACACACTGGGTAGCCCCAAATAAGGGTTTGAGGAAAATGTGTAAAAGACCGACCAAAGTTGTCGCCTTAAATTTCGATTTTGAATACATGTCTTTTTTGAATACACGGCTGGAGCCAATGTTTTTTATATTGCTCTTTTCAAAAGAGTAGAAATAATCTAATTTACGTCATCTGAAACTAAAAAATTCAGTCAAAGTGATGTCATATTTGAAATATACATGTAAAGGTACATCTAGAAATATGGTTTTGAAAATTGTTTAACAATAATATTTTCTTTTACTGGACATATTTTTTATTCAATTTACATAACTATTAGATACATTTTAAGGGTGATATGAAAATTGAACCACTAAAAGTTAAGGGAACCTTCTACTATACCCGCCATGCTATCTGACCCAAATGAGCCACCTGTTGGTGAAACTGGTAATTACCTACTTGCATCTGAGTTATTGGGGAAATCCATCCAATTTTTTACGTATTTCATGCGTATTTCTCATAAAATGATTTGATTAAACGTGCGTTCACTTGTCAGGATCAAAGTTTATAATTTTTAAGTACACCCTAGGAAAGCTATTTTTGACATATTGAATGTAGTTTTTATCAGATTGACGTTAAACAGCTGAAAAACAATTGTATTACCTAGAAAAAGATGACGACGTGATTTTAAAGACAGACAGCGTTAGTACATTCCATACCATAGTGAACATAATTTTATGTTATTAGCGTTTTCTCGTCATGCATGATCCAAAGTGACTAACAAAAATGAAATTGTTCTTACAACAACTGAGACATTAGACGTTTTTTTCATGTGCGTCTTTAATCGTGATTTAAATGGTTAATTTAACTTTCCAAGACATGCAGCATTCACAAGTGCAAGTAGAAATAATCTTGATTTATGTAATATGGCATTCAAAATTTAGCCAAAGCGATATCATATTTGAAATCATGTAAAATTAAAAAAAATGTAGTTTTAAAAATTATCAACTTTAAAAATGAATTTTCTTTGGAGATTCCCTCATGGACCATTATCCTCCATTTAATTTTTTCTGTATCGCCGCTTCGCCTTATCCCGTGCCAGGGCCTTTTAGGCCAACAGTCAAAGAATGGACTGAAGAAATGAATCCTAGGTCTGTCTCTGGGTCTGTCGGATACAGACTAATCTTGCACCCCCCCCCCCAGAATATATCAATATATTTAGGCTGGGTCACAATTTCAGGAATATGCCTCATTTTTGGGAAATGGGCCTTTTTAAAAAATGAGTTCATATTTTTAAAAATTGAGTTACAACTTTCAAAGGGCCAACATTTTAAGACTCTCTCGCTTCATTCTACCATTTTTTCAGCAACAATTCTCTTCAGGGGCGAATCTGGGAACCAACAAAGGGGCCCAAATTTATGGTCAGAGAAAAAAAATTGGGCCCCTAAAACCGAAAAGTGGGTCTAAATCATAAGGCCCAGTAATGACCAAAAGGCCGTTTTTGCTCAATTTTTTTGGGGGCCCATTTTTTCTGGGCCCACCCAAGGCTGCCCCTAGTATGTATCCAACAGACTGACTAGAAGTCAGTCTGTTATGATGTACTACTTTCCTGTGGAAATTGCAGTGAAATTTTTTGCACAAAATTATCAATTGGAGGAACAATTTCTTCAATAAAATAAACACTAGTAAGGTACAATTAAATGCAATAAAAAGTAACACACAGCATATTGTCAAGTGGAAATAAAGCTAGTTGAATTAACAAATGTGAAAATTAATTTTACCCAATCGACCATTTTGAATGGCACTTCCTCTGTAAACAAATATTTAATATTACCAAACTTTAACATAGGTGCCTTATAGTCTGAATATAATTCAGACTAAATAGGATATAGTCTAAAGGCTCCCCCCCAGATCCGCCAGTGCTCTTGACTTGTGAATTTTAAGATATGATAAGTGAACTCGGAACACTTGGGTTGTCAAAACACATGGAACAGTTGGGCAAGAGTCTGAACACTTGGGTAGCCCAGAACAGCCACATACGTCTATCGTCCGCGGGCTATCATCCCTGTCTCCCCGCCTGTCTCGCATCCTGTTCCCTGCTAGTGTTGTAAACAAGTATCGAATTTCCCATTGGTACCTCAGACCACGTGATTGCTATCGACCAATTAAATTCACAAACAGACCTGCGTAATTGACCTGCGCAGTCCAAATGAATATTGACATGAAAATGCCGTCGGAGGCACCCGTTCTCCCGACGCAAACGGAGAAACCTCAGCATTATACGTAAGTATTCAGGATATATATTATGAAAATCAAATGGATTAATATATGAGCTTTACGTTGATGTTGGATAAATCTAACTGGATGTTTTTATCTTCCAGATATTTGAAAGAATTTCGGACACAGCAATGTCCACTGTTTCTCCAGCACAAATGCACACAGCATCGGCCATTTACTTGTTTTCACTGGCATTTCCTGAATCAGAGACGAAGAAGACCCGTGAGAAAGCGAGATGGGTCATTCAACTATAGCCCCGACGTTTACTGCACCAAATATGACGAGACATCAGGGCAATGTCCAGATGGAGAAGAGTGAGTTGTCAAAATTTTCAAAACATTCAAATTTTGGTGGGAAAGATTTTCCAATATTTGTCAAACTTGGGAACAAAATACAGATGAAATGTTTTCTTATATTCAACTAGAATAAGGAAATTGTGTGATGCTTCATAGATTTATCAAAAAGACGTGGTTTAGTTGTCAATCGATGACTGGATATATGCCAAATCTTGCTGAATATTTTGGCAAAATTTTGTGACATTTGTAAACAAACATGGCGGCCATTTCAGCTGTGAATTTCTTTATTTACAATCTTGAAATTAGTCCAGTTGCCCCAATGCATTATAAATCAAAGTAACAATCTGCCCAATATTTACCATATGTTATTAAGTTTAAAAATGTACAGTTGTTAATGAGAAATTTGTATAGGATTGCTTAGAAGAAAGTGATTTATAAATGTAAACAAAGTATTTTGAATGAAAAAATGGCTGATCTGACATCAGCAGATTGCAGATTTAGGATGTTATGTGCATTATCACATGTGTCACAAAACCTCAACTCCCACATAAATATTGTTTATTTGAGTGCTAAATTTATCAAGTTATGATTTGTTAATTCAATTTTCCATGTATATTTTAAAATTTAGGCATACATGAAACCAAAATATACAAAAGTTACTATTTTTTTCAAGGTCTGTCTGCGTCGCTAACATGCTAAATATAAGAGTTAGCTGACGTTTTGGAGTCTGACTTACCTTCTAAAGGTTAGAACCCGAATCTTAATGAAACTATATCACCTTTGTTGCGTCGATGATGATGCATAAACATAGCATTTGATAGAAATTAGCTTAAATGCTTTTCCGACTTTTTCATTTTTCATCAATGTTGACTTCCGGGAAGGCGTTGTAGTTATCACGAAATCACGCATTGACCCTTGAACTTTACTTTGTTGACGTGTCAACCAAGCATGTCTGGTGTGAAAATTAAAAGAATATTAAGCAATGTTCTACATCCGCCAAGCTAAGTGAAGTAGCCAATATAAAATTACCAATTTCGAGTGAAGTACGCTACGAACGAAACTGCGTGATCTACAGTCCCACTATTTGTCTGAATGAAATGCTACGTAGAAATATGAGCCGTCTGCTGTATTAGTCGATTAATAGAGAAAGACCTGTTGGTGATGCTTTATAATTTAGACCAAAACATTGAAGAACAAACGAACCTGTAAATCGTGAAAACAACGAACAAATATTCGGTTTTCACATATGTTCGGTAATTTTTCGTATTGAAACTTCCGGAACTTACAAGGAAATCATTCATTTTCTCGATCCATGATTTACCTCTTGGATGTTGTGGCAAATGCTCCATGGTTGACGGAACAAAGGTGATATGGTTTCATTAAGATTCGGGTTCTAACCTTTAGAAGGTAAGTCAGACTCCCAAACGTCAGCTAACTCTTATATTTAGCATGTTAGCGACGCAGACAGGCCTTGAAAAAAATAGTAGGATATGTTTTTCATATAATATTTCCATAGGTTCTTACAATCACTTATTTTTGGACGCATAGTTGTCACTCGACACATACATGAATGTTCACATCTTTCAAATGGCTGTTCTGGCAATCAGTCAGTTGCGATAAAAATTCAAAAATATGATTGATTAGGCTATCAGTTAACATATAAAAACTATGGATAAAGGAACAGTTTCATTTATGTTTCATTTATCATCAGCTTTTGGAAGATTATTGTTTGATTTTTCAAATATTGTCTCAGCTGTTTGTTCCTAAAAGAACCAATTAGACTAAATCAGTGTGGTGACCTAACACCAGATAACTAGTATAATGTGAAGTAAATCTTTGACAATTTTTATTTAGCAAGATTTAGTCATTTTGAAAAAAAATCACTTCAGAAATTAAATGGCATCAAACCATCAAGAGCTCTACATTTGTAGTATATACTTCATCCATGGAAACTGTGGTAAGGGCAGGGGTGTCTAAATGTTGTTGGATTCAGCTGGGTTTTTCCATTACCAGGAGTTCTTGTCTAGAATATGGTTGCTATGGCCACTGTTGATGAGGCACCTGACGCATATGCAAAACACTACATGTATTTTTTGTATCAATGTCAAGCACTGTTATAGTGAGGAGAATGTCCCATCTTTTGTATATAAGTTTAATTCTATGTATCCGCTTGATAGTTTGAACTAGTTAACTTGGTTAAATCATCGATGATACCACATGTGGCATCATCAGTGCCATTCAGTGGTATAATATGTGGTAAAGAAGGTTAGTTCCTTATTTGCTCATTATTAATTCAGCCAAATCTGACAGTCCTGTTTATAGTCTGGAAATGCGTTTAAATATGCCCGTTATGTAGTTCAAAATGTTTTTTAATCTTTGACAATTGTAATTGAATCGGTACTTCGCATCAGGTTTTAAACTATATTTGTATAAGTTAATTTGAAACTGTGACTGGTAAGAACAGGGTGTCTAATTGTTGTTCCATTTGGCTGGGTTTTTGTACTATCAGGAGACAAATTGGGCTTAATAAAAATGCAAAATATGTGGAATACCCTAGCTTACCTAGTTACTTGTCTCTCCATTTCAATTTGAATTAACATATCAACTAGTATGTTTGAGGCACAAATATATAGCAAAAGAAAACACTAATTATATGTGACATCATTCTAGTTCCCTGAAACGACATGTATATTCAACACTTCCTTTTTAGGTGTCCATTACTCCACAGGACAGCAGGTGACACAGAACGTAGATACCATCTCCGATATTACAAAACTGGAACATGCGTCCATGAGACTGACACTAGAGGTAACTGTGTCAAGAATGGTCCCCATTGTGCATTTGCACATGGGGCTCATGACCTTCGACCCCCAGTATATGACTCCCGTGAACTAGCAGGTCTAGAAACAGAGAAAGTTGATATGGGAATGGGAATGGGCCTACTAAGTCAGAGTCCATGTGGACCCAGTAGTCTGGAGAAAGAAAAGATACTCAATGAAGACCCCAAGTGGAATGGTGAGTTCAGTCAAATATGTTACTATCCCACTAAATGAAGTAGAAGACATCCACCTATTCATCCATCCATTTGTGTGCTTGGGTTAAAATTCAAATTCCAGTTGTCCTATTTGGTTTAAATGTGATAGGTTGATTTATCAGAGTTCAGACATGTTTTTTTCTCGAAATTTGATTTTTTGGCTAAGTAAAAGGTTGAATATAACTATCAAAGTGTTTTGACTCATTTTCAAAGACTTCATACTGCATGTTGCTGTGTATATGTAATACTAAATTTTATTTACATATTTGAAGTGGATACTCATCTTTCATTCCATGTAAAGAAAGCAGAAATTGATAACATACTGAAGCAGCAGGAGCTGTTACAATGACCCCTACTTTTAGCATTTTCAGAAATGTTTTATCCAGTGTAATTAATGAGGGAACAATTCATTCAGTTAGAATAACATTGCCATTTTTGGGCTTATTTCTTGGAAGGCATTATACACTATTACTATCAATTGCAATATAATATAATGCTTATTATACCCAAGTTTAGAGTTAATTTTGTACATAAATGTGAAATAATTTGGGGAATCCACTGACAGTTTGGGGGTTTCTCCAAAGCTACCGTTGTTAGGGAAATGACATCACATTACATTGGATTTACATCCAAAACATACTTCAGAAGTACAGTCTAAATGAATACTTAGAAAGATTTTTAGATGACGGGTACTTTCCCCCAACAAAACTATGGAAATTGATTTGCAAAAATAACGTTCAAATACAAGTTGAAGCTAGCATCAGCACTCTAAGGTTGACCAAAGTCGAATTATCTAACAATATCATATGGACTACTGGTCAAAAACATCCGCATCTATTAGAATACTGTTACACACTAGCGAAACTAGTAGCACTTCCTGAAGACAAAGAAACCAATCATTTATGTGAAAAATGCGGAAATTTATTTAAAGATACAGTAAATCATTTACTCTTTCAATGCTGCTGTGATGCTGTCTGCAAAGGTATGAACATGCACGACTTAGTATGTGACCCCCGCGACGCTGATGAAGACACAAGCGACAAAATAGCAGCATTAAGTAAAATTTTGCCACAAATACACACATTGATTTTTGTAAACGGAATCTCATTGGTTCCAGCGTTTCCAGATTAAAGCGATAATAATGCAAGGTGTTCGAGCTTTCTGCTCAACATAAATGTATAAATGATGTAAATAACTACCATTTTTTAAAAACAAAACAAAAACAACCTTCGTTTGAAAGTTTTTATACACTTTATTAACATGTAATTACGTTGTAAAATGATCCATGAATAATGGGAAATAAAGATATAATAATAATAATATTAGAGCACTTTCGCATTTGATTAGAAAGCGAAAGTGTATTTATTGCATTTAATTGATGAAAAGGAATCAATTAAAGGATATTCTTGAAAAACTCATTTTTTATCGTTTTCTAAGCCCTTGATAGTTACATCCTTTAAACAGTGAGTCTAAATATTATTATGAGATGTGATCAGACAGTGGTTCCTGGCTTCTGGAATTACTCCCAAAAATACTCATGTTTCGTCAGGCTTCAGATAATGCAAAACAGCCATATTACGTGAGAATTAGCTATAATTTAGAGAACTCTTCAAAGTAAAGTTATATTATCATACTCCATTAGATCTCAAATATTGTATTGTGTTGTATGATTTGTGCCTTTGAAATTGCTAAATGGTCACCCAAATGTTAAGATTGGAAAATTTCTGGTATCTCCAAATCCAGGGCAGAGAAGATGGTAAATATTACATAGTGTCATATACAGATTCATGAATATTTTCATTGGGATTTGCTACTCTTTGGAGTTGCCGATTCCTAGATGAACCTTATATATCATCATATTAATATGAACAATCCATTTTCATAAGTCAAAATATGCCCTGGGAGTTCTCAGCTAATGTGATTACCAACCAAAATAAACATCTAATAACAACAATTTTCCTTTATAAACACCTATAGGCATTCATTTTCAAGTATTGGTAGTTTATAAATAAATGAATCCCTAGCTAGTAGGCAAAATAGTGTCAAAAGTTCCATTTTGAAACGGAAAAGAAGATATTGAGGAAATCATTTTGTATTCTATTGTATCTGCCATTAGATAGATATTCAGTGATCCCTAAATAGATTTTGTGAATGATTTAAAATTACTTTAATTCTGGACTTTTTTCAATCACCAAATCAAAACCTCACTCCCATTTCGTATTATGGCTGAATAGGACAAATAGGAGATGCCATCGTTACTATGTTATATTTGTTTATTGTAGATACTAATTATGTTCTGACAAATTACAAGACAGAGCAGTGTAAACGGCCCCCCAGGCTGTGCCGCCAGGGTTATGCATGTCCCCAATACCACAACACACGGGACAGGCGAAGAAGTCCACGTAAAGTAAAGTACAGGCAAGTTAAAAATACATTGAGTAAATCTTCAACTGGTTTCACTGCAAGATTTTTCTTCTCTACTGAGTGCAAAACTCTAATTTTACAAATTCTTTGAAGAAATGTTGTCTTTGTATTAGTGAAATATATTTTTGAAATTCTTAACGGAATACAAATTGATAATCATGCAAAGCAGTTTTCAAATTCTTAGATCGGTGCGGCACATGCGATATCAATTTTATCGTGATCACTGAATCTATTTTTTATGTTCTTTGTTATTTTGTCACGCCAAACATGAACTCAAGTTGACTTAATTTGGCAATAATCTGATTGTGAAATAATTCCAACTTTTAATCACAGAGAACTTTTTCAGTGTATAAACAAATGTCTCAAAGATTTATAGAAGCAATGATAACTTTATACATTGTTTTTTTGTATGAGTGATGTAAAATCCTTTTTCCACCAGACAATGTTGAACATGTATATTGACTCAAGAATGAAAACAACAATTGACGAATATCTTAATTGTTTTTAATGTCTGTCAGAGATATAGTAGAAGGAAGACAATGAAATGTTTGTTTTCTGTCCTCTAATTAGATCAGTGCCATTCTAAAATCTTATTATTCATACATATTTTAGATCATAACAGAACTTCAGTAAACAATCTTGATATGATGAAACCTAAATATATTTTTTAGATTTTGCACATGTCATAGTAGACTTAAAGTACAGGTACTAATTTTTACTCACTTATCATAGGTTTGTAGCAAGGGTCAGAAGGGCTTGAATCAAGAATAGTCTTGAGTGACTTTTGTTAACTGGAAGTAACTGTTAAATGCAGATTAAAAATTTGTAACCAATAATTGAAGGGTCTAGTGACCTTATGTCACAAACAAGTCAGTCTGAACTGATTGTTTTACATAAAAACATGTAGTCTGTGCCAAGACTCTGTTTACTGGTAGTTCTTACTCCAAAATGTTGATGAAAACTGATCAAAATATACCTATTCCTCAATATAATGTCACCACCACAAGTGATGACATATTGTCTCCAACGTTTTTGTGGACAGTATTCAGTGTTTGACTGTCTATGTTTGGCATTCGGCAGTCAGTGTCGGTAACATGGCAGGTGGTGACATCTTACATGTTAATGCCTTGTAATATAATTATTATTTGATGGGTAAACACTTCTTGAGATCAGTTCTCATGGGTATTCTTCTGTTTGTAGGTCTACACCATGTCCCAATGTTAAACATGGTGATGACTGGGGGGATCCTACACAGTGTGAGAATGGAGAAAATTGTCCTTATTGTCACACACGAACAGAGCAACAGTTTCATCCTGAGGTAAGTTCTGTCATCAAATATTCATACTGCCACTCAAAGCGCTATGACCCATAATACATGATCTCATATACTGCTTGACGTTCAAATTAATTTATAAATTAACAATATCAAAAACTAGGTATGACATCATTAATCTTCCCCATATACATGTATTAGAAGTTGAGATAACTTACTGACATTTGCACGTGGCAAAGATTTTAGCAGCTGGCAAAGATTTTGATATTACCTACCTGAGACAAAGACAAATCATCAATTTAGAGGCCAAGAATTTTCCATTGCATTGCAGCACATCCAATGTGTGGAACATTATTTTACTGAATGTCTCACTGTATTCCAGATTTACAAGTCAACTAAATGCAATGATATGGTACAGACAGGCTATTGTCCAAGAGGACCCTTCTGTGCGTTTGCGCATGTGGAACGTAAGAAACATTCAATCACTTGTGCTACATATCACTGACAGCTTCAAATTAAACGATTAAGTTTAACTTTTATTTAAATTTTATTAAAATGTCCAAATATTTATTACTTAATTGAATTTCAATATTTGAATTGAGAACAGATAAATAAATGTTTATTTTTATTTGTATGCGTAATTGTGCTGTTTTTGCTGTGGTCTCCGTTCAACTTTTATTGAATTTGAAAAAATAATTTTATATAACAAATTAATAATATTGTTATTATGACTTTCTATTTCAGAGGAAATGACATCACAGCGTGAGTTGCCAATGGAGAATTCTCTAGCTGCGTTCTTCAGTGCTCTCCCAGGTGGCACCACTAATGGCGAAGTATCTTGCAATAGTAATACTAATGGCAATAAGGATGATTCAGAGCAAACCACACAGGTAATTATAATTCTTAATTTTATTTAAGAATTAATCCTTTAAAAACATCTATTACTCTTAATATTAATTGTTTCAAAACTTTTTTACTGACACTATCGATACTCATATAATCAAGCTCTACCATACACACTCGTCATCTTGGAAGGGGAAGTAGATCCTAGTTGGAGAGGTCAGTGTTCATGCAACTCAGTGCAAGAATACTAATTCAATAGTTTTTCATACCAGTTTAAAATCTTTGGCTTCACTAGAAGCAGGCAATAGTCAATTTTTGTCAAAATCTATTGTCATCTGTTTCCATGGTCCATGTTAAAATTATAATTTCCAATAATATTGACGGTTGCCAGATATTCTGATGAAACACATACATGTACATTGAAGGGGAAGTATTACTGTGGTCAGTGGCCGGTTTTCGCTGGTCAGTGTTTGGTGTAGGTCATCTGAAACAAATGGCAAGTTGTGACATTTTGCATGTTAATGCCTTGTATTCATTGTTGTTTGTTCTACTTCCAGGATGAGCACCCGCCTCAGCTGTTGGCCCCAGCTCATAACAACAATAAGCCTGTTGATTCATCCTCAAATAAACAGCAACCTACTTCTATATTTAATCATAGCTCTATGGTTAGTATATTTGATCATAGTTCATTGGTGAGTGTTATTTGATTTAATTTGTTTTTTCTTTTTCATTCTATATGGGTTGCAATAAGGGAGTTCAGAATTCTCGTAGGACTGATATTTTTCATTAAACAGTAAACACCCATAAATTACATAAAAAACAAAATTCTTACTGTAGGTCTGAATTGGGCTAGTGTCTGTTTTATTGACAAAATTTATTTCTGATTTAGTTCCATCTAACGTGAAGTACTAAAAAATATTCTAATTTATGAAAAATTTCAAAATATGATGTATTGATTAACAAAAAGTATTCTATTGTTTTTTTCTTTTGCAGCCAACTAGTACAGTAACTAACACCGCATCAAATCTTAACTCCAATAACTCAATGCATCATACAATTATCCCAGAGCCAATAGGGAAGGGTCGTTCAGGAAGCACGTCAAGCAGTATTGCATCAGACTCGGGGAGTGCATATTTAAAGGCCCCTGGGTCTGAGCGAGAAGACCCACAGGTATGTGCATATGGACAGAAGTTATTCTTGCATCGTAACCTTGTCAATGTCTTAACCTCCCAACTTTCCCTGCTTTAAGGACATAAACATGGGTGTTAAAACACGAATATACCATGAGCACATGCTTTGAGGATCCGCGTTGTTTGAACCTACCGCCGAGCACACTTATACATTAAGACCCGTGATACAGTCATAATACCGCCGAGCAAGCTCATTGCATCATCGGGTCGGCTTTACCCCCGTGATAAAGAGATTTTAGCAAGGAGATTGTTTTTGTCTTAGTTTTGTTTATCTAGACAAAATGTGCAAAACAATATATCAACTTCCTGATGAAATCTATTCATTCAGTTAATTATTATATTCCTCGTTTAATTCTATAGCCAAATTTACAAGAATGAAATACACATGTAGTGATATTCTGTTTATTCATATTATATTTCAGATTAAATTGCGGCAACAACTTCAAGCAATAGAAAAAGATGTCACTATAGATCTAGCAGAAAAGGCAAAACGTAAACAAAACTTATTACTTCTTCATAATCTTAACGTAACAAACTCATTTAGCGCATCAAGTGGGACATCTGGAATAGGCTCTAGTGCAACATCTTCATCTTCCATGTCACCACATGCCCCTGTTTTCTACCCAGCTGGAGATACAGTGGAATCAGTAATAGGTAAGACGCACACTAATTCTCAACTTAAATGCCAGATTTGAAATTTACTCAAAATAATTTGCAGAATTTTGTAAAGGGAATGTGGAACATGATTGGAAATTTATGTTTAGTACAACAACCTTGAAATATTAGTTTTTCGTGCGAATGGCATTGTACAAGTGAAGCGTGACATGATTATGTCATTTTAATATTTCATTTTCACACTGCAGTGAAACAACCTAATAAACAATGAAAAGTGACAGCTTATGAAAGTTAGATGTTGAAATAGTTTTATATTTGTTATGTTTCAGCCAATACTTTAGAGGAATTAAATATAGATGAGTTTGATCTCTCAACTATAGATAAAGAACTAGAGAATGACAATGAAACAAACTCTGTCAGTAGCTCACTTAGTGCAGGATTCTCATCTACGGGTAAGCTACACTACATTATTGGGTAATACAGTACAATTATTTCACATGTGTATGTCTGAATGTTTTGATTCGTGATTAGCTGACTCTGCTGGGGAAAAGAATACAAAGTACTCTCTCAGAAAAAATAACACCCGTTTCTTTACATTTGAATCATTTACTCAAATATTCAAGGATCGAATGGAACATTAAATAAATGGTATATAAATGGTCTCCAACTTTCTTGTGGGTGTTGTTCGGTGGTTGGTGTCTGTAACAAATGGCAGGTAGTGACATGTTAATGCCTTGTCTATTTATACAGAACTTATTTGTTACATGTGAATATGATTTAATTCCATAGTTTAGTACTAATCGAGTGTCTCCTTCTCCATAGGTTATATAGGTAGTTCCTCTGTGCCAATGGCTATACCCTCAAGCAGTCAGGGTGGCTTTGGAGGCTTCCAGGCAGGAAGTGTGGGCAGTCTACCCGAGTCCCCCTCATCCCTCCCCTCCCTTCCTCCTGCCTTTGTACCTCAGCACATACAGCAACAGCAGAAACAGGAACAGCAGTTGGAACAGGTGAGTTCATTTATATGTAATATGTAGTACATGTATATGTGATATGTAGTACATGTATAAATATCTAGATTTAATCAATACTGGAAAAACACAAGAATAGCAGGGGAGTACTTTGAAAAACTTTTACATGCTCTCTTAACCTCTTGAATACCCAGAGTGACGGATATATCCGTCACAAATGAAATAAGACTGGTGCCCAGAGGGACGAGAAAATCCGTCACAATATTTTTCACAAAAATTGCTCTCATTTGAACAATTTTCATCCAATTTACACAAAAATTGTTTTAAAACGTGTAGAAATGATCTCTGCCGTCCAATTTTACTAAGTTGAGCATCTAAAGTTGTATAGGTATTTAATAAAATGTCAAAAGGTGGCAAAAAATGAAAAATTTTCTGGTTTCATGCCAATTTTAGAGCCTGGGATTCAAGAGGTTAAGTTCCAAATGTAATTCTACATATAATTTAAATCATTTCATTCTGTCGGTACAAAGTTAAATATTGTTTCATTAATTTAATGTGCATTAACCATTTTAGTAAACTATTTTTGGGGGAAAATCACACTTTAACTAGGGTGGGTCATCTAGTAGTAAAGGATTTCATTTTAAGAATCAGAATATTCTGTTTTTACAATTGTACAAATAGCTTTTCTTTAATATCCTATTGATTCTGATTCTGACCAAAGCAAATTCTACTTCATTCAGTGTAAACTTTTTCTAATAGGTTATTGACTTCAATTTGATACATCCCTGTTTATTCCAGGCTCAAGCAGCATTTCTAAGTCATGCCAATCCCGGTAAATTCTCAGCAGCAGCTCTACCCGACATAATGAACAATCACTCCCCCAGGAGCACCCCTAATAGTCTAAGCTCCACATCCAGTCTACACCTACACAACAACACCAACTCTGAGATAATGAGGCTGAGAGAAGAGCTCATTGCCAATAAAGCTAAGCTGGCATCGTGGGAGGAAGGAATTGCTCAAGCTAGAAGTGTAAGTGGCTGATATTGTTGTTTATTTACACATTTGATTTTTATCATGCTTGAAAAGAAATTCACACATAGTAAGGCATAGGTGTATCAGATTCCACCCAATCCGAACACATTATTTCATATAACTGCACTGCAAAGGTTGAAATAACACCTTTTTGAGGAATGATTCAGTCCAGGGCTTAAATCCTTAAATATTGTACAATAGTCATTTTGTGCTGAATGGTCCTGCGTGTGCATGCATTGAATGCATTCATTAACCATAAGAAATCTTGATGCCTCACAATATCCAAAGGGAAATGTTCACAAAGCACAGCATTTGACTAGATTTAATTGAATGGTATTTAGAATATGTGTTTGTATTGTAGGCATGTGAGGCCTGGAAGAAGGAAGCAGAAGAAGCAACTAGGAAAGTTAAGATGATTGAGGAGGAACATATTATTGCAATCAAACAGAAAGAAGAGGTATGCACACTTCATATGCAATTGATCAATAGGGGAAGGGGGTCTCTTAGTGGCAATACAAACCAAAAGAGGTATGAACTATCAAAGCCATAGCCAAGATTCAAATATAAAAATGAGGCTTTTTTGCAAAATAGGATATTACATTAAAACCTGTCTTAGTGAACACCTCCCTCGAGTGAACACCTGTCTCTAGTAGACACCCTTCAACCCCACATACTTAACTGAGTTCTGTATGAATTCCCTCTCTGTCCAACAACAGTGGATGTTTTTCTCAGCAAAAAATGTTTTATATACACAGGTTTTATGGTTTACTTTTATGGAATTTACAATTTGAGTTAAAAAAGGTGTTTTCCATCAGTTATCAGAGTTAATTCAACTTCAAGGTGAAATGTGCATATTCTGTACTCACAGGGAGGGGGCAAAAATCCTCAATTTGAAGCATATCCTCCTGCATTATATACATTAAAACCTTGGTTGAACTACTTGCAGTCAAAATCATGATCTGAGTCATCTTTCAATGGTCAGAGTGTCTACTTATATGGAACCAAAATCTGTTTATATGGAGCCATTGGTTAGATCTATTTATGGACCCTAGATGCTGTAGATGGTGAATATATATCATATGATTGAACATACATGTATTCTAATGAATTCCCTTACAGGTTACTAATCAGCTAAGAAAATGTAAGATTGATGTAGAGAGAATGTCTGGAGGTCCACACTTACATGTGTTACACCGACGTTCAGACCTTGAGATGCTCCCCTTACCACAGCTGAAACTTGTGCAGCAGACTCTGAGGATGGATCTAGATGCTGTAGATAAGGTATTTTCGGTTCTGAGGGTTGGTCTAGATGCTGTAGATAAGGTATTGTAGATTCTGAGGGTTGGTTTTGTCGCTATAAGGCACATTGTGTATTCTAGATTCTGAAGATTGGTCTTAATGTGGGTTTGTCTAGTAACTGCAGATAAGGTATTGTTATAGACTCTGAGGTTGTAGATTCTGAGGGTTGGTCTAGTTGCTGTAGATTAGGTATTCTAGATTCTGAAGATTGATCTAGATGTAGGAGATAAGGTATTTTGTTAGTCTAGTTGCTAGATGAGCCTGAGTTCTCACCACAATGACTGGACACTATTGGGCCCCTGTAGTCTCTTGTACAAACAAAATTGTTGCCTTATGCCATTAACAAATCCTATCGGAATCTCCATTAACAAAATTTCATTTTGTTGACGATGTTCAATAATGATGTTCAAAAATATCAGTTGCAATTGTTTCACCTTGTTAAAAAAGTTATTGTTATGAATTTTGTTGTCTTCCAGGTGGTATACCAACACACGGCTATGAAATGTCTCGTCTGTCAAGAAAAGAATCGTAGTGTAGCTGTAATGCCCTGTAATCACTATGTACTATGTGACTCTTGCGTAGCTAAGCGGACTGAATGCCCTTACTGTCACGCTCAGATTAAACAATTATCAAACATAGTTTTACCGTTATAATCAACGTACTTTTAGGATTTTAACAAATTGTAGGACTATTCAGAATTCTATTCTTACAAACAATTGCCATGATAACCCAAAGGAGATATGAAGCCGTTGTCATGGTAACTAGAGAAAGGAGCTAATTTATGCTCCATCTATTTTATTATAATGTATTTAGTTTTATGTAATCACTTTATATATTTATCAATGATTAGAACTACGAAGGAAGATCTGCTGTAGAGGATGACGCATCATGGAAGGAAAATATTTTTGACACCTTAAATTTGAACAACACAAGTTCACGATTAGATGTGAATATATCAGACCACACCAGTGATACATACACATTATACGCATTTGCAGACTACAGATTCGGATAAGGAAATTTATTAAAGCAGAAAGAAGACAGATACTTTGGATTTATGATTATTTGGGTGTCACTATGGTTACAAGGATGCATTGAGATTATCTCCTTTATTATAAAGATGACCAGTGCTCTGATTGACAGCATTATACATGTTGTGATTGGTTATATCTGTGACCCCAATGACAGTTGATAGTGACTGTGTTTCATAATGAGATGATGGTATATAGATGAAGATGTTACTTAGCAACAGGGAAAACCTGTTCGGATTTGTGAGAAGTATTTTAAAATAGAGCAGTTATGGCGCAACTTTGTGAACTGTAACTCAATAAGGTGGAGTTTAAATGATAATCAGATAATCAGATATACTATGCAGGCCCTGGGTATATGGCAATCACACATTACAATAGAAAATGTAGTGCTGATCATTTCAAATTTGATTTCAATAGAACTTTTTCTTTCTCATTTTTTGTATTATAAATTCCTAATGTAAATAACTGAATTTAGAATTATCTTTATCAAGAGATTTCAATATTCATAGTTAAAACATGTGGAATAAGTACAAAATCAGGTATATAAAGAGTATTAATACATTGAGTACATGGCTTTCATAAATAAAAAATTGTGTATCCAGTTGTAGTATAAACATATTTTTGCATAGCTACACTTTAGAACTTCCAGTATTTGCAATTCTGAATGATGCCAAAGTTGTACTTAATGAAGAAAAATTTATATTTATTTGATTTTATTCAATTTGAATTATAGCGGTTAGAGATTTCTTTTTTCTGATCTGAATTTTCATTCTATTCCTTGGGTTTATAATACTGGTTTTGCGCTTAGTGTTTTTTAAGCTTCATTCATTCATCTTCACTCCAAAATTTTTTTATTGTATTTTATCTTGTTTTACGGTATCAAAGACAAAATTTGTGTTTTAATAGAAAACACCAACCATCTATAAATCTCAGATTGATTTTCCTGATTTGCTTATGGACTTCCTTTTTGTTTACAAGGAAAACAAACCCTATTTGTTAAATTGTATGGCATCCATTTGTTTATATCTGTATCATGCTTTAGACCATGGCCATATTAATATGTTACTTCTAGGACCAGGTTGTAGAAACTGTTGCTATTAAAAATCAGTCTCAACTCAGAATGTGAAATGAGAATTTTTCAAAAATTACCACTCGATGAAAATGATAGTGTCCAAGAAAGTAACCATCCGACACGCATTTCTGTGTCTTAAAAAGTCTGCCATGTAGCACTTTTCATTTACTCTTCAAGTTGTAATTTGCTAGTATCTCATATACCAAACATCTTTTTACTTTGTACTAAATCACTTAACATTGGTCATCATCATGTAAAAACACGTAACACATTCAATCCCTATTATACCTGTTGCACCATTATTCGATGGAATGAAACTTAAAAATAATTGTACTTAAAATTGACAATAATATTGGAAGTACATGTAAACGATTTTGGACTTAAATGGGACCAAAGTTGTCCTGAATTGCATAGAGTAATGGTGTGATCTTTATTTTTATTTGATGTTGCAATGACAAGTTCTCGATTAAGACAAAAAATGATAAATTCATTCTTACTTATACTTATATTGTCATTTCTCTGGGGCATTGTTGTATGGTGTTGCATTGTAATGCTATGAGGGGGAATGTTGTTACTGTTTGAGTCACAGTCATATTCATGTCCAAATAGTCAAATTGAATTATTCACATATAGCTATCCAAAGTCAAATTTAGCTAACCAGATAGTCACATTTAACTAACCAGATAGTCACATTTAACTAACCAAGTTGTCACATTTAGTTTTGTGAATACACTAAATAGTCTCATTTAGCTAATCTAATTATCACAATCAGGTATCCTAAGTCACATTTAGCTCACCAGATAGTCACATTTAGCTAACCAAGTTGTCACATTTAGTTCTATGAATAGTCTCATTTAGCTAATCAAATTATCACAATTAGCTATCCTAAGTCACAATTAGCTGACCAAAAAGTCACATTTAGCAAATTTAGTTGTGAATAGTCTCATTTAGCTAATCAATTCATTAAATATATCTATTCAAATTGTCACATTTAGGTATCCAAATAGTCACATTTAGTTATCCGAATAGTCACATTTAGTTAGCTGAATGGTAATGTTTCTTCAGTAAGAAACATTCTCAGTTACTGTTCTAGTATGCCACAATATCAACAATGTATTTATAAATAATTCTAGTTCATTGTTTTTTTGTATTGTTGCAATGACTGGTTGCTGTAGCAACTGTAATGTTGCTATGGTCAGTTGCTGTGGCAACTTATATGTTGCAATGACTGGTTGCTATGGCAGCTGAAATGTAGACCACTGATCTCAAGAATGAATATTGTATATGGTACCATGTCTTGTCTTCTATACTAGTAATACTGTTCATAAGCAAGCCAGTATCATACACCTTATTATAAAACAATTTTGTGAAGTTTTGATATCATCATCATTGTTACCATAGCAACTGGGTTATATAATATGCTGATGAATCCAACTATGAAATGCTTTATTTTCTCTAATATGTATACAGAAAAGGGTGGGTCATTTCAGTAATACATTGACGCCTTTACAATGTTTATTTTCTCATTTACGCATAGTTTGTATAAATATTGAAAAATGCAAAACAATAAAATATTATAAAGGTATCAGCAATTTCAAGCTGATACGTCATATACTATTTAACTATATATGTTTGTCAGTTATTAGATAATATTATAAGGCATCTAGTCCTACATCTACTCCTTGAACACTCTTTACCTTTCAGTTCAGCCTGTGTGGGAGGGAATGGGGGAAAGTAGGGTCTTGATGTAAAACTGAAACTAAAACAGGGATAAATATTATAGTTTCTATCATTTTACCTGAAAACTGGTAAATGATACCTCATTGGGTCACATTCTTTCCATGAATCACGCGATGCGAATGTCAAGAATTAAAAATTGTCCAAAACTGAGTGTAAATAAAGGTCCAGGCTCTCAAATTCAAGATTCTAATTGCGTTATCAGACAAATCCTATTTCCCCTCAAAAAATGGTGGTCATTAATGAATTCAAGACTCCTTCTTTAGCAGAATCCATGTCAATAAGCATACAATACAATAAAATCTGACAACGGTACTGGTATTTGAGTTCGAAATAAGGCAGCCAATTTAAATTCAGAGGCCATATTGAAAATTCCATCTTGAGCAGTTATCAAACATTGCATTTTTGTACATAATGGCGGTCATTTTGAATTGTCATAATTTCCTTCTTGAACAGTCGTGTAGACGTTGGACCAAACTATACAAATGTTATGGTAGGCTAATAAATACAACATTTTTGTCATGAAAATGTCATTCATTTTGAAATGAGCAGCCATCTTGAAATTCCTTCTTGAGCAGAGTCTCGTATCTGCTAGTTCAGCAAAGAAAATTTCATCCAAATCCACTAAACTGATTTAAGAGATATCAAAGATACTTTAACGAAAAAGGCGGATAAATTGAAATGAATGACCATATTGAAATTCCTTCTCGTTCAGAGTCCATTTGGCATCACCCTACAAAATTTTGAACCATATTTTTCAACCGATATTTGAGTTATCGCCCGGACAAACGAAAGAACGAAATATTAGTATTATTGAGAGTTCAACATTTTGCATGAAACAAGCATTTTGTATTTAATTCTATTTAGGTAAAACCACTAAATCTAGAACACATCTACGTTTTCTCCTTTTGATTTTATATTGCTTTATCATCATTTAAAGAATATCTAGAGAAAACCAATTGTATACTATTGCAATGATGCAAGATTTTTGCCGTCATTTGATACCATTAATATAGCGTTGTTTTCGTCAGTGTGTACGCACAGTATCTTATCCGTGACATAAGTATGAAAACATGAAACACTATATTGTTAATCATTTCTAGGAGTGTCTTAATCATGTTAATAATTCTTAATAACATGTTGCGCCTACGAATCCATTATTATTAGTCTTGATTATATGTATTCTTATGAATACCTACTGACGAAAGGACAATGATGTTCTTCGTAATTATAATGAACTCAGTATTTAATTTGAATGACGTGGTGTGGCTATTATATCACTAAATGTCGACGATCTTCGTTCAATGTGGATATTGTACGTCCTCCATTCATGTCAAGTCGGTCCGTCGATTCCTCCACCAATCCGGGAAATTACACATATATACTGATGGACTGATTTATCATTTGGTCCAAAAATGGTGTGTGCCAAATAAAGGCCTCCATTTATGTCAGTCGATCAGTCGATTCCTCCACCAATCCGGGAAATAACACAAATATACTGATGGACCGATTTATTATAACTCCAAAAATGGTGTGTGCCATCAAAATCTGACACTTGATTTTTATTTGATTTCACTTTTCATACATGCCATTTTGGTATACAACTATCAGTTATGGTATGCAACTATCAGTTAATTGCTTATATTTGGTCTGCAGCAATACATAGCAAAACAATCAATGCCACAACAGCGGCCATGTTTAAGTGAATTTTCCAGTCATATGATCAAATTCTGCAAACATGTCAATTACAAGTAAAAAAATCTGTCCTGGGGAAGTCCGGAAAATTCAAAATGGCTGCCTATTGCAGGAATTGGAGCTGAGGCTATTGTAATAAGTTTGGAATCAACCTATAATTGTTCTGTGGAAAAATGACTTCATGATACCTAATTTGTTTACCTTTTCAAAATCAATTTGAATATATCTAAGGGTACATGGTAAGTACAGTATCGTGACATGTTTCGGATTGAAGCAATAAATAAAAAAGAATTTGTTCGTTGGGATTTGATACTCCGTGTGGTTGTTGTCCAACTTAATACAGCAAAAACGATTTTATGTAACACTCAACAGTCTGAGACAAATCAATTGACAAGACGGAAACTTCATTCTATATAGACACATTCTAGCTAGCGCAGCTCTGGAAAAAAAGTAAAATACTTGGTTTAGTACCCTAGGACCAAAGAAACAGAAATAGTATTATCAGATAGAAATGTATATTGCAAATTTGTTAATCACACTTTGCCTTGTGTGTCATTTCTGGGATTCACACTCCTGGCTATTTCAAAGTGATGACGACGTTGACTCGGAGGTAATATGCCACCCTTGGGAGCATTCCTGTAAGGGCAGATGTGAGATAACGTCCTCAATTACCGGATTTGGCAGTCTTTGTCAATGTGATGATTCCTGTACTGAATACGGAGACTGTTGCCATGATTACTCAAGTTGTTTAAACGATGAGGACCACAGCAGATATGCTAAAATAACCAGGGACATGCAATCTGACACTGTCACAGTTGAGAATGAGCAAATGACCAATGTGACGCATAAACAACATTCGCATCAAACATTATTGGAAGCACTGGACGTCACGCAGACGCAAGAAGATCGGCATCATCTAACAAGTCAAACACCAAATCCACAAACATATGTTACTCCAAGTCAGAGACAACAGCGTACAGATGACCCCGCAGATGATACCACTTTTCAAACGGGTAAAGACACGAATGCTTCGGAAGGGGATACTTTGACTGTTACGATGGAACAACCTTCAGACACCACCACATTTGAGTCTATGACTGATAAGATCAATTCGAATTCACCTAGACGTTTTCTTGAACACGATGCTTTCAAATGTATTGCTGTCAGTAACGACTCGGTTTACCTAATCGGCATCTGTCAAAATGACTTTAAAGGCACAGCCATGGAAAGAAACTGTCTCGGTGGTGACGGTACCACGATTCAACCAAATATTATCACACACAACACCCCATGTTTTGATCCAATGACTAAGAGACATTACAAGAACATATATTGTGCAAAATGTAACCATGTCGAAAATCCTTTATTATGGACTATTCAAACACATTGCTTTGAGAATGAGCCGGTTGGAAACATGCAGGCCATTGACACCCAGAGTTTACTACATATGTTAATAAGTGACGACTGTCTGATAGAGTATATACTACCAGATGCCAGGTACCCAGCAAGAAAATGTTACGATATGGTTTCCGTGTGTCCCTTTACGGAGGCTGATAGTCCAGTCTCCAAGCTGTGCGTGACACATGGTTTGTCACCAGTCATTGAACAAAGGACATTTACAACATACAAAAATAAGTACTGTTGGACATGCCACAATACTAACAGATCGACCAACCGATCGTCGACTGATTTCTTATTGTGTAAGACCTCCCACTTTGTTGTCAAGTTACATAAAGGGAGATGGGACGCCTTCTCATTTCAAATGTTCGTGGAAGTCGATCTTGGATATTCGTTAAAGCAAGCACCTGTCATACAGATAAATGCTACACCTATACAAAACCTGGGTGGTGTCGATGAGATAAGGATGAAATGTCAAATGAATGCCGGATGCAGGATCGATGAATGTCCTACTGGCTTTGAAAGAATCGGTATAGATGGGTGTGTTTACGCAGGTATAGCAGTTGCGACTAATATGACAATAACCTTCATTACGACGTATCCCATGCACAATGTTTCAGAAATGATCCATTTGCTCAAAGGGATCATAATAGAGGTCGCTCAACCGGTTGGTGTTATCAAGTTGGACACTCCGAAATTCTTTGATTCACGTTTGATGAAAATGGAGCTAGGTTTCAACACCGGTATCAGAGATCAACAACTTAAATTGGGTATGATCAACAATATTTTAAACAATCGACTGTTCCAATTGAAAGAAGTCATAAACAGGCAAGAGGGTTTTATGAATGGGGTAATCATATCTGACATTACCATTCATGCCTTAAATATATTGCCACGACCGATGAAAGTTAATTCACTATCAGAAGACACAACAACAGGACCAAAAGTTAATGAAAATATAACATCAATGACACGGGAAATGACATCAATGACACGGGAAATGACATCAACGACACAGGATTTCGGACTCAGAGGAAATGCACCATCGTTTTTTGTACAATCAATTTTTTTTCATTTCTTGAAAGTCACCGCTGCTCTTTTACTATACTAGAGTATATAATTCTATTACATTTTACTGAAGATTGAATAACGGGATGGATTCGTACGTGAAAATACAAAAGCGCTCGGGATGGTATGGACGTATATTGCTGTAAAGTATTTAAAAGCTTACAAGCGTACAAGAAGGGATACGTTTCGGAAGAGAGTCACAATTTAAAGATTAAATTTGTTCTCAATCATTCCATGTCGCGCATTTTTACAACAACAGTACTGACTTTAAGGATAACATTCCGCCCCCAACGACCTCCCCCTTCCGCGCCAATGGCATTACGTAATTAGCTGAGAGAACAAGAAGATTTAAGCACGAAGGTCTTGTATGAGACTTTGAATAAGGGCAGGAGTATATTTGCAAAGACCGAATTGGAATACTTGAAAGCTAAAGACTAAATTTTTGTTTGTTTGTATCATTATTGTTTTAAAGGCCCCATATAACGTTTGCTTATTTATTTATTATTACCAAATGTTATTAAAATGTGGTATGTGAAACATTTCAATTTAATTGCAAAAAGTTGATTTTGAAGGACTTTTGTATTTGAAAAATTTTGAATTCATTTAAAAAAAGCTGCCACGCATTCTCAAGCAATAATCTAAATCAACGCATTGGCTAATATTATACTAACATATTTTTGAATTGAAAAATTAAGATTAAAATTGGTTGAAAAATAAGCAAGAAATTAACTCGCTAAGAACAAGCGCAGAAAAGGATAAAAGCATTTTAAAATTTTAGTTCACATTAAATTACCCTGCGTGCAGAGTCTAGTTAAACTTAAGACGGAGCTCTCTTTTAAGAAGTGAAGTCAAACGAATGCAAAGGGTACATTAAATCCAATGGTACATAAATGGTATCATGTGTTTAAAACGTGATAAAAACTTCAATCTTCGTAAATGAACAATCTGACAATATTCCTCCAGGGACATTATCATGGAGCTGAAACATTATGAGCTGAAACCAATGGATAGCACGAGTTTTTTCAATGGGGAAATGGGGAACAAAATCTTAGAAGGAAATTCGGTTTTCCTTTCAAGATCTATTTGATACATTTAAATAAAGAATGGTAATGCATTGAACAGTGTAAATATAATTGCATTTTTGGTGAAAATGAGGTCAACAACTTTGAAAAAATATGTCGATGGGTGGATTGTTAGCTAAATATCTCCGAGTCCAATTGACTTTATCCGTGTATTTCTTGGAAATAATGAATGGATCTAACATATATACCTGTCTTCATGGTCAGAAAATAGGCATAATCCAAATGCAATAACCTACCTGAACCTTTCCAGGTCAAATCAGGAGTGACAAAATGATTTCTACCAGATTTTTTTTCAAATACGATAGTATTTTATGTATACGATAGAGTGTCACCTGTGAAATTTATTGATCGCCCCTTGTTCATCCTGAGATCGTACCATATCTAATGCCATAGAAGCGAAATAGCCATATTGAACTCTAATGAATGCTGTTTGCCACTTTTCGACAATTGTCAAAATTTGGGGGTTTTGGGGAGGGGTACAATTAGGTTAAAAAATTCACCCGACCCAGACTATCCTTAAATGAGCACTGATTCACCCGGGAAGCATAACTTTTCCAAAGCATGTGTAAGTGTTATTTTTGGACCACTCACATATTATAATGTTTTGTCTAATTTCCCTCATGGTTTCTCAGCATTGTCCAAATCTTAGGCCATATTTGTTGAGATTTATGAAGGTTCATTGTCAAAATCTTGCCTTCCTTTGCAGTTGGAGAAGACTCAGCATTAGGTGTTATAAGTCCCAGAGCACGATAAATACTAAAAGGCCAGATAAGAAAAGTAACAACAAAATGACATAGAACTGATAAAAATTTTCTCTTGTGTGTGTCAGCCATGGTTTACCAAATTGCTATTCAGTGGAGAAAGAAACTCATATTTCAGTTTTTTATTTCCTGACAAATAGAGTGATCTTCCTAGGATTTTTTCTCTGATCTGTGTTGCTGCCATAGCAACTTCTGTTTTAGAAACATTGCATGAATAGAAAAGATCATTTTAACATAATTTAGTCATCCCATATTGTACAGACAGAATTAAAAATATGAAGAGAATGGCAAAACCTCTAAACACATTTCTTAGGAAACAAATAGTGTGGTGTTCTTGTTACTATGGCAACTGAGTTGTTTTCTTTCGATTTTTGTCATACACTATCATACCAGGACCAATTCCTGACAATTTGAAGTCAATATCTTCAGTATCTGACATATCGTCGCATGAGAATAACTTTGTACTATCTCACATTTTTACGGAACTGAGAAATCAAGGTTTGAAAGTTTAGAGGTCTGTATCTTACTTAGTATTGCTATGTGAAACTTGATTTTTTGTATGTCACCTGGTCCCACCCTAGAGATATCTTATATGAAATATCATACCTTGAAACAATTTACAAGATCCTTTTTTAAAACTATGGAAATGGAGTTGATACAATTTCCCACCGGAATAACAGCTTATTTCTAATTTCAAATTGTCATATCTGATATCAACTGTTTCAACCAATCAACTCTCTAAGAATTGGTCATGTGACTTGCAAAACTTGGAGTTATAACAATCTTATATTAAAACAAAGTATGCCAATATGCATGTTATTGTATCTAGAATGAAAAATAATGTTTTGCTTTGTAAAAAAATCTTCAAAAACCAAAGAATATTATTTAATAAAATAAAGAAAATTCAATTTATAAAACTTTAAAATCAATTTCTCAAATAAGTACAATTATTTCTTAATTTTGGAATCTCAGGACACCCTTCAAAAAGAATTTATTGCCTTTGAAACTAAGGCAGAAGTACAATGCATTGAAACCAATGATGCCAATACGGTCCCCCACATATTTCCCTCGGTATAAACCCTGTAGCCTAAACCTCCCAGCACATTACAATGTAGCCCCTAAGGGCCGGTCCGCTGGTCATTATCAGGTTATTTTTGATACAGACCAGTTGATTTTTTCACTGGGTATAGGAGAATAACATTGCAACTGGTCCGTAATTCCATTTTGACCAGCAGGTTTCAGATCCTTAGGGCCTAAGACATAACCAATTTTTATTACATGCACATGGAAGAAATTTGAAAATAGAAAAACAATTTCTAATTCATTTTAGATTAATGAAAGTGATGAAACCTCGATTTAGGTAATCACATTTTGTTCATTGGGATGCAGCTATCATTATCCATTCATTTTCTGTTGTTTGCTACTCTGTGGAGTACAATTGGGAATTGAAGCAATTGTAGAAGTGGAGACTAAGCTCTTTGTAAAGAAATTGAACCAATTTGATACTTTTCCAAAATAAAATGTAGATGATCTAAAAAAAATGATCCCAAAAATGCAAAAGAAAGGACAAATCTGAAAAACATACTAGTAATAAAATAACTAAAAAGATCCCAGATGTTCAGTGAAAAGCGCAAAGTAAATCATAGATGAAGAGAAAATAAAATAAGTGTTTTAAGGGACTATACTAACATAAAGATAACTCCTTATTGATATAGTGTATGGTCAGTAAAAGTTAAAGCTAGTTTAAATAGATTTAGCTTTTTTCCACACACTATAAAACATCATTTTGAAAGAGATTTCAATAGTATACAGACAGTGATTGCCTTTGAGCAATGTAGTGCAAAATATGACAGTTACTATTTGTTTTGATTACTATATCTAGTATATAACCTATTATTATGTACTCTATTTGAAGAAACAAATAAGTAGTCTTTCATTTTCAACATTTAATGATGACAGCTTCGTATATGCATTTCAATTGCATTTGGCCATTCAAACCCCTATAAGACCTGGTAGCAGGGAAGATAAAGGGTACTTTTGACTGCTCACATGATCTAATTAACTGGTCATTTGTACTTTTCATCTTCCCTGGTAGCAAGGATTTAGGTTTTCGAGGAAATTAGTAATTCTATTTCATATCATGTGGCCATGAATAATCCAATGAGCATCCATAATACAAAGAGTAATTGAGGGCATATAATTTGAATATGCATGGGATTACACATATTGTATCATTTTATTTTTTTGATCTACTAGTAATAGTTCTAAAACTAAAACATGAAAGGCCAGGCATGCAAACTGGCATGGTATTGTGTTACAAAACATTATTTCATTCTAGATACAATAACATGCATATTGGCATACTTCGTTTTAATATAAGATTGTTATAACTCCAAGTTTTGCAAGTCACATGATCAATTCTTAGAGAGTTGATTGGTTGAAACAGTTGATATTAGATATGACAATTTGAAATTAGAAATAAGCTGTTTGTCTGGAGATGGTACAATTTCACACTGAATTCTAGCTTAATGAGAGGGAATTGAGATGGGGCATGTATCTGAGATGAAAGCCTGTGTTTCAAATAGTAAAATTCCATGTCTATCTCAATTTTTTTGAAAATGGCAGTTAGTACAAAGTTATTCTCACGCGACGATATATAGGTTTCTTATAGTATCCCCTACAGATTTTATCGGAGTGTAAGGAAAATGCCCTGAAGAGAGTTGCCCAAGGATGCCACTTCACTGACACTTCTGGTATTTTTGAGGTCCCAACCCTCATGTGAATAGTTAACCATTGTGTAAAGCTACTCATTGTAAACTGACAAAAAATGATTGTATCTTCCACTAAGAAGTAAATAGAATCTTAGAACCAAAAAACCAACTTTCTGCTATTTACCAGGAGTAGGGCACTATAAAGTCCTATTAACATTACAAAATAGTACTACATCACTACAATAGATGTATTACAATATCACAAATAGCTTAGGAATGTTGTTAGAATACTACTTTGAGCTGTTAAAGTTGTCATATTTTACTTGAAGCTACAAATATGAAACAGGAAAGAAAAAATGACATTGGATATTTTTTTCTAATTAATTGTATTTTTTCCGAAACCAAACAAAGATATCAACCTATAACTTTAGGATAGTATTCATCTCTGTACTAACAATGTATGAACTCAGAACAATAGTTCATAGGCTGAGTTATGAACTTATACATTAAGCCTACATATATCCCCTAAAGTATTTTCCCAGGGGGTAAAAACACTAAAAATCAGTGTCATGGCCATCCCGTTAAGCTGTCATCTTTTAATATCTTTATCAGCATGACAATCTGTTCTAGAAAAAATAGGTCTGTTGCTTTTTTCTAAAAAATGCCTCAAAAACCGTATCCCTTGAGATATTCTGAAAAGCTCTGAAATTGGACTGACCTGTCTCAGATATGCCTATTGATTTATTTTGCCAGTCAGTTTTAGCATATTTAGAAATTATCCATACGAGAAAAAGAATTGACAATAATAAGATCCTCGTGACATCACAAATTAAAAACAAGGCCGGCATTAACATGACAAAATGTCACCACTAATAGTGCTCACAATATCAGGGTTGGTGAAAAATTAGTCAAGAAAGTGGATTGAGGCTGCAGAGCCATTGTCCAATGAGAGAATAGAATTACTTATCCAATGAAATGGCAAGTCGGTCCTCAGGCTGAGCCAATAAGAAGTCGTTTGACGTATCCAGTTATAATAGTTACTAACCGACCAATCAACGCTCTTAATTCAGGACATGACGTCATATTTAGTATATAACTATTCCAGTCAATGGCAGCTAAGAAATAGTTGAATTTACCGCGTTTTAGAACCGATCCACACAGTCCACAGAAAAGGTAAGAAAATGTCATTAATTTGTAAAATAACAACACTATATACACCTTCATTCGATAGAGCAATCGTTAGATTACATCTCTTTCATATTTCAATGATTTGTTTTCTCGAAAAATGTGAAATAAACCTGTTGGAAAGAACGCAAAATTTCACACCGGTTGTAAAAATTCCGCCATTTTCTTTGTTTTGGTTCACGTTGACCTACATTTTACTTCATGTTAAAATCATTAAATACTTGATATATTCCATGTTGTTTTTACATGAAATACCTACTGAATATGAAGTAATTATGTTGACGCCAATTTTGGTTACATTTATGTCTTGCCTCGGGCGGTTTGTTCCGTTTTCAGTCTTGTTTTGTGCCATGATCTCATTCCAAAATTTCACTTCCTGAGTGTCTGCATGTCTGGAATTTCCCAAAGTGACTTGTGTAATTTGCAAACTAACATTGAGTAATTTTAATAATGTCCTGTCTAAAAGCATTTACTATTTTTTTTTGAATTTCAGATGGCACGTACAAAACAGACCGCCCGTAAATCCACTGGAGGAAAGGCCCCAAGGAAACAGTTGGCCACCAAAGCTGCACGTAAAAGTGCCCCCTCAACTGGAGGAGTGAAGAAGCCCCATCGTTACAGGCCAGGAACAGTTGCACTCAGGGAAATCCGTCGTTATCAAAAGTCCACTGAATTGTTGATCAGGAAGTTGCCATTCCAGAGACTTGTTAGAGAGATTGCACAGGACTTCAAGACTGATCTTCGTTTCCAAAGTGCAGCCATTGGTGCTCTACAGGTTTGTATTCTCTGTAATATAAATCCTCAAAAAAGTTGCTACCTGGGATAACATTTTGCCACCATAACTTGGTGGTCAGTAGCAAGTGTTTGCTGCATCAAATATAATATAAAATACTGTTCAAATGTATGGCTAAACAAGCTCACTTCGCAGTCAGCCATGTCAGTTATTGATGGCCAGTCAAAAAGTGTGGCAAAATGGTTAATTTAATTTAGTGCAGAGAGAATGTAGCTTCAAATTAGTAGGGCAAAGGGGTGTAACGTTGACATGTGGGGTAAAGTCGACATAAGGGACGGGGTAACTTCGACACTTACTTATTAGAAGTAAAATTTCTGTTTTCCGCCATGTTTGATTTCTGGAAAAATAAAAATTTCGATCCATGCGAGAATAAAAACATGGCTTCCCCCAAGATCAAAAATCAGAACAAATAAACAACAAGGTGTCGAAGTTACCCCACATGTCGAAGTTACCCCAAAATGGTGTTGACGTTACACCCCTTTCGCCCTAATATAATATAAATCAAACCACACGACTAAGTGTTGATTTTTAACTGAATTATTAATGTGAAAGATTTGGTACTTTATCATCTCTCAAGAGTATTACTCTGATAGCAGGTGTGTTTAAATGGTGCCTCCTGAAACTTTACTTGGACCAATTTTTTGCTTCCTTAGCATGCCAATTTGCCACTTGTTTTTGCAGCAGGTAGTAAAAGTTTGCTACTGATAAAAAAGTTCATGTCAAGCTCGAACTTATGTTGTCAAGGCTGCTATCGACTTGTCATACTAGTATTATGTAATTGCTAATCGTTGTCATGATATCATCTATGGCAGATGTTAACCTATCTCTGGCTCTGATTGGCTTCATCTCAAAAATAATTTTGTCGTCTTATCTCATAAATTAGAGTAAATGATCAATGATGTATTAGTTGTGGAATGAAAGGAATGGGTAATATGTGAAATTGTCTGATGGTTGTAAAACCCACTAAGGAGTTGGTCACATTTGCAAAGTTAATATGACAATACTCCATAGTATGCTTTATTTGACTTCACTCCCAATTGAACTTACCCAAATTAACCTTTCGTTATTTTCTTTTCCAGGAGGCTAGTGAAGCATATTTGGTTGGACTTTTTGAAGACACTAACTTGTGCGCAATCCACGCCAAGCGTGTAACAATCATGCCCAAGGATATCCAGTTGGCAAGAAGAATCAGAGGAGAGCGTGCATAATGCTAGCTGACCAATAAGACAATATCATCAGACATTACTCAGGCTGTTATGATAATGTCATCAGGAATCATCAGTCAACTGTCATTGTCAATCACACATTACATTACACACAGCAGGATAGTTTGGATTATCTCTACCAGTCCACTGATCTCCATCGCTCACCTCTGTGTGTAGATCAGATGTTTCATCAATGGATTTTATATGTATATTATTAACAAAAACACTGTTTTTAACAAGGACAGATCAGGAGATTTTTTAACTTTATGTCTGAATGTATATTGTATCATGTAAGTTATTCTCAATGTTGTGATAGGCTACAACTAGCTGCAACCTAGGATTCTCTTATACATTTCATCAATCTAAAATCCGCTGAAGGACTACACACATTACATGGGGCTTGGATTACATCGTTGAATGGCCCATCTTGAACCTAACAAGAACAAGACGCGATCTCTATAAATAATATATTGCACTGTACTACAAGTATTATATAATGGACTTAATTAACAGAAGTTACTTAGATTTATTTTAGCTTGTATGTAGTTTTAGTAAATCATTGAATCATTTAAATCAAATCAAAATTTTACCTGGTAAATTGGCTTTGCTTTAAGCAGAATACATGGGGCAAAATTCAAATATTTGTTTAAATCATTGGGTTAAATTAGCCAGTGGAATATGGTTTAAAGATTTTTATTTTGTACAACTTATGTTACTCATAAAATGAAATATAAAGGGTAGAAACTCACAATATGATTTTTGTTTGCATATATTTACACTTCAACCAACATGGCATAATTTGTAAATGCTATGTACTGTACTTCCAGTGTGAGAAATAAGCACCGGACAACGGACAAATGTTGAGTCTGAAAAGAAATTGTCTAGATAGATTTTGCCGAGACATGAGACAATGAATTTTGTTTTACACATCAAATGAAAGAATATAAATTGGCCTTCTGAGGAAGAAGTCTTCGACAAATGAAACCATGCAAGATATAAAATTCAATGGTTAAGAATCATTTTATACTCCCCCTCTGTTTTTATGTACTGTACTCCGGGTAATGTTCGCGTGCGATTTAATTTCGCGATGTTCGCGAATGTAGTAAAATCGCGAACATTTATCGTCGCGAAATTTGTCTTAAATCCCCGGGGATTTGACCCAGGCCTTTTGATATGTTTCGTTCGGTGTGAAACGTTTCTTCCAGTGTTGTTGGGCGAAGACCTAAAAACATTTTGAATTGGCTTATTAGGCCAACAAAGGCAAGAACTGTTGACGACAATGATATCCTACAAATTGAAGTTGAAAAAGCCATTCAAGAATATTCAAATAAATGCCCTAAACGTGGGAAATACAAACATTATTCGGATTCTGGACGGGCTAAAATAGCACGCATTGATTCATGGTAATCGGAAAAAATTCAACTTGTGCAATCTGCGAAATGTCATCAACTCAAATCCGCGAAATTAAATAGACGCGAAATTGCAATTTTGAAAAATCACGAAATTTTATAGCGTCGAAATTTACCCGGAGTACAGTATTTCTATTTTACATTAACCAAGAACAAAAAATGTCCAGTGTTTTCAAAATTTTGACCAGTCAAAAAAGAATTTGGAGTGTTTCAAAGTGACTGGACAAAAGACCACGTGCAGTATTGCAAGTGATTTTAGACAGTCATATCCTCACCATGAGTTCTTTCTGGCCATAAATACAGTGGGTTTTATTAAAACAATGTTTTCTTTCAAGTGAAGTCCCCATGATAGTAAAATATCAATCCAACTCTCTGAAGAATTCTGGATTAGGGCCCCACCTTGGCACCTTTTGAAAAATGTTAGGCTTATTTTTTAAAAAGAGGATCTTGTTTTTCTCAATTTAAACATATCAAAAGTCTCATCTACACTATATTAACAATTTCTGAAAAGGGGATGGGTATTGAAATGAGTGAAAGTTAAAAACCACATATCCCATGTTATTTTCCCATAGGGAAAACTCGTGCTATCCATTGTTTTCAGCATAATTTTGGTCATCGAAAATTGATATCTTCAAAACTAGACTTTCAATACCATACTATTTTTAAGCATGTCTTATACCCCTTGTTGAATAATGTCTTCATGCATTAAAAATCAGAAAAAGAAGATCCTCTTTTGAGTAAATAATTTCAATATTTTGGAAAAATGATGACATGGGGTCCCTATTCATAATTTTTTGAATTGTTTGATTTATATTTTTATCATCATGGGTACTTAACTTGAAAGAAAACATATTGTTTTAATAAAAGCCACTGTATTTATGGCCAAAAAGTACTCATGGTGAAAGATATGACCGTCTAAAATCACTTGCCATACTGCACTTGGTCTTTTGTCCAGGCACAAAAAATTCTTATTTCCCAGACCGTACTTCTTTGGTGCTACTCATCGGTAGTTTTCAGGTTTTGAACATTTGATGGCTACTTAATTTGGCAGACTTGCTATATCATTATACTGAAATGAATACTTAAATATTCAGGGGTTTTACTTGAATTTCTCTCAACAGGCTAACTAAATGAAAACAACAGGCAAAATTAATGGAAATCATAAAGGTCCTTCCTTGTGCAGTATGGCAAGTGATTTTAGACAGTCCTACTCCATCCCACTTTCTGAAAAATTATGGATTAGGACCCCACCTTGTCATTTTTTCAAAATGTGAGGCTTATTTTCTAAAAAGAGGATGTAGTCTTGTTTTTCTCAATTTAGATGTCTCAAAAGTTTCTTCTAGGCTACACTATATTAATATCTTCTGAGAAGGAGATAGGTATTGAAATGCGATAAGGTTAAAAAACACATTTCCCATGTTATTTTCCCATAGGGAAAACTCATGCTATCCATTGTTTTCAGCATGATTTTGGTCATCGAAAATTATTTTCTTTAAAACTAGACTTTCAATACCATTCTACTTTTGAAGATGTTTTAGACCCTCTGTTGAATAATGTTTTCATGCAATAAAAATCTGAAAGAGAAGATCCTTTGAGCAAATAAGTTCAACATTTTGAGAAAATTGTTGATGTGGGGTCCCTAGTTATAATTTTTTCGAAATGTTCGATTGATATTTTTTATCATCATGGGGACTATACTCACGGGATGTCATCGCCTGATTTGGTCAATGTTAGGGAGCAGGTCGTTTTTACAATAAATTTCAATATTTTCACACAAAATATTTTTTTACTGAAAAACTGCTCATTCGCAGAGAAAATGTACTAGCACATGCAATGACAATGTCAATCACGCTTCTGTACGAAATTCGGCGGAAGTCTTTTATAATCTAATACGAAGTTACTAAAAAAGGCGCGAACGCCCTACACTCAAAATGATCGTTTTTCCATTATAACTTTTTAACGTAATTTAACGAAGGCTTCTAATTATTATACAAGATAGTCTAAATACCGATTTAAATATTTCTTACTTCAAACAGATACGCCGTCTTTTATTCAATTTTTTAAAAAATAATAAAAAATAACTCTTGTCAATGTTAGGGAGCAGTCAATGTTAGGGAGCAAAATGATTTTATCAGAATATTAAAAATGTAGCAAATGGCCATTTAAAATATGTATGGCATTTATAAACTGAACAATTTTGTTTGTATGATTATTTGATACCCTTTGGGGAGGAAAGCGTTAAAATTGTAAGAAAATCATTGAAAAGGTTATTTTGCATTTTTTATTTTCAGCTAAATCCTGTTTACGTTCGTTTTAGAAATATTTAGATGCGAACCATTCCTTCTTTATTCGTTGACCTCTAACTGTAAATGAATGGATGTATCGTTATATACACTTTTTGATGATGTCATCAGTTCACAATCCTAAATTGTGGATGATAAATTATCTGAACTGATATATAGGCTTGAGAAATCTCCGACATCCTTCAGTTCTATGATTTGATATTTTCCTAGTATAAAGTAAGAGAGTTAGTCTCGCACTTATCTTTACGACTGGGTATCACCTGATAGCTGGCACAAACGCTATGAAGGGCTCATTGCGCAGTTACATGTATGATAGTAGATTTTTACACGTATACTTCAATTTGTCAATACTCAGACAATGCAGTATATAACCGATCTCTGTTATATGTGTACCACTTGCTAATGATACTCTAAAGCCCGGTATACACCAATGGGACAAGTTGGGACCTCCATAGACTTAACATGGCGTGGGACCTAGTGGGACCTTTTGGGATTTTGCCCCATGAAGTCCGTGGGAATCAATGGGACTCCGTCGGATTTTGCCCCAACTTGCATATAATCTTGCCCCATCGAGTCCCATGAGGTCCCACGTTGGACTCGATGGGATTCGATGGGGCAGGATGGGGCAAAATCCCACGGAGTCCCATCTTGCCCCATCGAGAATGAACATGTTCATTCTTTCCATGGGGCATCGTGGGATTTCCGATCAGGTCACATGTTATGTGAAGCCCAACATACACCAATGGGGCAAGGTGGGATTTGATGGGACTCCATGGGGCTCGATGGGGCACGTTGGGACTTGATGGGGCAAAGTCATCAACCATGGGACTCCGTTGGACGCATTGGGGCAAGTTCGGATTCGATAGGGCAAGATCGGACTCGATGGGCAAGTGGGATTTTGCCCCATTGGTGTATACTGGGCTTAAGGCTACTTTATTTAAGTTTTGAATGAATTTAATTGTCAAAAAGCGGCTCACTTGCAGACTTGGGGACACCCTATATATTAACCTGGGATTACACATACAGTACGTGGCTGGACTGGTTAAATTGTGTATATTGTGCTGAGCAATACTGTATGCTTGTAAGGTTTATACCAAGGGGTATAAAACAATCATACAATCTTGTCTAGTTTATAAATGACATACATGTTTGTAAAGGCCAATTACTCTGATATTCTGATAAAACCATTTCGCCCCACTGCATTGTTTGCTCCGCCACATTGATCATACTTATTTTTTATTATTTAAAAAAAATTAAAGAAAGGTGTACCTGTTTGAAGTAAGAAATATTTCAATATGTACTGAGATTATCCATGATAATAATTAACTTTCCTTCGTCAAAAATCTTTGAGAGTCCATTTTCTGAAGATAACAAAAATGCAAAACAATTTTTTTTATCGATTTTGTTAAATTTTGGGTTTAAAATAATCATTCAAACAATATTGTTTAGTTTATAAATGCCATACATATTTTAAATGGCCATTTGCTACATTTTTAATATTCTGATAAAATCATTTTGCTCCCTAACATTGACTGCTCCCTAACATTGACAAGAGTTATTTTTTATTATTTTTTAAAAAATTGAATAAAAGACGGCGTATCTGTTTGAAGTAAGAAATATTTTAATCGGTATTTAGACTATCCTGGATAATAATTAGAAGCCTTCGTTAAATTACGTTAAAAAGTTATAATGGAAAAACGATCATTTTGAGTGTAGGGCGTTCGCGCCTTTTTTAGTAACTTCGTATTAGATTATAAAAGACTTCCGCCGAATTTCGTACAGAAGCGTGATTGACATTGTCATTGCATGTGCTAGTACATTTTCTCTGCGAATGAGCAGTTTTTCAGTAAAAAAATATTTTGTGTGAAAATATTGAAATTTATTGTAAAAACGACCTGCTCCCTAACATTGACCAAATCAGGCGATGACATCCCGTGATACTTGAAAGAAAACATATTGTTTAAATAAAAACCACTGTATTTATGCCCATAAAGTACTCATGGTGTGCTAAAATCACTTACCATACTGCACATGGACCTTTAACATGGAAAGGTTGAAGAACCCATAATAACAACAGGTGATTTTGTGAAAACAACTGGTGAAAATGGCTTAAGTTGAGTTCCAGATGACATGGATGACTGTGTCAGTGTGGGTATTTGATATAATCTTGTATCACAGCCTGGTTTTTCCCATTTCCACGTATCATACTACAGTGTACTAAAGAATGAAAGAGCCTCAGCCTTGGGACTTATTTTGTAACTATTTATTTGTATGGATAGAATCATTTACTGTATTCATCACAATTAATCATTTGCTTCATCATAGGGTTCTGAGAGGTAGAGAATCAACACAAGACTAGTTTTACTTTTACTTGTATTTACACCAGAATATATTTTGAAAATGCATATCTTCCAAATATTTAATATTGAACTTGAAGACAGTGCTTGCTACATAAATAAAATGTAATCATCCAATATCAATAATAAATGTTATGAGAATGAGAAGTCAATTGTGGCCCAGTTGCGAGAATAATGTAATAATAACAAACAGGGCCAGAAGTCTAATTGTACCTTGTACTGTATAGAGTAATAGTAGGGATCCAAGAGATGTTATGTTTTATATGATGACTGATGTCCACATGATAGGTTTTAAAAAATAGTAAATTGCATTTCTCAAGTCATTTAAAATATCAAAATATGTGTATCATCATGTAATTGTCATACTTCATGTGAATCAGATACAGTATTAGGCTTGTCCCCTTATGATGTCAACAGATCGCATCAAATACAAAAGGGCAACCAAGATGTCATCAGATCGCAATAAATATGTAGTGAAGGCCCGGGCGCAACCAAGATGTCATCACAATAAATACAATGAAGTGCAACTATGATGTCATAAAATCGCACTAAATATAAATAAAGGTCTTCTATGATTACTACTGACTCTGTACTCTATTCTTTATAACTTCACTGAGTCTTTTTTCCAAGTCTTTAACTGGTGCACCATGTTCTCTATTGTACTGTATAGAAATGCGAAGCTGTTGTTCTTCCATTCCTGGCACTCTTGAATAAAGACTCTCTCCTAGTTCCATATCTAAATCATTCTCCTCTCTAAACACACAGAAATATAAGAGGAACACTGCAGTGCTAATAGCTAACACATAGGGCTGGTACCAAGGCCATTTACCTATTGGTGCACCAAACGTGTTCTGACTTTGCCATTGTCTTGCGGCACTTGCAGAGTATTTTATCGGTTCATCGAGTCCTGGGTTATCTTTGATATATTTAGCTGCTAGCTGAGATCTTGTGTGAATAGTTGAAATAGTTGACCTGAAATCATATAAAATAACTGAAATACCTATTATGTCACCTGGCATGTTGGAAATCACTGTTTTAAACATGTTAAAGGAGTTATTGTAATCATGAAAGGCAGACCCAGGAACCCCTCCTTGGAGAGGCCCTGTGTTCATTTATCTGTATGTGCACTTATACATAGTCATACAAGTAAACACCACAGCCTTTTCCTTTCCGAGTTGTGGATCATTCAGTACACACCCTGAAGTACTTTACGCAAACAAGCAAATTAAGTATTGCCTGAAGAGGGTATTGAATCAGGGACCTATTGCGTAAGAGGTACACATGCTCTACCACTGAGCTATACCAGTATAGTACACTATTTGACATAAATAAACCTCATTCACCAACAGTTGTCACAATGAGCTAAATTCTAAGTTTTATGTTGCTAACTTTCCCAAATGGTCGAATAATATTTCCTGTTCACTCTAAGAAGCACAATAAATGAATCCAAGGCTTCATACCTGCAAATGATTGATACATTTCTACAAAATTGAATGCATTTCTTTATGGATCGCCATTGTTGTGATCCAAGGAGGATTAGCTCCCAGAATGCAAAATCGATATTCTACCCCATATATGGTATCGTGACCCATAACCTTATTTACAAGTAACAGGTTTCAAAATGGTGGAACTTCATTTTGAAAGCTGTCACATGTCATGTTGCATTCTGGGAGCCAATCCTCCTTGCAGCGTAATCAGGCTCCAAAATCACCTCTACCTTAGAAGAGTCTAATTACTTCAAATTTTGAAGTTCAGAATAGTTATTATGGACACAAATTCCACTATATTTGTACTTTCCAGGATGGAGAAAATAGAGCACTTAAGGCTATGTAAAGTTAGTCCGCATGTTCAGAATTTTTCTGCAATCCTCAAGTGAGTCACATGTTAGTTCTCAAATAGGAATCACTCCTCCCCATTGTCTACATCTTTCAGTTTTACAAAGAGTGCACTTATGTGCCTTATAAAAAGATTGATGAGAAGATTTGTCTTGTAAAATGTATAAAAACCGAGAAGGTCACTGAAGGTCACTGAAGATCACTGAATTTTCTTGTTTTTTATACATTTTACACAGGTTCTAGGTTCATTAGTGAAAGATGTAGACAATGTGGGGAAGGATCGAGTGATTCCTATGATATTCTATTTGATAGATAACATGTGACTCAATTCAGGAATGGAGCAAAATTCGGAACATGCAGTCTTGCCTTATTCCCTGAGGTAAGAATTTATGTGCGACAGAATGTCTTTTTGATGCCCATAGTCAGGCCTGTCAACTTGGGAACACCTTACATGAGTGGCTTACAAACGTTGAACACCTTCCTTTGATACAAGACTGAACACCTTGGTCAAAATATTGGACACCTCAATTTTTTCCCACTTTTTCACCATCGGCTTTTTACAAAAAGCAGCAAATTTTTTTAACATCAACTTTTAATGCGTGATTTGCGTGACATTTTATCGTACACGCAAAATTGATGCGTGATTACAATTTTCCCAGCAAATGCGTGACAATCACGCCTAATGCGTGAAGGTTGACAGGGCAGCATAATACTTATTTATGAAAATGACTGTATACATGGTCTCTGTTACCCCCATAAATGTGGGGCTGATTTATGTAATCCTACATTTATGGGGGTAGCTTCCATGTTTGCCAATAGATGTCAGGAATCGATCCAAGTTCTTGTGAAAATGTATATTTTAGATGCAAATCATTTGTTTATCTTTTTATTGTGATTTTGCTAAATAAAATACATGACAAGTAGTATTTTGATGCTTCTCTGTCATGTTACATGTATAATGAAAAAATTGAACTCCCTGAATTGCAAATTTGGTGTATGTCAGACTAGAAAGCCTAGAAATACATAATAATTTACACAGAAACCAACAGAAAGAAAATCTGGCAGAACCAGAACATCTTTTAAAAGATTTACCTCAGCGCTGTCTTGTAAATTGGCGAAATGTTCGAAGTTCGACGAAAAAGTTGGACGATGACCGCCATCTTGAAATTTTGTTTTGTAAGCCTCAAAATCACGACACATGTTACCTAATTTTGGATAAACTACTTAGTTATAAATTACAAAATTGCACTCATATTGTCAGTAATTGTAATTAATTAAGCACATATCACAAATAATGATATACACGATGTAGATAATCTGTTATTGGGCCCCAAAAATTTTATAGTCGTAATTCTTATTCACTTTTCTTGCCAAGAGTCAGTCGTTTGGAAGGGCGCCGAAATTTAATTTTTTTTCAGAAATTGTTTCTAAATTGGCATTTTGTGACAGTCTGCATAATAAAAGTAAATGGAACTATACATAAATTGATATATACTGTATCAAAGATCAATTAAATGTAGATATATCATTTGGAAAGAGATGATATATACATTATGAAGCTAACTTCTTTTTGTGATTTGGACCGAATTTCAATGTAATTTTATCTACAAATGTTGGAATGTTATGCAACTACAAATGCCAAGGCTTCATCTAACTTTCTTCAGAATAATTCATGTGAGTTATAAATTATTGCAAGTGTCACGATCTTTCACAACCAAGCCGACTATGGTACGTGTGTTGAATGTGGCAGAGAAAAATGACGCTGCTAAGTCAATATCAGATATTATGTCAAGAGGTGGATATAGAAGAGTAAGTTGTTTATTTATGAAGAAATTGATTGTAATCAATCCACTTAACATCCTCCCATTCCTTGACGTTGACTCAAAAATAATCAACCAGTACTTGACTTGAACATGTTCTATATTTATTATGAGCGAGAGAATGTAAGGAGGATGGAAGATGGAAAACATATTAAAAAACAAAACCTTTACTAACTCTATTTCTGTATGTTTTCATTTGATTCAGTAATAAAAATACCTCTAAAAAGAAAGTAACAAATAAAATGGTGACATACCCTTTGCCAGAGTCCACAAAACTTTTATACAATGTTAAGCAGAGCAATGTGTACAGTGTGTAGTTTTTAATCCAATAATTCTTATTATAATATGATCTTGGATCACAATGTCTTTTATATCGTGGACTGGACTGTTTAGCTTAACCTGTATTCATTTTCACAACATTTCATTCATGATTTGCAGAGAGATGGATTTTCTGTGTATAACAAGATTTATGAGTTTGACTACAATCTAATGGGGCAAAACGTTACAATGACTATGACATCTGTATCTGGACATCTCCTGGGACTGGAATTCACTGGGCAGAATAGGAAATGGTAAAATATTTCTAGTATTTCATTATATGGTATCAACTACACGGGGACTATCCAGGCCCCGCCGACATCGCGAGTAATGAGCTCATGCTAAAAGCGGGGCCTTTAGAGATATGATAAAATTGAAATATAAAATTTTCTATGAAACTTTAGGAAGTGGAACTCTGTACAACTTTATTTCATAGTACAATGGCTATTTCAATTGCAGGACAACGATGTTCTTCAACTATACCTTTATTTTAGTCAATCATATCTCTCAAGGCCCCGCTTCTAACATGAGCTCATTGCTTGCGATGTAAGCGGGAGCTTGTTTGCGATATACAGGGCCTGGATAGTCACCGTGAACAATGTATATTTCAAAATGAAATCTATTAACTCCTGTTCTTGTTCCCTGTGTCCTAGTCCCCAAGTACAAATATTTTTTACATTTTTTGAATGATTTCATACAGACTTGGGGCAATGTTATTCTCAGGTATTTCTTTACTCCATTTCTATATGAAATGGCACTGATCCACTTCTGTCCAGGCATTACCAACATAAATATGCTCTTGAGAGTGTCTTGTTGTATTGAATATCATCTATGTATTTTCAAAATAGTAATAAATAAATAAAATAAAAAATATAGTAAATGTACTTAAAGTTGATATATGCAGGTTTACATATATGATGATCTAGAAAAGTATTTCTCTGAATCTCTCATGCAATATTCTAATATAATGCTGTGTACATGTACATGTATTTCTCTACAGGCATGGGTGCAGTATTCAGAACTTGTTTGAAGCTCCTGTTGTTAAAGAATGTCCTGAAAACTTTATAGATATCAAGGTAAAGAGATATTTTATACAATGTATAGTACAATATGTAGTGAATGAAAGTTGTAATGAAAGATATCAGTTTAAATGAATATTCCAGTTCCGAATCATATAGTACCTTTCATAAAGGAAGTACTGTACGCCCGGCTAATTTCGCGAGTTTTAATTTTGAGAATTCGTTGAAAACACAATTTCGCGGCTATTAAATCTCGCGAATTTCAAATAAAACAATAATTGTTATGTGGCTCTCATAAGCTTATTGTGTGTACATGTGCTGCATATGACATTTGCAGCATACACTTGAACGAGAGGTACGAGGTTGCCAGAAACTTGTTATATGGACAGATGGAGACAGAGAGGGGGAGAACATTGGGTTTGAGATCATACAAGTCTGCACAGCAGGTATGATTCAACATGCTTATTTTTTGTTCTTTTCATTTTTATCGCACCTTTTCAAAGTGCTACATTGTTGTTGCTGATGAGCTTAAATGCATGCGTCTTGGCAGGTGGTCGGTCGAGCAACCCCAAATAATTCTGTTCATTAAAACTCAAGTAGTACCAAGGTCTGATTAGGTTTTCGGCATGTTGGGTAAATTACTTGGCAGCCATTTTAAATTTTTGATAAAAAATGTGATGTTTATCACTGTGTTTTGTTCATTTTTTTGTAATTACTTTGGAGGTTTCTTTTTTACATTTTCTTTGTTTAAACATCTTCATATATTTTCAGTGAAACCAAACATACAAGTCTTTCGAGCCAGGTTTTCAGAAATCACACCCCAGTAAGTCTATATTAGTACATGATTGGTATTGTTATTATATGAATAAATGTATGATTAACTTAATCATGTCAGAGAATTGAATAACATGTGAATATTGAAAACCTTATATTGTAATTTCAGCCAAAATTGAATTATTGACCAATATTTTGACATACATATAGGTTATTTACTGGGAGGGATTGAATATGGGTTTTATTCCGAGGGACAATATGATATTGACCGAAGGGTGATATGATATTGACCGAGGGAGCGCAGCGACCGAGTGTCAATATCATATTTCCCAAGGTCAATATCATATTTTCCGAGGAATGAAACCCATATTCAATCCCGACCAGAAATAACCTATTTATTCCATAATACATTCCTCTAAAATGTCACATTTTGAAAATGCTTTTATCAATTAGCTAAGGTTAAAAATAACAGGAAAACCAAAAATAGGTTAATATTTTCCAATACGATTTTTTTCCCGGGGACAATACGATTTTTTCATGTAATACGCTCCAATACGATTTTCTTCCCGGGGACAATACGATTTTTTCATGTAATACGATTCAATACGATTTTTATTCCTTCATATTTCCCTGGGAAAACAGTAGTATTATGGAATAAATGTAAATATTCCCTCATTGAACCAAAATCAATTCAAAAACATCCTCCGATCACAGGGCTTCAAAATCCAGAATATATTATTTCTTTTTACAAGCTGCGATAAGCAATTAGCATTTCCCTGATTAAGAACTCGCAATCTGATTGGGTGTCGCAACACTGCGACAGAAATCATGTATAAGTCATTGCGCATAATAAGATCACGTGATTCAGTTTAATCAGGTGCTTCCAAATTGGTAAAAGCAGGGGGAAGAAGGAGGTAAGAATTCTGGATACCTGCTTAGGAGGATGATTCAAAAATAACTTCTCACTATTTTTCCTTTGTTTCACAGGGCTATAGCGCGGGCCTGTGCTAACTTACAGCCCCCTAACAAGAACATTAGTGATGCTGTGGATGTCAGACAAGAGTTGGATCTTAGAATAGGTATGAGTCTTGCTTACGCTATAAATATTTCTCATAGTCACGTTCAACTCTCTTATTTTCTTTTCTCTTAAATGAAGATTCCTTATCAAGTTTAAAAAGAGACCCTGCTCTTCCATGAATTAGTGGAGTGAAAATTACATCTAAAAATGAAGTAATCAAAATAAATTGTGTATTTCATTCCTTGTGAGCAGACACTGTGTTGGTAACATATTGTTAGAACCTTTTTTGTTTCATGTTTTGTGGTTGGCTTTCAGCATATGTAACAAATGGCAGGTGGTGACATTTTGCATGTAAATGGCTTGTATTTATGTTTTTTTACATTAGGAGCTGCTTTTACAAGATTCCAGACTTTGCGGCTACAAAAGGTATTCCCAGATGTCCTTAGCAACCAGGTGATCAGCTATGGGAGCTGTCAATTCCCAACTTTAGGCTTTGTTGTGGAGAGATATAAACAAATGCAACAATTCATTGCAGAACCATTCTGGAAAATCAAAGGTAATACAAATTTCAAATATGACCACAGATGTCAATGGATTATTTTTACATTGAGTACTATTGTTTATCGATTTTTAAAATAATTTTTTAATTTTAAGTCCATACTTTATTGAGCCAACATATCGCACAGGCCTCATATGAAAGAACCATGCTTATTTTCCAAAGAGTCGTCCAAATTAATTTGAATTTCATTTTATATTGGGGCCCCAATATTCAGATTTCAAGCTTTGTTGTATGTTCTTAACATTTAAATGTGAATAAACTAATTAACAAATGTAGTCTAAGATAATTGAATGAATAAGATGTTATTTTTTCCAGTGATTCACACTTCAGAAGATGGGACTTGTGAATTTTCCTGGAAAAGGTAGGAAGTAATGAATTCTTCTCAACACCTTGATATTGCCCTTTCCTTATATTAAATAGGTCATAAATGCAATGCACTTTTTCAAAGTATTCCCATATGATATATACTAATTGTTAAAATCTGTCTTCATTCAATATGTATAGCCATTTGCCCAGTTTTCTTTGAAAAATAGATGAAAGGGGAAGTAGAAACTTCAATATTATCACTGAAATATCATACCTTGGAAATCTAAGATGACTAGGTTTAAAGGTTTTTATGTATATGAATGCTTCAAAAACTTTGTATTATATCTTATACCATTGGGTTAACAATGTATTTGCTTATTTAATCTCATTGGAATTATCTTATGTGAACATGTTAGGGGCCTGCTCAATGTAGTAGAATGTAGATGTATCACTGATGTCATTGCAGAGTAAGGCTGTTTGAGCAAACTGCTGTATTAGTGCTATATCAACACTGTCTAGATGACCCTCTGGCACGGGTTATTGAGATAAAGACCAAACCAAAGTCTAAATGGAGACCTGTTGCCCTAGATACAGTGGTAAGACATAATTATATTTTACGATATTAGTAAAGGTTGCATGGTTATGATTATTTTGCACAATCAGTGGTTTCAATTTTTGTTTTTTCATTTTTCATGTTAAAGCAAGAACACAATGAAATGAAATGCTAGAAATTATAATGTCATGTTCATTCTTCCTTAATGTCAAGCTCATTCTTCCTTAATGACAAGTCAGTCCATTCGTATGTCAAGTTGATCCTTCCTATATGTAAAGTTCATTCTTCCTAATGTCAAGTTGATCCTTTATGTCCGTTAATCCTTCCTTAATGTCAAGTTATTCTTCCTGAATGTCATGCTCAGTAATGGTCACATTCTGTCTGACAGAGTATTGGATCTCACATTCAACATTACATTTTATTGTAACTGATTTATTTGTCTTGTTTGTAGTCACACTGGTAAGAAGCCCATGTGATGTATCTGAGCCATACTTATCCTTAGCCCACATGACTATCTTAGACAAGTCTTCACGGAATGTAGCAATCAATGAATTATTATCTGTTAAATCAAGGAATTTAGCAACAACCCGCCCACTCAATACCGAGGTTATGTCAAACTCTGCTTTTTGTTGTTTTTCCAATACTGTCATTTCTGCAATGGCTTTCTTGTCATTTGGGACTTTTATTGTTGTATTTATTCCCCATTTCATCTCATTGCGATCTGTTATACCAACTTCTTTGTTTACAGAAATTTCAGACTTCAAACCAGCCCCTACTTCAAGTATACTTCCTAGTTTTAATTTCAAGTCAACACTTCCCTGAAGTCTGTATCCTTTATTTACAACAGCTTTACATTCTGTTGCAGTTGTACGCTCAGCATTAAGGGTATACACTTGGTCATCATTTGTGCAGTTTTTATATTCAGTTCTATACAGCAGCACAGGTTTCTCCTTAGTAGCTTCCTCAACTACATCCTTTTCCTGAATAACTTCAGTTGTTGTATCCTCTTTCATGACTTTCTTGTAGCTGAGATCTACATCAATGTCATCATAGCTGAGATTTCTGATGTGCTTTGACTCTTGGTCCTTGGTTTTATCAAATCTCTGTGTTCGAAAGAATTTCTCCACATAATAATCAAGATCAAGAATTTCACGTTTATTATATCCTGTAGTAATTTTTGCAGATTCCATTTCTTCAGATTATATTGTCTGGAATATTAAAAACATCACCTTTTATAATGAAAGTACAATCATATGCATCTACATTGTATGATTATACAAAACATTAAATTTCAAAATGAATTAATGAATGAGGTATGAATAATTATTTTTTAACACAATATTTAATTTAGTTTGTTAGTTTGTTCTTACCTCAAATGATTAAATATGTAGAGTTGTTCAAGTTGTCAAAATCTTGCTGTCCTGTCGTTCTGGTTTGTATTAGCTGGAGGCAATGATTTCAAGTTTTCATGTCTCCCTTTTATAAGTTCCAGACAAAGTCTGTTTGCCAACCAAGTTTGCCTCATAACTTAATCTCTAACAAAAAAGGAAGCCATGTTTAGACTCAAATAATCCTTTGTTTGACATGTTGATGTCCTAAGAGTTTGGAGAAGCCATGTTTTAGGTTGTAAATAACATTAATCGCTGATTACATCAATTACAATGTTTACAAACATTAAAACCCCAATTTAATCTCTCAGTAGTTCACTTCAAACAAATAGGCACAAACAAATATAAACAATGATAATTACAAACAAGCATCTTATAGCAATACATGTTGTCCAACAAATGATTAAATTACTGTAAATTATTATTTGTCAACACACAAAATGTAATTTGATGTATCCTTTCCCTTTAGTCATCAAAAACAGTTTTCTGCTACAGTGTTCCAGTAATCTGTTCAAAAATGTTATGAACTAAATCTTTGTACCCAATAATAAATACTGTATGATTGTATAGATTACTTATAAAAATCTATAAACAGGGTGGTCCAAAAAATCATTTACAATTTTGTCACATCATTACTCCTTTAATATGGATGATCCAACATTTATTTTTTCACACATGTACAATGAAAGATAAAAGTTTTGTATAGTAGTATTGTTTTATAAATCTACCAACGATTTTTCTTTTTTTATCACAGTTTAGTTCAAAATGATCATATCATCCACAATCATCCATATTAGAGGAGAATTGATGTGACAAAATTGTAAATGATTTTTTGGACCACCCTGTATGTTTATTTACAGGAGATGGAGAAATTAGGTTCCAGAAAGTTACGCATTGGGGCAAAGGAGACAATGAAGATCGCTGAGAGTCTCTATACAAAGGGTTTCATATCATACCCCAGGACAGAGACCAACCAGTTCCCTAAAGATTTGGACCTAAATGCACTCGTTCAGTTGCAGACAGCAGACCCTAACTGGGGAGGTACACAACATTCACATTCACATGATTAGACATGAAAATCTTAATTGACACTCAACTTTTTTGCTGATACAAATGCCATTCTTAAATTCACAATTATGTCAAATAAGAAAAATAGACGCAAAAACTACTTGTAGTTGGTCAAACAGTTTATTGTACCAAACTAAACTCCATTCACATGAGTAGACATGAAAATCTTAATTGACATTCAACTTTTTTGCTGATACAAATGCCATTCTTAAATTCACAATTATGTCAAATAAGAAAATAGACGCAAAAACTACTTGTAGTTGTATAGTTCTTGTTTTTGTAAAATAGGTTTAGTTAAATGAATTAGAATGTGGTTTCAAATGTCTTCATGGGCTAATATATAAATACGAAATTTCAATTTGAGATCAAAATTGGTAAAATTAACACCCATTTGAGAAAAAATCCTGGAGCTATCACTGACATGCATGTGTAATGACTGTGTCATACTGTATTTGTTAGGTTTTGCTGCAAATCTTTTGCAAACAGGAGCCACTCCACGCAATGGCAAGAAGACAGACAACGCTCATCCCCCTATACATCCCATTAAATATACAGACAGCTTACGGGTATGTAGTATATACATGTACAAGGCTACTCTTCCCCCTTATTAATTCCATCAAATATACAGACAGTGTTCAAATATGTAGTATTTACAAGGCTGCTCTTCCCCTTATTAATCTTATCAAATATACAGACACTGTACGAATATGTACAGCTGTAGTATATACATTTCTGCTCTTCCCCCTAATTCATCCCATCAAATATACAGACACCTTACAGATAAATATGATACATTTTGATTATGGTGTAAAGTCATTGTGTGCATGTTTAACTCTTGTACTTGTATACTGTATAATTGTATTTAAATGTGTTGGGAACTGAATACAAAGTTCCCATTTTTTATATTGAAGAATGGTCATGTTTGTTCCAGGGAAATGATGCAAAGTTATATGAGTTCATTGTCCGCCATTTTCTTGCGTGTTGTTCCCAGGATGCACAGGGACAGGAAACTACAGTTGAGATTGACATAGCTCAGGAACGGGTATGGTCCCATGTACTTCTAAATATTGTATGCTTTCCAAACTAGGGGAGGGGTGGGGGAATTTCTGGTATGATATTTTCAACTCTTGTACATGAAATGAGAATTGGCAGTCAATGCTTCCTAGGTACAATGTCATTTAGTTAATTGTTACAGTTTCAGAACATAAATAGGTTTAACTTATTGCTAATTTTCAAATCCATCTGACAGTTTTGTTTACAAATATTGCCACCTTTAAAGTATGACATCAGAATATAGCCAATGTCTCTTAGTTTCCAAAAGTAATCAAGATTTATTTGAAAGCATCTATTGGTCTTATTATTTATAGACTATTAGTAGTATAAGGAAAAACACAAACAAATAATATCTGGCTCAGTGGGATAAGTACAAACATTAAAGGCCCTGTGTAAAGTTTTAAAAGATTTTCTAATTATAGAAATATTGTTTATGATGACTTAAAAATTGTTTGAGACATTTTTCAGAAAAGTTTACTTTTAAAATTATGTGATTTTCAGTTCACAGTGAGTGGTTTGATGATCTTGGCTCGCAATTATTTGGAGGTCTACCCCTTTGATAAGTGGAGTGATAAGGTTGTGCCCCGCCTTCAGCAAAATGAGACATTCCAACCAACCTCTATAGAGGTTAGTACTCTATAGTTTACACTTTTTAAGTTACCATAGGGAAAGACTAATTTCAACAGTTTCATAATATTGATTAGTGAATATTCACATTTTTAAGGTTATATTTCTCACCTAAGCGAAAATGTTTCAAATTATATGGCAGAGCAGATCTTTAAATCATTTAGTTGTCTGAATCCATCTTTGGGGTCATCCATCTAAATTCAGGACAAATCTCTTGTTTGTTTCAACAGCTTTAAAATATCATGCTATAGTTTCACCAAATAACCATGACATTGAAATGTTTTTTTTAATAATAGATGGTTGATGGAGAGACTTCAGCGCCATCTTTACTCACAGAGGCAGATCTAATATCTCTGATGGAGAAACATGGAATTGGTAAGATATTTTTAGTTGTGGCATTAACCTTTTCATGAAGTAAAAAATGTTACATGAAAGTCTTGTAGGCATAATTAACATATCAAAAATATTAGATTTGTTTAAAAAATGAAGTCATGACAAGGAATTATATTGAGCCAAAAATATTGTAAATTTAGTGGGCATGTCTTTATATTCTACTTTTTAGTTTTGAATTCCTGATACTTTACATTGGAATTGCTCAGCCAAACTGAAAAATCTAAATTTGGCAAATGTTATATTTAAGGTACTGATGCGACCCATGCAGAACACATTGAGAAAATCAAAGAGAGGCTATATGTCGGGGTTGGAAACGATGGCAGGTTTCTCCCTGGGGAGCTGGGAATGGGACTGGTAGAGGGGTATGATGCTATGGGTTTTGAGATGTCCAAACCACACTTGAGATCAGAGTTAGAGGCTGATCTGAGTCGCATATGTGATGGAATAAAGAATAAAGATGGTATGATTTTTGTTAACTCAATATTTATTGAAATTGATTTGTTATCCCATTCAAAACTAGACTTTGACTTTGAGGTTTTTTAATAATGCATTTTTAGGTTATAAATAAAATTCTAGAAGAAATAACCATTTTCCATCTCTTTGGATTCTTTTATCTTTTGATCTAGCCTCAAACAATCAGAATATATCGATCAATATCCAATCAGAATTACATCAAATGCCATGACAATTACATTTGGGGTCACAAGTATTTTGTCATCATCAAAACTGTATAAACGTATTTATCCTAGTCATAGAGTAGCAATTACTTCCAGTCGGGGCCTTAGTGTCAGGAGTGTCATTTGATGATTTAGATATATAATTTTTTTTTTTTTGATTGTTCTCTGATAATGTGTTGTATGTTCCAGTTGTTTTGCAAGAGCAAGTTAACAAGTATAAAGAAGTATTCATGGCAGCTGCGGACCAGGCAAACAGAATAGACGAGGCATTAGCAGCCTACTTTGGGGAGGCTCAAGAATATACACCTCAGAGTAAGTTAACATCAGGCTAGGGTAACATAATAGATAAGGTCTCAGAAGCCTCCTTTTGGCGAGGCTCAGGCATATGAGTAAGTTAATATCAAGTTTTGATAAAAGATGAGGCTTAGCAGTCTACTTTGGTCATTTTATTAAGGACTGCCATATGACTATTTGACAGAACCAGTTGTTTCATGTTCTAATTTCTTGTTCATTTTTATTTTAAATTTAACATGTCAAGCAAACACACATGTAAAAGCTCAAACAATAAATTGAAATGCTAGAAATTGAAATAAGATCAAATGTTCATTCTTTTTAATGTCATATTCATTCTTAATGTCAGGTTCATTCTTCTTTATGTCATATCCATTCTTTCTTAATGTCAAGATATTCCTTCTTAATGTCAAATTAATCCTCCCAATATGTATAGTTCATTTCTCCTTAATGTCAAGTTGATCCTTTATGTCAAGACCATTCTTCCTTATTGTCAAGTCAGTTCTTTCCTTAATGTCAAGTTGATCCTTTATGTCAACACCATTCTTCCTTATTGTCAAGTCAGTTCTTTCCTTAATGTCAAGTCAATCCTTCCATAATGTCAAGTTATTCTTCCTGAATGTCATGCTCAGTGATGGTCACATTCTGTCTGACAGAGTATTGGATCTCACATTCAACATTACATTTTATGACAATGGACCTATTTGTCTTGTCCGCAGTCACACTGGTCAGAAGCCTGTGTGATGTATCTGAGTCATACTTATCCTTAGCCCACATGACTATCTTAGACAAGTCTTCACGGAATGTAGCAATCAATGAATTATTATCTGTTAAATCAAGAAATTTAGCAACAACCCGCCCACTCAATACCGAGGTTATGTCAAACTCTGCTTTGTGTTGTTTTTCCAATACTGTCATTTCTGCAATAGCTTTCTTGTCTTTTGGGACTTTTATTGTTGTATTTATCCCCCATTTCATCTCATTGTGATCTGTTATACCAACTTCTTTGTCTACTGAAATTTCAGATGTCAAACCTGCCCCTACTTCAAGTATATTTCCGAGAGTTAGATTCAAGTTGACACTTCCCTCGAGTCTGTATCCTTTCTTTACGTTAGCTGAACATTCTGTTGTAGTTGTTCTCTCAGCATTGACAGTGTACTCCTGGACATCATTTGTGTGGTTTTTATACTCCGTTCTATACAGCAGCACAGGTTTCTCCTTAGTAGCTTCCTCAATTTCATTTTTTTCCTGAATAACTTCAGTTGTTGTATCCTCTTTCATGACTTTCTTGTAGCTGAGATCTACATCAATGTCATCATAGCTCAGTTTTCTAATGTGCTTTGACTCCTGGTCCTTAGTTTTATCAAATCTCTGAGTTCGGAAGAATTTCTCCACATAATAATCTAGATCAAGAATTTCACGTTTATTATATCCTGTACTATTTTTTGCCGAATCCATTTCTGCTAGTTCTGAATATGTTGTCTGAAATAATAAAAACATCAACTATTATAATGGGCATTGTATAAAACATTGAATTTCAAAATGAATTAATGGATAAAGATAAAAAAGTTTTTTAACATTATATCATATTTAGTTATACATGTGCAGTAGTTTGTTAGGTTGTTCTTACCGTACCTCAGATGAGTATTTTTGTAGTAGATTTTGTCAAGTTGTTGAAATTGTAAGAATGTCGTGCTGGTTTGTGTTAGCTGGAGGCTATGATTTCATTTTTTGTTTTCTCCCTTTTATAAGTTCCAGAGAAAGTTTGTTTACAAAGTTTGCCTCATAATTTAATCTCTTTCAAATAGGAAGCCATGTTTAGACTCAAATAATCCTTTGTTTGACATTTTGAAGTCCCAACAGTTTGGAGAAGCCATGTTTTAAGTTAGTCTTGTTTTACCCTTAGATGCTATTGGTTACATCAAGGACTAAAAAAAACATTGAGTGTTTCTTGTTTAAACCTATTGTTAAATGTTTGCTAGAATCTTTCTTAATTTTTACAAACATGAGAAAAATAAGATCACTTTTAGGAAATATTAAACCAGATATTTTGAAAAATACGTTGAGGTATTAGTGTGCTAATCCATGGTTTTAGAGAGTAGAATTGATAATCATATTATCCCGAGGACCTCAATTATTTTAATGAGCCATGTTGAATTTATGGTGAGAAAATACCCATGGTTGACAGTACTCAGATTTAAATGATTGGAATAGCACAAGCATTTCATTTTACACTTATGTCATTTCAGTGTCCACGGATAAACAAGGATGGGGTGTCTCATCTTTTATTCCTTTGCTCTAGGGTAAAATGATCCTGATCTGGCTCTTAGCTGGAAATACCTCTTGATCTTCATTTCTTGATATCTTACTTAATACTTATGAGATGATATATATTTATAGATGATGGTGCTGCAATGTCTCAGCCAGTCATGCAATGTAGTATGTGTAACAGTGATATATATTTATAGATGATGGTGCTGCAATGTCTCAGCCAGTCATGCAATGCAGTATGTGTAACAGTGATATATATTTATAGATGATGGTGCTGCAATGTCTCAGCCAGTCATGCAATGCAGTATATGTAACAGTGATATATGTTTATAGATGATGGTGCTGCAATGTCTCAGCCAGTCATGCAATGTAGTATGTGTAACAGTGATATATATTTATAGATGATGGTGCTGCAATGTCTCAGCCAGTCATGCAATGTAGTATGTGTAACAGTCATATATATTTATTGATGATGGTGCTGCAATGTCTCAGCCAGTCATGCAATGCAGTATGTGTAACAGTGATATATATTTAAAGATGATGGTGCTGCAATGTCTCAGCCAGTCATGCAATGCAGTATTTGTAACAGTGATATGCAACTCAGGACAAAGAAAGATGGAAACGGGTATTTACTAATTTTCTCATATTGCAATGATCCAATTACAGTATAAAGTCTTGCATTTAGATCGGTGTTGAATGAACAGCAATATATAGTAAAATTGGTATGAATATGAATTGAATTTAATCCTCTACATTACATTGACAGTATATGATAAGCTACATTTGCTACTCACACTGGCTGACATGGAAGGGGCAGGGGTCTTGGCACCCATTTGATACCCAAACTTTCCGCTAGACCCACATAAACTTGACAACAGAAGAAATATAAATTGGGGCCAGTTTTTTAGGTCTCAATTTTTTAAAAATTCCATGCAACTATGGATATATTTTTTTCAATTGCAATTCCCCCCCTCTTCTTGATTACCAACCAACAGTGTAAAAATGCTTTATGTGTAAGCTACAGTTGTTACATACAGTGTATGTGTAATATCCTTTGTAGGTATTTCATAAGTTGCAGTGGCTACCCACAATGTAAGAATGCTATATGGCTGCCATCCTCTGTGGTCTCAGTAGAAGTCTCTAACACTCACTGTGAACAGGTACAAAACAGTTTTGATTCCTTTCAGTATTTTAACAGCTAAAATAAAATCCAGAAGTAAGTTGATTGTCTGAGGGCCATGCAATTTAATTCACATTTGTGTGCCTATAATTTTAAATATCCAGGAGTTCAGTGTTCTTTATGTTATTAGATTACAGGATGACAAACGATGTACTAGTATTCAAATCATGTGGACAGTCTTAATTTACCGTAGTCACAGTAAAAAGTGCCCTAAAATTGAAATACCTCTTACCATTCCAAGAAGCACCCACATACGAAGGGTGATCAATAAGTAATGGACACTTTTTTTCACAGACACTTTTTATAGACCAATACCTTTGATTTTCCTACCAGTGATGTATCATTCAATTATCTATCAATTCTGAAGATTTGAAGACAAAACATATAATACATGTTGATATATCCTTATTTCCGTGAAGGAGGTACAGGTACCCCGGGACCGACATTTACGTCACATATTCAGTTTTCAGCCAGCAAATTTCAGTTAGATTTGGACTTTTTATAAGCAACAAGTGTTATGTTGTTTGAAATATTTTGCTGACCGGTAACACATAAACAGAAAGTATTGTGATGTCAGAGTGTTGTATGGAAGGGTTTTGCGGGTCAATTTGAGAAAGCATTGTGGAAGAAGGGGTTGGTGAGAGAAGGGAACACCCTACTCCATATGGACAATGCACCTGCCCACAGATCTCAAAATGTTCAGAAAACAATATCCCTGGACCTCAAAATTGAGCCCATGGCCAATGCACCATATTGTCCAGATCTGCCCACATGTGACCTATTTATTCCTGTACTACTTATTTCTATAGAGAAGGGACGCAGGTTTATTGACATTGATGAAATAAAACAACCTGTGTAACTGCATCTTGCTACCATGTCAGAGAATGGATTCAGCCTTGTCTCACAATATTGAGTTAAGATGATGAGGAATTGTGTACAGTCATGTAGCAATTGATGGAACCTATGCAGAGGGCCCTGTGGAATCAATGTGGCATTATACCACTTAGTGCTGATAAAATATTCAAAATCAACTATGACATAACAAATTGGGGTAATTCATGACTGTAATGGTTTGTTTTGTTCAGCCTGCATTCAACTGCATTGGATGTTAAACAAGCTAAAATTGCTTCAGAATGTTTGACGTAAAATGTCGGTCCCGGCGTACCTATACATCCTTCACGGAAATAAAGATATATCAAAATATATTACATGTTTTGTTTTCAAATCTTCAGAGTTGATAGATAATTGAATGATGTATCACTGGTAAGAAAATCGAAGGGATTGGTCTATAAAAATCATCTGTAAAGTAAAAAATCCAGAGGTATTCACATTTTGTTTCAGTGTCGGTCAAGACCTCGGCTTCTAGATTTCAAATTCAGACGAGGCTCTATGCCGCCATCTATCCCAAGTCAGTACACTGGCTGCATAGGAGGATGTGACGATGATCTGATTGAGTCACTGGACATTAAACACCAACTTAATAGAACTGCAAACCAAATAAATACACAACAAAATAGGACTCAAAATGCTAGGACTCAAAATAATGGGACCCAAAACACTAGACAAGGAATTGATATGAATCCACCTAGGAATATTGGAGGAAGGGGTGCTAATATGGGAGGTAGGGGTGGGAATAATGGGGGAAGGGGAAGAACTATAGGAGGGAGGGACAGTAATGGACACGGTGGAAATAATCAAAATACAAGAGGATTTGGGAATAACACCCAGAATACACGGAACTTTAGTGGTGCTAGTAATGCGAGTACGAGAGGAGGTGGTGATGCCTCCAGGGGTAGGGGAGTAATGAGACCTCCCCTGCAGCCAGTGTCACGGGGTGGGGAAGGGGATGGGGAGAATTCTACCGTGTGCAACTGTGGCGAAGATGCTGTCGAGAGAACTGTCAGGAAAGAAGGACCAAATACAGGTAAACTGCCCAAGTCAAACCTTTGTGGTAACAGGGTATTTTCAATTTTTGTATTTACATGCCATTTTCACTGGTCAGTATCAAGATGCGGTAACGGCCGTTACCTTCTCATCTAAGATGGTGGACGGAAAGTGTTGATTTTTGGTTTTAGTCGAATTAATTATATAAACTACTTTAAAATTGATGTAATGCTTTGATATTTGAACTTGATAAGCCTTATACATCATGGACACTTTGGAGCATGTTAATTTGTTCTTAAATCATATGGGGGCACCATGATTCAACTATATGTTACACCGCTTAAGGGATTTTACTCTTAAGGCATACAAATGCAAAGATCAACATTCAACATGGCTTTTTGAACATACACCCTTTACAACCAATTCAAAGTATAAATTATGTATCAAGGGTTTTGATAAAAAATTGACAAAGCAAAAGTAATTTTGGTGTATTGCTTTTCAACTGGAAGTCTTGTCACTCTGGGTATATATCTTTAGAATGGTATATGTACTTTTACTCCTTCACTCCAATAAACCATTTTAAAGCTTGGCTTGCTTTCTATAAATATATAGTATAGTTTTAGGCTTATTTTGCATTTGTGCTTTTTTTACAGGTCGAAAGTTTTATGCATGTGGCAAAGGCCAGGAGGGAGGCTGCGGCTTCTTTCTATGGACAGATCAGGATGGTGGGGGAGGAGGTGGAGGAGGAGGTGCAGGAGGGGATAGGGGAGTTGGAGGGGGCCAGGCACAGAACAACCAACAACAAGGACATAGGTATCTGTCATATATTTGTTGGTATAACCCTGCTTTGAATTGTTGTATGTAACAATTGAAAAACAAAAGCAAACACATAGTAAATAAAAGTGTATTTAATCTCATTTAGCTTTTGATATCATACCCATGATGTGAAATAAGCCTGATTTGTCCTGAAATTCTGATATAAGCCGACCTTGGAAAACCCTATTTTTTAAAGCAAGTATGAAAGAATACTTCCCATCATATGTACATCCTATAAGTGATGTATTACATGTTTTTATTCACACAGCAACTTTGTACCAATTAATGAAAAAAATTGTTAGAAATGAAATATGACTCTTGCTTGGGCAATTTAATTGCCCTGTAGAGCTTGGTTACTGACTGCATATGTACAACTGCTTCACTACTACAGGTTAACTGTTATGCTAAGACCAATATGCCATGTTAAATGTTGCAGGTACAACAGAGACAGAGGACCTGCTGATTACTCTGCTGACAACCAGGATGATGAGGAGGTGAAGTGCAACTGCAATCAGCCAGCAAAAAGGTAGAAAATAATGCAATGTCTGGTCACTTTGTTGTTCATAATATGGAGTTCATTACCAGAACATGGATGCTCTTTGTTTTGTCTATTGTACAGGGTGTCAAAAAACGATGGCACCCCCCTCTACAGCAAAAAGACCATAATGTTACATATCGTGTCATACCTCATTTGAAAGAGAATTCACTTCTGGAGTTACTCATCGAATTTCATTCAATAAAACTTAATATTAAAAAAGCTGCATTGTTTCAAAGTTTGCTACTTCGGCACTTTGTTTGCTGCTCTGTTACTGGTTAAAGGTCAAATCTTCAGAAAGTGGAATATGAAAGAATAAGCCCAGATTTTAACTGCACTGAACATATGGGTTCATTTCTGAAAAACAGGGTATAGGAACTGATGGGCAAAGAGCCTCTTGAAAAAACACACAGAAAGGATGTAATTATGAGGAATGTGAGGAAAGAGAGGATTATGCAATGCTTCACCTTTATCTGAATTTTTATTGAAATTATATCCATCCTGATAAGCTGCTGTTCGAGCAGCAACTGGTGGTCATACCAACTTCTAAAATTCAGCTGTAAATCTGTAAAATTATACGATATAAAGCTGAAGTTTCTTAGGTAACTCCAGAATTGAATTGTCTAAAATGAGATATGACAGACCATCACTAAGTTTTGCTGTAGAGGGGGGTGCCATTGTTTTTTGTCACCCTGTATGCAAATCAGAATAATTCAGTATACAATGCTGAGAATGTTAATGATGCGTATAACCTCTTTATAGAAAAAATACAAAAATCATATAATGAATGCTTCCCTGTGAAAACAAACAGGGTAAAATATATCTTTAATAATTCAAAACCTTGGTTAACCAAAGCTATATTAAATTCATGTAAGCAGAAAAATAAACTATACAAATATTATTTGAAACTGCAAACCCCAAACAGAAGGAATGAGTACCAAAAATAAAAGCGGATTTTGCAAAAAGTAATAAAAAAAGCAGAGAAGATGTATTATACAAATAAATTTAAAATGAAACAAAGTGATTTGAAAGAAACCTGGTCCTTAATTAATGATATTTTGAAAGAGAAGCAACATAGGAAAACATTACCCAATTATTTTCTATCAGGTGACAGGAAAATTAGTGAACGAACAGAAATAGCTAAACAATTCAATAATTTCTTTGGGAATATCGGTACAAGTCTTGCCAACAAAATTCCAAATTCTAAAAACAATCCTTCTTTTTATTTGAATAAAATTCAAGAAAACTTCACCAAAAGTATATTTTTATCCAATGTAGATTCTGATGAAATGAATAAGATTTTGACTAACTTGGAAGACAAGGCTGCTGGTGAAGATCAAATAAAACCAATTATAGTTAAACATGTTAAAGATATGTTAATACTCCCTTTGACCTTTATTTGTAACTTATCATTAAGAACTGGAGTATTTCCTAATAAACTAAAACATGCAAAAATCACACCCATATATCAAAAAGAAGATGAACATCAATTTAACAATTATCGCCCAATTTCACTTCTGTCCGTTTTTTCTAAGATTTTAGAAAGAGTTATGGCCAACAGAATTGTTGATTTTTTGGAAAAATTTGAAATATTTTGTGAACAACAGTTTGGTTTCAGAAAAAACAGATCAACTTATATGGCACTTTTGAAGTTTCTGGAATCACTTCGTTCATCACTTATTGATAAAAAATTTAATATTGCAATATTTATAGACTTATCGAAAGCCTTTGACACTGTTAACCATGACATTCTTTTGGAAAAATTACATTTCTACGGAATAAGGGGTATCGCTCATAACTGGTTTGCAAGTTACTTGACAAATAGAACTCAATCGACGGAGTATGACAATTGTGTATCACATCCTATTCGAATATCATGTGGAGTACCACAAGGGTCGATTCTAGGACCAATATTATTTCTCATTTATATTAATGATATTGTGAAAACAACTTCTTTTCTAAAGCTTATAATTTTTGCTGATGACACAAATTTACTTGCCTCTGGTAAAAATTTAAACGATTTAGTTAATCTTATTAACAATGATCTAGACATTTTAGATGACTGGTTAAGGGTGAATAAACTCTCGCTCAATATTGACGAAACTAAATTCATGTTTTTTTCACATCGCAAACTCACTCAAAATGAATCTCACCTTTTGAAGATAAAAATACGGAACAGTAGTATTGAACGAATTAACAAAACTAACTTCCTTGGTGTAATAATTGATGATAACCTCTCATGGGAAAGTCATATCAAACATGTCACTGTGAAGATCTCACAAACACTAGGTGTTTTATTTAAGGTACACAACCGATTAAACTTTGAATCGTTAAAATCAATTTATTATTCGCTTATATATAGTCACTTAAATTATTGTATTCTTGCATGGGGAACTGCAACCAAACGATTAATGGATATGATTTTAAAGCTACAGAAACAGTTTCTGAGACTAATATCACATAGTGCCAAAGATACACCCTCAGCACCCCTCTTTAAGAAATATAGATTTATTGATGTGTTTGAAGTTTATAAACTCAATGCTGCCTTGTTTGTATTTAATTGTATCAAAAGACCAAAGGAATTCCCTATCAACATGTTCAATGATTATTTTATAGCAAATAGCAGAGTCCATAAAAGAGATACAAGAAACAAATTTGATCTCAGGTCCAATAATTTTAAATCAGTATTTGGTCAAAAATCCATCAAACATAGAGGCCAAATTATATGGAATGAACTCCCAAACTCCATTAGAGAAATTAACAGCAGAAATAAATTCAAATCGGATTATAAACAATTACTCATAAAAAATCATAGAAGTTAACATTAAATTCTAATCCTGTTGGTGCAGACTTATAACTATTAATGCAAGTGAAAGAGCCCCATAAACCTAATTTAACTGCGGATTGTTATGTAAATACAATATGCTATGCAAACCCTGCAACTCTCTCTTCTTCTCTTTCCCTTTCTCTCTAGTTTCTTCTTCTTGTTTATTAAATGTTTTATGTTCACACATCAGCTGTCAATTTGAATATTTATATAAAAAAGGCTATATACATCCAAGAGGATGTCAAGCCGAGATGTGTAAAAAAATATGTAAATGTAAATTATAGATGAATAAAAAAAAAAAAAAAAAAAGTATGTAAAGCATTGTAAATTCATTTAAAAGTAATAAATCAGGTGTTATCATAGATATTACAATATATGTACATTTACATGAGGTATAACTATCATAAACACAGGACAACAAACAATACAAGTATTTTACCTAAAATTCAAAAAGGCTGTCTTAGAATTTACCCAGCAAGCCATTGCAGGCAACATCCATAAAAATTTCAAATAAATCTCTTGAGATTGGAAACGCACAGACACGAAAAGTGAGATGCTGCCCACCAAATTGGTGACAATAGTGTACCTCTTTATGTACATTAAAAACATTCAATGTTATTTCAATGTTTTTCAGTTTAACTGTCCAAAAGGAAGGGCCAAACCAAGGGCGACCATTCTATGGATGTATGAAACCAAGAAATGAGGGTCAGTGTGGATTTTTCCAGTGGGGAGACCAACCAGCAAATCCTAATCCACCAGGTAGGTCACTTTGTAGCTTTTTAAGTTTTATATATAAATGAGGCCATAAAATGAAATGATACCATTACCAGGCCACATTGTAAGCTTCGTGATGAACTTAGGAAAGAATTGATTTGACAGTCATTCTTGCTTAATTATGAATGTTATCTAAGTTGGAGAGTGAATGTCAGGATCCTTTAGGGCTATATATAGGGCACATGCTAATCATGATCCAACAATTCAGAGGTACTACATGTAGAGAATAGGGAGTTTAAGCTTGCAATGTTTTTCACAACCTAAACTTTAACAGAAAATATTTAAGCGATGCATTTGTATGGGCGATTGGTCATATAAGGCTGGCGTTACGATTTTATATGCAAGCTTAAACTCCCTAATGTCTCTGTCTGTTTACCTACCATTTTAGAAGATGTTTCATGGGAATCGCTACACCGTTCTTGCCGTAATTTAGTTTAATCTTTATGAACTTGAGTATCAATATATTTGATTGTATTCCAGGTGGAAGAGGAGGGTATTCCAGAGGAGGTATGCAACCAGGGGGCTACAGAGGAGGTTATCAAAGATCAGGGGGAGGAGGACAGGCTACTAGGGGCAAGAGGAAATGTTCAGTATGCCACAATGAAGGACACACCAAGAACAAATGTCCAAGAACAAACTCTTGACAAAATATGATCTTAGAAGATTGTGTAGTCATCAGTCTAGAAATAGACCAATCAGGTCAACCATGCCACTTACTGGTTATGATGTTATTCTTCCACTTTTTGAGCCAAAATAGGATTAACGTATTACAAAATTTTAAAAACTAGTACGAGCTTTATCCTATCAAAACATACATTGCTGGATTTATTGTACAGGTATATTTCTCTGTTTTCTATCTGGTAGGACATGATATGGTGGTCCATATTTACTCTTATACTGTATGGGTTAAAAGAGCATCAGCATTTTTCAGGTTTTTAAATAAAGTACAGAACATGACAAAGATGTAGGAGAATCACACTATTAGTTGATGAATTGTTTAATATTTGCATTTATCTGATCAAGAAATTCAGTTTCTTATCCAGTCAATATTTTAGTTGAAAATCGAATGCATGTATCATCTTCGAATCTTGTATAAAAGTTTCAACAAAACAAATGATTTAAAACATTAACATACATCTGTGTAGATGTTGATTTATTCATAGTTATACAGTATATACTACTAGGTTGTAATACTACAATGGCCAATGTAAGATATATTACATGTATGTTAAACTACAGATGTAAACACATGTATTTAATGGAGGTTCAAATGAAATAAGCCTATTTGATTCTGAAATGAAACTTTCATATGCCATAATAAACTGCAAAATTAAATAAATATTGTTAAGTGCTTGTAAAAATGAAATACATTTGGACATGAAAGAACTGAGACAAATAACAAATAATATTACTATGATAATATGTGGACATGACCCTCTATAGAAAACAGTTGAACAATCCAAGAGACAATCTATAGAACCCTGTAAAAATCACATTAGACAATGTGTAAGTGAATATTTTTACAGTGCTCTATGAGTGTTTAAAATTACAACACAGACAATCAAAGCTACAAAGTATGGCTTGCGAACAGAATAAAGACATTAATTAATAATAAAAACTGGCAGTCAATTCTACATGTGAATTCTATAATTTTGGACACTACAGTTGATTTACACAGAAAGCATTGATTTGAAAGAAAAAATGCACATGCACTAAACACAATTTACATAGGTTTATATCCTGCTTGGAAATACATTACAATACATTTGTCCACATCAATTGATAACGTATATGTAAGTCATACTTCTATATCAATGAATGATTTTTGGATCAAACAAGGAAAATGGCAACTCCCAGAGTAGCAAATTCCATGGAACAAAAAAGTGATCATCTTGAAAATTCATTCTTCAGTAGAGGTTTTCCCATTCTTCTCTTTATCTGAATTTTGTTGGGATAATGGTACAGGAAGTACTTCTTTAACATATCACGAAAGGTGAAAATCTCACATAATAGCTGTTACAGTACTTAAAAAAAGATTAAAATATAATCATACACTACAAACCTAACCTTCACCAAACTACACATTAAGTTCAATACATGTTAAACTTTGTTACATACAATGGGTATTTTCTCAATTCTGAATATTGTTTCTGTCTAAAATATTAAAACAACTAAAACTTTAAATTCAGAATATTAGAATACCAATTTGGCGACAAAAATATTTCTTTACCAAAAAGGCAATGATGTAAATCTGCAGTATAAAACACCATGAATCTGCTTAATTTAACATTTCAGCTGGTTTCATGCAAGGATATTCAAACTCCATTACTTGGTAAAATTCATATTATACAAGAAAATGTTTGAGGAAATACGTCAAACTTCAACGTAAAGGGTTAATTCATCATAGGGATACTTCAACCATTGTCGATAATTCACATTTCTTGGATTAAGATCTTGCCCATTGGATATTTTGATTTATTTTTTAAATTTTCCCAAAAACAAAATGGTGGACTGTGTGAATTGAAAGTAAAGTCAATGTCGAAATAGCCCCATGACAAAGTAAACCCATACGTCAAAGTTCGATGCATTTCCCCTAACCCCCCTATCACACCAAACTAGTTCTTACCCGTTCTTGCCAGTCCTACGAAAATGTCGTAAAACGGGCTCAGTCTGGCTGTGGTCGGGATATATGTCTAAAATAATTAGCTGCTTCGTTCATAAACAGTCTTCAATACGTCCATCTCATTCGCAGTTCGTTCAGGTCGCACCACGTTAATGTGCAATGTAGTATAAACCGCCCCTTAGTCTAGAAGGTCATCATGACCTGATTACAGAACGGTATGGTCGCCATCGAATTTTGAATCGATTCAAAATTCTAAATCACATACCCCGTCCGGAAAAGTCCATGAAGTTCGTAAACAGACCATAGAACGTTGTAGCTACGTTCATTCAGTTCGCACACAGTTTAAAACCGATTCGGCAACGTTTTGACGATCACCAGAACATTTTGAGCATGCTCTAAGTGCTGGAGGACCTACTCGTTCTAGTAGTTTCATGAAGTTTGTAAACAGATCCCAAACGGTTCTTAGTGGGTTCTTAGTACGTCAAATCCGTTCGTGCACAGTTTAAGCCCGTTTTCGAGAACGTAGTGAGGACTAGTTTGGTGTGATAGTAGGGTAACATTGATCTTAAATGCTCAATCCACATGATACATATATTTAAGTTACCCAATTTGTTTTATCATTATCTCATATATTCAAAATACCATTGCAGTAATATCAATGTTTTAGCTGCTTGCAATGAAGCTGCAACATTATTCAATATCATAGTGGCTAAAATACATTAAAAGCTGCAACAAATTAATATCAAAGCATGACACAAAGAGTGCATGTTTGATGTATACTTCTTACCATGATCACATGGATGGACCTTAAGAAACTGAATATTATGACTGGAGCTATTTTGGCATTGTTTAATTTGTCAAAAATTGCAATTCAAGATATTTTTAGTGAAGTTTTAACTATTTTCTGTTCTTCCTTTTGATGGTGTTAGAAAAGTCCATTTTTAAACTTTGAATTTTTTCATGAGCTGGAAATGCAAAATGATGACAAAATGCCAATGTGAAAGAATACCAAAGTAGAACCAGTTACACTATGCAGTTGCGAATATATGCATCTCTTCAATATTTATAAATATCAATTGAAAGCCATGTGCTGATAACTTAATTCATACGTATAAAGCACAAGCACATGATTTGTGTACACATACAATGTTCAATTGTGCATTTAGTTATTATTTGGTCCAAAATAAATAATTCCTTTATACATGTATATTTATGATTATGATTATATAATACTATGGGTTTAATATTGCTTTTCAAAAACATTCTCATACTCTCCTTTCATTTGGTTGACAATGCCACTTGACAATATCTTTGTTAGCATGTCACACTTGACAATACAACTGATCACTCGTCACACTTGACAATATCTTTGTTAGCTTGTCATGCTCAAAAATATCTTTGTTAGCTAGTCACACTTGACAATACCACTGATTGCTTGTCACACTTGACAATGTCTTTGTTAGCTTGTCACACTTGACAATACCACTGATTGCTTGTCACAATTGACAATGTCTTTGTTAGCTTGTCACTCAATTTGAGGCAATCCATAATTCTTTGGCTATTGGCCTATGTGATATGATATAATGATATGACACAAAACAACCAGAATCCCCTTGACCTTCCTCTTTCTGGTTACAAGAGACTTGTGGCTGAATTCAGGAGACCTGTGTTTGAAGGGTGATCAAATACAGGCTGACCCCAAAAATGCAACCTTATTCAGTATTGATATAGCATTTAATGGATTAAACAGTGGTACAGTATAGCATCAATAGCATTAATTATTTGGGGTCACCCTGTATTAACCAAGAGTTACAGATCAAACTGGCTTGTACTAAACAGGCAAAGAGCAATTCTCTATCTATCTGATAGCAAAGTTGACCTGAAACTCATCTGACCTCGCTGGGGCATCCTGCTTCCACTTCATAGAAAAGTCCCCTCAATTGCTTATTGAATCAAAAGTGCACCTTATGGGTAATACTATGGCAACCATGTAACAACATGGCCTATAAGAGGTGACAACTGACAAACCTCCAGGCTATATTGTATTGTTTTTAAACAAAATGTTTTATTATGTATCTTTTATATGTGTCATACATCATATTTTCTATTTTCTTAGTAAACTAAGCAGATCTGAGTGTTTCACTTAAAGTGTGCGCCTGACCCGGCTACGTATAGCACAGAGTTTATACTGGCGGATTAGACTAGTTCATTTTTTATATGTGTGTGAAAGCTTTCTCTTATTTGCGTTTTTTCGTTTAGTACGGTTTTGTTATAATTGCCGAGGTCATATAACCGGGATGAAACAAAGATTATCGTTGACTGCCCACACACAAAACATACGTTGAATGAACAGTGTTATTACAAACAACAGGCTTTAGAATACAAAGCCCAGTAGTGTGATAATAAGCTGTACACTACCACTGCTGCATGTACATATTAGTAGGGCTCCCAAAGAGTGGATAGGGAGGTTGTGTTTGTCACTTTTAAATTTTACATTTCAAAATTGTCATTTTACATGTCATAATTTGTTGGTTTCATTCGTTTAGCCAATCAAAACATTGCAAAACAATAAATTGTCTGTTACGTACAATCAATTTTGTTCAGTTTTGATTAGTTGTCAGAATAAAGTTACGTTCATCTGAATCCATGTATCAAAACAAAAATCTTATTTTCACTTCAAAATACTTCAGTGAGATGAATGCTCGGAATTGTCACATGCAATAACTTATTGTCGTATTCGTTATTTTATCTTCTCGATAGTAGCATTTAGTCGCACATTTGATGCCAGGTCACCTTGTCGCGTACCTCTTGGGGAGCCCCACATTTATGTGTGTACTCATGGAAGTAAATTCCCCGGTGTAGCCGAGAGCCACAAACTTTTCAACAGCTTCGAAATGGCCAATTTCTCTCATATATACTCTAAATATTTTATTATTTAGCACCTACAAAGTATTGCTAATAACCATATGTAATTTCAATAAGGAAACTTATCTGGCTACATGTAAATTCAATATCAACACTAGCTGTTCTCTCAACACGCCCTGGCTTACCTTGTGGTGACAAACCCTGGATTTTCGCTATTTATAGTTTATCAACACCTGGACGCATGCGCATTTTATAGTTTATCGGGCACTTTAAAATGAGCATCTTACAATATCATTTTCATCAATGGTATAAAATTATGCTTGAGTAAAAGTACTAATAAAATATGAAGAAAAATAGTTCCCAATTATTTTTTCAAGTTAATCGAACTATCAGTGTCTTGAAATAGAGATTCATAAGCTATTTCATCTTAAGGAAATGACTTATTTAAGTCTTTAGCTGTTGTATGCATGATATTTAAAATAGAAATTAAAAATTGAATAGATCTGAATCTGAATATATGAAGAGTATTGATAAATAGAGAAATATGTGGTCTGCAATGTTTTAATATCATGTGATTTGGACGAGTATTAACTCATCAGCAGACATCAGAGAAAGGCTAATTTTATGAGTATATTTGACAGGAGCTGTTACTTTTGGCATGTCACGTGATTAATTAAAATACAGAATGCAACAGAAACAGTTACGTCAGTTCATTTAAAACTGACAGTGAAGTAAAAGTAATTTTTAGCGTGTCATGAGTGAAAGTACACAAAGTTGTTTTTCATGATTTAGCTGTTTAGTTCATAGATTTTTTCCACCTTATCAAATTTTTAGATCAAATCTTTGCCAGGTGCTTAAAAATTCCGTGAATGGCAACAAGTTATTAAGATCTCCGAAAATAAATAATAGTGACCTTGTGTAAAAAACTTATGACACTGAGTACATTGGATATGTGATCTGTAAAAGCCATTAATTTGAAGGTTTCCATTTAATTATGAATAAAATGTTCACTGAAACATTTCAGATTCCTACAGATACCTGGAGTTTAGATATGTCTTCTATACCAGAGTGTGTCATAAGCACTCCACAGGCCCAAAGTCAGTTACTTTGGCTCTCTAATTCTATAGGTATATCATATAACATTGGTTCCTAATTCAATTATGACCCGTTGGTTTTTAACCTTTATGATGCACCTTGTACTGTATATTCAAAAGAACATTGCACTTGCCAAGTAAGGTACAATACTGATCTGGATATATCCATTGTTATCAATAAGTTATCATTGGTAAGGATACATTCCCCTTGCATCTCCCAGTACTGCTTTAATCTAATGTCATGTAGCATTAATACAGTACTAGTACTTACTGTTATTGTGTTCTACTCTAACGTCCAGATTATAAGCTGTATTATTGTTTTGGTTTAGTTTCTATGGAGACCACAAAGATGTGCTATGACCCCTCTCCAAGGTCAAGATTTGTTATAAGTCGTCTTGATCCTCTTTTTTTCTTAACATCTTTTTTCCTGTTTTCTGAATTTTTTCCCAAGGAATTTGGGTTATTAGTGTTACTGACATCCTTTTCTCTTAGCTGACTTTCTGTATCTCTGCAAGGAGTCACTGAGTCTCGCTCTCTAGATTCCCTCAATGAGTCACTATCTCTTCTTCTATGGTCACTTTCTCTTGTTTTCGTAGAGTCTTTCTTATAAAAGTCTCTCTCTCCAGACCGAGTGCTGAATTTGTCATGTATGATGCCCGAGTCTGGAGTCATTGGTTGTCACCTGGACGGACAGGACCCGCCCCCAGAACTATTTGCTCCACTTTGATTCGTTGCTATGCTAAGTGACGAAAAACTGCTCTGACAGGACTGTAGACTTGACATAGACCCTCTGAAATTTACCAATAAATTTACATTCACAAAAGTAATATACGTCTCACTTTTTATCAATAAAGGATTGGCTCCCAGAGTGCAACATCGATATTTTTGCCATATATGGGCATTTCGCGATTACAAAATTCAAATTCAAACAGCCGCCATTTTGTTCACTTTAACATTTGAATTGTGAATTTTGGTCATATTTCCAAACGAAAATTTCCAAAACTCACAAGAAATTATGAGATATTGGTTTCAATCTTTTGGACTGTTCATTTTGAATTTATAGTTGGTTATAATTTCAGAAAGTTTCGACATTTTCATTGTTGGAAAATATCGAGTTTCAATTTTGGGAGCCAATCCTCCTTGACAATCAAATATTTCAAAATGGCAACCAAGTAATTACCCAGCATGCCCAAAGCCGAACCAGATCTTGACACTAGTCTGCTCTTGCATCTATGAACCACCCACCCAGAGATATTCATAATATGCCTGCCCATCAGCACAAGAAAAGAATAAAGTACTTTATAAACCAACATACCTGAAATCCTCTGACCGTAGGAGCTCTGTGTAATACATCACTTTTGACTTGTGCGTAGATAGAGAGAAGTCGAATGAATGTGAGGCTTTGGCTGAATCAAAGTACTTCCACTGCAGAATGTAGGCCCCTGCTTGACTAGTTACATGGGAACCCTAAAAGGAGAAGCATTTATTTATGAGGTCATATATAGATAAGGGTCATGTACTGGGAGGTTTTAGATACAGGGTTTATCACAAGGGAAATACGTCTATGCCTCGAGGGATGTATTCCATACTAACTGAGGTTCTAGATACAAAAAATATAACATGATGAAAATTTTGGGATAGACAAAGAAAGTATCCACCTGTCTCTCTAGATACACTACCTTTATATATTCCCACATAATATATATAAGGGTTATGTACTGGGAGGTTTTGGATATAGGGTATATCCTGAGGGATATATTTATATCTCCCCGAGGGACCGAAGGGACCAAGGGGAGATATAAATATTTCCCGAGGGATAAACCCTATATCCAAAACCGACCGTACATAACTGGTGTATCTCATACTTAAGTGGGTTTGGGGTAGATATAACCTTTCCACCTTTTTCAAATGACAAGATAGGCCTATAGTGTAAAAGCACAATTTATATTTAACATTTTTGTAATATTTCTTTAGTTCAATACAATGAAATTGTAACATTTAAACTTTTGTAATTGTAAAACATGAACTGTTCATAAATATACTGTTCAAGAAGTGTTTATCCTCCAAAAAAGAATTATATTGAAAAAATTCCCGGGAGCGGGATGGATATATTATATCTGCCCGCATTTGGACTGGAGCGGGACATATAGAATATATCCTGCCTGCTCCTCAGATACGATATATATTCCCGGGTGATATCTACCCCAAACCCACTCAAGTATGAGATACACCTAGTTAGCTCAGTAGTTATGGGATACATTAACATAGCACCTACAGCTATGGCTCTCCTTTTCTTAATTTAATAAAAAAAAGTGAATTCATATCTTTATTTGATCTTAAATATCAGTTCCAGGTATGTACAATGATTTGGAATTAAATAACAATAGACAATATTTTTCAAGATTTGACCCTTCTATCTAATATTTATTTAATTCAAAGTTTGGAGGTAGGGTAGGCTAATATATATGTCAACACTTTTAAATTCCCCTTTCCTGTTAATTACCTGAATGCTATCCCCATCTCTGCATACATGTGGTGGTTCCACTATACTGATATCCACCCCTACCAACATATGCTTGGCTATGTATTGCTTTGACCCTATACCACCCACTGCCCCATGGACATGGTGCTCATGGGGGTCAGTTGTGAGACCTGTACGGCTGCGCAACACACTAAATGTCACATCCCCCTTCAAGATGTCAAAGTCCCATGTTATCACAGAGCCTTTTTGTGGGACTTGGATAAGCACCTATAAGAGAAACAGAGGATTGTAATGATGACAAATTGGGGGTCAGTTGTGAGACCTGTACGGCTGCGTAACACACTAAATGTCACATCCCCCTTCAAGATGTCAAAGTCCCATGTTATCACGGAGCCTTTTTGTGGGACTTGAATAAGCACCTATAAGGGAAACAGAGGATTGTAATGATGACAAATTGGGGGTCAGTCATGAGACCTGTACGACTGCGCAACACACTAAATGTCACATCCCCCTTCAAGATGTCAAAGTCCCATGTTATTACAGAGCCTTTTTGTGGGACTTGAATAAGCACCTATAAGGGAAACAGAGGATTGTAATGATGACAAATTGGGGGTCAGTCATGAGACCTGTACGACTGCGCAACACACTAAATGTCACATCCCCCTTCAAGATGTCAAAGTCCCATGTTATTACAGAGCCTTTTTGTGGGACTTGGATAAGCACCTATAAGGGAAACAGAGGATTGTAATGATGACAAATTGGGGGTCAGTCATGAGACTTGTACGGCTGCGTAACACACTAAATGTCACATCCCCCTTCAAGATGTCAAAGTCCCATGTTATCACGGAGCCTTTTTGTGGGACTTGGATAAGCACCTATAAGAGAAACAGAGGATTGTAATGACAAATTGGGGGTCAACTGGTGTGAATTGTAATGATAACAGATATTGCAAACAGCAAGTAAATGTATAGTTTGTTTTCAGGTGTTCAGCAACAGTAATGTAAATAGTAGGGTAGATGGACATTCACTCTACTATACCTAACCCCTAGAAATGCATAAGATACTCTGTTTGTCCAATTGGATTGTTAAGTATATTTTTGAAAGTACCTTATTAACATCTAATGTCATCCGATAAACCATTAATAAGTAACAGACAAATAAAAACAAAATATCATAATCATTACTAATAAGCCAAAAGGGTTGCTCATGAACACCAAATGCGAGGCATAGTAGAGTGACATTATTCAAAGTAATAAATAAGATTTACAAATTATAACATAATTAAGTTTTCCTTGGGAAATACATACCTCTTGTGGGAAGTCTTTGACAACATGTGCTGTGTGATAGAGGGAATCCTCACACATCTTGGGCATGTCAGGTGACCTATCTTTGTCTGAATCTTCGTCATGTGACATGTACATAGACTTGGGCACCATACCCCCCTCAGGAATATTGCACTGAAAATCAAAGTTATCTTTGTCAATTAATGGTTGACCCAGGGGATATTCTTTTAACTTATAGCACACTGAGTTAAGCCACTTCGTGGGTGTAGCTCCATTTTTATGAGTAGTATGCCACCATGGGAACTTGAGTTGAGCAAAGCGAAAACAAGTGTTTGGGGGTCTGGGAGGTTCTCCCCCGCAAAAATTGACAATCTGACGCAACCATCTGGAACGCCTGTGTAAACCGGGTGCACCAGGCTACACTCATGCACTTTTTGAAACTATAAACTAATGGGTGATAAGATAATTAAATAAATTGATGGTGACATAAAAATGCTTGTATAAAGACTAATACAATTATCAAGTAGTGAATCACTGTCTATAGAAAACTCACATAACACTCTCCACCCAGAAAATCTGGAATATATTGCTGATCAACAAACTCAATAAGACCTCCTGGGCCTTGGTAATCATTGCCACCATAAATCATGAACTTCTTGCGGGTGTTGTCATCAATAAAGGGACTGATGAGAGTCCAGAGAACAGGAAATACTCTGGGGGCTCGGACTATCAGCAACTGGCCCATGGTCTCCGGGTAGTTGGCTTCACAGATCTCTATGATTCGTAACAGTGCACTGATGCCTGGCCGCCAGAGATGCCGCATACTTAAGCCCTCAAGGTCCACTATACAAGTACATGCACTGAAAGGGAAAGACATTTTATGGTTAAAGGGGATGCTTAGAACATTCAATTGAACAATAACTAGTTGCTCTTTGCCTTGCTTGGTCAATGGCTCTTTTTTTCTTCAAATTATTATTTGCCCAAACAATTTTGGGTAAAATAAAGGATAGATATTTCAATACCTGACAGGGTGTCCCCTTGCCTTTGTAGAAGCCCCTGCTCTTGCGAGACCTTCTTCATTGATTGAGATGACCTGTCTCAGAAGGCCCTCCTCTCCAACACTCTTGTAGAGTCCTTTAACATCCATCAGACCCAGACGTAGGATATATGTGGGCCTCCCAGCTATAAACACAAATATATACATGAGAGAAAGTCCATTTGTTGAATTCTCATAATTATATTTATATGTAGTAAACAAGTGAGATTAAACAGCCGGAGCAATCTTTTCTAAAAGTATGCCAATGTTTCTCTTACAATGCTAATTCTATTCTTTCCCCAAAAGTTAAGATATCTGAACAATTATAGAAGGTATGGAGGATTTTAGATACAGAAATGTTCAAATTCATTAGAATTGAAACAGCATTTTTACTAGATAATCTTAAAAACCAAAGGATTATGTTGAAATTGAGTCAAGAATTTTTAGCAATAGGCACCACATGAAATGAGCGCATAGTAAAATTTTTTAAACTCAATGTACCTTTGTCGTGGTGGTGCCATCCTCCAGCAAAGTACTGTTGTAAAACCTCTGGTTGTTTGTATGAATGTAGCAACTTGTCCACTCTATGCAGCTTCCTCCAAGCCAGTGAGTGGCACAGCATCTCTCTCGCTTTCTCCAAGTTGAAGTCTCGCGCTTTTAGGAACCGAAGGATGTGAGCATCACGAGGGACCTGCATAGACGTGGGAGTTGAGTTAGAAAAATGTCATAATTGTCATACATGTATTTTAAGAATGGTAAGCAGATTGGAATAAGTAAATAATTTAGTAAATAAACATAAAGGCTTTTGTACACCAATTAGAGAGATTACGCAACTCACTTATAGCATGTTTATTATTCCCATAAAACCTTTATGAGTCATAACCTATGAAGCATTTGATTATGTCATTACTTATTGCGCAGCATATGTCCATAAGTGTGATATTCTGTATACTTATATTCTGAAGTCGACGATGATCTATAAGAATATCACACTTATGGACGTATAGAGCTAAGCAATAGATGATGACATAACCATACACTTTATAAGTTATATGTTATACGGGAATGATAAACATACTATAAGTGAGTTGCAAAATCTCTCTTATATCATATAGAAATACCAGAAAATAGAAGGAATACATGGAATAGGCATACCTTTCCCTTATGTGTCTCCTGCAGCCAGTTATTCAGTTGTATCAATCTGGTTTCTTGTAATGGGCTAAGCTTGCCTAGGTATCTCTCTATGTATTCCTCCTCAAGAATCTCACCACCTAGAAAAACAGAACATCATATATCACGAATACAGTGCATATATCACAAATAATTCTTTAAATATTGTGGTTTTATCCAAATTTCTGTATATCATCAACCTTGAGGTCAGACAGTGTAACAAGATTATAATATATATTTTGTATTAAACTGCACATGTATGTATTTTAATTCATATTATATATACCATCATAATGTCAAAACACATCTACAGATCATGGAACAGGAAATCATGTTTCTTAATTCATTTTTCAACTTTCTAGTGCAAAGGGGTGTTACCTCGACATATGGGGTAATGTCGACATGAGAAATAGGGTTTCTTCGACACTTACTTAGAAATTAGAATTTGTGTTTTCCTCCATTGTTTGATTTTGAAAAAAATCCTGTGAGATCCTTGTCCATGTGAGAAGAAAAATATGGCTTCCCCCAAATTGGAAATTAGAGCAAATAAACAACAAGGTGTCGAAGATTCCCCATATATCAAAGTTACCCCAAATTTAAACGAAATGGCATCAACATTATAGCCCTTTGCCCTAGCATGTCAGTAGAAACAAAAAGTTGAACTCTTTGATGAGTGGACTCCAAATTAAATTAACCTTGTTAGAATTTCATTTATTGATATCCATATTTGAAACTGATACTAATTATAATTACATGTGTGATATATCATATCCAGTCTACTATATATTTATCACAATTATTAGTATAGCCACCTGCAGAAGTAAACAAAATATTAAATATCCTAAATATTGTCTGAAACATGTGTCTATCTGATCTTGTATTAGGTTAATATGAGGATAACTCTCCATTTGACAATATTTGACTGAAATATTCAAAGTTTAGACTTATCAATTTCACATGGATTTTAAACGGGGACCATACACACTGGCAACATTTGTCCTCTTGTGCTCTGTCTCAAGTTCCTATTTTATTACAAGGTTTCTATCCAGTAATAATGGGAGGCAAGGAGTCCTGGCTGCTGCAGATGCAGAATGTGAGGCAATTGGGAGGTAAAAATTTTAATAAAGTTTTAAAGTTTCTCCTTACTTCATTTCTTCCATTTAAAAGATGATGAATGAGAATATTGTGAATTAATGCATGAATTTGATGGAATGTATGAATTTAAGTCCTTCAATATAATGGTAATACTAGATTTGTAATAATAAATATTCTATCAAATGAACATTGAAATATAATACTAATCATTGAACAATCTTAAAACTCATCGCAGTTTGTCAGTGAAAATACTAGCATTGGAGACATTACTCGATATTTTGTTTGTTACTAGTGACATATTAAACGTGGTGGGCGGTTCTGCAGTAGATGCTACCATAGCAACCATGTTGTGCCTTGGTGTAAAGATGCCTCATGCCATGGGGATAGGGGGAGGTAAGATAGCAACAATGCAATGCCTTATAGAGTAAAGATGGCTTGTATTAAAAATCAATCTGATATGAAACTTTATATACAAAACAAATGGTCAAAAACAATTAAATTATATATATGTATAATATTTGACCAGGCTTCAACATGGTTGTGTATGACCATATCACCAAGAGAGCAGAACACATTGATGCAAGAGAAGTTTCACCAAGGTCAACAAAGTTCGAAAACATGAAACAACTTGAATCTAAACATTACAGGAACTATAGGAAAATGGGTAAGATAAGATTCATGTAATTATCTTGTTCATGAAGAAGATCCTTCCAGTAAGGTGAAAATCTGACATCCATAATGAATTCAGATGTGGAGAGTATTCGTTTTTGTATAACTAGGTACATGTATTCAATACCACTCATTACGACTGCTAGAACTTTCAATATATGCTTCTTCATTTGGTTCATTTCCGATTAGGTGCGCTATCTATAGGAGTACCAGGAGAGTTAGCTGGGTACTGGTCAGCCCATCAGAGACATGGTCGACTGCCCTGGATAACCCTCTTTCAACCTACTATAAGACTAGCCAAATATGGTTTCACAATGCCCCGGTTCACTGCCAAGGCTCTGTCATGGTGGAATATGAACAAGAAGGACCTCACAAAGGATGAGTCACTGTGGTAGGTGGTTTATTTAGCTTATGCTCCAAGAGGCAGTGACATATATAGGCATGAGTTAGTTAGTTTCAATCTATCCAAGCCTGCATAGAATTTTTTATCAGTAGGTCTGAAATCTTTATTTCACTCTACCTCCCCACCTGCTGCATGTTGAGGGGCTCCTAAATAAAATTTTAAAGCATCCATCAATTACTCAGTCATCCATAGGCTTTCTAAAATTGATTTTGAGACTCTGATTAATTAGAGTATATGCTTCTATACATAGGACCAGCTGCCTGTTGCTAGATATAAATGGAAAACCAATTTCTGCCAGTGTACCATATTTTGATATCACCTTTTAAATCTAAAGTATTTTAATACCTGCTTAAAGGAACATTCCTGGCCAAACCTTTTCTATCCTGATGTGATAGCTATAATCATATATATACTTTCCATATTTAGCAAAACATGGGGATATGTTTTAATATAGTCAATATTGATAATTTAAAAATGTAGTGCTCATTTCCAGTAAGCTGCCATCTTTTAAGATTTTACTCAGGAAGTGATGTCATCGACTCTCAACTTTCATGACCTTGCATATAACAGTATAGGAAAATAGCACAATATCACTTCTAGACGAGTGATCCTTACTTTATGCGCAAAAATATGATCAGAGCTTGTCAGCTTAGAATAAAAGAAGAGACTTTTAGAAGGATTAAATCATAGACAAAATTGAAAAAGAATATTAGCTGGTTTTGTAATTCTTAATAGCTCCCTTATAGTGTTATACGCAAAGTTGAGAGTCGATGACATCACTTCCTGAGTGAAATATTAAAAGATGGCAGCCTACTGGAATTCGGCACTACATTTTCAAGTGATCAACATTCACCATATCAAAACATTTTTCCCTGTCTTGCTAAATATGGAAAGTATATATATGGTTATGTGAGCTACCATATTAGGAGAGAAATGGTCTGGCCAGGAATATTCCTTTAATGGTGTAACACCATTGGAAGTTGGGGTTACTTTCCAGTGAAGTGTTTTGCAAGGCTGATGGAACAGCGAAGCAACAAGGTGATATTCTATACATGCCAACACTAGCTAAAACAATGGAGATCATAGCCAAGAGTGGCCCACAAGAGTTCTACAATGGCAGTCTCACAGACACAGTCATAGCTGAACTGAATTCATTGAAAAAAACCAAGTTTGCCCCAAAAAAGGTTTTCCACAGGAAAGACTTCACAAAATATCAAGTTAAGATAAGGGAGCCATTTAAAACGAGACTGGGAAACTTAACAATGTATGCTCCCACTACCCCTGGGGGTGGACCAGCAATAGGCTTCATGTTAAAGCTCATGGAAGGTACACTTATGTTTTGATTTTGTATTTGAGTGGATTTGATGGCTTATCGCCACTTAAGAAGTTAAAGAAACTATATTAAATGTAGTAACTAAGAACCCACATGAAAATCTAAAGTTGTCCAAAGCTACATGTAGTCTATGGCCTAGTCCTAAACTAGTTCCAAAAATGTCATTTCTGCAAACAGACCAGATCATTGGTCAATTAAAAATTTTGAAAAGGCACCTTCCCATCCAAGCATATCCATGAAGTTTGTAAAAAGAATGTATCAAGTTCCAGTATGTCCAATCTGCTTGCACACAATTGCACAATGTTGGCGACAATTTCAAGAAAGTAATTTAGTGTAAAGTAACATTTCTTCTGTATACCCCATGACAACTGAGAAATCAGTATTTCTTTTTTATGTTGTAAAATAGAATTGAGTCAATCTAGTCATTTCTAAAACCTTTATGATAATCCTCTAAACCCAAAGTTGATTTCATGACATGCTAGGTTTCAGGCTGTCAGAAAAAGATACACATAGTTTCTTGTCTAAAGCTAATGTGGTTCATAAGATGACTGAAGTGATGAAATATGGTGTTGCACATCGGATGAAACTTGGTGATACAGATGTGAAACATGTAAGTCATATATAATACTATATACAGTGTATAGGAAATGAAAGTCCATATATCATTTTTACAATATCATTAGGGTAAACATATTGATTATACCAACCCCAAAGAATGACAAAAACATACAAGAAAATCCAACCATTAAATATTTCAATATCACTATGAATAATGAATGACCTGAGAAAACTTGAAATTTGGACCATTTGGAAAATGTATGTAAAAGTCCTTCAGGTCAAATCAAATAAACTACAAAATCTACATATAGATTGTACAATTATACCAGTACATTGAAGACAAGAAAATGGATGTAAAAGTAAATGTCCTTCAGGCTAAATCAAAACAAAGATATGAATTCCCTGTCTGTTAATTATTTGCTTAATTATAGGTCCTCAGAAATATGAGCAATGATGCGTACATACAAAATATAATGAACAAGATCCTTAACTGTACACATCCTGCCAGTAACTTTAAATACTACACAAAGAGGCTGTCAAAACAAGACAAAGGCACCCTACATATATCTGTATTGGCTGGTAATGGTGATGCAGTCTCGGTAACTTCCTCGATCAATTCACCGTAAGATATCAATTTATGTAGAATGTTTGTAAATCAATCCATTGTGGTATAAAAAAAAGACATATGATTTTGATATGCATTGAATGTTTGTAAATCAATCCATTGTCAGTGAAAAAACATATGATTATGACATGTATTGAATGTTTGTAAATACACATTTTTTTGGATTTCTGACAGGTTGGGCTCATTTCACAGATCTAGGGCAACAGGAATAATATTCAACAATCAAATGAATGACTTCACATATTCTACAGTTTCTGCCAGATATAAGGTAACAGGTACTAATACAGATACTAATAGAAAAATGAGAAAGAAAAAACAAAGAAACAAATATTTAATCATGACCTAAAACACTTACCAAATGAATTTTGAAGTTGAAAATATATTTGGATTTGAAATATAAAATGAAGTATACAGTCTCAGTATCATTCAATCAATCTTAAAGGTGGCGTTTTACTATCTCAAAAAGGTGCGTGAGTTTCCACAGGCATCCAGACAAAAATACTATACTTGTTAGAATATTTAATATTTAAGCACTCATTACAGAATACCGATGCTAATCTGGTAGGACCATCCAAGAGACCTCAATCCTCCCAATCGCCATCTATATTTGTAGATGATGCCGGAGAGGTGAGAATTGTCATAGGGGCTGCAGGAGGTATACATATAACGAACGCTCTTCTACAGGTAGGAAACATTAGTTTTCATCATTCAATGAATAAACATATATAATTATTGCCTTTTCTCATATCCATAACTCTGATCCTTCATAACCCAAAGTGTTTTTTTGATTCATAAATAACCTTTACTTGCACCATCAATAGACTCCAGTACAAAAAATAAAACATCAAACATTAAAAAAGAATTTCTTGGCTTGTAAAAAGTAACAGGGCATGAACGTTTTTGCAGGTTTTAACTGGAATGTTCTGGCTGGGGGAAGATGTAGCTTTTGCAATTAACAAACCAAGGATAACAAACACTTTGTATCCATACAAACTGAGGCATGAACAGGATTTCAATGTGGTATAGTGTTTACCAATAACTTGTTAAATGTGTACTTTTAGGCATTTAAATGACAAAATGTCACCACTTCCAAATTCAAATTATTGACAATAATTTCATTTATGGCAATGTGAGAGTCGGTTAAGGTTTAGGTATGAACAAGCCCTAAGAAGACCATTCCCCGGTTATCCCAGGTAAATGTTTCTGGTAAGTTACACTGAACGAAACATCAAGCTTCAGATCTCGAGAGTACGAGATGAGACTTTAGACGAGATATCGATAGGATTGTAGTTGGAGGGTTTTCTCCCTAGGTGCGTACAAAATCCATTAACATCAATGTAAGTTATACATTTCGATTCTTTTTATCGACATTTATCTCTTGTATATACATTTATCTATCGCTGAATCGTTTTGTGAAAATTTTATCGTAATATTTCACACAAAAAACGTCAGTTTAAAAAAGTTCAAAAAATTTCAAACACGTTTTATTTTTTGTCTTTATGACTTTGTAGTTTTATGTTTGAAGTATTCAATTGATATCTCGTACATATGGTTTAAAACTTGAATTTATACAAAAGAATTAATTTATTGATGAATATGGACACGTCACATATTACTCGAGTCTCTACCTTACAGCTAGATGTAACTTCATTTATTTGGTATGTACTCGTATTTCGTATGTAAAAATTGCTACAGGCACCTAGAAATCATTTTATATTAATTATATTTAGGATGAAGCGTTGCTTGTCTGGTTTTAGATATTTCAAAATTTCTTTTCGGAGTGACACACGGTTAAATTTTCTCGCTGTAGCTAAAAATGGCTTCCGGTTCCAGACGTGAATAATGTAGGAAACTTTGAAATTATTCTCGCTTAAAGAAATCAAATATAACAATAGATTCAGACGGAGATGTGTGCTGATGTTTCTCAAATCTATACATAAAGGTATATTTCATATTATTATGCCGTATTTCCTGTGCGTGTGACACATTGATTTACAATATTTACAACACCAAGGCAGCTAATTTTTCTACTCAAAGCCGGAATATAGAGAAGGTTTGGACCTAAGTAAGTCACATACATGTCCTCAAGTTACATGTACGTTCAATAGACTCCATCCAATCTAATGATAGATATTTCATTTATTTACGAGTGTAAGTAACCTTGTAGGCTATTAAATAAATATATCTTTTCTATTTATTATCCCATTCCAGAGATTTCTGGTTGTTATTGGGATTATTCATAGTACCATTAAGGTACAGATATCATTTTATTACTTGATATATATTTATCTCTTGAGAGAGCTATAATTATTCCTTTTCTTCTATATTTCTGACACCTTATTGCACATAATAAACTTTACTCTGAGGATAAGACAGGAGTCAATAATATCCTTACCTTTCTTCTCCCATTATACAAGACAATTAGAGATGCCTAATGTTATTAGGGTCAGCATTATAGGCCACAGTTTTGTTCGGAAAATAGAAGAATCTAACCAATTTGACTTTAAATTAAAGGAAGACATAGTTAACTATAATACCACCATTGTATATACAATTAAACTATTTCAAGATGATGTAAAATATAAAAATCCCTATCCAGATATGGCTATATTACAGCTAGGAGAAAATGATCTGGTTCATAGATCATCTACCTTTGTTGCAAAAAAAAAAATCTCATCACTTTGGCTGAACAATACTTAGATATACATCCTTCATTAAAAGCCTTTTATATTGGAGAACTATTTCAACGCTCATGGCATCCTTTCAAATCCTCGATCAATACTGCTTCAGAATGCATTCAATATAATTCAATATTTTATCTACCAATTTCAAATTGTTAAATGATATTCATCATCATAAGGGCAATAGACTTTTGTTCCTACATCACCCACATACCACCCAATATAGAATCAATGGTCAAATTTGATAGATGACTCCTACGATCCCATACATCTCAATGCAAAGGGGAAAAGCGTTTCGTCAAGTCCTGGAAAGGCGCAGTCCTGAGATTTCTTGATTACATTTATTAGGTAATAATAATTAGACTTAACATTAGAAGAGACGGCTACTCTTCTCTAACCAAACATAAGCCAGAGAGTCGTTAACTTTTCACAATAGTTTATTCACTTAGTTATCCTTCATAAGTACTATACTTATATTAGGAAATTTAGTTTCCTGTTTACTTTTATTTTATCATATTTATATTATGATAATTATATATTATTTTGTATATCATCTGCATTTATTCATGCAGTGTATACTATACCTTTAGACATGATATGTTATCATATTTATATTATGATAAAATTCATATTATTTTATATTTCATATGCATTTATTCATGCATTGTATACTTTACCTTTATTCTTAAAGGTTATCATATTTATATTATGATAATTCATATTATTTTATATATCATATGCATTTATTCATGCATTGTATACTTTACCTTTATTCTTAAAGGTTATCATATTCATATTATGATAATTCATATTATTTTATATATCATATGCATTTATTCATGCATTGTATACTTTACCTTTATTCTTAAAGGTTATCATATTTATATTATGATATTTCATTTTTTATATATCATATGCATTTATTTATGCAGTGTATTCTAAATCATATTTATTATGATTAGCCTTATGGGCATCATATTTATATTATGATAATTCATAATCTTTTTATATCATATGCATTTATTTATGCAGTGTATTCTAAATCATATTTATTATGATTAGCCTTATGGGCATCATATTTATATAATGATAATTCATAATCTTTATATATCATATGCATTTATTTATGCAGTGTATTCTAAATCATATTTATTATGATTAGCCTTATGGGCATCATATTTATTTACATCTAACATGGAGCATGTGCTTCTATTTATATTTATCTATATGTTTTTATGTCTTGAAGTTGCTTACCCTCTATATAACTACTAATTATTTCACTGCAAATGTCTGAAACTGAAGGACCTAACCCAAGTATTGCTATAGAAGAGTATCACACTTCTAATACCCTGACTGCAGCCAAGTCTATGCCCACTTTAATAAGAGGCAACTTTACAACAACTTTTCCCTTATCCCCTTTCCCTTCTTATTCCACTACATCTTCCATTCCAACCCAACATTTCATTCTCTCTAAATAGACCCACAGCATCTATTACTCGCCCTATTCCATCTTTTGCATCAAGCGCTAATATCCAACCCTACCCTTTCATCCCTCCAGTTTCTACTAACCTTTCAGCTTTTCATAATTCCCAACCCGTCTCTACAGCTTATGGATTAATTCCCAACACAAATGCCATGCTACAAGGACAGGTGTCAGTAGCTTCAATGAATCCAATTCCCAGTTTTCAACATATTACATTACATTAATTTGTCCATATTTCAGATTTTGCGGATTTACTTTAATTCATTTCTATGATGTTCTTATATTTTGGTATTCATGTATTGATTCATGATTGTATTGAAGAATACAAAAACAATGATTATGTCCTTTGTGAGATGTAATCTGACAATTCTTTTGAATCAAAACATTTGAATTTAAACCCTTCAAAGAAGGAAAAATCCTTTCATTTCCAGAATGGGTCCGAGCATTCAGTATATTTATTGCTGTCTATACCCAAAGTTTTCATGATCAAACCCCTCACCTCTTGAAATATATATCCCCTTGTCCCTTTAACCACACCTGCCCAACTTGCAAAATGTTACTCCCGCAACAACGGCAGGCAAGCCCAATTCCCCAACAAAAGCGCTCAGGTACTGGAGACTCCAAAAAACCCTTCGAGTGAACTTATGTCAACACAAGTTGTTACTCCAGTTAAACCTGAAAGACTCAGATATTGGCTTGAAGGCTATGAACATCAAGAAGAAACAGTTCATGGTTTCTAGTACGGATTTAAATTTCCTCACTCTGATTCGCCAGAACATTACAACATTACTCATGATAATTTGTCATCATATCTAAGAACCCAGAAGCTCTCAAAAAATTAAACAAAGAGCTTAAAGCTGGTAGAATACTTGGACCTTTTGACCAGCCACCATTTGATATTATTTCACCCTTATTTCTCGTTCCTAAAAATCTCCAGGTGAATTCTGTGTTATTCACAACTTATCACATCCCAGAGGCCAATCCATAATGATACTATCCCAGACGAAACTTCTACAGTTAAATATGCAACCGTACAACAAGCCATAGATATTATAAAACATTTAGGAAAAGGTTGCTTCTTGTGTAAGACTATTAGAAGCTTGTTTGCTCATGGAAATGGCAAAACAATCATTGACACTTTATGTAACATCAACCCCTTTACCATTAAGCCAAAACCAAAGAAAGTCTCAAAAAGAGAACTTTTATCTGCTATAGAATTCCTTAGCTACTGTTGTTGTGTGATTCCTTTCGGTAGATCATTTATTTCAATATTTATTCATCTATCTAAAAAATGAAGGAGCTACATTATAAAATCTTAATCAACACTCCATCTATGCAGGATTTATTAATGTGGAAATAGTTTCTAATTCCCTTTAATGGGAAATCTATTTTCCTTACAGAAGAACAAGAGACAAGAGAACAATTGCATCTTTTACCGATGCTTCTACTACGATAGGCTATGGAGCCGTTTGCAATAATCTTTGGTTTAAAGGGGAATGGCCATCAGAATGGAAAGAATTGGACATCAATATTCTTGAATTATATCCTATTGTTACTGCTATACTTACATAGGCAAAACTTATGTCTGGACACACAGTTATCCTGCATTCTGACAATGAAGCAGTAGTGAACATACCGAATTATATTTTCTACCAGCAATCAAACGTCCATGCAACTCTTACTTCCTATATATTAAAATGTCTCTTAAACAATATCATGTTCAAAGTGAACACATTGCTGGTATTCTTAATTCTGCTGCTGACGCTTTATCTAGAAACAATTTATGTTACTTTTTATCTTTTTAGAAGCACTTCAAGCTGCCCAAGCCCCGTCTACCAGAAAGTCATATGATTTATTAGTACAGTTCAACTCCCAGACAGGTATAGGTGAATTTCCTCTAACCCCAGCCTCTGCTAGCCTTTTTGCAGCACATCTTCGTTTAAAGAATTATCCCCCTAATTCATTCAAGTCAGTTCTGTCTGGTATATCATTTTTATCATATTTTCACAATTAACAATTTCAAGGATCCCACTACTTCTTATGTAGTCTCTCAAATAGTTTCTGGTTTTTGTAAACAAAATCCTAGCATAGACACTAGATTGCCAATCAACACAGCCTTGTTAGAACAAATGGTTTCTAAAACTTCTGAAGTAGATTTTGACCCTTTTGCTCAAGTCTTGTACAGAGCTATGTTATCTACAGCCTTTTGGCTTACTAAGAAGTAGTGAGTTGACAAGTACTTCCGCAGGACACAACTTACAGTTAGAAAGTATTAAATTCTCTCCCGATGAAGCCTTTTTCATTATTACTTTTTCACATTTTAAACATAGCTCATCTCCTACTACGATATCAATTAATTCTCAATTACCATCTTGTTGTCCAGTATTACATATGAAGTTGTACCTGAACATAAGGTCCTTTAATCAGGTCCTCTTTTCATTTATAGAGATGCTCCAGTGAATACTTCTGTATTTAACATTTTTCTTCACAAACTCTTTCTTCAATGTCAGGTGATCCTACCTTCTATAAATGCCACAGTTTGCGGATAGGCGGAGCTACATGGGCCACAAATCTTGGACTTGATGACTATACTATCAAAAGATTGGGAGATGACATACATACATGCATTAAAAAATATATTAGGTAGACATTTATAAACTCAGACTGGTGTCGAGTATGCAATTTTCATTAAAGCCCCAAAGTTGCTCAGACAGGTGTCGAGCATGCAAATTTCAAGTAGCTACTGTTTTTTCTTCATGATGTACTAGAAATTTAATTGAGATAAACCCGCACTTTCTGAATTCAAAAATTTTCATTCAATTCTAATTCCTTTATCTTACCTGAGATTGACAGCATTTTACATTACATTACATTAATTTGTCCTTCCATATTTCAGAATTTGCGGATTTACTTTAGTTCATTTCTATGATGTTCTTATAATTTGGTATTCATGTATTGATTTGTGTGTATCAATAAATGATTTAACTACTTTCTAATTAATCTTCTTTTCTTTTGGGCTCTCGCGAGAGATCGCGCATGGCCTTATTTTCGCCCAAGAAGATGAGTTGGAGATGGTATTATAATATATCCAATTGAGCTAATTAACAGTTATGTCAAATTGTAAACTCTTGTAGCTAATTAACTTAAATTAGCCATTATTTTCCAAGGTATTGTGTTTTGTGTTAATTGGCTCAATATTTATTTATATTAATTTTATATTAATAATTTTACATGTACGACTCTCACGGCCATATCTTTACTCTACATGAACATAAATTCAAATTATTGACAATAATTTCATTTATGGCAATGTGAGAGTCGGTTAAGGTTTAGGTATGAACAAGCCCTAAGAAGACCATTCCCCGGTTATCCCAGGTAAATGTTTCTGGTAAGTTACACTGAACGAAACATCAAGCTTCAGATCTCGAGAGTACGAGATGAGACTTTAGACGAGATATCGATAGGATTGTAGTTGGAGGGTTTTCTCCCTAGGTGCGTACAAAATCCATTAACATCAATGTAAGTTATACATTTCGATTCTTTTCCCTCACCTCCTTCCCCAGCTTACACCACCAGTTGGAGATTTATTTTCGCCCAAGAAGATGAGTTGGAGATGGTATTATAATATATCCAATTGAGCTAATTAACAGTTATGTCAAATTGTAAACTCTTGTAGCTAATTAACTTAAATTAGCCATTATTTTCCAAGGTATTGTGTTTTGTGTTAATTGGCTCAATATTTATTTATATTAATTTTATATTAATAATTTTACATGTACGACTCTCACGGCCATATCTTTACTCTACATGAACATAAATGGTATTATGTATTACAACAACTGAATGCTGATGCCAAAAATGAAACCTATAACAATGTTTTCACTACTTCTTAGTCAAATAAATGGCATTAAGTTTAATTTTAAGAATTATGGACTTAGAACATATGTCTTACCAAATATAAGCGACCATTTATGCATACAATGTAGATTATCATTTGTTGTTATAAAGACATTCACTTGTTTTTTCAGCTTCTACTAAGCCACTTGAGGAGCATGGGACACAAAACAGCACTGTTCTACCCCCTGCCTTGTATATCCAGAGTGGAGTGTATTGTACAGCATAATAATGGCACATTTGAAACATACACAGACCGTAGACAATTTGTGACATAGTTGTTCCTTGCTTGTACCTCTGCCATGTATATCCAAAGAGGGGTATTTTGCACACCATACTAATGGCTCATTTGAAACATACACAGACCGTAGGCAATTTGTGACATAGTTGTTCCTTGCTTGTACCTCTGCCATGTATATCCAAAGAGGGGTATTTTGCACACCATACTAATGGCTCATTTGAAACATACACAGACCGTAGGCAATTTGTGACATAGTTGTTCCTTGCTTGTACCTCTGCCATGTATATCCAAAGAGGGGTATTTTGCACACCATACTAATGGCTCATTTGAAACATACACAGACCGTAGACAATTTGTGACGTAGTTATTCCTTGCTCAAAAGTAATCAACACTTTCAAGAAATGTTCATAATCTACACACAAAGGAACTTAATATGTTATTTGTAAAATAACAAATAAATAGCAATGCTTAAAAGTGTGTCTATGTTACTATCATTCACGACCAGGGATGGATTAACCTTTCTTACTGCATGACCTGTATATGGATGAGAGTGTACAGTGACTCGATTCTGAGCTATACAATTATAACAAAAAACATACCATCTTTGGAATCTTCCTTTGTAAGTGCTGATGCAGTAGCTCCCAGTTCTAGACTGGTGTCAGACTCCTTACTGCCTTCAGACTTATGATGTGAGGTAGTTTGTTCATCCTCAACCCCCTGGGTTGTACTCTCACCCACTGATGGCACTGCCTGGCCCGCAGGTTCAGTCCATATAGGGATGAATGTTATGCCTTCTTCTTCAAGCTCATTCAGGAAATATTCTATGACTTGTTTCCCCTGGAAAAACATTTACATTAAGGCAGGGGAGGTGGAATGACTAATAAGTAACATGAAGGCTTTTACATTGTGATCAATGGTCCTGAAGATATTCCAATCAACATGTATTAAGACCAGTAGACAAGTAGCCTATGATATACAGTCATTGTGACTTTTCAATGTTTCATACAGTCATGATATGGTTTTTCAATGTTTCATACAGTCAGATATGGCTTTTCAATGTTTCAGACAGTCATGATATGGCTTTCCAATGTTTCATATAGTCATGATATGGCTTTTCAATGTTTCATACAGTCATGATATGGCTTTTCAATGTTTTATACAATCGTTATGACTTTTCAATGTTTCATACATTCATGATATGGCTTTTCAATGTTTCATACAGTCATGATATGGCTTTTCAATGTTTCATACAGTCATGATATGGCTTTTCAATGTTTTATACAGTCATGATATGGCTTTTCAATGTTTCATCTAATCATGATATGGCTTTTCAATGTTTCATACAGTATTTCAAGTCCATTCTCTCACAGACACACTTACTTTTTTAATATTTGTGGTATATTGCTTCATGGCTAGTTTCTCGACTGTACTTTCAAAGCCAAAGAAAGATTTAATATCAAGACTGGCATCCTGTTCAAAGCAGGTCCAGTTAGGGTTATCTGGATGAACCTAAAAATGTAAATTAAAAAAAGTATTTGACCATTATTAAATTAATACAAATCATATGTCTGAATGACTGTAAACAAATGGATCCTTTATCTTATCACAAAAGAAATAATATGAGTAATGTAAAAGATTACTTATTATGTTAGCCTACAGATGAGATATAAAGCACTGATACAGAAACACAAAAGGGAGACCATATTGAAAAACCCAAATGACCCCAGCGATTATGCAAAGTTCTACATGAAATCTGAATAACAACTGCACCAAAACTGGAGAGGCTGAATTAGTCTAATTTGCTTGATTAGAGACCAGTCCACTGCAAAGAGTAGAAGAGAATCCCTATTGGTAATAGTAAGGTAACCACGGATTCGAAATATAACCCATATTTTAAACCCCACCTCTTCTCATACCCGGGATTTTTGCTCAATTAGATACAAAATTTAAAATTTTACATTCTGACCGAAATTGTTAAAAGAATGCCAATCTTTCATGATTTTTTTCATTCAGGTCGGTGCAAGCATATTTTCAAAACCTCAAACTGATCCCAGTTTTTCATATCTTTCTCATTCAGGTCGGTGCAAGCATATTTTCAAAATCTCAAACAGATGCCAATTTTTCATATTTTTCTCATTCAGGTCGATGCAAGCATATTTTCAAAATCTCAAACTGATGCCAATTTTTCATATTTTTCTCATTCAGGTCGGTGCAAGCTTATTTTCAAAATCTCAAACGGATGCCAATTTTTCTCATTCAGGTCGATGCAAGCATATTTTCAAAATCTCAAACGGACGCCAATTTTTCATATTTTTCTCATTCAGGTCGGTGCAAGCATATTTTCAAAATCTCAAACGAATGCCAATTTTTCATATTTTTCTCATTAAGGTTGGTGCAAGCATATTTTCAAAATCTCAAATGGATGCATTCTGAACTTGTTTTAATGTTTGGGAGAGTTTGTTGCTATGTTAGAAAACTTACAGAGTATTTGCAGTTTTCATTGATGGTGACCTTAGAGGAGAAGCTCTCATTGTATGCATTGATGACCAGCACCCTGCTACGTAAGTCTAGAGAGTTCTTCTGAATGAAGTTAACATGCTCCACACCAGCAATCTATAAAAAAGCAATAGTATGGTCATATAAGACATAAACATATGTTATGATGCCAGTTCCTTTCTCAAAACGTCTAAGGGTCAACCCTTAAAATCTGCAGAAAAATCAGTATTATATTAAATTATAACTATCCACCTGCATAATAATGCATTTAAGTTTAATGATAGCATCAAATACTTGTCCACTATTTAAATGGTAAACTGAAAGACAAGATGAAATTCCTTCTGATTTCAACTGGCAATATGGAAGGAGAAAAACAGACAGTTCAAGGTAGTGACAGCCCACATTCCGAGCTGATAATTAAAATAGTATTTTGAGTCTTCGAATCGATATGCTTGTAGCATCACTAAACGAGCTGATGCATCGATATATCGATGAATCGCGGGACCCCTAGTATGTATAAAATCAAATTTTGGATATTTTAGCACATATTTTAGACAGACTCCTTATTGAGCATGCATTATTAAGCAAGCAAATCATTTCAATTTTTCAGGTTATCTAAATTGCTCAGTTAAACTATTCAGCCATTTTTATAGCATCCTTAGAGGTGTATATTGTAATCAGTTTGCTGAGTGGGTGGACAGGCTTCTTTTTATTCATATTCAAGTACATTTGAGGACAACACTTTTGGCTCATTATTTATGCACTCTCACTAAATATTTTATTTTTTCACAAACATCTTATAAAACTGAGTTTATTAAAACTGAGTTCAGTAAATAACAAGTACATTTTAGGATAATACTTTTGGCCTATTATTTATGCACTCTCACTAAGTATTTTATTTTTTCACAAACATCTTATAAAACTGAGTTTATTAAATAATAAAAAAATCGCTAACTATCATATGATATGTCAATTTCAATAAACCAGAGGTCAAATTTGTATAACAACACATCTGAGCCATGTCAGTTGATAATATCAAAATTATAAAACCATCCCTTCCCAGTTGTACAATTATAGTGTAGCTGATTATACTACTATAGCTAGTATTGTAAAATTTCCATAATTTATAAATGTGATATACATGTACCGGGTAAAGTTACTTACTAAAAAGTAAGTAAAAATCAATGTCATACATCATGTCTATTCACTGGCATGTAGCGATTATAGCGGTCCTGTCTTGGCTTATTGAATTGTTACGAAGTTACGTATGCGGTGCGGAAGTTAGAGAGCAAATGACCATCATTTCAATGTAATAGTTTATGCAGGAAAATTGAGATTAGGCCATTGGAGTATTTGTTTCATGCATTTGTAAAACATTACCCACTCATAGGTCATACTTATCGTTAAACCAATAACTCAAATATATGCCCTTGTACACCGATCACCTGTTGAAACTAATACAGGCCGATTTCAACAAATGTAAACGGCGATATATTCAAAATCGTATTCAAGCATGACCACGTCCCAACTTCTTTTGTTTTCTTTACAACTAAGCTATGACTGCAGTCTATTCAGTGTTGCGTATCGAACCTTGTTTATTATAAAAATAGTGCAACAACAAGCAGAATTCACACATTTACCTTATACTTATTCTCAACTGAAGACATTGAATTTATCTCTTAGGTTTTACATTATAAATATCTTAACATGCAGAATACGAAAATAGAGGCTTAGGCCCAACTTTGTATGAATTTTATGAGAATAATCTGATTTTAGAGAAATGAAAAGAAAAATGTCCACACCCTACACAAAATATTTATGGTTCCCCGGGAATACGTATGTGCTGCTTGTATATTAGAATCGTATTCCAGTTACAGAAAGAAGTACATATCATGCTAAACTGTATACAACAGTTATGCACTTGGAGGTTTTGGATTCAGGGAATATCCCGAGGGATATATAATATATCTTCCCTTGGTCCCTCGGGAAGATATATAGTATATCCCTCGGGATATTCCCTGTATCCAAAACCTCCAATTGCATAACCCCTATGTATTCCATACCTGATGAGGTTTCAGGGACATATCAACCGGCAATATATTCCATATCCGGGCAAATATTTTTCGTATGTCCCGCTCCAACGGAGCTCCGGGACATATAAATCGTATGTCCCGCTCAAAAAAAAATTTGAAAATAAAAATTTGAAAAAAAATTGTGTAAAAAGATTTAAAAAAAATGTTGATAATTCTGAAAAAAATTGGGAAAAAATGTGAAAAAAATTTTGGGATTTTTTCTTCATTTTTGAAAAAAATTGAAAACAAATATGGAAACAATTTGAATTTTTTTGAAAATGATAACATATTTTGCAAGTAAACACACCAGAGCATATGGGATACATGCTTATTATTTCAAACCTCTTCAGGTATGGAATACCTACAGTTATGCATGGTCGGTTTGGATACAGGAAATAACCCTTGGGATATACAATATATCTTCCCTTGGTCCCTTCGGTCCCTCGGGAAGATATATTGTATATCCCTCGGGATATTCCCTGTATACAAAACCTCCCAGTGCATAACCCCTATGTATGCCATGGCTAAAACACCGTATGCTATGGTTAAGTGAAAAGAAGGAGGGAAATTAGTGCAACAGATTTTGGACAGTCATATTTTGGATTTTGGCCATTTTCTGAGGATTTAAACAATTGCATATGTTAGGCCAATGCATTACCCCCAGGAAAATCACTTCTAGAGATGATAAAATAATTTCGACTTTGAGACAGGGTAGATGCAAACAACCCACCCACATGTTTTTTTCTGAAATGTTTTCCTAATTTTCGACCCCTTCCACCCCTGCTTTTTCAATTTTTCTTGCATCAATATGTTGCATTTTGACACATAGTTAACCACTTTAAAGGAATAAGTGATTCCTTCAGGGGTTTTAAAGGTACCCATTATGGGTGACCAAACTTAGCTGAAAGCAATGTTTTTTCCTATGGGAAAATAACATGGGAAATATTGTTTTCCACTTTATCTAAAAGGAATCATTTATTCCTTTTAAGGGATTATCTGTGTGTCAAAATGCTACATATTAATGCAAGAAAAATTAAAAAAGCAGGGATGGAAGGGGTTGAAAATCAGGAAAACGTTTCAGAAAAAACATGTGGGTGGGTTGTTTGCATCTACCCTGTCTCAAAGTCAAAATTATTTTATCATCTCTAGAAGTGATTTTCTTGGAGCTAATGCACTCGCCTAACACATGCACCTGTTTAAATCTCCAGGAAATGGCCAAAATCAAACATGACTGTCCAAAATCTGTTGCACTAACTTCCCTCCTCCTCTGCCAAAAATATCATATTTTACCACTGATTTCAAAAATACCGTTTTTATTTTGACATGTTATCCTATGGATATCATGCTAACTATGGAATAATATAGGAATATCCTATGGCTCTGAAAAAATATCACTTATATCCATGAGTGGATATTGATATCTTCGCGAGTGAGCGCAGTGAATGAGTGAAGATATTGATATCCATGAGTGGATATAAGTGATATTTTTGAAAAACCATAGGATTGTCCGTTTATCCCATTGGGAATTATTATCCAGCGAACATTGAATAGTCAGATAAATTGCAATGGAAATTCCATTTCGTCTGAGATTTTGATTGCGATAATTCAACGAACGTCATATACGTGACGTAAAAGAGTGGTTTGTATTTAATGCGAACGCCGTAAAAACAAGATCCCAAAAAATAAAAATATATAATAAATATATAAACAATCGTTTTGCTGAATAATAAAAAAATTGAAAAAATCAAAACCATCGAATATCACTTTTGAAACCATCGAATATCACCTTTCAAAAAGTGATATTCGATGGTTTCAAAAGTGATATTCGATGATTTGGGAATTGTTTGCTAAAATATGATATCTTCATCCACGTATCAATTATATCTTCACGTGATATTCGATCAATATCCTTGTAACCATGGGATAAATAAGGGTTATGTACTGGGAGGTTTTGGATATGGGGTTTTTCCAGAGTGAGATATGCATATCTACCTGAGGGACCGTAGGGACAGAAAGTAGATGTGCATATCTCACGAGGGATGAACCCAATATCCAAACCAACCGTACATAACTGCTTTATCCTATACCAAGTAGAGTTTTCAGTAGTACAAGGTGTAAAAAATAAACAAATCATTCATATGCAAAGTCATTTTATTGCATTTCCACTTTTTTGGAAGCGGGAAGATACGCCCCGAAGCGGGAAGATATGCACCGAAGCGGGAGATATGACGGGAGATATGGAGGTTCTTGATATGGAAACCTAAAAATCAGGATACGGGATATATCTTACCAACTTATCTCCCTAAACCCTATCCCTAAACTCCCTATCTCCCTAAACTTAAAACCCTACTTGGCATAGGATAAATTAAGATAATTTCTACTCGCATCTAGTCTATTCCACATGTTTGGGAAAAGTGTACAGGAAAATCTCCATGTTCAATTACTCAGATGCGAGTAGGTAGTTACCAGTTTCGCCACCAGGTGGCTGATTCGGGGGAAATAACATGGCAGGGTATTACAAAAAATTCCCTTAAACTTGAATATGCATCAGTTTTAGTGGTTCACTTTTGAAATTACCCTTATGTATGTCATAGTTATACAAATTAAAATATGTCCAGTAAAAGAAAATATTATCTGCCCACAAGAAACGATATTTCGCTTTTTGTAGTTTTACAACATGGGGTCTATGCACGCCTTACCATCGCGTAAGCAGGCGTCACCGTACAGCGTCAAAAAATAGCGGAGTACAGTTTTCTGTACGGTAACGCAAATTAACTGCTTTGAAGCAAAAACCATGACAAGAGTTTAAAAAAATTAATTTGATGAAAACTAATACGATTTCATGTGAAATAAAAACAGCATTCTCTTAGAAATGGTTTTAACTTTCTGATTATGATAAACGTTTTACGAGCACTGTTCGGATTTTTTCTGAGTGAATCGGCCCACATAATCGACCAGAGTGAGAAAAGGTTGTTTTTTCACATTTTGTTTGGTTATTATTTTCCCTACCGTCGGAGAGTATGGATTATTTTTATGAGAATATGTATTTGTTACTTACACATTTTAGAACGGGCGAAGATTCAGCAAACAACCATTCATTATGTATATTTAAAAAAGATCAAATTTGTACGGTGACGCACCAGCTGTACGGTGACGCTATGCTTTGATGAACTAAATGAGACTAAGATTGTATGAAATGGAAACTCTGGAGTATGATCATTTGTTCATATATAGTGCATGGGGTAAAGATGGCTGTGTAGGCTATCTTTGTTAGTCATATGAGAAAAGCCTGGTTTAGTTCAAATGATACCAAAGCATTACGTCAACTTTCAAATAGTTAATTCCATGAAAACTAAAAATATCGAAATTAATACTTCCTGTCCGCCATCTTAAATGCGAAGGTGACGACTGTAACCTTCGCTTGATACTTCCCAGTGATAATGTACATGTAGATCTGACGCTTCTTTACCTCTTGTTCGAACAGTAAGCTTAGAGCACTTCATAAAATCTAAGGAAGCGTCACCGTACAGCTGATGCGTCACCGTACAGTTCTTATCTTTTTTAAATAAATACACTGAATGATTATTTGTCGAATATTCATCTGTTCTAAAATGTGTAGATAACAAATACATATTCTCATAAAAATAATCCATACTCTCAGACGACAGGGAAAATAATAACCAAACGAAAAGTGAAAAAAAACACCATTTTTCTCTCGAGTCGATTATGTGGGCCGAATCGCCGATCCAGTCAGAAAAAATCCGAGCAGTGCTCGAAAAACTTTTATCATAATTAGAAAGTTAAAACCATTCCTAAGAGAATGCTGTTTTCATTACACCCGAAATCGTATTTATTTTCATCTAATTAATCTTTTTAAAACCCTCATTATAGTTTTTGCTTCAACTCAGTTAATTTTCGTCACCGTACAGAAAACTGTACTACTGTATTTTTTGACGCTGTACGGTGACGCCTGCTTACGCGATGGTTAGGCGTGCTATGGGGAATCTCCCCGACCTAGAAATCACATTGTCAAAGAAAATTAAATTTTCAAAGTTGATAAACTATTTTCAAAACCACATTTTTAGATGAAATTTTATATGTAGATTCCAAATATGACACCAGTTTGACAGAATTGTGAATTTTTAATGACGTAAATCAAGATTATTTCTACTCGCATCTAGGATATTGATGTATGATCAATATATACGAATCGAATGTATTATCGTGTGCATTACAATATCCACATTGAAACATTTTTGGCCTGCAATGGACGTATAATGAATTAGAATATGAGGCCGTGTTATCATTCTAATGTAAAGTCATTGTATTTACTGTGGCATTAGGTTGCAAGTTAATATCAGATTCAATGCAAATTAATCATCTAATATCAGATGCGCGATCAGTCCAATAATCTAATTTCAGGTCATCAGTTCGATATCTAGCACTTGTTCTAACGACACGGTATTACTAGGTTATCATATTATAAATACACACACATATAAAACAATCAAACTGGTACACGATATAAGCACGACTGCTCTTTCAATTGAGTATAAATGTTGATAAACTTACCCGGAAGCCAAGACATACACGTTTAGACGATGCTATTTTCAGTTCAGTGTAAGAGTAAATGCCCGGATATCGAGGCTTTTTCGTGTAAAGTTTTAACCAAGCATCTAAAATCGAGTTATATTGCGTGTAGAATTTATCGATATCAGGGCCGCTACATGCCAGTGTCTATTGGCACATTAAATTCCACGAAAAGGTGCAAGCCACAAGGGCTCAAAGAATGAGAAGTCTACGAGAGGAAGACTAACCTTCTTCAAGAGGTAAGGAGCATCTACATTAAGCCTGCACCGCCTCTCAATTACGTGTATTGCACCATCGTCACTCTTGTATTCACTGAGGGTGTCACTTCCGAGAAAAACTGGTATCATCTTACATGTCGGGAACCTTTTCTCATAGGCCTGGAATATAAAATAGCAGTGTTATTGTGAATCAAGCAAATTAATTATGCTCAAAGAACACTGGTCTCCACCTGGATAAAAGACTTCCCTCTCTGATTTTTAGTAAGGGGTTTCTCAGTCAATTATTAGGGTCCATGGATTTATATACTTGCGACTGATTCACTTTTCAGTAAAATTTTTGGATACAAATTGACCTTCTTGGTGAAAATGTTGAAAATGAAAATTTCCTCTGACGGAAGTTTATCCATTTTGTACTAATGTTTTTATAATCAGGTGAGGACCATTGAAGCGTATAATGAGATGACAAGACATCCCCTCCATCTACTTCAAGTAGATAGGGGGAGCAGGTTCAGGGTCTAGACTAGGGAAACTAAAACATATTCTTGTCATGAAGTATTTATGTTATATATTTCTCTTCTTTATGTGCATTATTTTTTATTACCGAGTGATCAAAGTCACTTATGATTAATGTTCCTTAATTGGTAAACAAATCTAAGGGGGGGGAGGGGCTCTTAAGTTCCTAAACATATAAGCCGAGACATTATACAATTTTCATATTCACTTTATTTTCAAATTTTCAATTGTACAAAGTTCTCAATGCCCTCAATATCATCTCAACAGATCTTAAATGTTCCTCCACTTTCCAAACCCATCTTTACTATTCTATATAGCCCTGTCCTGACCTTCTAGCCTTTTCTTATTTTACTGAAAGCCCTGCAATCCATGTAACCCCTTGTCTCACTTGCACACATTCTTATACCCAGACATTTACTCTACTGCACTGACAAAACTTTCAATCAGAGCAACCTCAAAGGCCTATTATTCTACGTCATATTTTCTACATTTATCTTCTCCTTCACCACTTGGAAAACATTCAAACCATTCTTTCTGAGAGAATAGATTCTGTTCGAGACACTTTGTCTCACCAAATTCCACAGGAGGTACTTTCCCACTCCTGTAGATAGTTTCCCAAAACTAGACAACAGCAACGCCAAAGTATAGCAAATCCCATCAAACAGCCATGGCTGGTATTTTTACAAACAAAGTATATAGCAAAAATGGCAGCCATTTTTCAAAATGGCCACTTTGTACCAAAAGTGTCATTAGACAGTGTGCCATGCTTATAGAATTCAGAGTAAGGTATTGGGATACTTGACATTAAAGGGTTGGCAGAGTAAGATATTGGGAGAATTGACATATTATCAAAGGGTTTGCAGAATAAGGTATTGGGAGACTTGACATATTATCAAAGGGTTGGCAGAGTAAGATATTGGGAGACTTGACATATTATCAAAGGGTTGGCAGAATAAGGTATTGGGAGACTTGACATATTATCAAAGGGTTGGCAGAGTAAGATATTGGGAGACTTGACATATTATCCAAGGGTTGGAGAGTAAGGTATTGGGAATCTCGACATATTATCAAAGGGTTGGCAGAGTAAGATATTGGGAGACTTGACATATTATCAAAGGGTTGGCAGAGTAAGATGTATCGAACCAGCCAAATACAGCAATATCATCCCCTGGTGTTGAACATTACAGAACAAAATATGTGCAATGGTATATATCTTATAACATTTATAAACAAGACATTCACCTTGGATCAATTCACCATAAATATAAATAAAAAAATGAATCTCACTTGGTTAAAATAAATTCATGCTACTAGCTATTTACATCTTGTTATAAATGATTCAGACTCATCGTTTGTATATTGACTATACAATGATATAAAACATAAGGCAGTAATGGGCAGTTAAAAAAGCCTATTAACATGCAAAATATCACCACCTGTCATTTATTACAGACATCAACTGACATACACCAAAATAAAATTTAAAACTTCAGATTAGTTTCGATTTACTTTCCAATGAATTCTGGCTAGGCTTTAATTTACATGTACTTAGTATATTATAATTTGGGTTTCTTAATAATAATAAAAACTGTAGCCTACAAAAATGATGAAGTCTATTTTTTCGAGTTTGAGTAGGGTCTTTACCTTTAATCAATTATATATGCTACTAGACTGTTGATAGATGAGGATTCTAAATAGGCTATAATCCAGAAATAGTACCATTAATATGATTGAATTCATGGAATGTGATTTCCAAATAAGTAAGGTTCTGGTTCAGCTGTTATAAATCAGGGAAAGATCATTCTGAGTTGAACATTGAGGGGCAGATCATTTTATGTTGAGCATAGTGGGATCCATTCTACAGTATGTTAAGACAGACTCTCACAAGTTTTAGATAAAGAGAGACTGATAAATCAGAATGGTGTTGAGGGTTGCTACATAACATTTTACCAACAAGCATCATTTTGTGTTTTTTTTCTCTCATGAAGCACATTCAAGAAATTCATAAATATGAATATTTATCTTTCCATTAACCCAAAATATATTCTGCTTTTTTATCAATACTACAATACAAAAAATTCTGAAAGACATTAATCACTTAAAAAGTACTCTACAGATACTCTACAGACCAGTTCATTTTTTTCCATGTGATTATTCATGTGGGACAGGTTTTGATAATGAATGATCCCCCCTCCCAGAAAAAACTCCCTCAGTTACAACCAGCTACCTATAATTAGCAGGAATTTAAGTTGACCTTTCATTACAAAGATGTTACAACAGACCTGCCCTTTCAAGATTTAATGGCCCATCCCAGTGATGTTACTCTTGTTGATGGCAAAGGAGGATAACATAGATGGGGTTACATAACATTTGACTATGAAAAGCTTGAAGCCTATTCTGCTCTGTGCCAAGCTTATACTTGTGTGATTGGGAATCTGTAGTCAAAACAACTAGGTTTAGGACATACATCATACATGTATATAGGTTGTTAAATAAATATTTACTAATTTTGCTCTAAAGCTTTTATTATCTACATAGCCCAAATTTAACAATCTTGAATACTTGGCTAAGATATGTTGATATTTAGTAGTACACCAGTTGTCATAGTAACTTGAAGTAGGGTTCAGCAGAGTAAATTGTATCAAACTGATGATCAAGCATTTTCTGATCTCTTGCATAAATCTTAGTTTTGGGCCCCTGAAACCCAAAAAAGTAGGCCCAAATTTTGAAAATTGAGGCCCATTTTCTTAATAGGTTGGCCTAAAAGGCCCATTTGTGCCCAAAAAGGCCTTGCCCGTCATCTCCCCAGAACCACCAGAGATATAACTGCTACATCCTCCACGATCAATCAATCTTCGCTGCTACTGCAGTGTTATACTCATGGATCAAGGGTTGATCAATTGCTAATAAAATAATATAAACTTATAATCAAATGTTATAAACTCAGGTATGTACCATATCAAAAGATGAACAGATGTCCAATTAGGCAATGTTAATGTTATTAATTTTAATTCAAAGAAAGGAATGTTAATTTCATTAATTAAAAGTACTATTATGTTTATGGTAAGCGCTTATAAGATTTTCAGTCATTATGATCATTCATATTTGCAACTGAATATCAATGGATATGCCATAAAACTCGCTTACCAGTTTGATTTTCAAAAAAGCATACCTTGGTAATCCAAGCTGAAAAAACTCTTCATACAGAATTCATTTCTACTCAGAATGATACCTGTGTTTTTACCTTGTTTTCTTATAACTAAAGTTACCAGTATGCAAGAATATTACTGATTATTAAGGGAGAGACGACGACCCAATTATCAAGGGGGTGAGCCTTTGGGTATGATTCTAATGATCTGAACTCGACTCTTCCTGAAGTGTGCATCAGTGACTTTTGTCTCACCCCGACTGAACATTAAACATAACAATGCCAGTGTTAAGGAACCAGAAAAGAGTAAAATTATACCAGCATGTGCAATTAATAATTTACAGAATTCATTGTTTTTATTGTTAGATTATGATTTATGAATCATTGAAGTAATACTGGTTAGTCCTATACATTATGTGGCAGAAATATGTTATTTGGTGTACATCCTTACAGTTCACTTATCAGGGCTCCCCGAAGAAAATTTGAAAATGAGATTGCAGAAGCGTTCTTGGGGCTTTTTAAAATAAAAATTCTGACAAATATGAACTAATAAAATGTAAAACATTGGCCATTTTTAAAGTGTGAGGCAATTCTATCTAAAAATCAACTTTTCTCTAAATTTTGAGAGTAGGCCATGGCGTTTAATGCATGATGCTACACCATTGCTTGTGTAACTATTTTTTCTATATTTCAAACAACTACTGTAAAACGGGTATTATTAGCGAGGAGTAATTATCAGCGATTGTTAGCGATCGCTAAAATAAACCGGGGTTAAAATAAACCGGGCGCTAAAATTTGCAAATTCCCGGGAAACTTCATGAATACTAGTATTTAAGGAGCTTTTCGTTCAGTGCTCGACTTCTGGTTTGTAATTTGAAAAAGGTAAATATTTTTAAATCGTATGTTTCTTTCAATATTTTAAATGCTACCGTGATTTTGTGATTAGTCAGATGAGATTACAGTAGTTTGGACCAATACCATGTGCGCTAGAAGTCTTACATTTTGATAATTCCTCTGTCATGTCCGTTATTCATTCTTCTGCCATAAATGATAAAATTTCTAATGCATTTCGCTAATTTGATTTTTTAAAGATTAATCTTCATTTCGCTAAGATTTCCCGCGCTAAAACCCCCTAAAATTGAAAAATCGCTAAAATTTCCCGGTGTCAAAATTACCCGTTTTACAGTAATTTAAGAAAATTACTGGATTGTCAATACTGAAGAATGTCACTTACACAACCATGGTTAGACCTTCTCTACTTAGGTCTCTTACCAGTTACCAGACCTTAAGACAATGACACAGCCTTACAGTTTAACAACAATTTCAAACCTGACATAATAATATTAATTAATAAAAAATCATAAAATGTTTCTAGTTTTGCATCAAGTCTCTGCACCTGAGTGTCCCCCTCTCCCAACTCTCAACTTATTTATTCAATAATAGTGCGATTTTTGACATTTTGTCATTCTTAATCAGAGGACAAAAAGAGGGACATTGTGGTTAAATATCATCGACCAATTTCAATATCTATTTTAGTATTTTTCAAAACGTATAGTTCAAAACAATTGAAAAAGTATGAATTACGAATGTGTACAAAAATGATCCATTTGGAACCTTACAAATTTACAACTCATTCGTTACTTTTTACGGAGTGGCTCCAGGACCGACAATTGTCGGTACTGGAGACTGTCCAGGGGTATTTGCTGGGGTACCAACAATTGTCGGCAGTCTATCGTCACCTAGTAGTGTCAGATAGAGAACCGACAATTGTCGGTACGCAAGTGGCTGCTACGTGTTTTTGCTAGAGAGCCGACAATTTCATAAATAAATTCACTATTTTTAATTCCACAAACAACTTCATCACTGGTAGTCTAGTGGTTAGCGAGCACGATTCGGACACACTCGGTCCCGAGTTCGAATCCCGGCAAGACCTATTTTTTTCTTTTGAGGGGGGGATAGTGCTTCTTTTGCAGTATGGAAACGTACAGGCATTAACTTGTAGTGAGCCATAATTTATTTCGACAAAAATTGATTCAACTTCCATCAAAATTGTCCTACAAGCTTCAATTAAAAAACATTTTAAAGCTCTTTTCTTGTTCTATCTAATGGGTCAATATATACAATTAGGAGGGGATGCTTTCGCCCCCGTCGACCTCTACCCTTACTACGCCATGGCACAGGAGAAATATCTCATTTGGAATATATCACTGTTTACTTTGCGTTTGGTAGCTCTCTCATGCGAGATGGAATCGTGGCCATTAACTAAGGGAGCCAAATGCAACTTCCATCAAAAATTGTGCTATAAGGTATGAGTACCGTAATCCAACACCAAATTCGAAAATTCATAACAATACTTTGCACATATGGCGTTCGTGACCAACTATGAAACGCTTACCCCCCATAGTGTTATATATCAAAATGCACCTGTCCATATAGGGGTTCGATTGACCTACATGAAATTATAGGGAGTCAGGTTACTTTTTGAGATATCAGCATCCGTTTATTGTAACTCGCGTTTGCTACCACTTCCTCAATTCTGATATGACAGGCAAACGCGTAGTAAACATCCTCACGTTCGGAACTATTTTGACCTACATCGCTATTTTCGTAATTCAAATGAAAGTTGAACTCCTCTTTATTTTGATACCAAATAGTGGCATACTAGGTACCCTAGAAGCCAACTATGGGTTATTTAGAACGAAACCACAGGTTTTTAAATGGACTATATACCTTTTTGCGGATGGATATGGAACCTCATACCATACGATAAGCTCTAAAAAACATTCTAGCTATTTTCTTCTATCTAATAAGTAGCAAACGCCCCTTCCTTTTTATTGGGTTTTCAACGTTTACTACCATTCCCTGTTCCCGGGCTACCATTTTTTGACTGGGTTTGGTAATCCCCGGTTAACCGGGGCTAATGCCCTCCCCGGGTTTTGCACTTGTTCCCAAAATATCCGTATGATATCTGAAATATCCCCCCGCGCATTGCGCATGCGCCAGAAAATTCGAAAATCAATATTTGTCGGTCCTCTAGCGTGTAAACACAGCATATCTCCCGTACCGACAATTTATTTGTCGGTCCTCTAGCGTGCCACCACATCAGAGTCTAGAGTACCGACAATTGTCGGTACTCTAGCCTTTACGTACTTTTTAAGGTACAGCTGGAAAGTAACATTTTGGTAAAAAATTGCTATACCTGCACATGTTATTTTCTGGTACAAAATAAAGTATGAAGCCATGTGTCAATTTCCTTGCTTTTTTCAGGAAAGTATCATTACATTGTCTTCTTTTAAAATATCTGGTAGGCGTTCAATGGGAACTCCAGGAAATTCTGATATTTCACACTTTCTATTTTTCCAAATTTTCTTTCAAAGTTTCCAGACAACACAGGAGCTACCATTGACCTGTTTCCAGATATTCTAAAAGAAGATAGTGTAATGATACTTTCCAGAAAAAAGCAAGGAAATACACATATGCCTTCATACTTAATTTTGTACCAGAAAATAACATGTGCAGCTATAGCAATTTTTTACCAAAATGTTACTTTCCAGTTGAACCTTAATTAATTTTGAGTGTTAGCGCTAATGAATTCAAGAATTGTGAATATTGTTTCTACGAATGGTACAAAAATGTGTTCCTGTATAGATCTAGTCTACGAAATCTCGGGCGAAATCTACACTTACCGCCATCACCAGTTCAAATGGATGTTTATATACCCTCAAAGGAGACTGATATTTTTGCACCATGGTGTAGTCTTAAGTGTAGCCACAGACTGCGATGTCCAATCTAATCTAAAATTTCTCCAATAACCGAATGCTCGGTGACCTGTCAGCTGTAGGCTAAAGACACAACATTTTTATTTGTGTCCAAAAATATCCAAATTGATTGAGTTATTTTGTCTTTACATTTCCATAGTTCAAAGTTCTCCATGCATTCATTTTGAGAATCTGACATGAATTAGTCGATGAAAGTATTAAATGTACATGTGTATCGCATATTTATCCGAGTATTGTGAAAAATAAAATAAAAGTTTTCGATCCGAAAGTTTGATTGACAGCCTCGTTTTGATCGATGTAGTGGTATGATTGTACTGGATGAAACAACTATCGCAATATTCCCGGTATAAATTAATATTTGGAATGTCTGTGTTGCTAAGATGATAAATGACATTAAATATTCACATCGTCTTATTTCCATAAGATCGTTACCCGGTTTTACACCACATTATAAGAATAACCAAACATTGAATCCCGGTACTTCAATGACAGTTGTGCTAGGTGTTTCGTTTAGTGCTTTACGGAAACTAACGAAGATTTCCGAGGACCAAAGTATTGCAGACTCAAAATGTGAAAAGTTCAGAAGTATCTTCAATTTTTAGTTTAACCTGCCAATAAATGAGGTAAGACATCAATTAGTATCATCAAGCTATGTATAAAGAAATCTATAATAGAATAGCATGGGCGTAGCGCCCGGTACGCTGGATACGCACAGGCGTACCAGATGGTTGCAAATTCGTCCCAAATAGGCTACAGCCGAGTTTTTACACTCTATTGTCAAGGAATTAATTAATTTATACATATATCTCTGACCTGTCTTCATGTTTTCAAGATTATTTCATGTTCATAAATATGTTCTATATCTATCATTTTTACATTGTGACCTATTTTAACTTATATTGTAACTACTTCAACAGGGCCAATAATGCTTCGGCGTAGGCCCTGTATCTGTTTGTATGATGTATTATGAAATAAAGGAAATATAAAAATTAAAAAAAAAATAGGCTACAACCAAATTTCAAAATTTTCCTGGGGGGAAACCGCCAGACCCCCTGAATGATCATTTTTTGATTCACTCAACTACTGTTCCTGTGGTGGTGGCGTACTACTTAGAAAAATAGCGCTACGCCCATGAATAGGGGTAGCATAACACACAAATATCCATGGAATTTCTGGTGAGCTATTAGCTATTTCCATCAAAGGAGAAGTCACGGTCGCCAAAGTGCAAAGGATTTGAAAAACCTACAGTACTGAGTATTACTTAGTTTGCACAAAGCTATCTCCTGAGAGATAGCTTTGCATATGTTGATATTCCCAGCCCATGTTAAAGGTCTTTTGCAGAAATGTAAGAAATCATGGGAACACTAAACACTACTTCAATCGATGTATATTATTCTAAAGATTGTTTTCTAACCATATCGGGCTATCTTTTGTCGGAAGACAGTGTAATTGACGAAAAAATGTATTTGGAACTTGTTATTTTCCATGTCGTCTGACCAGGAAGTCTTGCCAAAGCGCATGCGTGTAACCGGAGGCGGAAATCTCATGGCATGGAGGCGCATGCGCATTACCCAACTTCCTGAGAAGCCATCTTGAAAATTATCATCTCTTCAACATTTTTCGTCAATTACACTGTCTCCCGACTCCAGTTTGCGTTCTAAGAATATTAAACCTATATTTTATGATGTTATACATCGATTGAAGTAGCGTAAATGTACCAACGATTTCTTACATTTCTGCAAAAGACCTTTAACATGGGCTGGGAATATCCAGTTTTGCATAGCCATCTATCTAAAAGATGGCTATGTGCAAATATAGTAAACTGAGTACAGTGTTCCAAATGATTTTTCTGACTACTTTGATCGTGAAAAATAAGACCGAACTAAAGAATGATACTGTCACTTACCTTGCAGTAGTTAGTAAAACATTCAATTTACATGTAACAGCAAATAAACTTAGTTGCTTCAACCATTGACCATCCAAGAGATAAATGACCAGACTTATTTATTCATGAATTCTGTAAGTTTTGATTTAATGCAAGTATTGTAGTCTAGTATACATCATAAATCATATTTACCAAAATCACGAGTTTGAGCTGAAATTTTGCTAAAATGAAGTAAGGGTAATCTCCGCCAGGTTTGTTTATTGTGGTTAGCTTTCAATGGTAAGTGCTCAGAAGCAAATAATTCATGTCCGGAAAATATTCAAATAACCTGATTGATTTTAACTTAGTGTACATGCGCACATTGTGTGCAATGTTTTTTCTAATGATTTTATTTTGTTTCATGGAGTTTGTGTTTCAGTGTAACATCCACAAAAATGGCGGACTAACGACAGAATTAACAGGTAAGATCACTCCGAAATTTCAGAGAACTTTTTACCTACAATAGCAAAACCTTTGTTTTATTTGTGCAGTCTATCTGAAGGGGTATATAGGCAAATCCATTTTGGTAGGAGCACTCTGTTTAGTTTTAAAACCCACCCTTCATTATTTACTGTTCGCGCTCTATGCAGATATGCAATTTTAGATTGATAAGTCTGGAAATGAAAAGATACATTGTTTAGAAAAGTAATAAAACTGAATCTGTTTCAAAAACATGAAGAATGATGGGAAGGGGAGTCTTTGTTATAAGCGCAATTGCACATGCACGATTCAAGAAATATAACTTTTCAATTATTTTTTGTTACCATTACCACTGTATCTCTATTTACTTTTCTGTAAAAACTGACTAACCTGTGCGCATGCGTGCTAAAGATAAAGCGTATCATAACTTACTGTATTGAACTTCAGTCTGCAACAAAGTTTATTTGCTGTTAGGTTGAATCTTTTACTAACTTCTGGAAGGAAAGTGACAGTATCATTCTTTAGCTAAGGCTAAGTCTTATTTTTCATGATAGAAGTTAGAAAAATAATTTGGAACACTGTAACATTCTATATTGCATGCTGTAAAAATGTTTTGTTCAGTGGGATTTGCTACTATGTGGAGCTGAGTTGCTGTTTTCTATTTTTTTAGTATGTCACCATCAGAATTGGTGACATATTGTTATCTAGTCTCCACCATTTTATGGATGGTGTTCGGTGGTTGGTGTTTGATGGTCAGCATCTGTAAGATTTGTCTAAAAAAACTTCATCCTGGAGTGATATTTGAACATTGATGTTCAGTAGATTATCAGTTTAAAAATGTTTGATATAAGAATATTTAATCAAGTTTTTAACTTGCTGTCACTTGAAATGGATTCATACTTTAGATAAGTCACTTGATGAAGTAAAGTACATTGTATATTTCTTAGTGCTAAAGTGGGAATAGAAAAGAACATGCCATAAAATATAAAAGTATTAATGTATCAGTTGATCTAATAGTGACAGGTAATCAAGATATTACATCACATGTAGCAGCTATTTGGATAAAATATTTTATATAATAGCCATTCATTTATTTTGATAACATTCAAAACAAAATATAAGTCTGAATGAAGTCAGTGAAGGAAATCAGATTTAAGCAGAGGGAAAACATTAACTGATGTTACAATAGATTAGGGATGTATGTGTCATAAATATTGGTCAACAATGAGCGGGTGGTATGTGGTATCATGTTGGTATAATTTGTGAATATAGCTGGCAGCCGATTCCACTCTGATATTCATCACACCATTTAATGAGATGGAACTGATAATAGGCTGTTGTGTGTTGTTGCTCATGTTGAGTCAATGCAAACAATCCTAAATAACAAACACTGAATTTCTGTCTTCAGATTAACAGCTTTATTGTGAGTGCTTAGATGTGCAACTGCATGTGGAGTCTCTCTCATGGATTCAGAAACCAGGAAATCTGAGTCAGACTCAGGTAAGTAAAATACAAAAACACCTTAGATTTGATTGTAGGCAGAGTGTAATATTTCATTTATTGCAGTGTGTTTGAATTTTTCTGGATTATATATTTGTTGAGACAAAACTATATTGGTAGAAGATTAGATATTTTGCATGGCTATTTGTTAAATGAAGTTTTCGCAACTTCCATTTACATGCATTTGGTAGAACTACTACTAGGAGCAAACTACATCAGTATCCTTAGTATTTGTGAAATAGCTAGGGAAACCCAGGCAAGAATGCATTATGATAGGAATTACAATGGTTAGAAATATAATGGACATGTTAATGTGTTCACATTAAGGTCTAAGGTTTGTTAACAATGAAGTTCTGCCAATGATTCTTCTATAATTGATAAAATTAAAGGTAGATATCATAAATTTCAATTTCAATAATGAAGAAACTGACAGCCATTGAGAATTAATATTTATATAATTGATGATTTCTTGATTTATTTCTCAAATAATGGCCAGTAAATTTTACTTACTTGACTTCTGAACAATATAGTACATGCAGTGATTTTCAACCATTCATGTGGAACCTGTTAAAAATTGACTACTACAATATATATTCAATTACATTTACATGGTACATGCTACCTTTTTTAGTATGTAATTTTGCACCTGTAAAAATGATTAGCAGATTTTGGCAGAAATAGGGAAATTCAGGATTTTTCACCCAGTTGAGAAAAATCCTGGGAAAATCACGAACATGCATTCTGATACTCATTATCATCTCCTTTCTTCTTACCATGTTAAACCTGTGAGTTTACAGAGTTAAACATGTGATGCTAAACCAATAGCTAGTAGAAATATTAGGATACCTTTAGGAGAGTAGAGAGTAGCGTAGTTTGAAGACGGAAATTTGTAACATTAGTTTGTTTTGAGAATAATTATGAGACCAAAACGATTGAGATTTAAGATTGAAAGACAATATGGCTAGAAATATATTTTGGCAAAAGGAAAGTACATATATGAATATATCATGATGACAATAAGAATGACAATAGGTTAAGATAGATATTAGAATGACAAACATGCCGTTTAACCAATGCCAGCAAACCAGAATGTTTGGCAGAGAAAAGACTAGAGGGAATAGTTTGAAGACTATTTGATAGTAGAATCAGCTTTTCGTGATTTGTCTCACTGGCGGATGTGGGGGGGGGGGCTGGGGGCCCGGGCCTGACCTGAAATTTCCCCCCCCCCCCCCCTTGGTTCCCAGATCCGCCCAATGTCTTGCATTATTTTTCAAATGTCTTGGCTGTTCATCCTGGGCAATCATTTAAACATTGATAGTTCAGTTGAGGCCTCGAAGCAGAATATCTGCCAGTTCAGCACAATAAAGTTTTTATTAGCAATGCCAATGGGTATAATTCAAAGATTATATCAAAGCTTTTATATGAGAACAAATCATAAAATTAGATTGC